AACAGGTTTTCCTTGTGCCCCTATTATTTGAGAAAGTAGGGGAGGAGGAGGGCAGTTATCAGTCAGTGGACTGCTTGTTTGACACTATCACCTTTTGGGTACAGTGCTTATTAGAGAAAAGGCACTTATTTGAGGAAATACAGAAAGTACAAAAAAAGCATCCACTACATATTAGATATCAAGGACTCAAATTTTCACACGACAAGCTAGGCAGGTGAAACAAGAGAATATCTAAACTCTCTGCCCCAGTCAACTGATAAAATTAAATTTATCTGAATTTTATTACACAGTTTCACCTATTAACTGATGTTGATTGAAAAGTCCATGTTGTCTTTTATCAATGAATGGTCAAAGATAACAAGTCTGAATTTTGATTGTTATCACATGTTCATGCATCATTGCTTACTCCTCTAAATTCATAGATTGGCATTATGTTAATGTATATGTCCTACAGATATGTTTCTCAACTCTTAACTAACAGATCAAATTTGTAATTAATAATGGTAATTGAACTGAGTGGAGTTCAATTTGGGCTGAAATCATACGTGTGATTTCAATATCAAACGAGCACACAGTGCTTTTTCAATTTGAAACCACAAGTATGATTTCAGACCAAAATTGCGCGACATGAGGTTCAATTACCACTCTATTACATCCATTTTGAAATCGCCCAAATTCAGGACTTGGTCAGTTCAAATATTTCATTGATGCAATACTGAGCTCGTTTGAAATTAAATTCATTAATTTTTTTTTTTTTTTTTTTTTTGGGGGGGGGGGAAATAAGAGTTTTGGAAACAAAAGTTGCAAAATTTCCCACATGATACTCTTTGTCTTTCATTTTCCTGCAATTTGATTGGTTACTTTAAACAAGCCTGGAAATCTGATTGGTTGTTTTGTTTCTTAGTGTGGCTTGCTCATTGGCTGGGAAAAAGCAATTTAGCAATTTAAAGCAAAAAATGGTGCAATTTGTGATAAATTGCACTAATTAGAGCCAATCAGATTACAGGGACCACCAGTGATTTCAAAATGGATGTAATAATTGATTAAACTGATTGGTAGGCCTGCATTTCCTAGGGGCAGGATTTTAAGATGACCCCTGACCCCAATTGACGCTCCTAATCAGCCCTTAAGATCCATAGTTATATGTTTGTAATCAACGGTGCTTAACGACAATCTCCGTTCTATTTATGTATATCTATTATGTCCAATTACGCAATATCACAAATTAAATTGGACATGCTTGAGAATTTTGGCGTGCACTGCTGCACGAACATTTAATCTTTAGTGGAAGATGATGTAACCTGCATGAAAAAAAGAAAATAAGTTCAAGCAAATGCCAAAAACAAAGAGTTATGGTGTGAAAACTAACTTGCGATTACGTCTGAATTTGGGAGCTTAGCCAAACTCTCTGTTCATGAAAAGAATAAAGTCACCGGAAAACAGCTCAAAGACGATGGGACTTCTTTGATTCATCCTACTGGTACTTGCGACCACATTTGACGCCGTGCTCTGATTTCTAGCTTAGAATTAGTATCATAAATTTAAATGAAAATCTAACTCTCTCACCTCAGATGGTTCAATGATAGCAGTACATTTAGGAAACTTACGGTTGAGCGTAGAAGCCATAGCAAGGCCCCCAGCTCCTCCTCCGACCACAACAAACTGGTGACTATGTTGACCTTGACTTCGAAGCGAAGTATTGAAATTCCTCGAACCAAGTTTGTGTAAAACTCGACCAGAATGTCTGATTGAAAACATTTTCTTAGCCTGTAATAAGATGTCTGAACGTATCAATACAGTGATCTGAACGGACGTCAAAGGGGAAATGATTAGACGCATGTATTGTGCAAACCACTGGGGGTAGTGGTGAGTGTCGAGAATATTCCTAAGCCTCCCATCCCTAAAAGATATATTTTTCAAACTACCGGGGTACTGATGAGCATTAGGGAAGACTCCTGAACTTCCCCTCCCCTCCCTCAGTAGGCCACTTCCTAGTTCTTGCGGTTCAGTGATCTGGTGCCAAAATTACGCCGCTAGGACGAGCCGCTTCATTGGAATACAGAATAAACTGCGGTGGTGGTGAATCACTTAACCGCGAGAACTCAGAAGTGGCGTTTTGTCTACTGTTTGTCTTGGTGTTTGTACAGCTTTTTCTCACGCATCGACACAAAGAAGGCGGTTTCCAGTATGGAGGTTGGTTACTTGGAGGCCTTCACCAAAATATGGGAACATGTCCATATGCAATGGAAACATGGAGCTCCAAGAGTAACTTTCCTGACAGATTTTATCGAGGACATTTCCAGCTATAGCTATATATCCGCGAGGGACATAATTGTTTGTGTTTTCCTTGGTGTTGCTTTCACCATCTTGCGATATTTCTTAACAGCTGCAGCTTTCAAGGTGCGTTACACGAAATATTTACGTTCTTCAAATAACCTGAAGCCTTTTGTCATTTTCAAGATATCATTAGCCTTGTGTTTACATGGAGCTTTCGAACTTCCGTCTGATGATATTGGAGCTGAAATTGAACAGATATTAAACCATGTTTTCGCTTTGATGGGCAAGTAGCAATATAAGAATACTGATGAACACGGGAAAATTCAATGCTCAAACCTAATAATTCTGAATTGTATCTCAGTGATAGAACAGGTTTCTAATTTAACACATCGGAATAGACTTTCTCTACAGTGAAAATTTTTTCAATATTACAAGAATCTTTGTTTGAATGATTCAAACCGTTTAGATTACCAACCCGTTGCGTTCTTCCTAAATATGGTCAACCTTGATTTTGATCTTCTGTTCATATCACGCAACACATTTCTAAATGAAGTTTTATCCAGTTCGATTACTTTCCTCTTTCCCATCATTTTTAAAAACATGATTTTTTTTCTCTCTTACCTCAGTGACCTGGTTTATATCGCATTTGTCGTATATTTATTGTGATCACAAGCTTGGCATAAGTAGCCGATAAGCAGCTTGTTGTCAATTCGATTCTTTAATTCGATAATCTTCTGATCCTAAGAGATCTTGAACGAATCTTAGTTGTTTGATATGTTTAATTTCTGATGTCATTTTCGCACTTTTTCCCGTGTTATGAGTAAGAGCTTATACAAAACTGATGGGAAGAAAATAATTTTGAAAAAAATTGTTGTAAATTTGAATGAAGGGAATTAATTAATATTCAATTTAGCAAGTCTTCAAAACATTCAAATTGGTCAGTGTGAATTATTTTTCAATTTGTGGGATTCGAAGTTAATTTTGATATTTTAAGTCTTTTGAAGAACTTTTTTTATCCTTAATCTTTGGGAATGAAGATTTTTTTCAATAGTTTTGATTAATATTTAAAATTTGGTGAAGCTATGCATCATTAACATTACTCAATTCAAATCAAATCCTTAAATGTTTAGCATTTTGTCCAACCTTTGTTTCTTTAATAAGATTTTTAATTATACTTTGCTTTTCTAGCAGCAGGGCTGGGGTATCATTTAACATAGAGAGAGCTACTTACTACATGACTAATTTTTTTTTCATTAAAAAATATATTGATTCATATGTAGGAGAAAAAACATCATTGATAATTTTTTTCACTAATCCTTACTGCAATATGCTTATTTAAAATGCATTAAATCACACCTGATCAAACCTGCATTTGTTGTGGAAGGAAGTTATATGATTAAAAGAAACCTTCCAAATACAAATTTTGTTTTTGCATCACAAATTAGAATTATTAAAAAAAAAAAAAGAAAAAAGTGATGTTGTTGTTGGACATAATTTAGTGTCTTTTTAACAACATTACAGTGAGTGAACATTAAACAACACAACAACTATTTTAAAAGCTTTGAGTTGAAAATTTTGCTAGGTGTATAAATTTTCAACTCTGACCAAATTATTGAGATATTTTGCATTTATACACTGTATATACTTATCATGTTGTGATGAAGACACTGGAAATGTCAAGCAGAAATTAAATGAACTTTAATTTTTAAGTCTTTGCCTTAGGCTTTAATACAATGAGTATTGGTTTAAAATGGAGAGTTATTGGAAAGCCTTAGTGAAAACTTTTCTTAAGCTAAGGGGGTTCCGTTTGGTGATAAGCATGTGTATGTGTTATGATATCAAGTAGCTAAGTGATGGGACGTATCCTACTGGTATGTACTCACTCATCTAAACGAAGAGCCTGAGGTGTATTTCTAAAGTTTTACAGTATGGTTTAGTGGTCACGAAAAAGGTGTGAGTATTTGATCCAGCTTGAGAGTCTTGGAGTGCATCTTCATATAAACCTGGGCAGTCAACCAGGCTGGGTATGCAGTGTAAGTTCCAAAGGGAAGGTTTTTAAGCAAAGTTGGTGATAGTTTGATATTATTTTGTGTTAGCTCTAATGGTGAAAAAAAAAGTAAGACAGATTTATAACACAAAGAAAAACACAGTCATTTACAAGGTCAATTAGAGAAAAACAAGTGTGCTTTTCATCAGCAAAATCTGAAATTTTATCAGGCTTAAAAATCATCACCCATGGTTGTGAAGCTGTGATGTTTTGATTAGTTTGGACTTATATTTGATGAAATTAAAAAAACATAGCTTCAGTGTAAGCCCATTGAACTATTTTGTTGTTGTGGGTTTTTCTGATTAAAATCCTCTTTCAAAGTGAGGTGAATCATGATGATCACAATCTTTCCTATAATCATTTTTCAATATTATTTAAGAAGATTAGATGGAGCTGCATTTATGTGCATGTAGACTGTCTTGGTATAAAATTATAGCCTAATTTTCACTTTCCTTGAGAATTTTATACCTAGCTAGGTCAGTTATGTTTAGAAAATTTCACTTAATTTTTGTTTTATTTTTTCCAGCCATAGGTTTTTTCTACAGGTTGTATCTCTAGGTAATGTTGTTCAGTGATCTCATTTCAATTAAATTAAGATAATAGGGGTATTCAGTTTTACTTTTTAATTAGTTTCTGTGGATTTCTTGGTATCTTTATCAAAATAAGGGTGTTGTGTCAGCTTTTCAGTGCCAAACCAAATCTGTGTCTGTGATATTGAATTTCAGCTTAGATAACAAATTTATTAGCTGATCATTATGATGCAAGTGCTAAGTAAGTGAATGTGGTTTTCAGTGAGAAATGTCTAACTGGAGAACAAAGGCCTAAGGGTGAAAATAAATGGGGAATGTTCTCCTTGTGTTCATGTACTGTCAATCATTTCTGGCCAAAGAAATGTAGCCACAGATTGAATTCTCCAATCATGATGATCGAAAATATTTAAAATTTTGTAGGCTATTGATAGTGATGATGATGATGTGGTGACTGACAATTGGAAACTCAACAAAAAGAATATATTTTTTTTATTACATGAATTTACTTGTAACTCTAAATTTTCCTTAATTTAGCAGCTATTGCTCTGAAGACACTACCTAACCAGCAAGTTGCAACTATTCTTTTTATGACTGTCAATTTGAATTGTTACCATGTATGCTGTAGTTGAAAACAAGCTAAATGAAAAGAAGACCAATGTTGTCAAAATTCATAAATACGTTATTTTTCATTGAAAGATTTTTGTAAAAATGAAGTTAATGAGTATTATTTTGTCATTTTCCTGATATTTTTCTGTTTATAGAAGTACACATTTTTTTCTCAAATATGTACAGTATACATTATACACAACTGTGAAGCTCCTTTTTACCCAGCTGTCATTTCCTTTAAATAAATTAAATGTTTACTGATTGGATATGAATATTTCAATAATATTAATATTCTCAAAACCTACTGGTTGTTGTAAACAAATCAATCAACCCTTTAACTCCCAAGATCTTATAAGTAATTCTCTTTACTTCTCCCATACAGTTCTTGTGATGTTAGTTTGGAGAATTTGGTATTGGATCAACTTATGATTCCCTAACTGATATTTTTCTCTATTCTCATCACATGTCTGCTTGATATTGTTTTGATATTATAAGGGGAAATTCTGTCTTGGTAACTCATGGGAGTTAAAGGGTTAAATGTATTTATAATATTATGTTATTTTTCAAAACAGAAACATCACTCACAACTGTTCCAATTTTAAAATTGGCACAGATGTTTTAGCAGGAACATCTGTTTTCCTCAAGGACATTGTTATTATTTACACATTTAATTTAATAGTATGAAAATTTTCACTTTGTTTACCATTATTAATTCTAAAAATTGAATTGCTAGTTACTAAATATTACTCTGTAATTTGTCTCAAAGCCTTATTTCAGATGGTGCCAACTGCGGGAGAGAGATGTGAAGAAATCGTCAGAAAGTGCCTTTAAGCTGTTATTTTATTCATTGGTGTTTGGTTACTGCTCCTATATTCTTTTCAATGGAAATTACAATTTTTACCATGACACCAGTAACTGCTGGAAAGGTTAGTTGATACAGTACCAAACAAAGAAGGTTGAATTGAATGTCAGTGATTAAATAACCCTTTACACCTTAAAATCAGTATGTATATTCTCCTTACTGTTCTCTAAACATTTCCTATGATTTTGAGAAGGAGAATTTGTTTAGCGGTGAAGACCTTCTTCAGTTGATGATGTTTAATTTCTTTTTCTTCCCTTAATTCTTATGTATTACAATACTTGTCTTGACAGGATAGTGTATAAGGTTTTAATATTGGAGAATTTTCATCCTGAACACCCTTGGAAGTCAAAGAGCAGTCTAAAACTATTAATTTCATCTTAGGTCATTCTTTAATTTATCAGGAGTGATGATTGTATTAAGCATGGATGCATAGCTGGTTATAAAAAAAATACATTTAATTTATCAGTAATGTCTCCCATTCGATTTATGTGTACCTTTATCTAGGTTGGTACAAGGGAATGCCTGTTCCTCAAGACATCTACATGTTATATGTGGTAGAAGCTGGATTCTATTTCCATTCTGTATACGCCACACTGTACATGGATCTGTGGCGAAGGGATTCTGTTCTCATGATTGCTCATCATATTGTAGCTAATTTACTCATTCTGTTCTCATTTGCAATGAGGTGAGGTTTTAACTTAAAATTGACCTTTGCTTATTAAAATGTGGCGGAAGTTACTATTAGATTTGATTTGGTAAGTCTATAAAATAAACCTAATTTTTTAAAGAACAGTTACTTCCAGTGGTAAATGTATTTAATATTTAGTTATTTTGGCAATAGTTGCCTGTCTGTGTGTCTTAAGTTTTGTGAGAAATTGAAGGGTACATTGCTGGCCAGTCTAGAAAGTTTCCTTGAAATAAGGAGAAAACACATGATGTTACCTTTCAGGTACCACAGTATTGGCCTTCTGGTCTTATTTGTTCATGACCCAACTGATATTATACTTGAATTCACTAAACTGTGCGTTGCTTTCAAGTCACGTGGTGGAAAATACCATCTTCTACCAGATGTAATCAGTGTAGTTGGATTTCTGTCTTTTGCATTAGCTTGGTAAGCAAATTAAGGTAATTGAATGATTAAAAATCTTTTAACTTTACATCAAAGCCATGCTCTGAATAGAAAACCTACTAAGGGAATTTTCAAGTTGATCATATCATGTCTTGTAATTCCTTAGAGGAGCACATTCAACAGCTTTAAGTTCAGTATTTTGATAAATTGTGTCATGTTGGAAAAATTTATCCATGCCTAGATCCTGTGTAGAGTGCTAATTGGCATGAGCTTTTTACCTCTCTGAAAACTCCATTTGGGTTTGTGCCAATTAACCTGCAATAGACTAGCTTAAGGATCCCATCCAGGACATGCAGCAATACTTATGATCACTTTGAGCTTAGTTCAAGACCAAGACAAGCTCCTTGATTTGTGGGCCACTTGGCTATAATCCTTAGATTTTTCATTCACTTAATTCAGAATGTTGTGTTGTAGGTTTTACTGCCGCCTTTACATCTTCCCAATCAAGGTGCTCTACTCTTGTGGCTGCATCTCTTTGCTTTTCCTTCCTCAAGTCCCTCTGTACTTCTTCTTCAATGCCATGATCTGGCTACTATTTTTGATGGACATTTGGTGGTTTCATTTCATTGTGTTGCTCATCATTCGTATCGCTGTTGGAAAAAGCAGGGGTGTGGAAGACACCAGAGAGATTCCCAAAGAATCTGTGAAAGGTGAAGAACATGGAGAAGTAGCAAATGGGAAAGTGTTACAAAATGGAGAGCTACATAACTGTGCAAGTCACATTGAGGCCACACATACAAAAGGTTTGTGCTGAGAATATTTTTGGGAAATAAATTTTTTTAAGTCAGCAAATTTTCAGTAAGTTGTATGCTTTCCCACCTGGACTTATGATGCTGTGCTCCCGCGTGGTAAGAGAACATGTTGCTTAACAAATCCAAAAATGATTTATTTCAGAATTCAATCAAATGTGTTTGAGGTAAAAGTGGTGGAGAGGAGGGATCCTATAACCAAAACATGGTCTGCCTTTTTTTCCTGTTCATTTTAGAAAACATTGCATATTAAGTATAATTTTTATAATGCGTAAAATTCTACAACAAAATCTTTTAAATGTGCCAAAATGGGGCATTTCCTTCCCACCCAAGACATAACATTCTGCACCTACCTGAACTACAGGTCTACATCCCCTTGGAACTCTGATCCAAGCATGATACACAGCTAACTCATTTGGTTACTTTGCTGGATTCTCAATCAAATAATCTGGGTTAGAGCCATGGCTGTGTCTTTGTGTTTTGGTTTTTGGGTGGGACACTTTCATTTTTATAGTACCTGTTCCCAACCCTGAAGTGCAGATCAGTACATACCAGCTGTAAGGGCAACATGAGGAAAATACCGGGAGGGAATGTGAGAACCTCCTGTTGAACAGCATCCTGTAAAGGGGAGATTAGCAGTACTCTGTATTTGTGCAACTGAAACTGGGACAAACTGTAGCAGTATGGGTCCCCTCAGTGGTAAGGTGACCTTACTTTTACCAATAACAACTTTTTTTATGACACGATTATTAAGGCACATGAAACACATCAAAAAATAAAAAGTAACATTCTGTAGATTTTAGAATCATTACTTTCTCAACTAATGCAATTGGGAAAGGTTTTCTTCTCAAGCATGTCCTTTTCCTGAAAAAGAAATTACTGTACATACAGGGTGAAATGTATTAGTGAAATTCAGTGTTATACAACTGTGATACACCTGCATTCTGTATCCTTTATTTGCAGCTGAACAAAGGAAGTACAACAAAGAAGGAATCAAAAAGGGGAACCAAACCAAAATTGTGACAAACAGAAAGACAATGAGGAGCCAGGCTTCCACCGCAGGTAGCCACACACCAAACCAGCTAATCCATAGAATGAATGCAGCCATGCACCATGCCAGCTAATCCGTAGACTGGATAATATAACTGTGGAATAATTTTATGCTCAAGAGACTAAAAATGTCCCTTATTTATTTATTTATTTATTTATTTATTTATTGGCATCATATTACTACAGGGGCCAAGAATATATGTTTTAGTAATAACATGTATTGATAATTTATTTATGAAGGAGAGAATCATCCTTTGGTTGGAGATAGACGTTGTTGCTTGCATAGCATTAGGCCTTATGGCTGATTTGGAGTTATTGATATTTATTTAATAATGTATTTCCTTGAAGCTTCTTCAAAGTTACAAATATTCCTACCAATACAAATTAAGTTACTTATGAGGAAGTAAATCATAGTTAAGTTATGAGTATATATTGTTGCTTGCAAACTGGTTTTATTGAAAATTTTAATGTTACATTTTTACTTACTTATGGCTTTTTCAAAGCCAAGAACATGAACTTTCAAGTTTTCATTTTACTGATAATTTATTCATAAAGGAGAAAATTGTACTTGAAATTTGTTTTGAACAGACATTGTCACATGGAAACCGGTTGGCAGAAGTTTGATTTTAAATTATAGGACAGAGTAAGCTATTTTCCTATTATTACCCACAGTAATCATGGCCTTTTCATGCTAGGAACTCTCTCTAGTATTTCAATACAAATTTAATTTATCTATGAAGAAAACTGTGGTTTAATTATACATAGACTTAGTTACTCACAGACAGTAGTAACTGGTTTAGTTTCACTTCTTAATCTTATCTAGGTGTGCGGTGATTAGAGTCTTTTCAAACCAAGAATCTCCTTTCTAGTATTTTTGTATGTATGCAAAGAAAATCATTGGTTTAATTCCTAGGTTCAATGTACTCCTGTAAGAACTCAGGTTGGAAAACCTTTTTTGTTGGAGGAGGTCTTGGTCATTAACTGGAGGTCGTCTTTTTGTGGTCTATATTTTATCAGATGCATGTAACTTCGGGCTTTTGGGGAGTAAATGAAAAAAGGAATTTAGCCAATTTGTTCAGGATTTAGTAGGTCTTAGTCGCTAACTGGAGATCGTCTTTTAATAGTTTATATTTTATCAAATGCATGTAACCTTATTTACACTCGTGGGGATCAAATAAAAACAACAAATTTAACCAATTTGTTCAGGATTTGCTAACAACAGGGTTTCTTCTTTCGTTTATATGTCTGCTTTTGAAAATAATTAACGCGCAATGACGGAATCTCACTGGCAACTGAATCCGCCAAATACGATAAGTGTAGCATGCTTTTGTTGCTAATTAGCCTTCAACATCGTAAATAGAAATTATCTTCTGTCAATTATAAGAGGAACGGAGAGCCATTTTTCAACGGTTCGATGGGTTCTCGGCAAGACTTGCGTGTAACCCCTACTTCATTAGACACACATTTCTTGACAAAGGCATTTACGACACAGACAATACATTGCCGTTGCGACTGTAACTTTGTTTTGGAATCAGAAATCTTCTCGAGTCCCCCTCTCACTGTTTTTCGTTCGTTCTCCAGCCCCTTAGAACTAAGAACGTAAGTTCTGAAAGTAGACCGTGTGTGTAACAAACTAACGACTGCCGTGTTAAAAAAACAAAACAAAACAAAAGTCACTAAAGGTGCTTTAACCAAGATGTGTGAAAAAAAATTGCCGTTATCTTTACTACATGAAGAAACACAGTTCTCGAAAATACGCCGCCGTCGGGGGAGCAGGGCAGGACCGGGTTCCCCAGTGTAGCCTCCTCACTGTTGTTTTCTTTTAACGGTATATTCTTGCGGATCGAGTCGACGAATTTTAAAGTGAATCAGCAAAGTTCGCGTCTCTTTCCCAAAGGACTCCATAGTGACAACGTGTTTCTACATCGTGCTAAACGCAAATACTTGATTGCTATGTTTTAGTTACTATTTAATTGCAATAACATTGTCAAAGAAAAATGCTTAATGTAAAGGCCAGATAGGAATTAATTTGCATGTGAACGTGCATCTTACAAATACCCCGTTTACACCGCGGCTAAACATGACTTAGCTGTTTTGTTAAACACGGTTTAATTTTTTTTTCTTCATAGAAGCTGCATAAACCGATGTTTGTCGACTTCAAATGTAGCACATTGAAATTACAATTGAGCGATTACTTGTATCCTTTGGAAAATTCAGTTTTTCAGTTCTCTGATTCTGATTTTCATTCAGTTAAACCCGGTTTAAGTGAATGATGGGGTATAAGTATCTTGAATTAGCATGATTTAGGTTCGTCTCCCTTCCTATGTAAAACTTAGATTTTCCTTTGGCTTTTTCCTTGACAACCTTGTTGCAAGTACGTGTGTGTATCAGACAAATTGCAAGTAACAGAAGTGCCATCTGAAACAAGGTCGAGATGAAAATTTCAGCCACATAACTTGCTTATTTAGACTAAATTGAGGACACCTCTTCTCTACGTGGAAGACACCAGCGACGACTGGTTGAATGTCATTTGAACAAACCAACTTTGGTGATTTGTTGAGAGTCCCAAACCTAGGATGCCACTCATACAGAGCAATAACCTAACAACTGACACAAACATAGGAAACAAGCGCCTAACGGAAGGACTAATGACCAGCATCAGTTCGTGTTCATTGTATCACTCGGCGTCCACAGCAAAAGTTTGGGCGTCTCCTTTTGCACCTCGTTGTTTATACCGCAATTAAAATGCATCCCAACCGGGACATTCACACGCCTTACTCAAAGGAAAGCGGTCTACAATTCCGTAGGGAAAGTCAGCACTGAAGCTGCACATTTCACGTGAAAAGTCACTACACATTCCAATAAAAAACACACAATGCCATTTTGTTAGAATAAGGCTGCCTTCGCTGCATTCAAAATAAAGGTCCAAGAGGTGCTACTGTCTTCCGAATGATGCTACAGTGGGGCGAAAGTACACTTTTTTTCAACCAGCCACTTTAAAAATATATATAGCTAAACAGTTGTTGGTCCAGCGCAATTAATTTACCCGCGTATTTTGAACTGTCTGTGAGCAGCGAATACGAAGAAATTGAGTAAGTGAAAAGGTCACCGTGGTAATTTCGAGGCTGTTAGGAAAAAATTCCGAAACAGAAAGCGGGTATAACAGATTTCTATATAAACTTACGGGTCCCGATGTATCGATGGTGAATTGTATATTAATAGTATTTTTATGTATTGATTACCAGTTTATACCAGCGTTTTTTTATGATGAATTCGCTAGTCAGTTTTTTCAGTTAAAATATAGCATTTATCATTATTATTAAAACAGAATGCACATTTTATTGCGTGTCATAGGAAACCATTTTTCAGTTTCGTATCAGATTTTGGTTATCTTAAATAATCTAAATAACGGCTGGGTGACCATAAATTACACCAAAGCATGAAGAAGCATAGTCTGTTCCAGACTCGGTGGAAAACGTCAAATGGTTGTTGTCAAGGAAACGGCTCCGTAAAAAAAAGCGTGGTGGTGGGTGGAGTGAGGCATTAACACAATTCTTACAGGCTCTCTTTGCCATTTTTCTTTGCCTGATCCTCACCATATTTCGCGCACCTACTCTTTTGACCATTTCCACTTACTGAGAGCCTAAAGGGAGCTACAGTTACTTTCCCCGCCATTGAAAAGAATCGCATTCCATCATTTCTAACCTCCCAATCATCCACCTACCCCTATATTTATATATCACGTAGCTTTGTGAAAGAATTCTTAACTCCTTACGCCCCAACATCAGAAAGCATATTCTCCATACTGTTCTGTACATATATTTTGAGGTGCTGACTGGGAGAATGTGTCTAACGATCATGAGCTTATTTGGTTGGTGATCATTTATTCTTGATTCTCGTGACCTTTACCGTATTCGTACGTGCATAGGCCGCACTCATACGTGCATAGGCCGCACTCGTACGTGCATAGGCCGCACTCGTGAATAAGCCGCACCCCTAAAAATAATTTCACGTTTTCTCGAAAGGGCAAAAGGCCTGGCGAGTGCGTGCCGCATACCGCCAAGAAATATTTGTTTATATCACAAAATACATCACGATAAATAATCTGACATAGCATGCCATCGATCGAACAAACTTGCGAGATGCAAACAACAACGGCCAGTCATGTCTTCAAAACGGTCTTTAAGTTAAAAAAAAGGTAAAAGGAAAGCTACCTGGGTAATTTTTGCTAGATTTGTATTCCAAGTACACTAACATTTTGTTTTATTTCCTTAGTAATGATCGCGTGAAGTTGCGTACGTGATCGGGGACACGAGTAAACATAGCTTAGCGGCCTTGCCTCTTGATTAACATAGAAAGATTTAATTTATACCGTTTGCACAAAATTTATTTGGAAAAAAAGTACTGCCTATACACGTGCGAATACGGTATGTGTGATTCAGGGATGGTGTTGTTTGGAGAAATTGGACGATAGTCATTCTTAGGGTTTAAAGGGTTATACCCACCAATATAACTTTAACAAGGCCTTCAACCAAGACCAATTAATGTGAAGTCCAGCATATTCTAACATACATTAACCAGACCATTGTGCTCTGCTTAAACATGTTTACTTTTACTCTGATTTTAATCTGTAGTAATAAGGGAATAATACACACCTTCCTATTTCAAAATCCTGGCTCAAATACTCTCTAAAGGTAAATTAACATCTTCCATTTTTTTTTTACTGATCTTGACATGTACTGACGGTCTATCTGGGAGACGTTTCCCAATATAACTGTTTTAATAATTGTTTGGTTATGTGGCTCCCTTCATTTGAACCAATCTCAGATAACCAGTATTCCTTTGACCATTATCCTGATATTGCAGCACCATTAAATTAAAGTAATCATATGCCAAACTGAGTCTAACATCTTGTTACTGTGGATGGTCTGATGCCAATTTAGCTGTGAGTTGTCTCTCCAACTCTAACTGTCGTTCTTGTGCTTCAACTTTGTTACGCTCCTCTTTCTCCTTTTGTGATTTAAGTTTTGTTGCTCTCCTCTGAGAATGTAAATAAAAACAAAATTAATCATCCTTTGTTTAAATCTGCAATAAGTTGCATAATTTACCAGTTAAGGTCAGATTTTGTATGTAGAATGACAAATAACAGCTCACACATCTCTCTGCATTTCAAACCCCAAACATGACAGCATGACCAAATCACATCACAGGCGGCTTGATGGCCTGTTCATTGCAACTACTGAATGGTTTCTTTCACATGCCCTGCTAAATGTAACCGTATAACACCTGTGGTGCAGAACACCAGTGATCAATGCTGTGTACTCCTCAACTAAGAGACTAACATTTCTTGACTTTCAAAGAGAGCCCACCATTCCTAAATCAGTTACTTTATAACCCCAAATGTTGGTTCATATTCATGCTGAACAGCTAGGTATTATCCAGAATTTACACTAGCCCCAAACTACAGTTCTATTCATTTCAAATTCTCAACAGCTTGAATTTCAGTCAAGAAAATTTAATATTAACCAATTTACTCCATGATTTTATTATCAGTTCTCCACACTCCTGGCAGGCTTTTATTGTTATAAAATGTCATTTTGGTCTTAACCCAAACAATATACCCTAGTTGATCATTTTTTCCCCTCCTCACTGCAATTCTGTGCTAAAGTGTATTGATCGTTTAATGTTTTTGCTCCATAACAAAAACAATTTTGTTATGATGTGTAATCCAGAAATCTATGTAGTACCAGTCCTTTGATTTCTGTTGTACCATTCACACTAATTATGAGCTTTTAGGAGAGAGAGGAGATAATTGCAGAATTGTAGAAAATTGAATGATAAGTTAACATTGATAAAAGCCTCTTCATTACTAAGCCATTTCTTCAAAGTTCATCATTCCGGTACTTTAACCATAGCCTAGCCTCTAAACTGGTTATAACAACTGGTTTACTAGTTGACAGGTTAACAATGTTTTGGTACAAGACAAGCAGAACCAAACTAATTATTTTATATACCACACTGAATGTCCCTGCTATGTCAGCCAAACTTAATTTCTTAATCAGATGCACTTTAGAACCAAAAAAAAAACAAATGCTATTGTTAGTCTCAATATTTTGGTTCAAAAAGTATGTTGTGTCAAAATCTATTTTCCCACTTTTGTTTTCAATAAATATCCCCACCTTGATCAGGAAAGCACACACATGAGCAAGGTCATGGTGAAGGTCATCAGAATACCAAAGGGAACCAAAATAACAGTTAACAAAACAATTTTAACATCGCAAGATTCAACAATTGAAAATAACAGAAAGGAGAAATCTCTTGTTGCAAAGTATAATTTCTGCAATATTCTCAGTTGCTTTGACTTGAATTTCTTTGACACAGTCTATTTGAATCAGATGAACTTTCGACAACTGCTAAACTTTTGTGAGAATCTTAGGAAGGGTATCAGTATTCCAATATTATCTCACCTGCAGTCTAACAACCCTGTCTTCTATAACATCCATATCATGTTGGATTTTGGTGAGCTTGGAATGATATGTTCGAACGTAAGAAAGCTGAAAAGCAAGATACATCAGTTGACATTGTTGATTGTTTGGTCTTAAAAAGAGTGAGAAATCCCTCTTCCTTCAATGAGCTAAAATTTTGTCACAGATACTTTTAGAACTCTAATCTTAGTCCTGTCGATAAATAAGAAAGCTGAAAAGCAAGATATATCAGTTGAGATTGTTAGTTGTTTTGGTTTAAAAAGAGTGAGAAATCCCTCTTCCTCAATGAACAAAAATCTTGTCACAGATTCTTTTAAAGCCCTAATCTGAGTCCTGTGGATAAGTCTCCTTCTCTTGCCACCATCTCACTGAATGATATATTGCTGTTGTTAGGAGGGTAACACATTCATTGTTGCCTTAAGTTATTGACCAAGTGGCAAAATGTTAATCTTACCATGACCAGAAGGTTTCTTGCTGCATGACATTCTGCAAACTTTGCATTTTCCTGTTGCATAGTTTCAATTAAAATTCCTTGATTTTGCCTGAGGTAAAGATAAAGAATTGCAAAAGTAAATAGCAAAAAGTAAATGATGATGGACTGGTAACAGTGAACAATTTATCACATTTAACCTAGATATTGATCTAACTGTCAGTCAGCCAGAAGGTAAAAACATGCAAGGTTCTCCTTCAAACAGACATGAGACTGTATGACTCATTTTTGATTTTCTTCCTTTCTTTGCACTTGTGAAATATCTGCTCCACAATTGCCCAAAGTAGGAAGATTTTTTTTTTTATTGAAAAGGTCTCATCATTTTTCCAGCTGTCAAGCATTAACCCACATCTACATATGCTTGAATTAGAATGCCAGACTCAACAAATACATGAAGGCTCCATACCTTGATCACAAAGGAAGTACATTTATAACCAACCCAAACTCAAAGTAAGCTCACAACACAAAAATAAACCATGAAAATATCCAGAAAAAAGAAAGCCAGGGACTCATAATAAAACAATCCAATCTGGAATAGATTTAAAGAAAGCTATCCATTGTTTTGCTCTATTGTGTTCAACATCTTTGGTAATCTTGGGCCATTTGGGAATCAACAGTCCAATATATTAAATCCTGATGGCTAAAAATCATTCCAGTGATTAACAAACCACTCAACTCTACCCAAATACCTCCTTACCCCAGTCCATCCCCCCTCCCTCCGGAGTTCCCAACTAGAATTTATTACCCATATTTTTTCATGGCTGCTCAAAGGCCCTTGTGCGGTGTGATATGTTCTTTCATGTTAAAATTTTATTAGATCACAAGCTAATATGAATATAAATTTCGTATCGTGGCAAATTTTCAGATGAAAAAAAATCAAACATTGTCCTAACTTAACCTTACGTAAGTTCCCCAAGCCGCTCTTTCAGATTCTCCAAACCGGGAGCGAAAGCGTCCAGAAAACCATTAGTCAGAGCTTCTGTCAGATTGCTTTCACTCTGTAGATTTCTGTCTCCAGTTTCTGCATCTTCACCCGCACAATTATCACTCATTTCTCTGAAGGCAGTAAGCCGATATTTAGCTAACTAAAGATTACTCTACTTCCCGAACGAGAGTTAAATCGATAACTAAGCGATTAGGAATCGAGACAATATCGACGGGTACGAAAATGTCTTAATAAGGAGTGTTTACTATAACCCGCTGACCATCTACAATGGTGCGAAATTTCGAAATCGTGACATCGTGGATCGTGACTTGTCTTGAATATTTTGAGGAGCGATGGAGGACCGGCTTCTGCCCGGCGTTTGTGAAAACATTTGCTCGTTTTTACACTCCTTTTTATGGCACTGATAATATTCTACTTCGTTAGATTTTCAGCGCCATGTCCGATGTGTCACCCTATGGTGAGCGTGTCGAATTGAGGAACCGACAGGGGTCATTTTCGGTCAGAAAAAACAGTTGGAAAGATTTACAGGTCGCCGTGAAACAAACAAAATCTCTGCAACAAAGTCTGGTAAATCGAGTGCCTCATTCATTTACATTCTGCGAGAACAAGCTATATTTTCTGGCCGTTCCTTTTGGAAGCCGTGAGAACACAATCCACTATGTCGATCTGCCTGGACAACACAGTTCTGCCAATGGTGAGAAAGAAAACGATTTTTCTCCTCTTCCGTGGAAACCTTTACTTGACTCATTTAAGATCAGCCGTTCGTTTTCGGGATATTCAAGGGAAGAACAGTTACTGCGGGAGAGGAAACGCCTTGGAGCATTTGGAATCACCGCTTACGATTTCGATGAGACATGTAGAAGGTTCATGTTTTCTGCGTCAAGTAGTTTGTATACTTGCACAGATTGGCGAGTTGACGAAGAGGTAAGCTTAGGTTGGCGTTGAGAGTTTAACGACTATATTTAATGATAAAGCGTTATGGTTGCATTGCGTGGTTTTCCTTTACAAGGAGATCCATCGGAGATTTTAGTTTCCTTTTGAACAAGTAGCGTGATTACGAGGGTTTAGTTATATTACATAACTTAGACAAGCTAGGAACTGTTGAGTATTTGCGATCTACAATTTATTTTCAATTCAATCGTGGTAAATGAACAGGAGTAAGCTTAGACTGTATTTCAAGTGTTGATGTGATCCGTAATTAATGCACGTGAGTGATTTCTTTAATCGTGTAAACTTGATGTTGTAATATTTACGCTTTCGATATACAGTCAGTGTTAAATCACGTTATTGTGTTTGTTTGAGCATTCATGGCCCAGCTAGTGGTATAGAATAAGACCGAATAATGTTCCATCACCCATCTGTCTCTTGTATTCTGTAAAACTTGCTCAGGCTTTTTGCTTTGTGGAAAACAAAGTCATCTTCATAAATTAATTTAATTAAATGCATGCTTGACCAAGATAATTGTAGAGTTGACCCTCTCTATTGGATCCTCTTCCGCAGGAGATCACGTTCTGTAGAAGATCACTTTTCTGATTCTAGTAAAATTACTGTTTGCCAGAATTTCTTTTTTTTTGAAAGAGTGTTTGTGATGGGAGAGGGACACCCCAGAAACAAAAAATAAATTTTACATCTGTGAGTTAAAGTTATGTTTTGAAATTGTACAGCAACCACATTTTGAGATTCAAGAGAGGGTTTCAACCTTTTGAAAATTGTCTTCAAATGTGCGAAAAGTGTAACCACCAGGGCTGTAGCCAGACTTCAGAACAAGATGAGGCAAGTTTTGAGCGCCAAAGGCGTGAACTGCCAGGGGGGTATGGGGGCATACCCCCCCCCCAGAATTATTTGAAATCTAGACAGTTTTTGAGTAATTGGAGTAGATTACATAAACATCTGACTCTCAAAATGTGGTTAGAAGGTAGTAAACTTTTAAACCTTAACTCACAAGATCTGATTGTTACACATTTCCTTGTTAATTAGTTTGGAGAATTTGGTATTAGACCAAGATAACAGCTTCTACCTGATAAGTTTTAAGTACCCCTAATTTTTTGATTCAGCATCCGGGGTGCTTATTTACTTATGATATTTCAAGGGAGGGCACTTATTCGAAACAGGGTGCTGATCAAGGAAAGGGTGCTTATTTCCTTTTGAAAATAAAGCAGAATGTGCAAAACAAAGTGCTGATGTTTCCTTAAAAATAATCAAAAGACTGGAAACAGGACTTGTTTTTCCTTGGATCTTTTCTTTGATGCAAATTTTGAAGACTAAATTATTTGTTTGAAGGAACTTTACACTCATGGGGACATAATAATAGAGAGACAAGGACGGCTGTGTCTGTAATGAGGCTTTCAATAAGCAATTTAGGGAAGATGAACTACGATCTCAGTTTACATGCACTCAAAAAGTGCTATTACTGAAACAGAATAGGGGAGCTTATTGGAATAGAGAACCTATACACATGAGGGTGCTTACTCAATAGGGGCACCATTAGAATAGGGAAGCTTGTAAACAAAAACAAATTGGGGGGAGAGAGGGAATGCTTTTTGGAATGAAGGTACTATATCAAATCATTGCCATATATTAGTTACCAGTGTGCTGGATAGTGTATGTAGTTTATTGGCAGAGGTTACATGATAATTATTTCTGGAAGTAAGAGGGTTAAGTGGTGGTGATGAAGATAGCGTGGTGTCTAGAGCAGAATCTTCATCTAATTTAGCTAAATTTTCCATTATTTCCATTAAGTATACAGAAATCATCATAGGATCTAATGCACTTGTGACACATTTTGAGAGTATTGCTCCTGAAAAATGTTATCAGTTTTTGTTAGTGACTGAATTTATTATACCCTCTCTTCTGTTAGGATGATAATAGACAACCAATAATTCCAGAGGAGTTGCATTCCCAGACCTCAGAGACAAAGATGGATGCTAAATTATGTCCATGTGATCCCAACTTGGTAGCTTTTATTCATCGTAATGATGTCTGGGTCAATAATATTGTCACAGAGGAAGAAAGGAGATTGACATACACAAATCAAGGTTCACCAAGTCCAATGGAGGAGCCTATATCAGCTGGTGTGGCTTCATTTATTGTTCAAGAGGAGTTTGATAGATATACTGGCTACTGGTGGCAGCCAAAATTTAGCACTGATGAAAGTAAGTACCAATCAAGAATATTTATGTTTGTTGCAGGGTCAAACAGTCATATCCAAGCATTGTAAGGGATGTCTATCAGTCGCATCAACCAGTGTCTACGTAGTGGTATAATTCAGCTACTTCGCATCCTCAGAAGTATTGATCAGAAGGGCATGGCATCAGTCTCTCTTAACATGTTCATGCCATTGGCCAAATATTCTCATGTTTAATTTTGTTATTAGGTGTCAAATTTACCTTTTTCTTTGTGATAATGAGAAGTTTAGTAATGTTGTGGTTTCCTACAGGGTTTTTGTCATGCAAACCAAGTTTAATAGCTTATCTATCTTGGGTATCTATAGCTCAGAAGTTAATCACCTTGTTGAGACAGACAATCCCTGGGCAACTAGCTTTGTAATACAGAATGTCTGATGAACTGATTATCAGAGTGTATGACATACAAATGATTACCAAACAGACAACAAGAAGGGCTGGCTATTTCAATATCAGATTCACTCACTAGTAATTAAGGAGGCTATGACTGAGAATGACTGACAATTGACTCACTGTCAGAGTGACCCATTGAGGAATAATTGCCCAACTGACCGAAATAACTGAATGACTGTTGAAATAACTGATTGACAAAATAACTGCCCAACAGACCAAAAGAATTCAGTGAATGGTAAATATTCACTGATCAACAAATGACTCTCCAACAGATATTAACATGTAGGATGACAGACAAAGTTATTTTTAGAAAAACTTACCTGCAAAATTACATTAAATCAACTGACTGACAAAATAGCTGGCCAACAGACAATGAGAAGGACTGTCCTAGTCAATGACTGTCCAACAGAAAGAAAAATTTTCTGACTAACTTTTTGTCAGAATGTCTGCCTAAAAAATGATTGTTTTACAACCAAAAAGAACATCTGATCACCTGATTGTCAGGATGAGTGACTGACAAAGTGACAGACAGATCTATTTTTGTAAAAAAACTTCACAGATGGGTAATCAGATAAACTAACTGAATGTTTGATCAACTGACTTTTAATTAATGAAAGACTAAAAGATTGATTTATAGAGACAAATTGACAGATTAACTAAACCACCAAAAGTCTTTCAAATATTAAAGTTCCAAACCCTTTAACCCCTAAGAGTGACTACTGACCATTTTCCCCTGTCAGTATCACTCCTAAAACAAACATTGAGGTCATGAGAATAAAGAAAATGATTACCAACTAAAGATGCTATTGATTATTAGACAAATTCTCTTTGTCAGTACCACAGGAAATGTATAGAGAGTAGTGAGGAGAAAATGTTTAATGATGCAGTGTTCTCCCTTATTTTAAGCATGATGGGTAAAATAAATTTTCAAACCAGTAAAGTAATCCTTTTACCTGTTGAATTTTCAAGAATTCCAAGCAATTTTAAACAGTAATAAGAAGTACTACAGGCGGTAAATGTTACCGTTTACTGCCTGAAAAAGAGAACACTGATGATAATAGGGTGTAGAGGGTTATATGTAAGTCTGATTTTAATATTGTTGCTCATCATACATGTCACAGCACAGTTCATCAGGATTGCCTCTCAGTCTTATTCTGTACCTCCAGTGCATTATTTCCTATAAGGCGTTCTTAAAAAATTTTGTAGTCTATTGCTTCACATGTATCTAAGAGAACAGAAATACATGAAAGAGCAAACAGAAAACAAGGATCAAATGAACACTAAATGTATAGGAGGTCATTCACATACATGCAGTTTGAATACTCATAATGTACAAGGAAGCTCAAAATTAATACGTGGGTAATTTAGTGTTAACAATTGAGTTGAAAACGTAAATTAGCCACCATAAAGGGTAAAAAAGCTGATGTCTCGGGCTAATGCTCGAAATGTCAGCTTTTTTACCCTTTACAGTGGCTAATTTACATTTTCAACTCAGTTGTTAACACTAAATTACCTGCTGTACTCTCCCACCAACACAGCACCACAGTTTCTCTAGAAACTTACCCCTTTATTCAAAATTAATTCTCTTTGTTCTATTTCCATAGACCTAACAAGAACTTACAGAATTTTATTTGAAGAGGTAATGAAAAACCTGTAATCCTTATATGTGATAACCAGGATTTGCACTTTGTTTTTTTTTTGTGGCATATTATCTTTTTTATTAAACAAATTTTTTCTTCTTTTCACCAGGTCGATGAGAGCTCTGTAGAAATTCTTCACATTGTATCTGGTCCAGACAGTATGGTGCAAAATAGTCATGTAGATAGCTACAGATATCCTAGGGCAGGTATGAGAATTTTTTCCCTTGAACTATCCAATTTCGCTAAACTTTTCTTTTTACCGGGTTCTTATACAACGTACTTCCAATTAGAAAGCTGCAGCTAGACTCAAATTTATTCCTGCAGCCAGATTGGGATTAGGGCCTGTCTTGTTGTTTTGAGAGGTAAAGCTCATGTGTCCCTGATCTCAAGGCAGAAGGGAGGGGAGGTGGGTTACACTGGAGGGCTTATCTGTAATGGAGAGTGCAAGCAAAAGGAGAGCTTTTGAGTTTTCAGAGTGACTATTGGTATGAGGTGTGTTTAAAAGGCAAAACTTATTCCCAATGGGTGGTGCGATCATTACAGAAAAAGGAAGACTCAGTGCTCAGCTAATCAAAATACTTTTATTGAATACAGTAGTTTAATTTTTTTTCAATCTTAAGTTTCTTACACTTAAAAAAAATTATGGCTTTTTTTAATCAGGCTCTGCCAATGCTAAATCCAAACTTAAAATTGTCCAGTTCAGTATTGATACAAGTGGCAAGGTAAGGTGACAACTTACATAATATGGAATCATAATTTTGACCTTAATTTACTTGCTTGCGCATAACTTGAAACCCAAATTGTGCAACTTGTGCAGAAAATCGAGTTGGTTCTTACTTTCTTCAGAGAAAACTTGAAAATCAATGTGAACATTTTCAGAGCTTCTTTAACCCTTACACTCCTAAAAGTGACTAGCATCTAATTTCTCCTCACACTATCACCCCTGAACCAAACATTAAGGTCATGAGAATAAAGGAAATGATCTCTAACTAGAGAAGCTCTTGATTTATAAAAACATTTTCCTTGTCAGAACCCTAGGAAATGTATAAAGAACAGTATAGAGAATATGCATACTAATGTTAGGATGTAAAGGGTTAAAAGTCTGTTTTTCCAATTGTTCTGAGAATACATGTAAGTATATTTTTCTAAATTTGTTACAAAAATTGCTTTTCTTAGTTACTGGTAGATTAAGTTAACAGGTAATTTCAAAATGACAAGATGCATCTTACTGATTTAAAATTGTTCGTAAGTGCATGAGTATAACTTTATAGAATGTATTCTTGAGTTTTAAGAACAAGTAATAATATTTGTATTGGTACTTTGGTTTTTGTTCCTTCAGATCTGTGATCATGTGATTGAATATCAGATGAGAGTTCCACTTTCAGAAGCATTTCCTTTCATGGAATACCTTGTGAGGTGTGGTTGGTTACCAGATGGTGAAAGGTTAGGCTTGTATCTTGAGTTGCTTATCCCCATTTTCTTCTTTCTTTTTCTTTAATTTGTTATGGTGAACACTCTTCTGTATAATCAATATGAAAGATTTGAGGATTTCTTTTTATTTGCCTGACTTGCAGTGTGTATGCAGAAATACTTGATAGAAGTCAGCAGCACCTTGCTTTGGTTCAAATCCCTGTAGCATTCTTTGTTCCTGTTAACCATCCAGCAAATCAGTTGTTGACAATAACGGAAGGCAGCCCTATGGTTGAAGTGTTAGCAGAGGAGTCAAATGATATATGGATAAATGTAAGTTAATCATTAACTTAACCATGATATTTCTTGTAATAAGCACCCTCTCCCAAATAAGCACCACTGTTCAAATAAGTGCCCTCTCCCAAATAAGCACCCACCCTCTTAAGCTGCAATATTTCCTGGAACCCCCTCAAATTAAGGGCCCCAACTCATCCCACACTTTCTTAAACAGTAAGGATACAAGTTTAGATTGTAACAGCTACTTTTTAAGCTTCAACTACGGCAGAATTGTTACAGGTCAAGTGCTTATCTGAGGGAATACAGTATTCAACTTACATGTTTGTGAGCCCCAGTCTTGGATCCAGCAGAAGGAAGAGACACAGTACTTGAAAGTGACTTCAATTGTCTCAAAAGAATCTAAGATATAATACAGTCTCTTAATTCAGCAAGTATTTCAATCTATTTTCTTCCAGGTTGCTGAGCTCACTCACTTTTTACGCATGAATGATTCAAGATTGCAGTTCATCTGGTCTAGTGAAATATCAGGGTTCCGTCACCTTTATTTAGCAACTGCAAACAGTAATCACACACTTACACGAGCAAGGGCTGGTAGTTTTATTTCAGAGTGTTGTATCCATTATCCTCTTGTGACCCAGCGGCAATTAACAGATGGGGATTGGGAAGTCGATGGTAAAGAGGTAAGTAAATTATTGTAAAAAATATATAAATATTAATACTAAATACAATATAAATATAAATATAAAAATGTTAATGCAAGTTTACCAATTTTCAGATTTGGGTGGATGAAAATCGCAAACTTATTTACTTCATGGGCACCAAAGACACACCCCTGGAACAGCATCTGTGAGTATCATACTTTATTACTAATATGTCTCAGTTAATATGTGCATTACGGTTGGTCAATTTAGCAGGCTGTGTTTCAATGTGCAACCCACTTAACTCAAAACATTGTTCAAATTTTAATTTTTCCCAAACTCTGAAGTAAAACTTGTTACTCTCTTCACCTGTGCATTTTTTTTTTTTTTTTTTTTTTTTTTCTATGCTTTCACTGCTTAGCTGGCTATCAAATTAATTTCAACTTTCTGCACTGTTCTCGGCCAATGAGCATGCTAAATTTTTGCATGTGTAATCCAATTTCACTTGATTTTATGCTTTAAATAGAGAAAAATAATTTTTTTCAGATATGTGGTTTCATATGCAGAGTCTTACTTCATGGAGCCACAGCGCCTAACCCAAAAAGGGTTTTCCCATGCAGTCTCTCTAAACGAGGTAAAGGAAACCAATTATGTGACTTGCTTTTTATAGCTGTTTGCATCGTAGACAATTTTGACTACCATATGAAAATCAAAATTTCCATTTTTCTAGACCTTCCTCTTCAGTTCATTAAACATCATCCCATCTACAAATTTAGAATAATAATTTATTAATTTAGTAAATGTTTAATTTCCTTTCAGAGTTTTACTAAATTTGTCACAGTTTATTCCTCTATACAACAAACACAAGCTGTGATGGTATATCAAATGCATCATGATGAAGTAGAGATGAACAATGTCCCCCTCATCACAGTTGAACCAATTGCTGAATTGCTGAGGGCAAATGGTATGAATTGCTTGCTTAGTTAGAACCATTGATCTCATGGGTGTAACTCCTTGCAGCCTGATGACATTGTCATGTGACATCTGTTTGTGGCACTAAGGTTAACTATATGAATAAGTGGCAGTTACAAAGCAAACTCATGCGAGATAATTATCAGCACAAGGGGATAACTTTGTATCCAAAGGCAGTCATAATGTTCTGTTCATTGTATTCCAAATATTAGTCAGTTTTTAAACACATTTTAAGGTTTTCAATTGCCTAGATCACCTAGTATATAAATATACATGAAATTTTAGCTCCTGGAAACACTACCTCAGCCTTTTTACACACATTGCACAGTATACACATAAATTTTGATGATCATTAGTGATGTTTTAGAACCAGGAGATTAAGACAGATATGTTGTTGAAATGTAGATCATTAAAATTGATAATAGCTAAAAATGGCACAGTATGTCAGTTTGCCAAGAGATTTTTTTTTTCTCTAGTTATCCCAGATTACCAGCCACCAGAACTTTTCTCTTATGAAAGCAAGCATGGTAAGTTGAAAAGATAAACCTCATGAAGTACATGTACCATGTAATAGATGTTTCATGGGGAACATGATATGTTGCCAGTTTTGCTGGGTTTCAGGTTTTTGTGTGTGCATTGTTGCATACTATAATTATTGGCATTGTTCTGTTTTTTTTTTTTTTTTTCCTCTTTTTATGTATGTTTGTATGTATGTAGTGTGTCTGTACTTTTTATCATGGGAAAGCCCAAAATTATTTCTATCTTTAGAAACTACAAATTTTTATTCTTTATAGAACATATTGTAAATTGCAGGCTACTGGATGTGTTGCTACAATTTTTGTAGTTTGTTTTACTTCAATGTACTCAGTCTGTATATTTTGGGCTTATTCTTTGGGCTATGAAGCAAAGCTTGTACGTAAAAATTATTGGTAATGCCTGAAGCCTTAAATTAGCCTCACATCTGGCTGTATACTATTGTAGGCACACCAAATAACTCAATAAAAACAAAACCAAATAAAAGTCTTGGAGTGTATCAATAGTGTCAGACTCTCATATCTACAGTTGAGTAATAGTTGTTCACATGTTCTCCCAGTCAGATTATCTCGTTGTGACAAGCTTTGATTGTACATGAAATTTGTCTGAGTTTTTTCAAGTTTCTGTGGGTACAAAGGGTTGTTAAATAAGAAATTGCTAAAATAGGTCATTCTTATCAGGACATCAGGTGTATGGAATGATGTTCAAACCTCCCTCAATCCAACCTGGAGTCAAATATCCAACTGTTCTTTATTTGTATGGAGGACCTCATGTTCAGGTAAAGAAACCATAATTTATCTCAACATTAAGTACAACTTGAAAGCCAAATAGTTATCTTTAGATTCTCTTTTTTAATTTCTTACAGTAAATGAAGGGAACAAGCAGTGTCCCATACATGGATATATTTGTTAACAGTTTTAAGCTACATCTATTTTTGTTGTCTCCTTATCGTATTTCTTGTTGTTAATAGTCCATTTTACAGTTGTGTGCTTGGTTGCCAAGCCTTTGAACAGGAATAAGGCTAAGGGTGACCTTGTTATGATACAAACCTTGCTGCTTTTCAAATGCAAATTACTTTGTTATCATGCTAACTAGATACTGGTCTCTATCACAACAAGGTCACCTTCAGCCTCACTCCAAATCAAAGGCTTGGCAACTAAGTACTAGTGTCTGTCTCAATGAGACATTAAATTTCAATTTTATCAAACAAGTAACATACTGGAACAGGAAACCTGTGCTACTTTATCAATGCTATACCTGTTTATTATTTGGCAGCTGGTGACCAATGCTCACAAGGGTTATCGCTTTCTCCGACTACACACCATAGCAAAACTGGGCTATGTTGTGGTAATTATGGACTGCAGAGGTTCTGCACACAGAGGTCTTCAGTTTGAAGGACATATCAAGAGTCGCCTGGTATGTGTCAATTTACAGATTTATAGGATGCAGATAAAGTAAAGTTATGATTTTGTATTTATTCTTACCAGAATAAATTAATTGATCTGAGTTGATCTATCTTTTAACAACTCAGTAATAGAATGGAATAAATTACTAACAGTCATTTGATAATAATTATCAATTATTATTACTCACCTGGCAGTCAATAAGCAATACTCACCCCTTCCCCTTCCCCCTCCCCCCCCTCCCCCCCCCACCACCTTTCCACCGGAAAAAAAAGAAATTGTGTCAGTCCATGGTGTCTTGTCGGACAAGGAGGTCTTAATATTTCAATGTCTTTTTTTTTTCTTTTTTTCTTTTTTTTTTTTTGGTGGTGGAAGGGGATGGGGGTGACTATACTATTATTGCTTATTGACTGAGTGATTGTCAAATAACTGTAACATTTAATTTAGCAATTTTGTCCATTTTGTCACTGAGTTCTTAGCAATTAAATCAACTACTCATACATGCATACAAGGGTACTCTTTAGGGAAATGTTCATTTAATATTGTATCTCTTTGTATCAAGTGATAATGGCACATCGTTTGATCCATTGGCAATAAGGACTCATTAATCACTCAGACAATCATATATACCACAATGTATCTACTGTTTAACTCAGCCACATTAAGAGAAAACTCCACCTTGTTCACAGTTTAATCCCTTGAGTTCATAATTCAGTGAAACTTGCTGTTGAGAGATGTTCTCTTTTAATTACTGGATTCTACAACATTTTGAATAGTTTTTGATTTAAGGAGGCTGCAGATATATAAATTGTCTTTCTTTCAGGGTCAAGTAGAGATTGAAGATCAGGTTGAAGGGTTAGAGTATGTTGCTAAAGCAACTGAAATCGTCGACTTGTCCAGAATAGCCATTCACGGCTGGTCCTATGGTAAATATGGCAATGCATCTAAGCTGTAATTAGTACCCCCTAATAGTAATGGTTTAATTCCTGTCAAGGAGACAAGTTTATCTCCCAGCTTGCTCTAACTTACTATTAACAACCTCTTAGTTAGTAATGTGATGCAGATAGGCCAAACTGTGGAACATTGAGATGTTTTATTTTGGCTCAAATCACCCATCTCCTCTCTAAGTTACATAATGCAGATTTGATTAGGAAATGATTTTTTAATAAATCCCTTTAAAAGGGTCACAGATCGAAGTAGAACCATTAAGGAAAATGGGATTCATAGTAATTTTTATTCATTTGGTGATCATTAAAATCATGAATTTTCCTAAGATGGACTTGTAGATATTTTTCTGTATGTGGGAAATTCCTAGACAGGCAAGTTTAACTGGCTTCCTGTATTGTTTCAGTTCTGAACCAAATATTTTTGTTGTTATCCCATTTTTCCTTTAATTTTTATGATGTTACATGAATTGGAATTGTTTCATTTGTTTTCTACCATTCAGGAGGTTACTTGTCCTTGCTGGGCTTGTTACAGCGTCCAGATGTGTTTAAGGTAAGAGAAGTCAGAGTCCTTTGTGTCATTCATTGTCTGCCTCTGAAATAAAATTGTGATGACATGTATTTTCAAAGTTACATTTGCTTGACATTTTGTGCCACAGGTTGCCATTGTTGGTGCCCCGGTGACCACATGGACAGCTTATGACACTGGTTACACAGAGAGATACATGAATACACCTGCAGAAAATCCCCTTGGATACAAAATGAGCTCTGTGCTAAATTATGCAAATCGATTCCCAGATGAGTAAGTGGTGATCTGTTTCTATTACTGTATTTGCCTTTTTCTCATTTGTTTTCGATTGATAAAAATTTAATTTTAATTGTGTTTAACAACACTGGATGATTTTGTGAGTGATGGTAATTTCATAGTTGTCACCAAGGTTATGAACAGAATTTCCTTTATTCTTAAAAAGCATGATTTTCCTTCCATATGGGATATAGCACAGTGAACTTTTATCAAGTGAACAACCATCCAATAAATGTTACAGCATTTCAGCTCTGCATTTACACTTCTGTTATGCAACTTTTCTCAAATCAACTGCTTAAATATGAAGCTGATTGTAAATTATGTTTTATAAATAATTATGTTTTTGTGGGTGGAATATGACATGTTTATGGCAAAGACTGTCTTATTACATGTACATGAAAGAGTTTATGATAATCATAATATTACAGTAACTATAATTAAAATTCATTATTTGGTTAAATTAAAACAAAGTTACCTGTACTTATAGTTATATTTCAATCAACAGAGAGAACAGACTGCTTCTTGTACATGGCTTAATTGATGAAAATGTTCACTTTTACCATTCAAGCTTGCTTATAACTGAACTGATAAAAGCCTGTAAGCCATATCAGCTTCTGGTAAGAATGCATCCCTAATTTTGATAATATTTGAGATGGAACGTGTTCATGCTGGTCTAAAGTCCAGAGAGCCACAGAATTCAACCATTTCTCTATCCCGACTAGTCTCCTTCATAGCTGGTGTTTGGTCTTGTTCCACACACTCTAGAGTGCATTGTGTGACACGACCAAATCGTGTTTGGGAAGGAGACTATCTTCAGACCTGCTTGGAAAGTAATTGAATTTTTCTAAGTGAAAGTCAAAATCGTGGAAAATAACTGAATGCAATTTTTATGTGGACAACTAATCAAGAAATACCTTGATTGAATGGGTGGTTACACTTTATTTTTAGACCATTATTGTTCCTAGAAAGCATCACCAATATTAGTTTTGGGAAAGAATATTGCAAGTCATAATTTTAATGTGGGTCTAAAGACAGAGAGTACCAGACCATTATAAGGTACCTCTCTCTCTCTTGTTAGCAACCTTTTATATAAAGCCATGTTGATCAATCTAAACACACTGATTGCCTCTTTCTATTCATGTATGAGTTTGAGTGGAGAGGAAACTGATTTTTCAGACCTTGTAGATTGAGCATTTGTTAAATACCTTGTCGTTAATGTTCTTGACCAATATGGGTAGGTATTCTAAAACATCCTCATACAAGAACAGTTAACTACTAACTAAGATGCAAAGTGTAAAGTGATGAGTGATGTTAACCATGAATTATGTTAACTCATTGCAGATCTATCCAAATGAGAGGCATGGCATACGTCAGTCAGTTTCATCAGAACATTATGAGACTATGCTGCTCTCCTTTTTACAGAAGAATCTGTAGACAGTGGGTTGTGTAATTATATACTTTGACCCAGTCTTAAGCTGTGTGCTGGTCATTTGTCAGCTGGGAAATATCCAAAACTAAAATATCAAGAAAAAACAAAAGAAAAAATGAAAAAAGAAACGAAAAATAAGAAAAAAACTACTAGGCCAGTAAAGCTACTTGAACTCTCTGACTTGCAGGAGTGCCCTGAGCATAAATTCTCCTCTCAATTTCTAAACATTTCAAGCAGACAGGTAATGAGAATAATTAAACTATCATAAGAGGATTTGTGATCATAAATTACCAGGTTCTCAGGATCAGCCAATAAAGAAGTTTGTGATTGGTTGTCAGGTAGGAGAATTAAAGGAACAGGTAGTTTTAATTTCTAGTTAGAGGAAGTATTAGCAACATTGACTCTATTAGGTATTACTTTCAAAGTTTAGTCAGGATAGTAACATGCCCATATTAGCTGTTGTGTGGTCTGTTTAATACATGCCTTGCATTGGCTGGAACACAACAGCCATCAAATTGAGAATTACTATTAATGAAGAATATATTTGAAGCCTTGTTGCTTTCATGTTTGGGTTAAATATAAGTGTGGATTCTGATACAGTTTATCAGCTTTCAAATTGTTCTGTTACACTTTGGCTCAGCAGGAATCAATTTACAGTAACATTAATTTCTGGAGACAATGAACACTAGCAAGGGAACATAGCTTAGAAGTCTTATCAGGTTCTGCTGTTTAAATAGGCATCACATTTCCTATTTCAAATTCTAGTTGTTTCAAGCTAAAAGCATAAATTAATGTATTAAAACTATTCAAGGCATGTTACACAGTGCTGATTGGAAAGTCATCTCTTGTAGATTTACAAAATAAGCTAACACCCTAATTTATCAGCATATTTTAGTCTAGCTAAGAACTTCAGTCATTTTTAATTTAAAATTAATATAATTTAAACAGCATTACCAACCCCACCTACATGTATTGGTGTATCAGGATGGGCCAGAATCTGATAAATTATGTTTAAAACCGTCATTCTGATTATTATGATTATAACTATGGGGAATGTTACTGGCAATTATATCTGTTGAAATTTATTTAAAATTGACAATATAGAGAAATGCCCTTGAGATCTTTAACCAACATATGTCCCTCCTAAGGAGGTAAGTTAGAAATTATTTATTAACAAACACAACCCTTTATCTTATACAACAAACAAAAGAAGTAGCTGAAGCTACCTGCAGTTATGATTTACATTTTCTGAGCATTTGAGCCAAATTTTGAATCAGAGTAGTGGAGATGAGAGGACAAAAGACGATTGAGGGCGGGGATCAATGAAGAAAGTAGATTTTCATTCTCCTGGTTAATTTGTCTTTCAAGGTATGACCCTACTGGTTTGTTCTTTGTGTTCTGGTATTCTTGTCTTGCAAGTCCAAACAGTAGCTAATTGAGATATGACAGGAAAGATGAGCACATTTAGTGCTCACCCACAAAAAAAAATAAATAAATAAATAAAAAATACACACACCTGCCATGGAGATGGTATGTAACCACTATCTTTATCTGTTTTAGAATTTCCTAATTTCATGGTTTCTAGACACATTAGAAAGCTACAAAATACAGATGAGCACTCTTCCAAATTTCACATCTTTTAAAGATGTACATGACAGTGATGTTTCTGACCAACTGCTCCATTAACAGTACAAACATTAGGAAAAAGAAACATTCAATGACTACTAAAACATGTTTTTTTACCAATTTTAAATGGTCCTTCAATCACAACTGTCTGAAAAAAATGTTTGGTACACCACAAGGGTTTCTCAGTATGTACCTTAAACATGCATGTGCACAGTAGGTAATGGGAGCCCAGATAGAACAGTTGATTGTTAGGTGCCATCTCTTGGACAAGGTTAGGTATAGAAAGGAATCATTTTCAAATGGCAGTTGCTGGCAAAAAAAAAACATTGCCACTTTAATATTCTGAATTGATATTAATTCACTGGTTATGAGTTCATTCATATTTCATCTAATTACCCTTAGTGTAGCAAACATCTACACATCAATTATAAGCAGAAGATATTTGATTTTGTGATCATACTTATGACCTCTGCACCTGATTGCTACTTTAACCCATTAACTCCCACTAAGTGATTAACATGCAACTTCTTCCCTTAATATTGAGACATTTTCCTAAAAATAGGTGATGACGATACTCAAACTTATCGGGTAAAACTTGTTATTTTGATCTAACACCAAATTTAATTTTGCAGCTAATTAACTAGGAAATGTGTAGCAGCTAGGGAGAAGAATTGACAATTAGATCTTAGGATTTCAAGAGTTAAATATGGATGTAGAGGGTGCTTTTAGGAATGAAAGAACTATGGATTTAGTTTTTCATCTTATGTTATGGCTTAGTACATGCTTTTGTAACTTGTACATTTAAACACTATAAACTATTAAATAAAATTTTATTTTGCCATGGATATTTTCAGTGTTATTGCTAAGTGATCTCAACTTCCCAAAGATTGTATAACTTGTTAGTTTGTCAAGTGTGAGTCGCACAAGCAAAAAGTTTTCAGTTTTTGTTTACTACTGGTACTTAATTTCTTGGCTTACTAACAACATTCCCTATTTGTCTCAAACAACTTACTTTCACTCAATTCTTCCTTTTTTGTCTTACTTTCAAGTTATTCAACATATGGTATGTAAATAAAAAATAACTGACTGTTGTATCAGGCATTGCATTACTCTCATGCAAATTGGACATGCTGGGGAATTTTAGTTAAGTTGTGTCATGTGCTGGCGGTTTATGCATATTCTTGTTTCACCATGAAAACTTGCTAAAATAATTCAAAGTTAGACTGCTGGAGAGGGCCTTGTTTTAAAAGAATTTTAATCTCTACTAAGGGACAAGACAAATGGACAAAAACACTGACCAATCAGTAGTTTGTAATATTTCCTTTCACATTGTATCTTTTTATTCCTTGTCAGCAGTGTCATGCAAAATTAATTAAACAAGTTACCCTCTACACTTTACTGAGAATCAGAAACATTTCATTTTTAAAAAAAGCTATTTTCCATTTTCAGTCAAGTGTCAAAAATAATCCAGGATCATTTATATGAATTAATCTATTGCAGATTGGTCTACAAAACTCCATGGTCTTAACCAAAAGATGCACATTGTCAACTAAATACAATAATTAAAACATGCTACTCTCACTTTCCACGTTTTTAAGCTGTGTGCTCATTTCAACTTCAAGTTGGTTGGTTTCTAGTGATATAAAATGCTTAGCTCTGAATTACTGTCATGATATTTATGGGATTGGTTTAACCCTTGTGACTAGCATCTATCCTCTCATTACGTTATCATTCCTAAATCACACATTAAAGTCACAAGAATAAAGTAAATGATCACCAAGTAAAGAAGCTCTTGATTGTTATACAAATTCTCCTCATCAGCAGCTTAGGAAATGTAAAGAGAACAGTAAGGAGAATATGTACTCTAATGTTAGGGTGTAAAAGGTTCAACACAATCAATCAAAAGGCCCACTGATCTTTATTGAATACTTGAATACCATCAAATTACCACTCATAAATCCTTGTATAGAATATACAATAATTGATGTTTATATAGGTCTGATACATGACACAAAGGAAAATGAGTGAAAAAATATATTGATTCACTGAATTTTTTTGACTTGAAAAATGGACCTTGTCAAATAGGAGGGACTGTTTGTAGCCTAATCTTTGTAAACTGTTATATTCATTCTATGCTTGCTCACATATTTCTCTCCTTGAACTTGTGATAAGGATCAAAATGTATTACCAGTCTTGCAGGTTTTAAGACTAGCCCACAGTTTTAAAGGAAGTCCCCATGATAAATCAGGAACAACTTGTGGAACAGAACATGGTATTGCATAAATCTACATCCCCGTGAGGGAAATCTTTCTTTAGAACAAGATACCTAAAATTGTTTGAATTAGCCTAATGATCACAGCAGTCAATTAAGTCCATGAGAGCCATTAGTTTCAAAGGCACTTTCTCCAAAAGACTCTTTTCTGAATAGAGAAGTCAGTACACCCATTGTTCCTCCATCAACACTTGGAGAGCAAACCAGAATCAGGGGCTGCTGTCTTCACTAAAGCTTGAACCTCTCGAAAGTTGGGATGTTTGGCATCCCCCAACAGCATGAAGAGAGTACATTCACTGGTAGTTACAATAGCACCCATTTCGCGGAGTCGCTAGAAGAAAGCAACAGTGAAACTGTATCAACAAAAATATTTTAGCCAAAGCCTGATTTGAAGTATTTCCCAAAGTGAACTTGAGTAGTCACTGAATTGGCTAATTATTCCAGTGAGACAAGCACAGACTTGTACCAAGAAAACAAAACAATATGTAACCTTTGTACACCTATACATGTGACATGCACAAAAGAAATAAGAATCATCAGAGTTTTCAATTAGTTAGGGAGTAGATGGTTAGCTGTATGGAGTAGATGGCTGACAAATCAAAAGCTCCTTCCCTTACAAAATATTCAGTTTTGAAATTCGAAGGTACTGAAATACTATTTTATGCATTCTTTTGGAAGTATCATGATGCAAAGCAAAATGCACGTTGGTTGGCTAGGTAACCACACACTAAAAGCATACATGACTTGTATGTTTAAGTGAAACATGAAAGTGAATTTCAAGCAAGTTGTCTGCCTTAGTCTGAAATTTGTTTTTATAGTTGTGACTTGTTTTAATATTTATTGAAAGTTTACTGTTCACAACATACACACATTATTTTATGAAAGAGCATGGTTCAGAACTCAAGGTTGCTGGTTTTTTAATCCAGTGGGCAGCCCTTAACCCTTTAACTCCCATGAGTGACCAAGACAGAATTTCTCCTTACAATATCAATACAGTATAAAGCAGACAAGTGATGAGAATAAAGAAAAGTATCAATTAGAAGATTATTAGTTGATCCAATACCAAATTCTCCAAACTAACATCACAAGAACTGTATGGCAGACAGTAAGGAGAATTACTGATGAGATCTTGGGAGTTAAAAGGTTAATGAGAAGCCTGAATCACTATGCAATACTACTTACTGAACTGAGACTAAATTACTATCTGTCGAGACTTAAATATACAGGGTTTCATTTCCTGCACACAACCCCCCCCCCCTTCCCAATAAATCTAATACTATAAAGCTTCCAAATGTACATATCTTGTATTACCTCAAGGGCAAACATTCTTTCAACCATAGTGCGTGATGAGACACCATCAGCCAGAACATGAACAGTATAATTCTTTTCAAGCAAATCCATAGTTGTCTGTAGTACACAGACTTGAGTCTGAAAATAAACATTCACTCTTAGACTAGTCCTGTGGCTTCAACTCTCATATCAGAATTACTTTGAAAAGAATTGATTACTTTTAAATTGATTCATGATTTTCAGATCCAGCCAAATATTTACACAGAAAAGTAAACTTGCTAGATTAAAAAATTACTTTATTTGCAATCAACCATCAAATCCCAGGATCATTAGCCCAGTGTGATAATTAGTTAAAACATTCAAAAGAATTACACCTTCTCTCTTCCTCTGAATATGCAGTGTTGTGCTCACAACAGTTTCACCTTCTTTAAAAAAGAAGGGGTATTCTAAACAACACATTTGGATACTCTACTATGCACATGTATCCTCTTGATAACTTTCAGTTGAGAAAATCAACAACACTGTTTAACTCCAATCATAAAGAACACCCACAAAGTCCTTATTTATCATAATCAATAGTACTTACCTCAATACCCATTAATACCACATTCTCAATATTTAGCTGTCTCAGCTGTTCTTCAACTTCAGGTATCACCATGGAAAACTTTGTCTTAGGAAATATGCGCTCTTTGAAGAAACTTGTATCAATTTCCTCTACTGTGTTGCCAAGTCCTTTAGGATACTGGAGAACAAATTCAAACATAACTTTTGTCACCACACTGATGTCCTGTTGCCACATGATTTTATTTTAATTCATAAATTTGACTTCATGTACCTGTAATTCATCACAGGACAGCACATTGACAAATTTTGTGAAATCAACTTCTCAATAAAAAAAAACACTGAAATGCAAATAAAAAATTATATTTTGATACCTGTTCTGTAGCAATGATGGGTATTTTCATAATTTTGGCTGCTGCTGCCTGAAAATAACAAAAACAGTAAAACGTCTCTACTATGGCCATATTTCACAAGTATTTTAAAACTACCCACAAAATGCTCCTAATGAACTAAATGACTGTCCTTTAGCAGTTTACCAGGGTGTTGTGGCTAACAATAATTTTACAGCTGACCCACACAAACACAGACTAAAGGAACACATCTTTCCAGAAACATTGAACTCTCTAAATCAAAGACAACTACAGTTCATGAGCATACCCTCAACACTGCATTCCACCTACCTTGGAGGGAAGTAAATTTCAGTGATTGCGATGCCTATCACACACAAAGGGTTTAAAGGGTGATTCATGTGACATTTTGTAAGGCAAAAAAAATCAAGGACAATGGAGTAAAAATTCTGGAAGTAAAATTGCCCATAATCAAGAAATGCAGTAACTGGAGAGTTGGATAGTAGCTGACCACTGAGGAAATATAATAAAATGTGCCAACCACAGCTCATAAAAACCAACCAATCATTGTGGAATAAGATGTATAATTAAAGAGGGGTATAATACATTAAACTAATTACCTGACAGAGAGGAGCAGAATACAGTTGTAACATCACAATCCACATCGCAAGTGACAAAGTAATGAAACAACTGATAGCACTATATGATCTTATAGAATAGTGAGTAAGAACAATGTCAACCCAGGCATTTTCACTTAGTGGGGTAGGTTGGGGACAGTCTGAAGTACTCAACTCAATAATTATGAAAGTTTGAGCCTAGATATCTAATGGTTGTTTACGATGTGCAATGTGCATTAACCAGTAAAGGTAAGGCTTTCTTGTGTCTACTTTCGAGGGGGGTGTGAGGGTCCTATCTCTGGACCTCTTCTTGTGAAAAGCTTATGACAAGCTTATAAAATTAATTTCAAGCTCTTGCATTTCAATAAAATTGGGCCACGGCGAACAGTAATGCATATACAAAAAAAAGGTAGTTATCAAGTTCTCCTTAAAGTGTATTCGTATGCTGATGGTAAATTATTGTGAAACTTTAGCTTAATTACTTCTCCATCATTGCTTCTCCACGGGACTTACCATTCTTTGAGCAACTTTGATGATCTCAGGAAAGTACCTGATAGACGGTCGGAATTTTTCCTGGATATCACACAGGAGAAACGCCGTATTATTCACTGCAAGCCTTCCCAGCTTCGAAGCCATCTTGATCGACTTGACCTGACTAGTGCCAGCCTACTTCTAATTGACCACGGCCAGAGGCTTCGAATTACTTTTCGTAACGCACAATTAGACACCAAACCATGTTCATAAGATGTATTTGCACCAACCTTTTCAGAATATTCTTATAAATAGTTCAGTTCCAGATTGTGTAGTTTTAATAACAACCATTTTATACAAAAAAATGATGAGTGCTCAAAACACCCGGCGTTTTTTATGAGGCGGGCTAAAGTTATTTACAGTCATGAGTCAATCAAAAGTTAACTTATGACCTTCTCGCCTCAAGATACCTATGAGTCTCCTTGCCGTAACACTGTTACTCAGTTCAAAATAACATTTAAAAAGGAATATTTAAATTTAAGTAAGATCGAGTGTTTCCAATAGTGACAATGTTAGTGCAACATTAGATAAATGTATATTGTTGGCGAACGAACACAGAATGTGATTCTAAACGTCCGACCTGTTAATTGTCTCATAGAGTTATATTTCCGGTTGTCAGAAGGTTTTGTTTTCACGCATTTGGTACACACTGTTCCAATGTTCCATCCAAGAAATTACAAATAAGTCGGTCAAAATTCTTGGAGTCTATCTCTGTTAGAAGGTCAAACAGCTATTAACTAATGTTCATAGATTCATGGGGCAACTGCGATGGCGTCCACTTAGTAATTCGCGATGACTTGTTCCATTCTCGATCAGCCGGGCCCAAAAATACTCAGCATAGATCCGTAAAAAATTTCAATGCCTTCAAGAATAGCAGATGCTTAAATGATTCTTTGTAAAGCAAGATATATCAGAGATGTATAACAACAAAGTAACTTTTAATCCCGCCACGTGTTTCTCCTATCTGCACTTGAACGTGACCCTCAGAATAGTGTTTTTGTTTATGAAAATTCTCTTCTCTTTCTTCTTCACTGTTATCGCTCGTGTAATGATAGAAGCAAAACACAAAAATTCCCAGCAAAACGAAGAATGCAACTGCCACGCACGGAGCAATATAAGGTACGGGACTGTCCATTTTGTTCTTCGAGTCCAACAACAACGTTCGGAGGTTAGATCAGCTGCTGTGGCTGTTTATTGTCACTTTGACACTCTTACCTTCTGTCGTAAACAAAGATCCGCCAAAAACGGCTGCGAAAACCACGAAAAAAGCTCACTTTCGGTCATGTTATTACATGTTATTAAAACAAGGAAGTTGAGAGGGAAGACGTTAACTATGTTTTGCGTAATATGAATGGTTGGATATCCGGATTGCCATCACGTAAGGATAATAAACTACTCCGCTCAATTGTTGTTTTCTTTCTTCTGTTCAGTTAAGGAATCGTGAATTTCATCTTTTTCCAGTTTAGAAATAATTTTTGTAGTAAAGTTTTGTTTACCGACTAATTTGTATCCAAGACGGAAAGCAAACCTAGCGGGTGTTTCCTTTTTCTTTTGTTCTTTCTTTTTAAATTATTTATACTTTCTCAATGTCTGCTGTTACTCTTTGCGTTAAAAAGGAAGGAACTCCAAGAAAATGATACTTAAAGAGAGACGAAGGAAGATATGGCGATGGCGCAAAATATTATGGATGATACAAATAAAAATTATATTGATATGCTTTTTTCGCCGAAGGAAATGCTAATTATTTTCCTACAAGTTCTCTTTAAAGCGGATGATCGCAATTAGACTTAAATATATGAATAAGTATATGACATATAAATGTATGAATATTTCGTTCTTCAGCTTTGAGAGAATCGATTTATCTCACTCAATATCAGAGATGACGACAGTATGCCTTGACGGCCAAAAGATTATGATGAGTACAGAAGGGGATGCTTAAATATATGAATAAGTATATGACATATAAATGCATGAATATTTCGTTCTTCAGCTTTGGGAGAATCGATTTATCTCACACGATATCAGAGACGACGACAGTATGCCTTGACGGCCAAGTGATCATGATGAGTACGGAAGGGGATGTTTGAGCAAGTGACACGAGAAGAAGCTTGAAAACTCTGACGTGCATTCGATTGTCGCTTTTTCTCCCGACAACCGGAAATGCATCTTCATTGGCAGGCTAATACATGTAGGCACTGGCATAAGGTTTCATTTTACTAGAAATAAAATAACCAGATTAACGGAAACGATACATTCAATCATCGTTTTGACTTGTTGTAGACATTTTCAGAGATCTGAAAGCGTGCTAATTACCTTGCGCTACAAGACTTTTAATGTGACGAGATTTACTCTTGCTGCCTCTTTGCTACTTAAGAACTTTGAAGTATGTCGTAAAGAAAGCCCAATTTTCTTTTCAACCTTTGCAAGTGTAATTTGTAAAAGTCAGGCAGGCGGAAAAAATGGTAGGCCGATGCCGAAGGAGTTTTTTCTTTTCTTTTCGAGCAAGGAATATAATCTTGGTGCCGTGGCATGCCATGGAAGCAAAACCATAAACGTGACTGTGAATTTTGGCACCGAAAACCATCAAGTGTTTTTCAGCCAAGATCCATATAAATTTCGAAAACATGTACAACCAATTAATGTCATAGCTGTAAGGTTTTTTTCTTCACTTCAATCTAGGGAACGCCTGCAGTCTGGTAAAAGACACAATGAAGCTAAGCTATGTTATCGACCGAAAAAAATTCTATAGTTTTTGCATTTGTCAATTCGGTCAGCCCCATTTAGAGGATATTATTTCTGGCCGCGAGGACAGTCCCCTTGCATGTTCCACCGAAATATTCTGATAAACTTTCAAGGGAACGTGGTTAGATGTTAAATTTTAGTTAATTTTTTTCATGCGGTTTTGCAGTTGTTTTGTGAATTGCTATGTTTGGATCACCTTGAAAATTTAAAAATCTGAACATGGATGGCCATGGAATTTCTCTCATCAATCACACCTCCTTAGGATATAGTCCCAGTCCATCATGCTATATACTTAGGTTTAGCGCCAAACCCCCCGCAAGGAAAGGCTTCTCAGGTTTCCCTCCCAGAAATTAGAGCAAGTTAAAAAAAATTTGAAAATTTCAAATTATTATAATGAAAAAAACAATAGCCTATGTCATTCAGGACAAGAAGTGGTTAGGCGCCTTGTCAATATTTGAATTGAACTACACTAAATCCTATTATAGACGTCAACACTTAAAGAAGAAGAGGAACGCCCCTGCACGTGTTTTTACATAAGCCGTTCACCGAAAACCTTGATTCAATTTTGAGTACGTGACCTGGGTCATTTCATCTCATGTTGTGGGTTGCAACGAAAATAGTCAAGTCTTGGCTTGAGTGTGTCTAACTTCCCTTATATCAAATCACGCTTCACACGAAATCGTGACACAAAAAATGAAGCTGCTTGTTCTCAACATCGTATAGATAATTACTACATATCGAACTGAAAAACACCTATGCCTCTGACAGAAATATAGCGTGACAAGCCTCTGAAAACCAATGGCTGCGAAATTTGAATCACGCGATCTTCAATTGTACGGCTACGGAAGCGATTTGTGGTGAGACTGCTTAACACCTGCACATAAGAAAAAAAAAAAACGCCAGGAGTTTACAATGACAATTTAATTACATAAGAAATATTGAAATCTCTCATGCTCTGGATGTAAATTGATATTTGTAACCAACAATAAAATGCAACATGACTACACGTGCAAGCCTGGTCACGTTGCAGTCCTGTCTAGAGTCCTGAAAAGCAAACAGACGTGCAGCTACGCTGGTGATGAATACAATACGTTTGTAATTTTATCTATGTGATAAACTATTATTTACAGTCGGTTAGGAACACTTCTTTCACTCTATATTAAATCGTAGAGGAGATTTGTGAGGAAGATACTCAGTGATTCTCTTGAACATTTGGAAAATCACCGCAGGATTCTCCGTTAAAGTCACGGACTTTAGCAGCACATAAAAACAATGGGTGATATCCCAGACTATACCGTGCCCATCCTTGCAGGATTGTTCATCGTCTTCACTGCTATTGTAGGATTCTGTCTTTACTGGTATCATTTGAAAACGCGAAAAATACAGGGAGAAAACAATGGAAAACACAGGCACGAGGGACAATCGAAATGCACTAAAGTTTCTTCGTTCAAGTTAAATAGTAATCCTTTCATATTTTATTTGGGACCTGTTCCATTGGAGTTTTGTACAACATCGTGCACAGATGAAGGGATTGGAAGTTCAAGGAGTTTGCAGTCGCCGTGCCATTTTAGGCAAGAGCAGCCTTGTGTTAAGCCACCTGAGAAAAAACGCGTTTGTACAAGAACCAGTGGCGAAATATCACCCAAGTCATCGTGCCATATGCAGGTCATTGTGGAAGAAGAAATCGAGGAAGTGGAGAAAGGAAAGATAAATGTCTAAATCAGACTACGAAAATACGTTTCGCATATTAGTTGCATGTCCAAGTTAACAGCGAGCAACTTCTAAATCAGTACGATTCTTAGGAAATTGATTCTCAATCACCCTAACAACACAACATCGTGACTACCCTGTGACAAGGGATTAAATTCAAGTTTTTCTTCGATCATACTGGATATCGACGAGTATTGCGGAAAGTGAGTTTACTGTTGCACTCAAGATAAATGTACTTTTACTTATGCTAGAATTTTCAGTAAATTTGTCATTCGCTGTGGCCCTCGATTACTTATAAACGCTTCTTAATCCTCGTTTGCGAGGGGCTGTAAGATAGAGCTAATTAGCATATCATATACCACATCAACAACATCACCAACTCCTTGAATTGAGTGACTTTGCAGTTTGTTTTACCATCAATGTTTTGTTCTTTGGTACGATTCTCTGCTTATATGGTACCTTCTCAAACTATATTCTTCACTGAGATTAAAACAGTTTGATAGAGGTTTTTCCTCAACCGTTTTCCCTTCGTTATTTGAAACTGGCGCTTATACGCGGTTAGCTCAAAGATACGGAACTGTGCTTTAAAATGATTTAGCTGATCTGTTTACAAGGTTTTATTTTGAGATATAGTCTTCCATAAATAATTCTGTAAAAGAGTTTTAACATATTAAATTGTTTACAAGAAACTGCAGATATTTTTAGCTCATTCGAATTGTCGTCGTGAACTTTGATAGAATCGTGTCCTATACTTGGCCTTGGCTTGTGAAAAATATCGATATATTGGCCTGAATTGGATAACCAGCTAAAAATATACCTCACAATTTGAAGGATGGCTAACTTTGGTGTACACAAATCTTATATCCTGAAGACTGAGAATGCAGGTTTCAAAATATAACAAAGTAAAGTACATCCTTTTGAACAAGGAGAATTTGTCTTCAGATAAAGCTTCGATCGATGTAATGAACTAAAACTCTTGTATGTAATGATATCCGAGCCCAAAGACGTTTCCGGATCGGACACGCGCCAAGTTGGATTTTAAAAACATTTAATACTTGTAAGATTTTCTTCACTAATGCTTTTGTTTCTGTTTTGTTTTTTGTTTTAATCTTCATTCTAATACTTCTTCTTTACTTATCTATTTATTTTTTTCTATTATGATAAGCAGCTTGCGTTCGTTTAGAGGCATAGAAACTTCCCCCGCCTATTTCCGTGTTTAGTGTTTTGACTAACAGCTGTAGGTCGTGAACTCAAAAAGTAATTGCACGCATAGTTCTGAATACAAACAAATCGAAGAAAAAAACCAACACTAGGCAATGCTAGCCTTGCATAAGTGTGTGCTGTGTTGTTGTCGTGCAAGGCCAGGTTCGGCACAGACACAATACGAAAGACATGTTTGTGACAAGATTTCTTCCATGAGTTTTAAACTGTTTGAAGGCACAAGCATCGAAAACTGAACTTCAAATGGGAAACTGAAATGGTGCTTTAAGGCAGTTTTTGAAAAATCCTGTTTGTATCATTATTTTTCTCCAGTTCCCCGATATTCTTTTACGCTTCATATTTACATACAGCAAACTCTCCATCCGATATTTCCTCTTCATTTACTTCTTGAATGACTTGGAGCTGGCAGTGAAAGTTGACCAATCTTGAATCATGGCTCATGCTTCTAAAGGACAACGGTCTGTCATGGAACTTTTCTCCATCATCCTTCTCCATAAAGCCCTCCATTCCCTTCGCTTTTCTTTCCTCCACAACGGATGGTGAAATCGGCGGTGAACTTGAAAACTCGACGTTAACAAAAGCACAATTGCAAAGGTCGCTTGATGGAAGAGATGTAGTGAATGGGTACAAATGATTGAAGAAGTTTGGTGAAAAGCTTCCGATATATTTCTCCTCTATGTCTGTAGATGGTGCTTTAGCTCTGTTTTCTTTCTTGTCAGTTCTAAAGTAGCAACAATAAATATAAATACCTGCCAAGGTGGCTAATAAAAAGAACAACGTCGTTATCAACGGAGCCAAGTATTCAATTTCCATAATGGTTGTCCAAGATTAGGTTAATTGTTTCCGATATCCGAAATCAGGCTTAAATCTTAGACTCAACAATCAATGAAATTGCATCCATTGGATCTTTGTGCGAACGATTCGCAAATACCGTTCACAAACGTAAAAGATCTAGGGCAACAGCTAACTGCGAAGTTTTTAGATATTAGGCTGATATCGAGAAGATTTATGCGTCACGTTCAACCTGACCCCTGGGTCATGTCGGAGATTCACGTTTATGTAAGACAACTAGGGCATGGTGTGACAATTGAGACGGTGCAATAGGTGTGATGCATGAACATTAGAAGGCTTTTGTACAAAACACAATTTATTGCAGCTACATCTCAAAGCAGTACAAATATCCAACATCCTGCCCCTTTTAAACTACTTTAAAAATTTTTGCAGACAAACGGAATTGACATTATGAAATCGTCAATTCAAGTCAGAGTTCCCTTACCTTAGCAACTGTTCAAGTGTATCATTTAAGAGGGGCTTTGAATTCGTAAGTGTGAAAACTGTTTGAAGACTGTACATGCCTACATGTTATCATTACGAGCGCCCAAGTACACGGGCAAATGCATCTAGTAATAAGAAATGGAAGAGCTTTAGAATGCGTCCAATTTTCAAACATATATTGTGAGTTAACGACACTGACATGAGATAAAAGCGTTATCCTTTTAAAAAACAACACTTCTATTCATTTGGTAGTGATCTTTCAATTATTCCAATACAACGCCAAAACTACTTACAATGCAGTACCTAATTACATTCGAGTTATTCTAAACAGGTCGTAAGGTAGCTGTAGCTTTGATTGCAACACTTTGATGCACCTATACTTATAATTTCCTAAAACAGTTAAGACCTTGCAACTATACCTAAACCTTGTAAAATTACAAAAAAGTTGAATTGCTATCGTAATGTTGTAAATTTTCTAAAATAAAAAAAGAGAAAGGAAGGAATAACACAAAATAAGAGAAGCTTGTGAGATGAAGTACTTGTAGGTAAAGTACTCATCTGGGAATCACATGCAAAAATTCAGAAAACTGAGCGCTGTACGCTACTTTTTCAGTGAATTCACAGACTTGAGAACAGTAATGACGTCATAACAAAGAGAATGGATGCGAGGAGTAAAAGATCATGGAAACCAGAGCTTAAATTAACTCCACCGTTGAAGCCACGGTCTTTCTCCTCCTCTTGGGTCGTGGGTGTTTCGGTCATTGTCGGTGGTGCTGTAGTTGTAGGTGGCGCTGTAGTTGTAGGTGGCGCTGTAGTTGTAGGTGGCGCTGTAGTTGTAGGTGGCGCTGTAGTTGTAGGTGGCGCTGTAGGTGTAGGTGGCGCTGTAGTTGTAGGTGGCGCTGTAGTTGTAGGTGGCGCTGTTGTAGGCAGGATTGTCTCTGTGCAATCTGGCTCATGACAGAACGGGTGAAAGTGAATAATGAGAGAATTTCAGCAGATGAGAAGCTTGCAAATGATGAAGATACAACACATGTAACAACTGGGTTGGGAAAGAAACCTAACTAAACTATCAAAGTTATTTAGGTTAGAAATATTCAATGCCTATTACTCAGTTTTCTAAATAGGCGCGCAGCTCTCAGTTCAGCACGCGCTTAAATTTCTTTCCTCATAGAACCGCTCGCTTCGAGCTAGCTACCAGTCCTCGTGCTCGTTTGATCTTTGGAGGAGGAGGCCTTTATTGGCCTTTGAGTTTCACTCATCCACACCAAACGCACATTTGCTCAAAAGGCAATTTTTTTTTGGCAAAAATAGCTCTCATTACGTTCTCCATTCCCGACCGTGGCTCCTTTCAATTTGACCAGGGCTCAGACCATTCATTTCAACTTCCTTGGCATAGTTGTCACTAGAACGTTTCTTTCTATTTCAGTCATAGAATACATTTAAACGAGGAGAAGGGGAAAAGAAAATTTGTATAAAACAAATAGAGATTATTCCTCTATCGCTGTTATAGAATAAATTGAAACGAGAAGGACTAGTAATTCATATGAAAACAAATAGAGATTATTCCTCTACTTCAATTAATAAATTGAAACGAGAGGGTGGCGAGGAAGGAAATTATATGAAAAAAATGGAGATCATTCCACGGAAAGTGCGCACGAACGATTTTTATTCACGAGTTCCGATACATCCAATCCGAGTGAGTTGTTTAATGCATCGCAACTCGTGAATAAAAATCGTTCAAGCACTTTCCATGGTATGATGTTTTTATTTCATACATACTGAGATTTTTTCTCACTGACCGACACATTTCAAAGATTGGAGGCGAACGACCGTGGAAATACCTCGCTAGTCCGATCAGAAACACGAACGATAGTACTTCGCAGTGTTAATCTCCCTCTGTATGAAATAAATTACATTCTGAGGCCACAGAACGTACACTGAGGCTACAGTGGTGGGGGAACAAAGGCTTCGCTATCAAAAAAAAACCTTTTAAATGACGTCGGCCATCGCGTCAACAACCACGATCAGACCATATCTACAAAAGGCTCCTACGGGAATAATGAAAAGACACCACTTTGGCGTACTTGTGGGATGCGGTTGAGGCTACAAAGAAACGATGTATGGTATCAACACTGCCATATTGCGCAAGTCTACCACACGTGACGTATAGAGGAGTGGAGCCCAACCATAAATAAATTAAACTATTCTTTTTCGTTGCCCTAACATCAATTGTTAAATTAATTGGACAAAGAAGGGATATATATATATATATATATATTAATTACCTGGACAAAGGTTACAGGATTTCTTACAATTTCTTTGTAAATAGGATTCTGAACAACTTGTACTGCTCGTAATGGTGCCCTGACATTGTCTTGTTGGAAGGTTATCGTAGCAAACTGTAAATAGAGTGTATTGTAAGTACAACACATGCTGTGTCCAGCTCATCTATTAATTTTTTTAAAACACACGTACAAATACGTGATTTCATTTACATTTTAAACAAACAGCACGATTATTTACGCGCGGGCTTATGATTTATAAATGCATTATTAGAAAAGCGCGGTTTAAAAAATAAAAAGAAGGTAAATAAAAGTTAAAATTGTTATTATTATTATTATTATTATCATAGTTATAATCATCATCATCACTATCAACGTTAACTGTGTTGAAGAATCTGACAGAAACGTATTATGAAGAGTTTGTCTCCCTTTTATCAAAGTTGGACATTTTTCAATTTGCGCACGTGCTTAGCAGATTACAGATGTCATGCTCAAAGATTAACATGCAAAACACTGTCAGAGTCAATATATTGCGAAACTCTCCTTACAATTTACTTTCGACGTAACTCAGCCGCAAGATAAGGAGGGGCTTAAGCTTCAAAAGATTTACGAAACCTTTCTCCCATCGCAGAGTCGCTCTGAGCGAGTGCTTGCATGGCTTATTGCTGTGTAACCAGTCACACTCAAACGGACTAATGAAGGCTGAACGATTGACCCAAAGTATTTCCAAGAAAATTAATAAGTTTCTTCCAGATTCTTCTACACCCCATGTCCTTAAAACTTGGCATGAACATTGTTGTATAAGAATGTATCAGGAAGAAGAGCCAGTAAATAAGCACGATCTCCTCAAAAACGCTATCTATTGAGATGCAATAAGGCTCGTAAGAGACATACCTTCCAAGCTTATAGTGACGTTAGTTCCCTCTGCAACGCAAGTTATTTTCCCATCATCGTTTTTGGTGACGTCGACGATCGATAAAGTTGAAAAAAATGAATACTTTCTAGCGACGAATCTTGGGTCTGTATAAATAACAGTAGAGATAAAAATAGTAACACCGATACTAACAAATCTTACCAATAACAAATGTTAACATTAGATTCAATACTGATACAAATTGCAACATTTGGCCAATTTTTCAATGAGCGTCCAAAGTAATTCGGGATTGCTCCACTTCTCTCTGCGATTAGACCAGAATATTTGCGCTACTTCTTCAACCGATCAGATTCAGCGCTAAAGCCAATCGCGACATGGTGAGCTTAAGGATGTTACTTTGTTTCTTGGAGTTCTTATTGGTTACTTGGGAAGGAGAGACGTCATCACTGACAGCATTTTGCTTATTTATTATATTAAAAAAAGAGATTTCATGTTGCCTTGAGTTTAAGTTTAAAAATGCTTTTTACCACTGTATTATTATCCTACTAATAAAATAACCTACTGACAAAAATCACAACAATAATTAACAACTAATAATAACCATATAATATTCATTAAATCTTAATTACCATATAAAAGTGCAGTGGGTAAAGGAAAGTAATAGGGGGAAACTAAATTCCCGCATAAAAACTGCTCTCCAAGGCTCATATAAATAACTGTACGTTGTATAAGAAAGAAGAAACTGGACAACAACTAAACAATAAACAAAAAGTAAAATCTGAATAAATCTCATTTCGAGATAACAAAATAAAACTACGTACAAAAATAATTCAGTAAACGAGATCTAAAGGAATTCAACTGGAAGCTGACATAACAAATTTAGTTAAAGAGTTCCAGTCATCAACGAAACGGTTAAAAAATGAAAACTTAAAATAGTCCGTCCTGGCTGCTCTAGGCCTTAATTTAAAGTCATGGTTTGTTCAGTTATATATCACAGAAGACATCAAAATGTGGTAAGGACATCCGTGACACACTCGGTTGCGCCTCGTGTTCAACTTTTTTGTTCATATCACATTTTTACATCATTTGTGATCTATTACAGAACAGGATAATGGCAACTCCCTTCTCTTACATTCAGGTTCAGTTCAGTCCAGTCCAGAGTTATATAGAGCAGATCAGTCTCTTCCAGCTCAGTCCAGTTCAGTTCAGTCGAGTTTACTCCTGTCTAGAATAGTCGAATCCAATCCAAGCTGGTCCATTCTAGCAAGTCTAATTTAGTTATGTCCAGTCTAATCCAGCTGAGTTCAGTCCAGTCCAGACTACGCTAGCCCAGTCCAGTCCAAACAGGGTTCAGACTAGGCTTGCCAAGTCCAATCAACCCTGATCCAGTCCAGTAAGTTAGTCCAGTCAATCGTTTGCAGCGAGTTTTTAGGGGAGGACAAACAACGCCGAATCAAGTGCAAGACCGTCCCAAAGGTAGACCTTGGTAGAGGGCATTATTATACAAACTTAACATGGCTAAAACATTTTTAAGAATTATATTACACCACGCAACCAAGAGAGAAGAAAAACAATCCGGTATAAGAAGGCATAATAAAAGAGGACGCAAATAATTGTTGATTCGTCTGACCTTTAATTTCCTGTGAATTTTCTGTTTTCATCCACCTAACGTCTCCAGACTGATTGCAGATTAGAGTTGCGTTACATCCGGTTTGGGTGTGAACCGTAACAAGGAAGCCTTCAAAAGAAGAGTATTAAATTTATCATTACAAGAACTAGTGAAGGTGTATTCAACTGTTTTGTTTGATAGGATAAAAATCATCAGTCGGCTGACTAATATCAGATTCTTTTTGCGGCTCCAACTCTAATGGTGTTGCCAAGGTGTTTCTTTCCCATTTACTGAAGAACATCTTTAGGAAGCAATACTTTCGTTTATTTATTGGATCAAACTCTAATTATTAAAGTTAAAAACAACTGGAAAGGAGTCAAATCAGATCACAACTGCTGTAAGTGGTTTTGAAATCTCGAGGAAACTCGTCCACGTTCCGTACTTCACGTCATCTTGAATTGATGATATATAATGTATTTTTGTTAGGAGGTGATTTATCCAAATCAAAGTCCACTTATGTTTTTTAAAGTACCATATTTCAACTTCATCGCTTCTGTAGGAGCTAATTACTGATTGTTAAGGTGACAATGAGTGAAAGAAGTAAAATATCAGTTTGCTATAAGCATCGGAAGCCGACTAAAAGCCCATCTAGTCTGACGGGTGATTATGAGTTGTTGCGAAATGCACTTTCGTAACGGAGTCCCTTTATTTGATCACCGTTTTAAAAATTATAAAACTCGCCGAAACAGCGGACAAAGTGCGTAAAAAAAAACATTCCTGTAACTTAACTGTTTTTACTTTCCAGAGGACTTTATGGTTCACCTGGCAGGGAGGTGGGAATGCCTTAAAAAAGGCATTCAAAACAATATGGACATTTGCATAGCATTGTACAAAAATTCTAGTTTTAAGTCAGGTATCAGTCGCTTGATTTTAAAGAGGTTACAGAGGCCGATTTTCTTGTGTCTCCCTAATTCATTGCTTTTCGAAGAACGGGAAAATTTTTCAAACTAAAAATATCAATATATTAACACTGTACGAGTTACGTGTCCGTTTTCAAATTGTCGCGATAGAACATTGATGTGACGAAGAAGGTACACAGTGATTCAAATATCATTATAAAGCGAATTCAGTACTATTCGTCTATCCCGAAAATCGTTTCTTGTGTAGAGAAATGTTCTTATACCGTTCGTCTAGCACGCTTTTATCGTGTGCTTTCATGCACAATACTTTAATATCACTTGAAACGAGCTCGGATTACAGAGATAGCTTTTTCTATCACTGATCGCTGTTGTCAGAATGAAGATCGATTCAAGAGCAAACTACACATAAAGCTTAATCTAATTACAACAAGTGAACTGGAAATATTTACTTACCTATCCCACTTCTTAATAAAAAGCAAATAACAGCCACGATAGCGAAGAATATATTTGCTCTTGTCATGTTGAGACAACTGTAATGAAGCGCAATGTCTAGCGAATCCTTTGAGTTAATAACTTGTCAAGATGATTTCAGTTTGATAAATACGCGGTAAAATTTTCATTGATCGACTCAAGAGCAAACTACATTTAAAGCTTAGTCCAATTACAACAAGTAAACTAGAAATATTTACTTACCCATCCCACTTTTTAACAAAAAGCAAATGACGGCCATGATAGCGAAGAATAAATTTGCTCTTGACATGTTGAGACAATCGGTGACGAAGCGCGATGTCTGGCGAATCCTTTGAGTTAATAACTTGTCAGGATGATTTCAGTTTGATAAATACGCGGTATAATTTTCAGCAGTGATCTCAACTAAAACTTCTTCGCTCAACAGGGAATATAATTTTTTAACAATGAATCATGGATGACATCTTTTGTTAGTTAGCTATTACGTAAATCATACTAGTATCACCTTTGCACTTATTAAAAAGTCAAGAGAGCGAATCCGATGGACGCATATCTTTAAATATTAGTAAGTAACCTGCACTCTGCGGTTTAGGCTGACCCGAAGTTTTCATCCATATTCAGTACAGCCTAAGTAGAAAGAAAATTATTTGCCAATCATGAATTAGGATTGTCGTCGGCAGTAGATAAAAATCACGCAATCACGGCAAGTTAGTTTCTGCAAAGCGATACAACGACAGCGGTCAAACATCGGGCATGCGCAATTGTATCAAGTTGTGGGCGACAGCGCACCGTATTTCTTAGCCATCTCACAAATGTAAGAAAATATGATAACAATTTTTGTAACATCTGAGGGATGCGACGTACATTCCTGTGGATCGTACTTTATGAAATTAAAAATCAGTGAACCGTAATTTTATTGCTTTTAGTGATTCGTAAAGTTGTTTATATTCGATTTTTTCGTGATGCACTATTTCTGCTTTTTGATGTGTGTGAAACGTATGCATGACCCATAAAGACTTCTAGCAAACGTTACGGGGAAAAAAATTCTTTACTTTTGTCTGTTCTAAAGCTCTCTAACATGTTTGTAAGGACTCACACAATAAAACTAAACTTTTCTTCAGTTATAAACTTTGCAAGATAACCAAGTTTGGTTGCATCGCTTAAGAGGACCTACACGATGGTATGAGCTGGGCCCGAAAAAGCCATTCTGTCTAGCGTGTGGCCCCGCCGGATGAGAGGAGAGAGGAAAAATAGCGGCGGTCATATAACAAAAAACGTACTTACTGAACAAGGTTAGTCCAGCATAACTCGCTCTAGTCTACGAGCAGTCTCTCCTTTTCGGCGAAGTCTGTCGCGCGAGTCTTAAAAATCATTGAACGCAGAACTCTGGTAGTGAGACGCACGAAAAGTACCCTTACTTCCAAAGTTCCGAGTTGAGCGTTAAGATCACTTTTCTTTCGCTGTTTTTTTTCGGACTCGCGCGATGGACTTCGTCTAAAAGGAGGTGGTCTAATTTCGCCGGCTCTCGTCACGAAGATGGAACTTCGTTGTGTTTGGGTTTGTACGTCATAGCTTCAAGAAAATACTTTTGCGTCTCTTTCTCGCAATTAGTTTTTATTTTCATTACATGATGGCAGTTGGCAGTCCTTGGCATTTTTTTTTTTTTTGATGATGATTTATGCGAGAATTTGATGTTTTGTGACAAGCAATTCCCATGTAATGTGAGTATGGACAGAAGTTATTCCTTGTAACAATAAAATCTTGATCAAAATGAAAATAAATACATCATCACTCAAGTTCGCCTGTATACAGCTGTTTGCGAGCCAGCTTCGTAAACATTTCAATAAACTTAAAAAGGCCACAGATCGCTGTTTTTCGATCGCAATACTGGCATCACATGTTGAACGAGCTCTCTGGCATTTTCCTCTAAAATACGGTCACGAAGAATTTCCTACTCTTGTTGTATACAACACTCTGTAGAGTCAGGCGTAATCCAACTTTTGTTCAAGATCATAGCCTCAGGGATCAATGAAGCTCGGTTTAGAGTCAACAATTTATTTTCTAGCCCTCCTGGCATATGTTCTTCAAGTCGGTAAGAGACCAGCTTTGTTTTTAGCGTCTCCATGTTCTATATATTTTCTGTGTGAAGAAGCAAGGGCCCGCTCAAATAAAAACACTTATGATCAAACTCAGCATTTGTGAAGAAGTTAATTTCATGAAAAGCAGATAAACAACCTTTACAAAATATACTAACAAAAATAACCTGGAAAAATAAATACAAAGATACGATGAGACAAAGCACTTATATTAAATGCTGCGAGAAATATAAGAAACACAAGTTACTTTCATAATCGGGGTTTCAACAGGAAAAAAAAAGAACACACACTGCAACGAGAGCATGAAACGCTAGGAAGTTGAAATTTTGACGTTCTTGATAAATTTCTTGCTTAGTTATCAGCATGTCGTCCATTTCAAAGGGCAACGACACAAGTGACATCAGATATCACTTACCTTTCCTAAAATTCTAAAATCAGCTTTGCTGTAAAAGAGCAAAAACCTTTCTTTATCACAACTTATGTAAAAATTTTCACTTTTGTGTACAATCACCGAAAAGCAGACAACAAGAAGTACAACCTCTCTCCTTCCTGTCTCACAGAGTTTTATAGGAACTGATCCAAATAGAAATTTTTGTTTTGCAGCTCTTGCTATTCATTGCTTCAAGTGCACATCCCCAACGTCATGGTCGCACTGCGATCTTCTTGTGAACCAAGAAGCCAATCGAGACTGCTCAGCGGAAAAGATCCGATGTATAGCTGTGATGGAAAGGAAAAATCCAAGAGAACGGGTGGAATACAGGAAAGACTGCGCTAACCGTCTTGAAAATCCGTGTCATGAAAAACGTGTAGAGGATTGTAGGTCCACCTTATGTGATGGTGACCTGTGTAACTTTGCTCTCACCCCATCAGCCACCCTCATTGCTTCTGGCTTCCGCTGCTTCCGTTGTATAAGCAATAAATCTTGGGACGACTGCGTTGAAAAAGCTCAAGAGATCATCTGCGACACAGGCTACAGAAAGTGCTACAAACTAGAGTTTAAGAAGGAAAACGGCGACACTGAATACATAAAAGACTGCACTGTCCCTCTGGCCTGTGGAAACTCGTCAATCAATATGCCTCAAGCCGAACGTCGCAACATTAAGTGCTGTGGCCAACATCTTTGCAACGAGGCGAGTATCAAGAGCTCCCCTGTGGCAATATTTGGTCCTCTTCTCCTTGTCATTGTGGTATTCCTTTTTGATGCCCAAAACAATTTGTGAGTAATCAGCATCCGCTTAAACTTTTAACTCCCAGAAGTGATTTATTTGTAACCTTTCCCTATTATATCCCTACATTATCCAGCCAACAGGTAATGAGAATACTCAGACTTATCAGAAAGTAGTTGTTATCTTGATCTAACACCAAACTCTCAGAACCTATTTACAGTTGCACGTAGAAGGAATAGAAACGTAGGTGTCATAATATGTAATTAACTAGGCAGGAAGGGATAGATAGTTTCCTTCCACAATATTGTACCTTTTGACAATAAAAACGAACGGTAAAACATGACGTTTCGACCAAACTTCGGTCATTTTCAAGGGAATAGTAAGAATGTCACGATGAATATATATATATGCGTGTAAGAAGTTTAAAATTTTTGGAAGTGTAAACGGAAAATATAAGAACATACTTCTTCTCTTTGTATGTTCTTATTGCTTAGGGTTAGTTTTTATACTTATAAATCGCTATTGATAAATATTGTACCTCTCTCTCATATTTTTGGCCATGAAGTCTTTGTCAAATGTGTAATTCTCAATGTAAAGTTTGCCGTTTTGCACTCCTCTGGTGCTGATGAATCAAAACAGGCTCGAGTTTGTAAAGACGCTGCTGTAAGCTGATGTTTGATTAGCCCTCTTGTAGAGACCTTAAAAGTTTAGCACCGCTGAAGGTGTCAGCTTACCAGGATTCCTTTCGGTAGTTGCCCAGGCTTCCTCAGTGATCCTGACTGAGTGTTTCTCTTGTTCGCCTACACTTTCTTTAAAAAGCTAGTATCAGAGTCGAAACAAATGTCAGCGTCACAGAAGCTGTAATGAATCCATATCATTGCATTCTCTTAGGTGTGGAGTTCGTTCCTTGATTGGTTATTTATAAAAAAGTAATCAAGTTTTATTATCAATTGTTTATATTCGAATTAGTTTAAATAACAACAGTGTGTTACACGACAATCACCTTATCTTTAGGGCGTAAGGAACCTCGGTTTATGTTTTTTCTAAGGAAGTTAATCGGCAGTAAGTTATTCACGGAGCTCCTTAAACTAAACTGTAACTTGTAAAAGTAAAAAAAATAAAAGTTGCTAAAGGCCCATTTCTGAAAGTCTATGACGCGTTTCAGGTAGTGCAATTAATTTCTCGCTAGGGCATGGGTATTAAAATCTGGATCAACGGATTCAACAGCTCTCAAGTTGAAATTGTTACGAACAATAACAAGACATCTACATCTACGTTTCTACATTTATTAAGTTTGTAAAATCTGTACAGACATCACATCAACTATTATTATGCAAAGATATAAAATTTATACAATACTCGAATAAAACTAATAAAGAAATTGGGATAGCACTTTTATAACTGTAAATATAAGATTAAGACATAAAAGTGCCTGATGATTTTTGACTAAATAGGCGAGTAACTTAGAGTAAAAAACTGCCAGGAAGTTTGACTCAACTATTTCCGCAAGTAGCTTATTCCATAATCTTATGGTCCTTGAGAAAAAGGAATAAAAATGAATGTTCTTTGTCGCCATATCTTGCCCATAGTTATAACGATGACCCCCTCGATTTCTAACTTCAGAATGGGGTTGTAAATAGCTATTTACATCAGTATCAATTTGTTCACGGCTCATTTTATATAAAATGTTCAGACGAGTCATACTTTTTCTTAATTCTAAGTTTTCCCAACTTAGATCTTCAAACATTTCAGTAACGCCAGCTGTAGGATAGAACTGAGCCGTTTTTCTCTGAATCCTCCCAAGGGAAGCAATGTCCTTTTGTAGGTATGGGTCCCAAGCGGCACAGGCATATTCAAGCTTCGGACGAACTATGGCTGTATAGGCAGTTGCTTAACGACGCCAGAAACTGTAACAGTAAGGGTACCAATGTTTGGTTTCATGTCGATACTAACAACTGAGATATCAGAGAGGTCTTCACAAGTATGTACTTTCGAAAAGTGATTGCTCAGGAGTTCCACCTTCAGATTTGACTATCAACTTTAGAATCTGCTACGCCAGGGTCGTCGTTCTTTAATTGCTTAATATATGTCTAGAAACGCATGGGATTTTCCTCAATAGCCTCACCCAAGTAGTTTGAAATGTAATTTTCTCTTGCAGACTTCAAGCTCTTGGGTAAGCGTTTTCTGGAAATTATTCGGAAATTATTCTAGTGTGTAGTATTTCCCGATTTCTAAGCCTTGCTGTAAAGCCGTTGTTTAGCCCTTGTTTGTCTTCTTGGCGACCGATGGAACCAGGGGACATTATTTCACAAGCTTTGCCTTGTTTACTAGGGATAGAATTCTAACGAACTAGACTCAATCAAACTGTTTTATTCCACTCTCGTATTCGCTTATGTACAACGGGTGTGTTGCCCTGTTTACTAGGGATAGAATTCTAACGAACTAGACTCAATCAAACTGTTTTATTCCACTCTCGTATTCGCTTATGTACAACGGGTGTGTAAAAAGCTACTCTGCAAAACTTGTAAGAAATCACTCTCTTATACGATATTTTCCACATTGTGATTGGTCGTTGGTAAGTACTGATTTAAAAGGTCATTCAAGGTTGCGTTGATCATGTAAACCGATCAATGTTCCAAAATCACTTAAGGCAGTGCTTTTAGCTTTTGACATAATGTTCTTACTCATCATCTGACATGTGTCACGCACGAATCAAAGTCTCCAACAATTATACCTCTCTTTGTGGTATGCGAGTGTCCATTATTCGGTGAATATTATTTCCAAAATGGTCCCACATTTCAACAACTGTTGTGTCAGAGTTTCCAGTTTCAGCCAATTCATAAGCAAGGCCTCGTAGTTCCTTCTGTCTACGGGTAGCATCCGCTCTTTTCCTGATGTAGATCTTAGGTTTAATGGGCTTTTTCCTTCTAAATGCAAAGTTCACCTCAAATAATACCATGTCGTGAGCACTTATCCCCGGAATTACTTTAACATTATTTTCGATTTCAACGTTATTTGCTAGTATGATGTCAAGGATATTAGCCTTACTGGTGGGTTCTTTGGTTGGGTAAGCCAATGCTCAACCACGATTTCAAGTAGTCGCTTAGAGTTGGAAGAATGGCTTCGAAGTTCGTCCATTTGAGATCCGGAGCGTTAAAGTCTCCCGCCACAATTACGTTTGTTTGAATTCAATCTATCACCCAGTTTGAATAAAGATAACTCAAGTTCTTGGAGGCTATCTATGCATATCTTTCAAGTTAGAACGATAGAAGGAGGCAAGGAATAACTATTTTGATTACTTATTTTGAATCTGGCATTGAGTACAGATAATCTCGCAATTGGCATTTAGGTCGTCTCAATGAGTAACTACGATCACAGGCGGCCCAAGCTCCAGCTGTGAGATGATCATCTTGCGCAATAACAGTCATGGCGGAATTAAAAGAGTTTGTATGGGAATATTTACGGTCACCCTAAGGAAAAAAATAATACGTCAAATTCTCAAAAAAAAATACCTCACCTTACTTCTACAGCGTAACGCTTGTTATCTGACCGCTTACTTTGATGAAAAGGACGCACTATAGCGAGTTGTCCATTTCGACGTTTTCAACGTTCATAAGAAAAGCCCAAGGCTGAACACTCCATTTCCGAACGCCTGATCCGAGAAGCGAAAAATCCAAGCTCAGAATGACCGGGCGACCACAAAGCCAACGCAGAATCCAAGCACTTATACTGTAGTTTCATTTCAATTCACTAAAAACTCAATCTTCCCCGCGCAACCGACACTAAGCCGCAGTTTGCTTCAAAAATTTCCAGTTTAGAGGTTTCTAACAGCCCGCGGCCACATCAACCTTGACACACGACCGTTGAAAACCAAAACCGGAGGCGAATTCGATTGGTCGATCGAAACAATAGCCTCTTGATCGATTTCTTTTGAGGGGACCCGTGGTTCTAAAACAATTTATTGACAGTTACTGACGGCATGGTCCCCGGCGAGGCTCAGTTCGAAAAGGAGGTAGGGTTACCAAGCTAGGCGTATTCGATTGGCCGACCATTGCAATACACTACACAAACGGTGTAGCGTTGTGTCAAATGGCTCAGGGTAATGTCGAGTAGCACAGCGTACGCACAAACGGTGTAGCGTTGTGTGAAATGGCTCAGCGTAATGTCGAATGGTACAGCGTACATACAAACACTGTAGTGTTGCGTGAAATGGCTCAGCGTAATGCCGAATGGTACAGCGTACACACAAATGGTGTAGCGTTGCATGAAACGGCATAGCGTAATGTAGAATGGTACAGCGTACACTCAAATGGTGTAGCATTACGAATAGCTTTGCTGAACATCAGACGCTCTAGCTGAACATTAAATTGCTTAGCATCACACGAAATATTTCGATGGTGTGGCGAATTGTCGAGCTTGCTTGTGGCGTGACGTGGATGCTATGTCGCCGAAACCACCAAAAATACAAACCGCAAATTGAACAGCGATATTCTGGGGGGCATGATGTCAACGAATGTGGAGACTGGCGCGAAACCATTACATAGTGTAGTCGCTGTGTGGAAGAGTATTCACTTCGCCTTGCCGTAAAGCAGAGCCAATTCGGTAAGTTTTTCCTCTTTTTTTCCCTGTCGACATTGTATTTATTCGTTGTCGTTCATGATAGCGATAGTTAAAATAGCAACGAGACTGGATTCTACCACGGTTTACCACAGTTTGCACGTGTTGGTGAGCCTGGATTTTTATAGTATTAAGTAGTGCTAAGACGTGCATTAAATGTCGATTGCCGAGCTCTCTTTTCTTTTCTGACTCACGCTTACTTTTCAATGAGAGTTCAACTTCAACGGCTCTTTGAACATTGGAGGAGTACGTGAGAAGTCGGATTTTGTATGTGCCTCAGACGCCATGGTAAGAAAACTGATATCTATATGACATTCTTCAATCAAACATGTAGTGTTTGCCAAAGGAACTTTCTTTCCGAGTTGGTTTTGAGCACATGCATACCTTCCTTGATGAGGCAGGTCTGCCATAAAATTAGTAAGAAAACGTTCAGACATAAAAGAGGGTGGTAAAGGGAAAATGGGGGGAGAGGGGGGGGGAAGGGGAACGATGCTTTTACAATTCACGAAAATAGAATCGGCTTCATAAGGGGTGTTGAAAATATATCTAAGACATGCCTAAAGTTGCTTCCCATCTTCGCCGGTGTCCTTCGGGAAAAATTCGTTCGCGCGCTAGTTTCACTAAAATCCTAGCAAACTATATATCAGAAGAAAGCTTTATAACTGCAGATTACGATAAAAATATAATTTAAGCGACTTTCTTTAATGAAGTGTCAAGAGGCGGTAAGGCGTGAAACGACTGAAGGTTCCTCTATTGAATTCATCGGGTATCGGATGCTGCATCATGAGCAAAATGGCTGCACAGTCTCATTCACAAGGCATCAATGAACAAAAGTGTGTCAGGCTTTTTCGATATTCTGATTGGTTGTGTCGATATCGGCATCATTAGTTGGAGTAGCTAAAAGTATGCGTACTCCTCCAATGTTCAAAGAGCCGTTGAAGTTGAACTCTCATTGAAAAGTAAGTCAGAGAAAGAAAAGAGAGCTCGACAATCGACATTTAATGCACGTCATAACACTACTTTTAAGTAGTGTTATGACGTATTAAAATACTAGAAACATATTCAGGCCCACCAACGCGTGAAAACTGTGGTAAACTGAGAGGCCGGCAAACCGTGGTAGAATTCAGTCTCGTTGCTATTTTACGGCAAAGCGAAGAGAAGGCTATTCAATACAGCGACTACGCCATGTGATAGTTTCGCGGCAGTCTTCACATTCGATGACGTCATGCCCCCAGCAGATCGCTGTTCCGTTTGCGGTTTGTATTTTTGTTGGTTTCACCGAGATAGCCTTGGCGGCCGTCATCACCAAAAATACGAGGATGTCAAATAGATCAGCAAATACAAAGATGGTTTAAGGATCAGCTGCAGGATAGCATAGCTAATAAAGGAATGGCATGGCTTTTACGTCACGCCACGACGATGCGCCACAACATCGAAATATTTCAAGTAATACTAAGCAATTTAATGTTCAGATAGAGCGTCTGATGTTCTGCAAAGCTATTCGACCTAACGCTACACTATTTGTGTCTACGCTGTACCATTATACATTACGCTGAGCCATTTCACGCAACGCTACACCATTTGTGTGTACGCTGTACCATTCGACATTATGCTAAGCCATTTCACGCAACGCTACACTGTTTGTATGTACGCTGTACCATTCGACATTACGCTAAGCCATTTCACGCAACGCTACACTGTTTGTATTTACGCTGTACCATTCTACATTACGCTGAGCCATTTCACGCAACGCTACACCATATGCGTGTACGCCGTACCATTCTCCATTACGCTGAGCCATTTCACGCAGCGCCACACCATGTGTGTACGCTGTACCATTCGACATTACGCTGAGCCATTTCACGCAACGCTACACCGTTTGTGCGTACGCTGTGCTACTCGACTTTACCCTGAGCCATTTGACGCGTGACGTTTGAGTTCTGTATTGCAAATGAATGCTAAGCTCTTCGCAATTGAGCTAGTCCATTTCACAATCTCATGTTCCAACTCGACATGGGCAACTAGACCGTTTATCATTTGGCTAAACGATCCATGTTTAGGGTGTTCTGTTTCACGAAGGAAAACTAAACCGCCTATAATTTGGCCATGCCATTCCTTTATTAGCTATTCTATCCTGCAGCTGATCTTTAGACCAGCTTTGTATTTGCTGATCTATTTGACATCCATGTATTTTTGGTGGTGACGGCCGCCCATGTGCGCACACCGCCTGCCTGTTAATAACATGTGCGTTTAGCAGCTATTCGAGATCAGTGGAGGCGCGTAATGAATGAGTTGCCAATACTCGGATCCTTGCGTTTGCGCAAAGGGTTCTGGGATAGCTACGAGGCGAACATCGTAACTCGCTATAAAGGAATGTATGGCGAAAGGTTCTATCAACGTCCAAAAAGCGATTTTTGCGAGAGATTATGGCTTTTTCGCCGCAGTTTTATTATACACAGATAAAGATATGTTGATACGAGGGAAGTGTAAGTTTTTGTTGGAATTATCACGAAATATGTCATAAAAAATACCGAAAACCCTCTCTCCTTGCGCAAGGTCTGTTGTGAAATTGTCATCGCCTAATGTCTCGAAATATTACAAAGTTAGCCAGGGATCGCTAGGAAATAACTTATTTAAGTCTTTTCAGTTGTATTTATATATGTACTGCCTCTTTTCATGTTTTTAAGGTATTTAATGAACAAATTACGACGTTTGAAAATATACCTCCTTTAAGGAGAGAAGTCGTTGTCTACGAAAATGGAAATTATCTTTACCGAGCTGTTGCTCTCTGAAAGGATGAAATAAGCGATGAAAAACATGAGGAAATCCCTCGTTCAAGTGATAGTTTGTTTGAGAAAAATCCAAAGGTCTCTGAGCTGCAACTTTTCTTCTCGAACTCCTCGAAGGATCTTGTCTGGAAAAGCAAGATCACGGGAATTCCGGCAGAAATTGTGGATATATCATCGGTTGTGCCGGCATTGCTCCTTAAGGGACCAATTTGTATCAGTCATCGTCACAGAAGGAAGGGTTCAGTTTTGCGCCGAGAATTAACGCTGATTCGTTCGCATTCATCACAACAGAGAAGCAGTGTAGGTGATTCGGCACTTTAATGTACCGCAATATTTAAAAAAAGGTGCTAAAAATAAGTTTTGCGAGTTGATTGATCGGTTAGTTCTTTTTGTGTAATCTTCGGGAGTAGTGATTAGAAGAATATAGATTGTGTTCGAATACTTTTGTGTCTTCAGTGTCTCTAGGAATACTGGAAACAAGTGACAGGGCAACTACGAAAATTCCTCACAGTACTTTGCATTTTTTTGATGATGATTTATGCGAGAATTTGATGTTTTGTGACAAGCAATTCCCAATTAATGTGAGTATGGACGGAAGTTATTCCTTGTAACAATAAAAACTCTATTAAAATGAAAATAAGCACATCGACACTGAAGTTCGCCTGTATACAGCTGTTTGCGAGCCAGCTTCATAAACATTTCAATAAATTACAAAGGCCACAGATCGCTTTTTTTTCGATTGAAATACCGGCATCACATGTCGATCGAATGACACGAGCTCCCTGAAATTGTCTCCTAGAATACGGTTACGAAGAATTTCCTACTCTTGTTGTATACAACACTCTGTAGAGCCAGGTGTAATCCAACGTTTGTTTAAGATCATAAGTTCAGGGATCAATGAAGCTCGGTTTAGAGTCAATAATTTATTTTCTAGTCCTCCTGGCATATGTTCTTCAAGTGGGTAAGTGAACAGCTTTAATTTTAGCGTCTCCATGTTCTATATATTTTCTATGTGAAGAAGTAAGAGCCCGCTTAAATAAAAACACTTATGATCAAACTCAGCATGTGTGGAGAAGTTAATTTCCCGAAAAGCAGATCACCGACCTTTACAAAATATACTAACAAAAATAACCCGGAAAAATAAATACAAAGATACGACGAGACAAAGCACTTATTAAATGTTGCGAGAAATATAAGAAACACAAGTTACTCGCACAATCGGGGTTTAAACAGGACAAAAAAGAACACTCACTTTGCAAGGAGGGCATGAGACACTGGGAAGTTGAAATTTTGACGTTCTTGATAAATTTCACACTTAGTTATCAGCATGTCGTCCATTTCAAAGGGCAACGACACAAGTGACATTTGATATCACTTACCTTTCCTAAAATTCTATAATCAGCTATGCTGTAAAAGAGCAAAACCCTTTCTTTATCACAACTTATGTAAAAATTTTCGCTTTCGTGTACAATCACCAGAAAGCAAACAACAAGAAGTACAGCCTCTCTCCTTCCTGTCTCACAGAGTTTTACAGGAACTGATCTAAATAGAAATTTTTGTTCTGTAGCTCTTGCTATTCATTGCTTCAAGTGCAAATCAGAAACGTCATGGTCGGAATGCGATCTTCGTGTGAATCAAGAAGCCAATCGAGACTGCCCAGCGGAAAAGATCCGATGTATAGCTGTGAAGGAAAGGAAAAATCCAAGAGAACGGGAGGAATACAGGAAAGACTGCGCTGGCCGTCTTGAAAATCCGTGTCATGAAAAACGTGTAGAGGATTGTAGGTCCACCTTATGTGATACTGACCTATGTAACTTTGCTCTCACCCCATCAGCCACCCTCATTGCTTCTGGCTTCCGCTGCTTCCGTTGTATAAGCGAGAAATCTTGGGACGACTGCGTTGAAAAAGCTCAAGAGATCATCTGCGAAACAGGCTACAGAAAGTGCTACAAACTAGAGTTTAAGAAGGAAAACGGCGTCACTGAATACATAAAAGACTGCACTGTTCCTCTGGCCTGTGGAAACTCGTCAATCAATATGCCTCAAGCCGAACGTCGCAACATTAAGTGCTGTGGCCAACATCTATGCAACGGGGCGAGTATCAAGAGCTCCCCTGTGGCAATATTTGGTCTTCTTCTCCTTGTCATTGTGGTATTCCTTTTTGATGTCCAAAACGATTTGTTGGTAATCAGGATCCCCTTAACCCTTTAACTCCCAGAAGTGATTTATTTGTAACTTCTCCCTACAATATACGCACATTATCCAACCAACAGATAATGAGAACAGTCAGACTTATCAGAAAGAAGTTATCTTGATCTAACACCAAACTCTCAGAACTTATTTTCAAGGATATGTGTACCAGTTAGAGGGAAGAATTAACAATCAGATCTTGGGAGTTAAAGGGTTAAAGTCCTAGATAGAAGCAGTAGAGATATAGATGTCATAATGTGTAATCAACTAAGCAGGAAGGGATAGACAGTTCCCTACCACAGTATTGTGCCTCCCTAATATTTATGGCTATGAAGGCTTTGTCAAATGTGTAATTCTCAATATAAAGTTAACCAGTTTGCACTCCTGTGGTGCTTAAGAATAAAAACAGCTTCGGGAATTGTAAAGACGCTGCTGTAAGCTGACATTTGGTTAGCCCTCTCTTAGAGACCTCAAACGTTTAGCACCGCTCAAGGTGTCAGCTTCCCAAGATTCCTTCCCAGTGATCGACTGAATGTTTCTCTTGTCCGCCTACACTTTCTTTAAAAAGCTAATATCGGAGTGGAAACAAATGTCAGCGTCAAAGAAGCTGCAATGAATCAATATCATTGCAGTCCCTCAGGTGTGGAGTTCGTTTCTTGATTGGATATTTCTCAAAAAGGAAACAAGTTTTATTATCAATTATTTAATTTGAATAACAACAGTGTGTTACATGACAGTCACAATGTCTTTTGGGCGTGATGAACCTCGGTTTATTTTTTTTAAGGAGCTTAATCGGCAGTAAGTTGTTCACGGGGCTTCTTAAACCAAGCTGCGGCTTGTAAAAGCAAAAAAAAAAGTTAGTAAAGGCCCATTTCTGAAATCTTCATGTCTTTGACGCATTTCAGGTAGTGCAAGTAATTTCTTATTAGAGCGTGGGTATTTAAAATCTGGATTCAACAGCTGACAGCTCCCAACTCATCTTCTCAGCGTGTTGCTCTAAATTTACTAAAAACATTGTCTGTGCTCAGGCTCCATGACATGTTGGTTAGGGTGCACACTTTAAAACCAAGTATTGTTAATCATTTAATCTCAGGAATCTGATAAAAACAGATCAATTTAGCAATTCCACTTTGGAGAAATTAACTCGTTTTTATCATATGACCCATTTGGCTCCGCGTGCACTTTCATTGCAAAACATCATACAGAAAAATCCTCGTATAGAGGTACGTGCGCGTTAGCGCAAGAAGGGCCGGAAAACGCCACTCAGCCCAACGTGCAGCCCCACACGCTGTCTAAATTAGATCGGTCCGAAAGGGAAGATATTTAACTCTTGGTTGTGAAGTACGAACTTCGCTGCGCTTAGGTCCGTACGTCATGATCTCGAGCCACTAATTTGCGTTTGGCCTTGTCAATCAGTCAAAAAGTAGATTAAAATGTCCGTTACATAAATAAACATGTTATATATAAATAGGCCAGATGTGAAATATTCTTTTATTTTAAAAGAATATTTATTTTATAAGGCGTTCTTCTTACCTCCTATCATATTTCTCTTGAACATGACACTGAAAAAAATTCCCTTTCATACTCAGTCTCACTAATAAAATAAGAAATGCCTGGAAAGTGAAAGTGGAATGTAAAATGACAAATCGTTTGGGCGCTCATGAAGGGTTTGGTCGGGAGTCAATAGTTCTTTCCACCGTCCCGATGATGGTTAACGCAGCTACAATTTGAATGCAGGGAAATTCTGAAATAACGTGGTTGAGAACAGAAAATATTCCTTTCATCGATGACACATGCTCGAAATGAAAATTTACAAACCGACGCTCGACTTCTCTTGCAAACAGCTGTTTGAGAGCTAAGATGATCAACTGACTTGATAATTTGAATTGGTCCCTGTAAAGTGATTCTAAAGCTGACGTTTAGAATATTAGCCATTTGTCAGAGCTGAAGTAGGACTACCGCTCGAAATGTCAGCTTCAGAATCTCTTTACGGTGGCCATTTCACTTTATCAAGTCAGTTGATGAAACCAATTTGTCTTGAACTACCCCCGAACCAGCTTCGTAAACATCACAAAGGCCACAGACTGCCATTTTAGATCGATGTACCGGCACCACATGTCGAATGAATGACGTAAACCCCCCTTCGTCTTCTAAATTACTGGTACGCTCCGTGTTTTACTCTTGTTGTATACAACACTCTGCTCATTCAAGTGTCATTCAACTTTTGTGTATGATCCTAACCTCTGGGATCAATGAAGCCCGATTTACAGTCAATAATTTATTTTCTAGTCCTCCTGGCATACGTTCTTCGAGTCGGTAAGTTTACAGTTTTATTTTTAGCGTCTCCATGTTCTCTATTTATTGTTGCCACGCTTCTAATTTTCGAAAGAGATGCTTTACAAGCCAAATACTTCGAGTCATTTTCGACGACCTCTCACCATCAGTTCAATGAAATACAAAATAGAAAAGAAGAATCCATTAAGGAACAGGTCTAGATGAAATTGGATTCAAAAACGTGGAAAATTCATGTTAACTATTTCTCGACGCAAACGCTTCTTCGTGTTTCAACAAAAAAGATTAAAGCAAATCGACAAATAAGTTTGGAGAAACGGTAATCATAGTGATGATCTATGTCAAGATCTCTTAGTCGCGGAAATTTTCATCATTGTCCTGGTCAGTTGCATGACGATCTAACTCAGTAACTTTAATAGAATTTTGAATTAAAATATCACAAAAGCCAGATGAGCATCTGATTCTGGTTCATTGAGCGAACTATTTTCGGTGGTACAAGGAAAGTCGTCCGGTGTATTTATATTTGTATGTTCCTCCACTCCAGTATGTTAATATATATGTGCAATAATTAGTATGTAGTAAATAATTTATCTACCGATGAGTTATCTATGTATTTAGAATGGAATGGAAAGGGGCATATCTAATGAGGAAAATAATGTTGTGCCCCTTAAAGATCCTGATGATAGGAAATACTCGCTCAAAGAAATGTAAGAGAGGAGAAAGAGTAATATCGAAATATATAGAGAAAAATACATGGGCGCGCGTAGATATGCGCTGTGCTCACTCGTGAGCTATCGAGTTAAACACTCGAAGAGAAATTCCATATCTACAAGCAACCATGTATTATTTTGTTTATCATATAAACACAATAGCCCTTTAATGGGAAGACAAGCCGACTTCATCAATGAATGAAAATAAATGAATCGACAATCCTCGAATAACAATCGTAGAGTGCATTGGCGCTGACTCTTAAGATGGAAAAGGGCGTTGAATCCCTATTACAAAAACAACAATGGTCGTAATTTTCAATTTATAAAATTCTCATTTATGGACTTTGTCCTTACCGACAGAAGAATTCTTTCAGTTAAACGGCCAAAATCGGCCAGAGGCAAATCTTCCAGTTATCGATTTTCATTCTCAGCCGTCAGAAATGCTAACACCAAAGCCACTGAATACGCAAAAACTTTCGGTTTTCCTTTTACTATATTGGTTCTCTACCCTTTCTAGGAAAGTTTGAACATCGTTGTCTGTCAGCAATACGGATTTTTTTAGTGTCTTAGCCGCCATAATTCGAGAAAGCTCCGACAAACAACTTGTATTGAGAATCGTGAAGGTTTTGCCGTTCATTCATCAACCTGACCGAGTGGCGCCAAAGGCGAGTGACGTTAAGCAGCTGATTGGTTATATCAACACACGTGAAAAAATTCGATATTTTTTCGCCAGTGTTGTTATGGCTTTTCTCAGGGCCGGAAATCCCTGTATAACACCGCAGTTTATGTGATAAATATATATACATACAGTCAGTGTTGAGCTATAAATAGTAATTTAAAAGTGCCTTGAGCCTTTTGAACAATTATTTAGTTGATTTTTCTCAAATTGCTTGAGGAATACTTTTCCAAAAGTTTCTACCGATACTTGATGGACAAAATCTCATGTGATATGACGGTATTGCCAGTTGATTTAAGGATACATTGCGGGTGTTATAATCATGTAGCTCAGATACTAAAGAAATATTTAGGCTGAAAAAATTGTCGTTATTAAGATATTCATAAAACAGCAAGCATGTTTGAAGTTTAACAATATTGGGAAGTTTCACTAAACCAAGAGATGCGTATTTAAAGGCATATCATTAATATACGAACAAATTTGCTCTACAATTTAATAACTCAAGATAGAGGAGCACAATAATTATAAAACCCGTATCATTGTACACAGTACAACCATATTTAAGATCAGGATAGATAAGGGAATAAGAAATACTCGCTGATACGTAATGCTTCAACTTTGTCAAAAGGTTAAGATTTTTGCTAATTTTGCCACAGAAATAATCAATGTGGTCATGCAAAGTAAGATGATGTGTGTGCTAATGAAAAGATCGCAACTGCTGCCAATCACATGTCACCAAATATTACATGTATGAAAGTTTTGCACTTATATTTTCGGTTTAAATTCGAAAAAAGATTTAATTTGAAACCTTTTATCTCCCTGTTTATCTCCCGACATACAATTGTCTCACAATTGTGATTACCAAAGACTAACAGAAAAGCTAATTGGTAACATTTAGTCTGGTACCCGCCGACCTTCGACGGCCAGGCGGTTGTACATTCAGTTACACGGTAGGATCTGGGCACGGGATTATGGGGCATCTTGATAACGCACTTGAACGTGAGCTTTGATGAACAGCTAGACAATGTCCAAGGACAATAATACGAGCACTTTTCGCGCCAAGTAGAGGCTACTGTTTTTATCATCCCTCAAATATTTCTGTAGAACGCGGGCCAAGTGCTTACGAACAGCTTCCTTTTTATTGTGTTAGGTGTTCACTTAATGAACAAGAAGATAAGTTCCTTCCTCTACAACCGAACAAGAAAAACGCTCTCTCATTTTGAATTAAAACTTAAAAGAGGACTTTCATCTTACTAAGGGTAAATTCCGAAAAATTGGGGGATATCACTAACAGAATGTCACCGCATACTTCGCGGGCTTAGCTTATTCGGTCACGTGACGCATTTATACCAATCGCGCCGGAGCAAAAATATTTGATTGATATAATGCAAATTATTCTCAATCCAGTTTACTACCAGCTGTAAGCAGACCCCAAGAAGTTCCATTTTTGATGCTAGTTATTAGTGAGTTGAAATGAGTCCCACTTCAGCAGCCAACGACACAAGTTTACAATAAAATAACTATACTCTCCTAAAATTCTAATATCAGCTCCTCAGAAGAAAAGCAGAGTATTTCTTTATCACAGTTCACTTTCGTGAACAAACGCCTGAGAGCTGACGATAGAAAGTACAGCCTCTCTCCTTCATGTCTCACAGAGTTGTACAGGAACTGATCTAGGTGGAAATTTTTGTTTTGCAGTTCTTGCTCTTAGATGCTTTAAGTGCGAATCCGACATTTCATGGATGGATTGCGATCTCGATGAGGGCAAATCAATGGAAGAATGCCCTGTGGAGGAAATCCGATGTTCGTCTACGATGGTGAGGCCGAATCCAAGAGACAAATTAAACTATAAGAAAGGCTGTGCTGACCGTCTTCACAATCCGTGCCATGAAAAACGCGTTGAGGATTGTAGATCCACCTTATGTGATAGTGACCTGTGTAACTTTGCTCTCACCCCATCAGCCACCCTCATTGCTTCTGGCTTCCGCTGCTTCCGTTGTAACAGCACGAAATCTTGGAACGACTGCGTTGACAAAGCAGAAGAGATCTTCTGCAACACAGGCTACAGAAAGTGTTTCAAATGGGAGTTTAAGCGGGAGGACGGCGTCACTGAATATTTAAAAGGCTGCACTGTCCCCCAAACCAACTTGTCCGTCAGTAACACGCTTGAAATCGATCGTCGTGATATGCACTTGTGTGGTCAACATCTTTGCAACGAAGCGATTATGATGGGCCCTCCGATGGTAACATTCGGTCCTCTTTTCCTTGTCATTGTGGTATTCCTTTTTGATTCCAAAAGTATTTGTTAGAAAATCCAAACCGGTTTTTACCAGGATCTTCTTAAACTCCCAAGTAGGACGAAGACATCTAGATGTTTTATTCTCATTAACTAAGGTGAAAGGGGAGGATCTGAGCCAAGAGTAGAAAGTTCCCTGACAAAAATTAACCTCGCTCACATTGATGGTTATGAGGCGTTGTTAAATGTGTAATAATATACGTTAAAAAATTACTCACGTCTGATTGGCTGAAAACGAGTGCATTTTTCATGTAACACGTGTGCAAAGTTGTAACACGAGTGCAAATTACAATTAGCACGCGCGCTGTCAAAATTTCGTCTGTCTTGACTTTCTACGATGCTTTTTTCATGTAAATTATTAATAAGTAACAACATGATTTCTCGTGCAATTTGGTGCAACTGAGCACTAATAAATTTTTCAAAGACTAAAAATTGCAATCACCTTACGGGCTTGTGCAAATCTGTTGTCTTTGAAAAATTTATTCGTGCTTATTAATACCCAATTGCACTCGAAAATCATGTGATTACCTATACCAATTTTCAATGTAAATTTTTAAACTAAGCTGCAACCTGTTCTGAGCTGGACAGTAAGGGCAAGTAAAGGCACATTTTTGGAGTCTTTCCGTCACCAACGCGTTCAACAGTGAAGTCAATATTTCATTTGCCCCACAACGCCTAACCCATCTTCTGGTTGTGATATTCTAAATTCAACAAAAAAAATCTGACTGCGTCGGCAGGGGAGAGGTCAACTTCGATTTCGAATTTTCCGACAAAGAAAGAATGAGCGCACGCCAAACAACGCTAAACTGACGGGAATCACGAAATGACCGTCTGCACGGTTGCGCAACTTGCTCATGAATGTGGCAAGCAAGATACCAAAGCGTGAAGATTTTCGTTGGTGAGAAAATCGGAATTAGCGAGTACTCGCGAGTGATCTAAAGGGAATAGTCACCAGACAGCATACTGGGAAAGGCTGTTCCCTAACTCGAGTTTGTACCCTCCTTCTACAAAATACAAAATGAAAAATGCAAAGGGGATGAAAAATATGCAAAGTATCTCGGTTTGACCTCTATTACTTTCTAAAACAGTAAGTGCACAACCTTTGTGGCTCATATTTTTTAAGAATTCGCTTAAAACTTCAATTCAAATATCGCACATGTTATCTTCAACTTGTCTTGTTTACTTTCTACCAACTTATAACCAGTATTTCCAGACAGAAGACCCCAACAGTATGTCATGTAGTTTGAAATATCCATAGGTGGATTCCGCGCGTGAAAAGACACGAGGCTTATTCCTAGAGCCTATATGTACCTCTACTGACTTGGAAGTGCGACTTAAGTCTTTTCTTTTGAGTTTAAACTACATCTATATAACAAAGATTAAAAGCCCTGCCATGGACAGCAAAAAGGGAATTTCGAATGAGGTAACCACTGACAAAAAGAGAAGAGTACCTTTCACTTCAAGTATAATACCTCCCGTACGTTTTATTTCGACGCAAAATTGTACAGCAAAGTCAAACTACAAAACCAAAGGCTGTCTTGAACTTTTACAAATTTGCTATATCATGCCTACGCATAAAATTCGCTTTTGCATTCAATTCCTAACACTATCATAAGAATTAAATACATCAACAATGTTTGACATTTGGTTTGTTCATAAAAGTTCAGTAATTGAAGTCAGCTCTTTAAGCTCTCTACAGAAAAATCAAAGCAGTAAGACTAACACACCGATCAACACCGTTAGCACAATCACACGGCTGGATACCTTTTCCTTCCATCCCCTTGAGCAGTATTTGGCATAAATAGGAGGAAATCAATGAAGTCAAGCGGCCGTCTTTCAGAGGTCTTCAGCTGACTCCACACCTTCCTCTGTATCACCCCTGTAGCCAAGATCAGCCTCTGAAGTTACACCACTGCCAAGAACTGCCATCTGTTCCTTCAAACCCTTCAGAGTGTTTGACCGACCACGATCTTCTTCCGTGTACGTAGTTGGTTCTGGTGTAGCAAGTCCTCGACCTCCTGACACTTCTTCCTCCACTTCGGTGTCAGAGTTCACCGGAGTGATCGTTTCATCCGCAGCGCTGTCGACAAGAGCATAGTCTGTATCCAGCGACGTAGAGCTACCTCCTGGTACGGCGGTCATGTAAGCTGCAGTATCAGTATCGGAGGTGATGTCCTCCCTTGCACTCATAAAGGACTCTGTATCACTGTCTGGCTCCGGACTGCCGTCTTGGTCTGCTTGTTCATCATACTCGTCTTCTTCATTTATGACGGTGTTTTTGGAGATTTCCATGAGCGAACCCGAAGGAGACATATCACCAGTAACTTTATTAGGCTCATTTTCAGCAGAACTGAATGACTTCTTGATTGAATATTGTTTATTACCAGGCATCCCTTTGAATGATTCAAAATTAATTTCATAGGTTACTTTCGGCTTTGCTTGTGATGATGAAGAATGCGCAGACGATTTCTGTTCAAGGCGCGAGGCGGAAACCTCCATCGCATTTTCGTGTCCGTTACTTTGCGTGACAGTTCGGTGTACCTCGGACGCAACTACGTGGCGAGTCACTGTTGTACTTTCGTTAGAAGCTTTAAACACATGACTTTCCGAGTCGGCTGACGGTGATAGACTTTGAAGTTGCGTGACACTTGGCGTCACGGAGACAATGACGTTATCAGTGTCACGTTCAGGCAGTGTCACGGTACTTACATAGGACTGTTTAGAAGAAATCACCTGTCGGTGAACAGTACTTGTTACGGTCTTCACGGAAGTCTCATTTTTTTCCGACACATGGCGGCTGCCAGTGAAAGTCGCTGCTATTGTCCTTCGCGATGAAGGTGCGATATTCAAACTGCTTCGGTATCCCCCTGCCTTTTCTTGGCTGATGACAGATTCTACGTGACCGGTAGTCTCAGAAATTTCAGGCTGTGACTGCACGCTATCCGTCAAAACAGCTCTGACCTCTTGCTCCTTAACGACACCCAGAGCTGCTTGCCCTTCATTAGGCATACCTGGCGCTGAATAAGCGGGCGGTGGGACGTAATCTTTAGAAATGGTCTTTACTAATGCAGCTTTCACTGGCGAATCCCTTTCAGCAGTCACCGGTCCATGCAGCTCCGCGCCACCGTCAGGAGCATCTACAAGAAGAGCGCCATCCAGCAAGTCGCTTCCAGCAGGTTTAGACTGTAAACCAGTGCTGCTGTGTAATGGTACGGTTTCGATGAGATCTTGGAGTGCCTCTTCTTTAATATCTCCATTAGTCTTAGCCAATGGAAAACTTTCTTGTAGTTCAGTATTGCTTTGCATAACCTCCTGAGGTGCTCCCTCTCTAAGGACTCCATTATGTGACGCTGAAGTGATCTCAACCGGCGTCTCCTGCAATCCACTTTTACCGGTCTTTTCATCTGGTGGAGGTCCTAAAAAATAACGAAGCGAAAATTGTCAGTATCCAACGAAATCGCCATAGAGATAACTCTAGTGTTCGTATTTGTTTTGCCTCACTTCAAGGTCGCCTTTTTATTTGTGGAGAAAATCTGCGTCTCCCTGCAAAACCGATATCTTTTCGCGAATTAGACAGACATTTTTCCGTGCTTCGTTTGCCTTCGTTTTCAGTTCCAATTGGTTCCCTGTGATACACTCGATTCTATTTGTTCAAAGTAATATCTCTAGATTCCTTAAATTCAAATTTCAATCGTGAAGCCCTTCAGAAAAACACCAAGGGAACAGTTAATTATTCAGAATCTTTTTGAATAAATGACGACAGAAAAAGCGTGTGACTTTTACCCGTTTCATGTTCATTGGCAGTTGATGACACCTCAACCTCGCGAACTGCAAACTGCCTCTTAATCATTTCCTCGTTGATGTTCACATCCTGCGGTGGAATATCATGCAAAGATCTTTGAATTTCAGTTGAAAATGGTTAGGGCTAGGATTGTATTTTTTCTTTTTTAATTTCTAGATAATTATGTGAATATTTTTTTTTGTCTTCATTTATTATTTGTTGTTCGAGCTATTCTTCCACCAGAATGAATCTTGACACCTTCAGCTGTAATTAAGTGCTCTCACTAACTATCTAATTTTTGGCAAGCAAGAGCATATTTTCTCGTGATACGTTTGGCTGCTAACTGGGATTTTTAAAACAGAGGAATGCTGAGGAGAGAAAAAAATTATACTAAGGGGGGTGAGTGATAGGCAAAAGAGAAGAGGGAGATCTGATGGAATGTCTTTATTCACCCTCTCCTCTCTCTACACGCATAAACCTTAAAAATCAGTAAGTGATTGGAAGCCTGTTACCCCAACAGGCTCTCTCTCCCTCCCCATTGCTAGCCAAGATAAACACAATCATTACTTACAGTTGGTCCTGTGGTGTCAATCAACTCAAGGCAAGGTATCTCCCCTCTGTATTTCACCACTCTTGCCATCAGAGAAACCCACTGTGCACAGTGGCTGAGGTGGTCAAAGTCATCAATTGATTCTTGACTCCACTCACCATCTAAACAATATAAAGAGTGATTTTGAAGCCATAAGCATAATATAAATTTTGTACACTTATGACCATAAAATGAGTCCTTTCTTTCTATAAAAGATAAAAATTATATATATTAAATATTGTAGTGAGTTAATAGTCAGTCAGTTGAGAAAACCAAAAAGAGCACACAAGAGACAAACAACAGTTGCTGTTGTTAAGGAAAACAGTTTCTCATTTTCTTTTTTTTATTCATGATGCCCTCTGTTTTTCACAGCCCTGATTTACTGCTCATTTCTACATACTGAGAGTCTAGCAAAGGCTATAAGAATTATTGTAGGGAACTATGATAGTAATTAGAAGGCAAACCTGTAACCAGACAAGCAAAATATTTATTGTATAATGGTTATACACAAATGCACCTTCGTCAACAATTTTGTGACCCAAAAAAGATTATTCCTCTTTGTTGGGCGAGAACAGAAGGCAACACTTGTTGAAAATTTGCACAAGAAGCATTAGTTTGATCATCTACTACATTAACAGTGAACCTAGTCAAATGTAAAAATCACGATCCTATTACACACACACTTTTCATTCATGAACCAAAATATCTGAAATAAGGTGAAAAAAAGCTCCCAATTTCAGTCTACACAGATAATTTTAATCTCACAATAACTTCTGATACTTCATTTAAACAGTAATTTTAATACTAAGTGAGAATGATAAATATATATCCATGAATTTGACTGCCTTTTTTGGTTTTGTCATTTTTGGTATGTCTAAGCACCTGGAAACCTATGTAGTGTATATTATACCTTTAGGTGTTACACCTGCCAGCCAACATTCAATAGCTTGGAATGGTAGCCGCTTGTGTTCTGGTCTATAAAAGGAAAGAAAACCTCACTAAGTAAAGTCAGTGATACTAAGGGATAGCAACACTGGGTTCATGCTACAGCATACAAAACAGTATTAAAATTAATTGACCAAAAAACATTAATTTACAGCTCAATTCAATCAGATACAATGTTGCTGCAAATCAAGACAAGTTATTGGACTATAATTAAATGATGATACTTGATAACTCTCCAGAATTTCAACTGCATAACTGTTCCATTATTTCAGAGTCTCACATAGATGTAAAGCTCTTGTTGGTATTTCAACAATGAGATCATTACCAACTAATTGTCTTTAAGCATCAAAAAGAAATATAGAATTGAACTGGTTTTGTTTTCTAATACCCTAAGAGACAAATTCCTGTCACCTTTTGGACCATTCATGCACAAAACTACAACAAACACGAACCGTTAACATTTAACATTTATACTTAACATACTCACTCACATCTTGGAGTGGACATTGTTTAGATAATTCATTACTGTTATGTTAATTTGGTTTTACAGCACTTGCTGAACAGTGCATTACATACTCAAGACTTCACTTACTGTAGTTCCCTTAATTTGTCTTTGGCAACCCTTCCTGAGTCTCCATAATCCACATAATACAAATCCACTGCACCTTCTTTGTTGATTTCTGTAATACGGGCCCTGTACCAAGAGGAATCATACTCAAACGGTGCACAGCAAATGTCTCCAACCTTAAAGGAATTTAGAATGGCTTGTGATTCAGAGGAGGCGTATAATAGTGTCAAGTTTTTTGTGAGCTGATCCAGATCAGGCGAGTCCTTAGTGAGTAGCTGTACCCAAAAATGTCCTGGATTTTCAAAAGCTGATACAAATACTTCAAAGAAGTCATCTTTTGCAGGAAACTGTATAACCCCTGTTGTTGGTGAAGCTAAAAGACAAAAGACATTTCAAATTTCAATAGTAAGTGATGCTTCAGCACCCCTGATTTAAACTACAGTGACTTAAGTAAGGAACCATATACCATTTAATAAATTTTCTTAATCGGGTTTGAGCTAATACTAATATGTAGCATCACTATTTTAGAAACTCATAATCATTTACTGAAAGCTTTCTATGATGTCTCTCATAATTGTTATAACTTCCTTGGAAAGTTGAAGAATGCATAACTCAGTTACCAATTTAATTAGTATTTCCAACTAATGTATATACAATTTTCTAAAAGGGAAACATGGCAAGGAAAGTTCTCTACTTTCAAATTAATAGCTCAAGTGTAAACAGGCTGTCCACTAGAGTAAATGGAAAGGAGGTAAATGAATGAAGTAGATAAATGGAAGAGAAAGGGTTTGATCTAGTGATTCAATTAATACAAGGAAGAAAACCAGGTAAGTGATCAAGAAACAGAGGAACACAATGTTGCAGTTTTCTCAGCAAAGGCTAAGCACAAGCTCAGACAGATGAAAATTACAGTAGCATACAATTTACATGTAGAATATTAATCAATATTAGAATATATTCAAAAAGTCTTCTATTCATTCACCTAGACCAAAAAAAAAGAAACAATAAATATATAAGTGATATACCAACTGCACTTTCAAGTTTCCTTGGTGGACGTCTATTTCTCAGCACTCCAGCATCTCCCCTGCGAGCACGAATTTCATTATCTTCAGCCAACTTCTCATTTAGTAGTCCCTTAGCAATAGCTATTTGATCAGAAGTCCCAGTGACTGTGCATTTCCGTATAGGGCTGGAAATGTCATCACCATTACGATCAATCCTTATTTTAGCACCTACCAAGTGATTAAAAACAAAAATTAATGACAGAAGATAGCATTGTACAAAAAACACCAACTTAAAGTAAAATAAGCCATCACAAATATTCGCTTTTAACCCTTTAACTCCCAGGATCTGATTCTTAATTCTCTTCTCTGGCTGCTACACAATTCCCTCTGGGATAGTTACAAGAATTTGGTGTTTGATCAAGTTAAAAACTTCTACTTGATAAGCTGGAGTATTCTCATTGGCTGTTTGCTGGATAATGCATGGATATTATAGGAAGAAGTTACATGTTAATCACTTTGAGGAGTTAAAGGGTTAAAAATGTTCAGTTTCTCTTAACATGATGAATATTAAGAAACTTTTGAAATGACAAAATTATGATAGATCACAAATGTTGAGTGGAACATTAGTATTCACAATATCTGGGGTTAAAGTTCGTTTCACTTTCTCCAAATGAATAAAAAACTTACCCAATAAAATTTTTGAGTTTTTTTTTCAAAAAATAGTGTTGTCCCACAAGGGTTATGAAATCCAGAAACTTAAATTTCAGAGTAAATTATAGCTAGTTTTCTAGAAAACTACAGTCGAATTATCGTTGCTTTTCATTTGATCTTCTTTCCTTGCAAATCACGTTGGGTTCCCTTGTTGAATATTGATGTTTGCTTACTGTAAGATTTAGCTTCAACTCTTAAGGAAGTTTATTTTGCTCTAGAGTGAGTACATTTACCGAAAACAAACAAATGTAACTTTACCTGAAACAGATGACATGTGACGTATTGTCTGCCCTCCTTTACCAATAATTCTTCCGCAAGCATGCTGGGGCACGAAAACTTCTTCCGATCTTATCACTGGTTGCTCTGCAATAACTTTCTTTACGACAATTTCTGCTCTTTTGACCTTTTCACGTTCTCCTTGAATAAGCAATGTTCTATCTTTACCTTGGCCTTCTTCATCTTCATCTATCAAATTCATACGAACTCCAGTGTCTTTTTCTATCTTTTTAATATTAGCTCCAGATTTTCCTATTATAACACCGACCACGGCTCGAGGGATTTTGACCTCGAGAGTTCTTTGGTTAGCGGATGCCACAACATCGCTTTCTTCGACGTGGCTAAAATCCTCATCTTCCTCTCCAAATTGGGAATTCTGCCGTCTCCTGTACCACAGATACAGTAATAATGCCACTAAAGGAACCCCAATTGCAATAGCCGCTCTCTGTTCGACGGAAATGGTAGGCATTTTTAATAGCTTCGCGAAAAATATTGCAAACTGAAAGTAATTGCAGCTGTGGCACCTGGCAGGTAAATGGACCCAAGTTGTCTGGAGACTAGTAAGTCCCTAAGGATCATGGTACATAAGGTCCCGCTGAGACCCCACATTTTAGGTCCCCTATGAAAGGGACTTAAAGAGTGATCCCAAATGATTACTATTAGGAAAATGGTCCTCTCGACGGGGATACGTGACTGAAGTACAATACGTGAGCAAAAACAACAATTTACGCCTGATCGTGACTGAAATGGTCCTCACACGGCAAGGAAGACAAGTTAGTAATTCGGCTTTGCCATTTCTGCCTTTGTTTCTTCGGGCTGCAGTCGTAAAAGGAATGAGGAGGGGTGGAAAAGAGTTGGGTATTCCTACAGGTATGACATAACATAACTGGTTTTCTTTACTATTCTTATGTTTACTGATTCCGTGCGGAGCCGACTTTACAAATACGATCCATCATGTAAGTGTACATGTAAGCTTGTGAAGACGCGAGCTATCTTTAATGTCTGAGGCTAGAAAATAAACAGAAAATAACCAGAGATGGTTTCGTGAAATGATTACTTTTTTGCAACTTGATCGCAGCTCAGAGAATACTTAGATAGCCTTAGTGGTATTGTCAGACTACGGTTGTCTCGAGACAACCCGAAACAGAGATAGATAAATATTCAGCTTGCCTTAGATTTATAAAATTGGATACTCGAACGTGTTAATTTAACAAAAAAGGTCTAAAGATCACGTAGTATAGCCCAGTCACAATTTGAGAGGTCTTTTAGCAATGCTGTTAGGGTTTCTCAAGTCTGGCTCTCTTCCGTGGTACCTAAGTTTGGCTATTGCGCAATTTTTTATGGTCTGCGGTTTCAAACACGTGAAGAGCGACATCCAATCTGAAAAATCCTATTGCTGAGAGTCACCCCTACTTCTTACGGTGGCTAAAATGCCTTCAGATATCATTACGAACTTTTGGCCATACTTTTGCCGAGGAGAAGTTGTTAAAGGTTTCGGCAGAGGAAGCAAAGAATTAGGAATTCCGACCGGTGAGTGTCGTGCGAAGAAGCGGATCCAAGTGTTCGTTTTTCACGCAGTGTGAAAATAATATTACATCTACGTATTCGGTTCGGATTTACTTGTTGCCAATTTTGTTCTGAGAAATCGTATTTGACATTGACCGAAAGTGGATTAAGATAGCGCTAAAAGTCGTGTTCATCGAAGTTCTTCGCGATGCTATTTCGGCCGTTGATTAAATTTCTGTGTGGTCATCATGCTGTGCTATTTGTAGCGAAACTTTGCGCGACTCACGCAAATTTTGCTGTGTCATGTATTTATTTGCATTTTATTTTCATTTCTTTCTTCTGACCGATAACCTGGACTTAGATACTCGAGTGACATAGCACTGACAGAGTCCACTGAAAAATGTAATTCGCATTTAGTGTTTAGCGATTACGTAGGCGTTTCTCTCTCTTTCTTTCTTTTTCTTCTTTTTAGTCAAGGTGACCTACGATCGAGCTAATAATATAATTCCCATTTTTCTTAAAAGAATAGGATGTTAAAATGATTTTGTGGTTTTTTTTCTGCAAAACAGGACACATGTGAGCCATGTGTTATAAAAATCTTTCAGCTGTAGTGATATCAGTTATATATGAGAACAGTAAACTATCACAGAGTATTCAGTAAAGTGGGTAACATACACTAGAAAGGAGAGAGTATTCATTAGAATTTGTTTTTAAAAGGATTCAAGTGTGCCATTTATTTGGACACTGGGTTTAAATTGAACCAGCTTCTGATTATTAATGCAGAGTTGAAATTTCTTATATATCAAGACAACTTGCTTTTGGATCTATGCTGTCAAGTGTACATTGCTTAAAAATAAAACCAAACTAACTTTAAGTTCCCTTTGAGGAAACTGGTTAATGGAACTTGCTAGTCAAATGTGTAATCCCTTATCCAGAAGAATCTGATGCTTCTTCTTTTAACCCTTTAGCTCCCAAGATCTCATTAGTAATTCTCCTTACTGTCTGCCATATAGTTCTTGTGATGTTAGTTTGAGGAATCTGGTATTGAATCAACTAATAATCCCCTCATTAAGATTTTTCTTTATTCTCATCACTTGTCTGCTCAATATTGTATTGATATTGTAAGGAGAAATTCTGTCTTGGTCGCTCATGGGAGTTAAAGGGTTTATGTCTCTGATGATTTGCTGATATTCAAGCTCATCCAGGAATGTCAAAAGTTCTATTAATGTACTATCATCCTTTCCTCTCTGGATTAGCTCAAAGGCTGACCTGCCATTTTTAGCACTAATAGAGCTTCAGAGAGTTATAATAGACTGTTGGCCCCAAGATACCCTAGCATACATGCAGTAACCCACAGGTTAATAACCCTTCTTTTCTTTATTTGCAGCAAACTTCCCTACAAGTGTGGTGGATAATTTACCAGAGACAATAAGTACTGGAATATACTATGGTTGGGCAAGTGTTGATAGAGGACCTGTGTATAAGATGGTGATGAGTATAGGCTGGAATCCATTTTACAACAACACCAAAAAATCAATGGTAAGAGAAAGAAAAGGATACCTTGGATTCAGATTATTGATAGCAGCTCAAAGGAGTTTGAAACATCCCTCCGTAAAATATATTTTGCCATTTACATTGAACAGTCCTATCTGGCAAATATCCTCCCTGTATGCTTAACTGTTTTAAAAAAAAAATTTGTGAAAATTATATTTGGGCAATTTTTTTATTTCCATTGTATGATCAGAGGTAAACTTTGTTAATTTATTGGGTTTCAGGAGACTCATATAATTCATACTTTTGAAAGTGATTTCTATGGATCAGAGCTTAGTGTGGTTATCCTTGGATTTATTCGACCAGAAAGAAATTATCCTTCATTAGGTTGGTATTAGTCATATGTTGGTATTAGTCTTATGCTATATGCCTATGAATAGAAAAGGAAAGGGCACAACACTTTCCTCACTCTTTTTTATCCCTCTATCATTTCCTTTGCTGCCTTTTACATTTCAGTGTTGTTTCTCTATTTCTGTTTACTTGTCTGTTGATGTCATTTTTTATCATATTTAAAGGAAAAAAATATAGGGTCCACACCTGTGTTGATGTTCACAGCACCTTGTTCACTGGGCTGTTTTATTTCTCACCCACATATCAAATTCTAGAAATTGTTTACCAACTGCATAAAAACATTTTAAAATGTTATTGTAGGTGTGATCCCCCAAGTGATAGGTGCAACTGTGCCATTATCACACCAGGCACTCAATTTCCTTTTTCAGGATCTATATTGAACTTGTAACATGTGTTTTGATTCAACTGGGGTTTTCCAGCATACAAGGGCATGACTTTTACTGTTTCACTGGGGCTTAAATAGTTTCCTAAACATTTATTTCACTTATTTTTAATAATTAATTTTCTCTGTCTCAAGAAGGCTGTTGAAGTTGACCAGATTTGCTTCTTTTAAGTGCAGTATTCAAATTTGTTGTTCTTTGTGGCAGGAAAATAATATACAGTTTATACAGTTGCATATTTTTCATTTGAGTTTGGTTTAAATTTTAAAGTAAATATTGAAGTATAATGGAGCAAATGGTGCTTGATTTTGAAAAGAAGCCCATGACAATCAAATACATGTACTTGGTGTCAGAGTGGAGGAATATGTGGTAGATCTTGAGATAATATATAGATTAAGCCAAGGCTAAAAGCGAAGCACACATTTTTTTTTCTCGCACATCTCAAGGGCACAATGCCTTGCCCCAGCCAGGACTAGAACCTGGGTTGTCAGAGAGGAGGAATACATGGTAGATCCATGAGATATGAGTCAGAAATTACAGAACAAGTTATGCCTAGATTCCTGCATTCTGTGAACAGAGTTAACCACACTCAGCTTCTGTGATAAAAGAACTAATGGCTGTACTTCTGTTTCAGAATCTCTCATAGAAGCCATTCATTCAGATATTAAGGAGGCTGAACAAGCTCTTGAAAAGACTGAAAACAAAGAGTATGCATCACATAGCTTTTTCAACAAAACGGATGATTGTACATAACTCATAAACTTCATTTACCGAGAGTAGTTTTAGGCCATATGACCAAGTGGTGTAGCTAGCGAGCATGGCCGCTGTACAAAGGGGAAGGAAGGGATAGTGTACATAAAGGTTAAATGCAGTTGCAGTTGCTAATTGTCTTATGATTCTTCCCCCCCCCCCCCCCCCCCCCAACACACATTGGCTTCTATCCCCTATGAAATATATCGGCCATGTAGCTTAGTTTTGAACATATATGCAAACGTTTTTAATTTATGCTTGAACAATAACACTAAAATATTATACATAAACCTGAGAATGTTTTGGGTTGCATTGATGAGAAAAGAATGGAAACTTATCATGCACAAGTACGCTGTACACTTGATAAGGTTCACCCAATGATTGAGGGTCGAGGAAAAAAGATATCGATAAATTGAATTCTTATACTGTTGTTCAAAACTTGAGCTATCTACAAAATAGAACTGAGCTAAAAAAATGTTGTATTATAATCTTGAGATGTACCAAGTAGTAGTTATCATTATTATTTTGGTGCACAATATGTATTAGGAAAAAATATTATGTGTTTAACTATGTGACCAGTTCAGCCCATTTAAAACGGGAATAATTAACGATGGATTTTCTTCATCTTGACAGTTTGTTCAGGGCCTGTCTGTCTGCCTGTTTGGCTAAAACAGAGTGTTTAAGTTACCATAACAAAGAATTAAGCAAAACCTTTTATTAGTTAAATTAATTAAATTATCTCATCAATCAAGGATATATTTATAGTTCAACTTCAATCAATTGGAAGTTTCAAACCTTATCCTAGTGGTTTTTGTTCTCAAGGAAATAAAGAATTGGGCTGTTTCTATTTGTGAAATGAATATATAAATTAAAAAACCTGATTTGATTATGCAGTGTTTGCTTGTGGATGAAGTCCACTTTTTCAATAGATATCGAGCAGTCTTATCAGAACAGGACGTTTGCACTCACCTTTGTGATAATTGCATGTTATCATCAGAATTATTATCTTTTACCATAAGAGGTTCCACCGTCGTTCTAAGGTTCCTGCTCTTTCGTGGTTTGTTCCTTTTGAAGAATTAAGCCTACATTTTAAGAACGTTATTTGCAATCCGTGTAAGCCATTTTTACATCCTAAACACGAACGAAGAGTTCTCAGAGTTCTTGTCGTAATGTAACATGAAATTCTCTATGCTGAAACACAATGAAGTGTAGAGTAGCTGGAAAGAAAGAATCTACAGTCAAATCTTGAGGAGTAAGAGGTCAAAGAGTTGTAGACAGAGTGAATACGTGCGAACGTTTTTTGTTATAAAAATATCACTTCCGCTTCCTCAAACTTGAAATCTTATCTTTACGGAAACGGTTCTTTTTGGCTTAAGGACTGGTGAACAGGAATGAATTGAAAAATTAAACAGCAGAAAAAATTGATAGAAGATTCGAATTTGATGATCTCCGCAAAAATGTCGAGTGTTTGTACAGATTTTTCCCAAGTTTAGACGGCCATTGACATTCTTGAGCAATATGCATGTCACGTGATACGTTATCCTGTGGTCCTGCATCTAACATCGGTACGACAAAGACCTTTATCAACACAAAAATGTTTTTGCCCTTGACTTATGAAGTGGCGATCGCTAACATTTCATAATTAAGGACATTTGTTATTCCTGGGATATTAGGGAAACATAACGTGTCAATTCCCTTCCCAGAAAAATGGTCAGAAATGTATACGTAACGAAGCCCATCTGTAAGTGGTTGAATCTAACCACATCTGATTTTATGACCTTTTATTTTTGGAGATGAGAAGTGATTTGACAAATTTACTGATTAGCGCCAAATGTTGACTTCGATACGAGATCAACAAGATATTTGGCTTGATATGTGACTTTTGATGATGACGGTTGCCATATATGTGAGATTTTGACAGTCGTGATATGTGCTCGACGAAAATGCTCGCTGCCATTTCAAGCTCCTGAAACTCGATAGCATGTAATATCTGGGAAATACGATAAAGAAATTTCGCCATTGAAACCGAAAACGTCTCTCGGCGTTATTAAGAGCTGTAGAAAAATGTGTCCGGGGAGCGAACTGTCTTGTGTGAGAGGTGAAAATGCATGGCGCTTTCCTCTGTCATCGGGACTGCTTGGGTTTGTGTTAGGATTGTCAACTTTTGGTGCAGCGATGAAACTGTCAGAATACAAGGACAGTCCTAGTCTTCCTCCGATGATAGCTGCAATACCAGTAAGTACAACAACAAATCAATAACAAACGTGTTTGTCAAATCCTTTGTGCACCGTAATTATAAAGAATAAATTGTATTAAAACCATTGTCAGGTTTAAAACGTCAATGACGTTTCATGGAGGTGTTTTCTTTAAATTGATCGATTCTTGGACAGATTAGTACTTAGGAAATCAACGAAAGTTCTATCGTACCAGTAAGTCTCTTTTAGACTCAGAAATCAGCAAGCTGAATTTAAGAGCTTTCGTGAGAAACAAATAAACGATCACATAAGAGTAAAAACTTATGTTTCTCATCGAATGTGATATTAGGTCACTAGAGCAAAAATTAACTTCGAATTAAGTAACGCGAAATCAGTGAAATTTCACCTGCTGAGTGGAAATGGAATCCATAGAATTATAAAGAATAATGGAAGACTGCAAAGACAAGTGAAAGAAAAAATGAAATGTAATAAAAACACAACGTCACGAGATGTGCACATTCCTGTTTCCTGAAAGAGGCAGTAAAGACATGACAATAATAAGGTACGATAAATCAAAGGAGTGGAGTGTGGGATGCATGGGGACAAAAATATTCTGTAATTTTTTTTTCTTTTTTTCTCTCTTATCTAGATGTTAGCTGCAGGGCTTTCAGGTATGGTGGGAGGACGAATGAGGAAACGTTGGCTGGTACGTAAACATGTTTTGTATTCTATCGAAAAAGAATTTCTTGGTAATTCAGTTCCAACTGAAGTGCCCGGCAGGGAATTCGAAGGGAGTGGAGACCTTTCCTTTATGAGCTTCTTGGGAATGCTCCGCCCAAAGAGCACAATTTATAAGCCGTTTCGGTCTGAAAACGCGTGTAGGTTTGACGATGATAGTGCGGCTTAAATTAAATTTTTTTTAATGGGGCCACGAGTGAGTTTAAACAACTCCTAATGAATTAAAAGAGAAAGAGCAGCAACGAACATAAAACATTCGAGCTGAATGTTTGAATGAATTCATGACTTTGCCACTGATGCGAGGCTTTATTTCTCAGTTCTACAAAGCTTAATGGTTTTGCATATCCATTAAAATTTCAAGTACCAGCTCTCTAAAAACTGATACAGAATACGGCACGCTATGATTTGAAATTAGGGTCACGATTTCAGAAACTGAGCTGCACCTTTGCATTAAGAATTCATGGCGGCAACCCATTTCCCTTCAACTTAACAACCACGAAATTTCCATAAGAAATTACCCATAAATAAAAAGAATGAGCCATTTTAGCCTGGTTGATAGATGCTTCAATAGATAGAGTTTGAGTGTGTAAAATATACAAGCCTATAGTGAAACCCAGGTCGGATCGTTTCTGTAATCTGAAGGGCCCAGTTGTATATAGGGCGGATAGCAATATCCAACGGATAAATCGCTATCCAGCGGATAAGTGATGGCGAAACGTATAGCGTTATCTACCGGATAGAGATTTATCTTAGCAGTGGATAGCGTTATCCGACCTTACAACAACTGGGGCCTAGTGTTTAAGTCCTCGAAGAGGAAAATGACTAATAGGAACCCATTCCGGAATCATAACCCCGCAGCCCGATACTCGCTGCCCTTCCCCCCCCCCTTATTACCGCTTGCATGACTTAAATCCAACGTGTTTATCAATGTTTATGTAGCCAATATCACTTGACTGGTTTACGCGTTCGCTTTCCTTTTTTTTTTCTTCACTGACTTGTGTCATAATTGCAATGAAAGAGGGAAGAAGCAAAGACAATACGTACGTATGCAACCCTACTGTCCTTCTTTCCACAGATTTCGCTGCACATGGGTCTTTGTTTGGTTACAGGAGTCTTTGGTCTTCATCTTATGTTCCTTTTCATGGGGAGAGAGGTTAAATCAAGAAATATTTATAAGGCTAAATGTCTTTCCAACTACCAGGGATCTTGTAAGCTCACTTCATTCTTGTTGTACGTTGCGTTTATGTAATCTAAAAACTGGACTGACACCGCATATTACTTGTGGTGGAGGAGCTATAGGTGGTTTCCTTATAAAACAAACTAGTGATAAGTCTAGGGCGGCGATGTCGACTGGAACATGGAAGTGTAAAAACATGGCAAAACTTTTCTTGCCTAGGTTAAACTGAGTCTTTGTGTCTCTGTTCCTCCTCCGGCACTAGACGTTACTTTGCTGCTCATTACTTATTAAACTCTTCTATCGCCTTCTCTGTCTATGAATGTTAAATACGCAGCTCTGATATCGTTAAATATCGTTTAAGCACGAACAATAATCATATGATGCATATGTCCTGTTTCAGATTACTGCCACAGATACGCTACAACTGTTGCTATGTCAGGACTATCTGTTCTAGCGATTACGTTGGCTCCTTTGGGAATTTTATCATATGCCGTCATCAGGCAAATATCTGCGTATAACGTCAATGAAGTCCAGGTAAGTAACGGTAAACATCTAATTACCATAAAAGCTTTGATATGTTCTCCTCTCTATCGAGTCTCCTTCTCAATTAACTTGATTTTTCTGAGGTAAAAAAAAATTTTAGAGATTGATACATCTCTACCCGCTGATCTATCCCTACGACACGACCATCAACTTCTTCTTTTTAACATTTTTAACGTTGTTTTTCTATTTTTTATTTCCAATATTCCAAAGGAAGCAAATAATCCAGCCTTTGAACCCGAACTATCTCCGACTAAGACAACAAATGAAGACCAAGTAGAACATCAGCATCAACAATTTTTTGATAGAGCTGCAAATCATCCACGTAAAACTGAGCCTAAACCAGAGAATCAACGACTAGCAAACCTTAAAAACTCACATGGTGATGAGCGTCTTCCACCCAATCTCAGAAAACCGTACGGTAGTGATCTGGTAACTACTAATTCGTCTCAAAATAAAGTGCGGAATCACCGATTTCTTCACCATAAGAAGCCGCATGACGATATGCGACTTCCGCCCAATCAGCGACCACCTTACCGGGGTGATCAGGTAGGAATTCCTAAACCTAGTGCTCAGTCTAAACCGCCGCAGAATCTGGGTCCACTTCACCAGAAAAACTCACATGGCGATAAACGACTTCCGCCCATCCACAAGCAGTCGTTACGTAACAATTGGGCAGAAAATCAGCCATCTAAAACTGATCCTAGACCGCAGAATCACCGAGCACTTTACCATAAGAACTCTCATGACAATACGCGATTTCCTCCCAGTTACAAACAACCTGACCATGGCAATCGAGAGTCAAGTGAACCTCGCAAAGGTGAATCTCAACCCAAGAATCTCCGACCACCTCATAACAAATATAAACATGGCGATGCGCAACTCACAGACAGAGACGTGAATCGCAGACAGCCTTTCGAACACAGACCTTCCCGTGACCTCATGAGGTACAGTAGGCACATATGTCAGCAGCAAAACATGAATCAAGTTTCCAGAGCACCAACGACACGGTTTGGACAAAGTCACGTGCCATTGGCCAGTGGCAGAGTAGTGAAAGGTATATCGAACACGACAGATAGCTCGTCTGCATAAAAGGGTGTGTAAATTGCCAAACTTTTGTACAACGCACAAATCGAATACATGATGTAGAGGCTATGAGCTCGCTCGCTTAGGTCAATAAAAGTCACTTCGCTAACGTTTCGTCAGGAAACACAGGGCGCAGAAAGACTTTTAGCACGTTTCGATATAAGATGATGATATACTCCATTTTTTTTCATCTCTTCAGCATTCATAAGCATTCTTGCCATCATCAATTTTTTTACACCCATTTTATTGCTTATGCAACCATTCCTGTAAATGGTTATGCGAATAAATTTCTGATGTCGTCGTTAAAAGGAAAGAACAAAATAATTTGATTGACCTGCCTCTTGCTACTCACCATTTCTGAACTTGACGTACACAATTCAAAGCTTTAAATAGACAATGGCAAACTGTTCGTTCATAAATTAGCAGCCTACGTTAAGTATTGTTGTAATGAGTTTTTATAAGTTAAGGTTCAAGGTCTCTCATTTTTCATCTCGTGAATTAAGTTCAAGGTTATTCAAAGTTAAACCCTTACAAGGAGTTCCTTGATTTTAACTGTTTTGACTTAGAGTCGGAGTGCCATTTTTTTTTAGTGAACATGTCTTCGAAATTGACACTGACCTTGGACCTCATCCACACGAGTGTTCCTGTTTGGGTTTCCAGTTCAATTTTGTAGTCTTACCATTCGAATAACATCAGCTGTATACTTTTTTGGTTGATCACATAGCCAGTTTGTTTTCACGCATTGTTTTAAAAAAACAGGAAGCGTAGGAAGAGTTCTCACGCCCGGAAAACCCGAACACGTCTACAATTTAGATACCTTAGGAAACCACAAATTGGTTACTTTTCACCTATGTAGTTGTAGATGTGAGAGGCGGAATTATTTTGAGTATTGATTAGCCAAAAAAATGAACGTTGCCAGCGTCGGTGCGCAAGGAGAAGAGTAAATAGACAGGTACAGATCCTTGATCCTTTCAGCTAAATGTAAAATGCTCGGGATTTCCCCCCAAAAGCGTAAAAAATCAGTGGGACGTATGATTACGAAATTAAGCTCTTTCAAATGAAAACTCTTAATTAATTTCCACAAAGGTGTTTTTGGGGATCTTTGTAATTTAAAGAAAATGTTTAATTAGCTAGATGACCAGGGTGTAGCTAATGGGAGTCTTAGATGTATTTGCTAATTCCAAAGGATTTAGAAAAACAATCATTGAGTCTCCACACGAATAGCTTGATAATCCCTAAATCTTCGAATCCCGTTTTTGATCAAAATCTGAATTCCCCCCTCTGACGTCTTGAATAGGCGCCCCTCTTTCTGCTCGTTTTCATGGACGCAATAAGACATTATAGGACATGCGTTATTGATTGTGTTTATTCAGCCACGTTCGTCCAATCTTGCACACATATGTCACACTTAAAGCCTTCTTTCAGTCTGTCAACAGGTTAAGTTTGGGGAAACTGATCACGAATAAGAAGAGCAGCTGAAAAGTGCCGCTGTTAAAACTTTAGGATGAGCTTCGTGTTGTCTTTATGCGCGAATGCTGTCCTATAACTCTCAAAATGATAACATCTAGCCAAGATCTGGGGAAACCTTAAAAAGTACCTTCCTTATTTCTTGAATGAACTCTCCCTTGCCTTTTCGTCAGTTTTCAAATGAGCCAAGTACCTCCAAGGTGCTTATTAAAAGGCGAAGGTATCCTTTGATTCCAACCCGGCTGGTGAAGGGCCCCATACTGGGTCGGATCCTGTCAACGTGTTGGTACATTCTGCTCTATAACCTGGAGTAAAACTTAATTAATATGCGGATGAGGTGCTGAAGTATGAAGAGTTTTTAAATTTGCTGAGACAACAAGCTTCTAAAGCATCACACCACAGTTCCTAATTGTTTTCCATTTCCAAAGCCGTTGTCTTTCACTGGTGACATGCTTGAGCTCCCTACCATCGCATCGAAGTCTATAGAATAAACGCTTTGGTTACTTGACTGTCGTTTACGACTGAGTCTGGATTTTCTGTCCACGTGCTCCGGAGTTCCTAGTGACACAATGGCCAGTTGATCGCCATTCTGTAGCAGAGGTAATGTTATGGTGTTAAAATAAGCGTGCGATATATCATGCAGACATCTTCGATAAAACCTGCCATAAGCTTTTCGAGTGGTAAGACATGGTTAATCGTTCAGTCCTCTAAGTTTTACACCAAGGACCTTACAGATAAAACTGAGTTCGTTTGGCCGGAGCTATTTTCCATCTCATCCAGGTGCAACCAGCAAAATAAACGGAGTTCATTGCAAGGTTCCTTTTGTCCCACAGTGCAATGCACCACGGTATTTACAATTAACATTATAACCATGATATGCGTTTCACCTTCAACTTGGCAATGTTGTCTGCTATTTTTACCGCTTGTTTAAAGAGCTAAATTATCTAAGGCAAAAGAAAATCTCTTAATTCTGCAACTTACCGAAATAGCACAGCAAAGTAGCTGAGATGATTCTATCACGCCTGACAGGGAAATGGCAGACTCGAGAATCAAGATGCTTATTAAGGCGATCATCAGAATTGATTCTGTGTCATACGGGCATTGTACTGTTCGTATGAGAAACAAATTCATCCATTATAAGGGTTGTCAGTAACTGAGTTTTCAAGTGTTAAGAGCCAAGGTGATCGTGTGATCAGACTGCCACAAATTCTAAAACTTATTTACAAGTTGTATTTCTGTTTAGCGGATCGAGAGAATGGGGCGCAGAATCCTGGTGGAAAATCATTTTCAAGTCCGCAACGATCTGGCTTCCTATCTGGATTTTATTCCCTTTTAATTTAGGTTTATCATCAGTGTCCTCCTCAGTGTTTTTCTATTGAACCAAAGGAATATTTTTAGGTTTCTTTCACGTCTCGAGAAACAACCTAAGAGTCTCAAGGCATTATCATGCGGATAAAGCTCACCGTGCTCACATTCACCCGCTGATCTCCGCGCAGTCAGCGTGATTCCCACGCACGCGGCAATGATTGCTCCGAGGATACACGAAATGACACTAGCAGCGAAAAAAACACCTGTCTGATAACAGAAATGTCAAGAAATACGTTCTCAGTGAGTGAATTTTGACGAATATTACCGGTTGATTGTAAATATATAATAGAAATAGTATCGAGTTGTGTGAAGAAACTTTCGTAGACACGGTTATCACGAGAAAGCCTCAATCAAGTGTTAAAACGTAGAAAAACGTCAAAAACTTACCGCGATGAATTTGCCACTTATTCCCCCGAATATTCCAAAACTTCCAGCGACGACGATCTGAAATTATTCGAACTGTTCAGTACTCAGTATTGCACGTCCCATCGGCCCGTTTGGCCTTTTTCTTGGTAAAGAAAAGGGATTTTACGGCAAACCTGCGATTATTTTAGTTTTTTTTGCATGATCTTTTGTTGTGCGGCACAAGATTTGTAAGAGACCAAAAGGCTCAATCAGCAAAGCAATTTGTCATGGACATCACCGATTGATTACCTTTCTATTTTCATACAGTCTATGAAAATTAAGGGAGTCGGTCGACTTTCCCTTCTCAGCGCGAAAATGATTGATTGATTGATTAATAACTAGGAAACAAAAGTAAGAAACAGTAATTTATTCAGTAGTCGATCCATTATCCACTCACACACGCTAATGTGTTTTCTCAAAGCTGTATTTGTCTTTTCGATCTTTCACGTCGTGCTTTCAATCCGATATTTTTGCCAGAAAGAAAATATTTCTTTGTGAACAACCCGCAGAGTTTTACTTTCTTTTCTCGTTTAAATTTTATCAGGAAAGTTATCACTATCTCTGATGGATTTTAAGCTAACAGCGGTCCACTTGCACGGCAAAATACAGGACAATTTAAATTTTACGGTGAAAACTGTTAACAAGTTGTCAATAAATGAACCAAGTCGAAGTTGCAAAAATTTCTATCAAAAATTTAAATGATCTATGTAATTAAAAGAAACTTACGATTTATACTGACATTCAGGAATTGCACGTTTTGACAAAATCAACAGTAGAAATTTCGTTCAATCACTGTAGGTGAATGCAGGAAGCTTATGGTATGATTTTTGAACGATAATTTTTCTTTTTAAAGAGATCGATTGATTAAAAAAGCACGAGCTACATAATTAGCGTATGGAGCATTAAAATAACCTTTTGTGGGTTGGAAAAAGATGACATTTAATTCTGATGAGATGTTTAAAAATTAATGGACGTAATTTGAAAGAGTTACACTGACGAAAATTTATCGACGATTCAGTGAGATTTTCAGCGTAGTACTATACGTTTCTGACTAAATTAAAACACCAGTCTATCAAGAACTAATCAATTTTTCTGTTTTTCGAGTGAGAATCAAATTTACGAGGTAAAAATTTGACTCAAAATGCTGCTAAGCAAACAGAGGTGTGATGATCCCAAATGAAAAGATGAAACGATGTGAGCGTTAGTTTTCCTTCGGCTCTGAAAAGCTTTTCCAAAAGTAGCAAACTAAAACTGAATTTCTTTGTAGAAGTTATCAGGAGAAAAATTTTAGCTTTGCAGAGTATTAATGGAAAAATTAAAATAAAGTAAAATTCGTGTTTGTTGTTCGAATGAGAAATATTTTTTCTCCAGTATAAATATTACTGTGCAGCTGTTGTTGTTAACAAGAATAGACCTAGTTTAAACGTTTCTATATATTAACAAAAAAGTCGTTGCTCATTTTGTGAGAAAATCCAGGCATAGAAATGAACTTTGTGTTACTTTATGTGATTTCTTCTTGCTTCTAAGCGAAATTTATCTGGCTTGAAAAAAAATTTTTTACAATAGATAGGGGGAAATTTATGTTCAAGCTCTTCGTCTAAAGCTGCTTGCGTCTCTACGATACTTACGGGAACAGCTCCCCAATAAGTAACACCGGTTTCAAAAATCTTCCCAAGGTCATCGCTCCTGTTGCTCAGAACAAAACTCAAGGCGAAGACACAAAATCCCAAAACAATCTGGGAGATCCCTGTGCACACGACTTGGTTCGCTCTGTTTTCTTGAAACGCCATTCAAATTCTTGTTTGAGGTAAACTTAATCTTTCAGGAAATATATCTGCCAGAGTTAGAGTCAATCACGCAAGACTTGGACATCGGGCCTAATGAAAGCGTCCACTTCATATTCGCCCAAGGGCACAAAGGCCATTTCCTTTTGCTTTTATTTGCACTAATTTTCTTATCGCAAATGCAAAGTATGTTTCTGATGAAGTTGTAATTATCGCTGCATAATGTAATCACGTCTTACATGACACGTTCTCAAGGTTTCCATAGCAACACGGCAGATTGACTGAAGAGAATCGGTGTTTAGTTTATCACTTCGGCACTGAAAAGATTGGATCGTGTTCTTAATTTCTTGAGTAATTTTGCACAACAGAGTCGCCGTGTTATTCTTCAGTGAACGTTCTACATTTCTGGACTTGGTGTTGTTTGTAGGACAGTACAACAGGAACAGTCCCACACTACTGATTGGAAATAAATTAGTTTCGGATTAAGTGAAAAAGAGGACTTCATATTCAGTATTTGAAAAGACGGTAGCAATATTATTTAAGTGTCTTTAGGTTCTTTTTTTGTGTGTGTCAACTAGTAATTTTATCTGAAGGTTTTTTTTTAAAGTTTGTTTCCCTCCCGCCTCGATTGGCTTAGGTATTTTACGGGTAGGGACTGTTAGATACGTATTTTATTATTTTTACTTTTATTTTTAGATTTTGCAGAATCGAACCGTTCAAACGAATATTTCAACAAAGTCACACGAAGAGAACATGGAAGATGTAAATTAAAGGTCTCCTACGCGAAATTCTTCTCTTTCTTTAGTTTCTTTGCACATGCAGTTGATGAAAGTAAAGAATTTCAACACAATAACCTAAAATACCGCGTGTTAATTGACTTAAAGGGAGGACTGGATAGGAGAATTGTTAGCTGGAGGTCCATACGATATGGCCCCAAGCCAAATGTTTTCCCTTCCGATCCGACCTTACTCCACCATTAAGCATTTTATCGTATAATAAACTTTAGCCCTCTCTCTTTCTTCTTACTTAATTGATTTCAATAGGTCATATGCTGGGTGGAGAGGAACTATTTGTGCTTCTCTGTAAGGCCCTTATACAGTAATCTATAATTGTTCTTTCCCAATAAAAGCTTGGGCTAGGCCAGATGAGTCCCGAACTGTACTCCCCATCTATAGAATACTAGTCCATTGCATACAGATGCCCCCCCCCCCCATGTTCTTACGTGGAGAGAGGCACTGTGACTGAAATATATTTCCAGAGAACACAAGTGGCCTTACAAAGGTTATAACTTGAGCCAACCAACCTGTGTTTTGGTCACAAAATCATATATTACCATATGCAGTGATACAAAGTGGTTCACATGTGCAGTAAAGTGTCTGTTAAGATTTTGAAACACTTGTGAACAAATGATCATATGTTATTTCCTAAGAAACTACATACATTGTATTAACAAAGATAAAAAATTTAACATAAATACTCTGTACTTCCTACAGAAATGCAATTTCCCAAGGTGAAAGATCTTTATTTCTTGTGTTTTCATATTTGTGTATTCCAAAACAAAAGGTATTTATGCTATGCCAGATTTCTGAAGTTTCAAATAATACTATAATTCATTGGCCATTATTTCAGCTAGCTTATCACTAAAATAGTCCTCAACTTTTGAAGAAATTTTCCCTTGTCTTGCATGGAACTCAAGCATTTCCAGTAACAGACATCTTGTTTTGGCAGATGAGTTATCAGAGAGTATAGTGTCTCTCATCATTCCCAAGAGTTCCTCTGCTTTCTCCTGTCCAAAAGAATCAGCAAAATGTAGTTACACAAAGTTAGCCAAATTAATGTACATGACTACCACTGATAGAAAATAGGACTGTCTCCTTAGACCAAGGTTTGAAGATAGATACATGAAAGATTCACTTGCATATAGAGGTTCATCTTTTCAAAATATCTTTATCTACCATGACAAGGAGGAAGAAGCTTCCAATTTGAATTGTCTTAGGCAGCAGTAAGTCCTAATTAAAATTCTTATTTTCTGATTTTCTGTTTCTTAGCGATTGGTTTTTGGTTTTTGCTAAAAGTATTAATGGGTTTTTGGATTTGATATCCGATGTGGTTTTTGGTGTTTCCTATTTGACCTATTTGGGTTCCAGTTTCTCTTCGATCTGAGTGGCAATTACGCGCCTTTACTGATCTCAAACAACAGCTAATTGCAAATGTTAACAAGACGATTGCATGACAAACCAATTGAAATATTGCAGGGATCCCTAAGTAGCGTCTGTGTAGCCATACCCTTCCCCCCCAAGGTGGGGGGAAGGGCAACTACACAGAGGGTACAGCTGAGCACAGAACATTGTCAGGGTTTCTTTATCAACGCCACCTTGGAGTTGGTGACCAAGTTACAGGCCACATGTGACCGATTGATTCAACATTCCAATTACATCTCCAAACTTTCAGGTCTTAGTTCGTAAATGGAAATGTTAGATATGGGATTTTTGATAAAACTTTCCAGAGCTATAGCTTTCTGCGACTGCAAAATTGCAATCCTATGAAGGTCTTTAGTGTGAATTTCCTTAATTTAACTAGGCTCCATTACCAGCTGCTGAGTCTGCAGAGACCATGCTCAAGGTCCTGAAGAGAGCAGCTGTTAATTTAAGCAGATACTAGAAGATACGAATGCCAAGTCCATGGCATTCATAAATCCTGTAATGAAATTAGTGTAGTTTACACTGTATGCTCCACTTGTCACCAGTCTAAATCAGATCAACCACGGTTTTAATAACTGGGATTGAAAATGTAACAGTTTTTACATTTTTGCATGTGGTTTTCCGTTTTGATAGAATTTTTTTTTTCGGTTTTTCGGTTTTGGATGATTTTTTTCTACAGTTTTGCGGCTTCTAATAGGCCCCAATGCCAGCTTCCTAAATGTTTGATTCAGCTTTGATAAAGTAAAGAGAAATTGAGTGCGGGTCACTCTTGGCGGTTTGAAAGCTAACACAACCCTGCTTTTACCTACCTGATTAACGGTCTCCAAAAGAAATCCTACACCTTTAAAATTCTCATAAAAACAGTCTATTTCATCTTCTTCGAGCTCTTCATCATTATTGTCGTTCTGTCCTTCGCTCGATAATAGCTCACTCAACGTCTGGTGTACCGCTGCTGCTAGGGGTCTTAACGGAGCCTCACCAGTTCGAAGATGACGAAAAAGTTCGCAAATAAAACACGCTAGCCCGATCCATTCGCTTGTGGAGTTCGCACGAATACTTTCTCTCTTCTTGTACTGTTCTTGAGTAGATTTCAACAGATCGCCTCTAAATGCAATTCCAAATGATTCATCGGAGCAAAGCTTGTTGGCTACTTTGGCAGCTAGAGGTGCAAAATAGCTCTTCTTGATCGTCCGCTGAATTAAATGATCAACGACGTCCTTGAGTTTCGTCGATGAACTAGATTGTGATATGTGGTGAGAAATTTCCTTAACTTGTGTGTCCAAAGTGTTTTCCCCTAGATCATTCAGCACCTTTGTCAAATCAAATTCATTAGACGATTTTTCTGTTGAAATATCAGCTTGCTGCTCAGATTTTTCTCCCGGTTTGCCCGGCTTTGGTACTCCAAATCCACCTCTGCCTCGACCACGGCCTCGTGCAGCGGCCGCCATCTTGATCACCAGTGCCAGTTGCTTTGTTACCGGGAGGCACTAGGACCAGTAAAGCTTTTCAAGTAGCTCCTCACTGGGGTAGGGTTGTACGCCTTCTGTGTTCAATTCATTTTCACCGAGTCTGTGTTCTGGTGTGTTTCAAGATTTTCGACAAACCAAACTATGAGGTTGCGAAGCTGTTTTTAGAACGAAAAAAAAACGTTATTCTGAACTGCGTACTACAAAACATTTTTGCCAAACCTCCACCAGTCCGGTTCACATTGTAATAATACCCAGTACACTTTGCGAAACGCGATACCAAGATGGCGCTTGAAGTAGAGTCTGCCGAGTAAGTGCACTTTAATGTTGTTATTTGTGCATGTAAAGGACTGATGCTCCAACCAATACCTCTGATCAAATTACTAATTGATAATATTTCCAAGGTTATCGCTTTATTTTTCGAGAGAGCTAAATTATTGGAAAAATTATCCAAGAAGTAACCACGTGTAGGGACAGAAATTAGGCGACGCCGATTATGAAAGTCAGTGCAGACGAGCGGGCAATTGTTTTGATGGCGTAGGGTGATAGAATATTCCTTTCATGATGGGAACTACGATAACCGTTTGGTTTGATCTGCAGTCAGGAAAATAGCGGCGAAATAAATTTGTTTTAGGAACGATCGTCTTGTATGCTCTCTATTCAAGCAGCTCTACTGCGTTGGCTGTACTTGTTGTTGTTGTTAGGTAGCTTTTTCGATAATGGTACTAGGACGGAGAGGAGTTCAATTCGGTCTGTAATCATTCGAGTGATCAACAAAAGCGGACGACCGCGAAGCAGGAGTCCTTTTTGTTAATTATGAGTATGATTACATACAGAATTGTACGACACGAAGTCCAGTTGCCAATTAATCAAAACTATGACAAAATTTTAAAAAGAAAGAAGACATCTGTTATAAGTTTTCATAAAAAACAGCAGTTAACTCTGCAAAATACACAACAACAGTGCATGCACATGATGAGTACTGTCCATTTACCCAAGCATGATTGCATCAACTGTCCTACCAATGATAAAATCAGGCTGGTGATAACCAATCAAGTTTGAGAATTTTGTTATAATTTTGATTAGTTTTAGAAAAAAATAGTTGAGGAATTTCATGTACCTGATCAAGCACCTGATCACTTTACTTAGTAACCATGGACAATTGATTAAAACAAAGGTACGATATAACATGATAAGAAACAACAACTCTCAGTGGAAAATCAGACTGCATCTACGAGAGCAGGCAAGGATAAAAACCTGAGTAAACTAAGAAACAAATCCAGCAAGCTCTCAGAGCAGGGCACAGATTGAATCAAGGACCTGATGATGTCAATTTGTTTAACTAGCAGTGTCTAATCAATTCACAGTTTGGTAATATTATGACTTGATTTAAATTTCAGTGTGATCCGACTGATCCAACAATTTCTTAAAGAAAACAGTTTACCAAGAACCCTGGCAACTTTGCAGGTACATTGAGAGTAATAATAACTGCTGTAAGAAAAGCAACTTAAAGAAGATATTAGAGAATTTCCTTCTGTGTGCGTCAGGAGTTGTTTGCTTCCCATACGCAGATGTGAGAATTGGAATCCCTGTGGTTTCCATTGTTGTGTTGTTAGCAGTATGGAACACTTAGTTTGTTATGTTTCCTGCAGGAAGAAACTGGAATTACCTTGAATACTGTTGACAGTGTAGAGAGTTTTGTAGGGGAAATAAACAATGGCCATTGGGATACAGTCCTTCAGGCAATTCAGCCGCTCAAGCTACCTGACAAGAAACTTATTGACTTGTATGAACAGGTAGGGGAGACCTTTCTACATTGCTCACATTTATTGAAGCAAAATCTAAAAGCTGTTTGTCATCATGGCAGCACATTTCTCCTCTTTCTCTTTGTTTGTAGTGTCCTTAACATTTGAAATTGTGTTATAATTGTGATGTAGATTGTTTTGGAGCTCATTGAGTTGCGTGAACTGGGAGCTGCAAGGTCATTGCTGCGCCAAACAGATCCCATGATCATGTTGAAGCAACAACAGCCTGATCGATATCTTCATCTCGAAAACATGTTGGCTCGTTCTTATTTTGATCCTAGAGAGGTAGGCCATTGATGGTTTAAAATAAGGAACAGATATGAAATTTCATGAACCATTTATTAGTTAGTGAGTGTGAACGTGGGAGCCTTTTGATGGCAGAATAGATAAGATTGGACAAATATAGAAATGATCCTTGCAGTTATGAACACTACTGAACTAGTAGTTGAAATAAGGCCTGAAAAAAATTCAGGCCCATACAGGATTTGAACCCATGACCTCTACAATACCAGTGAAGCGCTCTACCAACTGAGCTAACAAGCCAACTGGGAGCTGGTCATTATTTTGGATCCAAATAAACCTTCAAAGTGGTGAAATAGTCAGATAAGATTAGATTGGGCCATTCTTGCTCTTGCTGGGGTGCACAGGGTCTCCACCATGGCTCTCAGTTTTTTTGGCAGTTCCCTTTGCCTCCCTCCAAGTGAAGATGGCACAATGCTGCAAATGTTATTTTCAACTATTTTCCAATTCACTTTTTAGGCATACCCAGAAGGTGGTAGTAAAGAGCGAAGGAGAGCTGCAATAGCACAAGGTATTTATGTCTTTAAACTAAGTATTAATTGTCTTTGTTTTGATGGGAACCATGGTTTTTCTTTACTAAGTTGCCTCCTGTAAAGAGCAAAAATTTCATAGAAGGCTTTTTTACATACACAATTTTTAAAATTTAGTTTCATCAGCTGAGTTGAGTGAAATAATCGGCCATGGTATCGAGTTTCTAAATCTGATGTTTTAGGGTTTAGCTCTTTGCCAGAGAAAATGCGAATAAATTGCGTTCAGCATTGTTTTGGTTTGGAATTCTGTGCTGTGTTGAGAATTACTATTTCACCATTTTCCAGCCTTGTCAGGTGAGGTGTCAGTTGTGCCACCATCTCGTTTGTTGGCACTGCTTAGTCAAGCACTCAAATGGCAGCAGTATCAAGGTCTTCTTCCACCAGGAACTACTATTGATGTTTTTCGTGGAAAAGCTGCTGTGAAAGATGAAGAGGAGGAAAAGTATCCCACTCAAATGAACAGAACCATCAAGGTATGCAATGAATACTTTTATGTTTTCTGTTCACATTTAAACCTTTGGTTGTGAGTACAATAGCCAAACAAGCTTAAGATATTGTGTTGAGTTATGAGCTGAACAAGAAAATTGCACCATATTTTTAATGAGTATAAGTGTGCTTCTTTTCTCCTCAGTTTGGGGCCAAATCACACCCTGAGTGTGTCAAGTTTTCTCCTGATGGGCAGTACTTGGTGACTGGGAGTGTGGATGGTTTTATTGAGGTGTGGAACTTTACAACAGGAAAGATCAGAAAGGATCTCAAGTACCAAGCTCAAGATAACTTCATGATGATGGACGACTCTGTTTTGTGTTTATCCTTCAGTCGAGATAGTGAAATGTTAGCATCTGGAGGGCAAGATGGAAAGCTTAAAGTATGATTTTACTTTGTTTTTGTTAGATTGTGGTTTTGAATGTGATTTGTAATGAGGGGGGGATGGAGGTTTAGATGTCCTAAATTTTACAATAGAATCTTGACGACTTGAAATGAGAAATATTTGAAGATGACAGGGAGTTTGAGTTGGTTAATAAAGGATGATTAGCAATGCATTTGAAAGGAGGTGGAGTTTGCAAGAAGTTTGCTTAACCCTTTAACCCCTAAAAGTGACCAGCATCTAATTTCTCCTTACAATATCACCACTGAATCACACATTAATGTCATGAGAATAAAGGAAATGATCACCAGCTTAAGAATCTCTTAATTTTTGCACAAATTCTCCTTGTCAGAACCTTAGTAAATGTACAGAGAACAGTATGGAGAATATGTATACTGATGTTAGGGTGTAAAGGGTTAAGTGAACCCAGTTATTGATAGGGAGGTTCCATTTATCTTAAGGTTGTTTCCTTTCTGCTCTCAGGTTTTGTTCTTTACATCTGATTGTTCTCCTTTCTTGTTTTACTCTGTTTCTTTGTCCTGTAGTATTTTTCTCTCCATCCTAAATCATTTCTTTTACCTCTGTCGGTGTAATTAATTTTCAGATTGTATTTCCAGGTGTGGAAGTTACAAACTGGTCAGTGCCTGCGACGTTTTGAAAAGGCTCATGCTAAAGGAGTCACTTGTGTAACATTTTCTCGTGATGCAAGTCAGCTGCTGAGTGGTTCTTTTGATATGACAATAAGGTGCGTATACAAACACATGATGCTTGTTCCATGAGACAGTTTGAGGTAAACTAAACTTCTGGTAATGTTGCTTGGTTATGCTCAGTGATTGGTACTGGAAACTCTTGCGTTACCCTCTCCACCAATCAATTGGAAAATTTAAACCAATCGTAGCTTGGTCTTTCACATTTTCCTACACTTAATGATCATTACTTGTAATGAGTTTGTGTTCTCATTGACCCCTGTATTGATCTTTGTTCTGATTGTTGCCCGTGATTACTTTGGCTTTGGGACACTCATTTGAAATGCAGTATGTGGGGAACATGCCCTAGTACTTTCCTTTATGGACACACTATATACCACTATATACATATAGGCATACACTTACATGGAACTATTTCAAAAATTAAAACGATATACAATGTACCTGTTGTATATGCAGCCTTCCTGGTGAAGAGTGTGCTGAAAACAAGACACATTAGATAAAATCCGAGAGTTTGTAGCTGTCCTTAAAAGAGAGCATTTAATGTGGTGGACATTTTATTAGAACTGTTTTAAATTTTTTCTGTACTTTCCTAAGTAATCAGGCCTTTATGTGTAATGGATTAAAATAGGTGCAGTTTTAATACTAGCTCTACTATTATCATTTTCCAAACCTTGACTCATTTTTGCTATGTAACCTCTTTGCAGAATGCATGGGTTAAAATCTGGCAAGACTTTAAAGGAATTTCGTGGACATACATCGTTTGTAAATGACGCTATTTTTACAACAGATGCCCACAACATCATCAGTGCCAGTAGCGATGGAACTGTTAAGGTACCCAAGTGTAATCATGAATCAACATTAAAGCTCTCTCTATGAACAAAGGGATTTTAGAATGCAGTCAACAGACTCCATGGAAATAGAAACAGATATTTTTTTTTTATGCATGAGAAATTGTCTGCTTGCAGAGTAGGCACAGAAGTGAAACTCATCTTTGTACCTTAAACAATCAAATATGAAGTTAAAGGGTGTTTAAGATGTAATTGTTCATTTTTCATTGCACTCACGTTAGCTCTCTATAATGCCTGATTTTATAGTTGTTCCATTTTATTCTTTTGTTCAGCTTTGGAATATTAAAACAACCGAGTGTCTTCACACGTTCAAGCCATCAGTAGGGAGTGTTGCCACTGATATCACAGTAAACTCTGTGCATGTGATGCCAAGGAATCCTGAACAGTTTGTGGTGTGCAACAGAACAAGCACTGTACTGGTTATGAACATGCAAGGACAGGTAGGATTCATGACACATGTTTGTCTGACAACCAATCTAAAATGTTAAATCTACTACACACTTAACACTTTTGATTAGATTTCGATCCTATTGCTGATGATTCAAGCAATATATAGGACCCTTGTTGCAGATGTATCTTTCATATGGGTCAGTTCACGATGGAGTTACTTACCACTCTGCTGGGGTTAGCATTAGACCTTGAAGGTCCGAGTTGTGATCAGCATGCGAGCAGGTTCTCATCATCAGTGCTACGGAACACAAGTTTCTCCATCCACGGAAAGATATGAGATGAGTAGGGGAGAGGTTTGCCAGGGGTCTGGCACTAACAATGAATCGGTCCTAAACCTGTCTCAGACCTCTCGCTGGCTCATATTGCTCAAGGGTCTGGCAATGTGACCTCTTGCTGGTTCTTGTTGCCTAAGGCCTCATACTTTCATGTGTGTGAAGGAATGTTCATGCTGAAACACAAATGATTGGGACCTGTTCAAAGGCGAGGGTTTGATTCCATATGAGTACTCAGATTTTGTTTTGTCCCATGCTCATGAAAAATTATGATCTTTTTTTTTGTCTCTTAATCAAGAAATTTCCTGTTCTTCTAGGCTGATTGGGAGCTGTTGTGAACTACTAAGTTAGCCACACTTTAGTCTGTGAGAATTCAACTTCATTAAATCTAAGATAAATACAATTTTCCATTTCCTGATGGTACTGAAATTTTTGTTTTCCTCCAGATCGTGCGTAGTTTCACCAGTGGTAAAAGAGACGGTGGTGACTTTGTGTGTTGCACCCTCTCCCCCAGGGGAGAATGGATATACTGTGTAGGGGAGGATATGGTCATGTACTGTTTTAGTGCCTCTACAGGAAAACTAGAGCAGTCTTTACAGGTATGTGGTGTCATTTTATTGAGTGGTAGGTTTTTGCCTTATTTTTTTTGCATGAAGAAAACAAAGAATTGTAATTGTTCATTTTTCATACCCTTGAAATTGGCAATGTTTGAGTATATTCAAACCCCATTGTCGAAAAGGCTGTTTTCTTTGGGTTGGTATTCTGCACAGTTATAAATAATCCCCATTCATTAAAAGAGGCACCCAATTCAAACCTCTATCTTTATAGATTTCTCAAAAATAGCCTACACAGAAAAATCTGTTCATTTGGAATCTTTGTTAATCTCCGTCATCTTAAACCATTCACATTTATTTTTTTTTGTTTTGTTTATTAATTCCATTTGGCTTTTCATCTGTTACCAAACCAATATTTTGTGTTTCTATTGCATTGGAGGCAGTTGTATCTGTTGCATAAAAAGGTAACTTGAATCACCTTGATGCTGAATGGAAGAATTTGCCAACTCATGTGAGGTTTGGACAACTCCTACATTGGACATCAAATTTTTTCTTTTCTATATTTCAGGTTCATGACAAGGATGTGATAGGTGTTGAACATCACCCTCACAACAATCTGATCTCCACCTACAGTGAAGACGGACAATTAAAACTATGGCAACCATGAGAAATACATGAAAAAACCTGCGTGTTGCTCAGACATAGATTCGCCCTCTAAACTTACTGCTAACTAAGAAAAAAAGAACTCAAAATAAAACATCTAAGCCATGGAAGGATTTGCAAACTTGTTCATCAGTTTTTTAGGACTTGAAATAGATGGAGGGCACTTTATTAAAAAACTTTTCATTGAATCTTGAAATGAAACTGTTCAATTTAACCAGGCCTAGCTTGTACTCTACTTTTAGTTTTATTTGTGCCTCAGTGAACTTGACTTTGTGTATAGAACTTGCAGGTTTTTTTTTCTTCTTCAAGAATTAGAGCCTGGATCATTCTAACTTGTATAAATAAATTTATCAAAGGTATGTTGTTCTGGTATCCATCTTGAATAATCTTTGTGAAATTTCAGTTAATCATGATAATTGATAACAAAAACCCCAAAAGTAATAAGCAAGCAAATTCACCATGCAGATGTCAATACATTCCCTAGCTAGCAGGGGTTGAGAATCAGTCTGAAGGTGGTATCCTGATATGATACTGAATTCTCTCACTAACTTACAAGAAAAATTATCGCGGTTAATCGCCAACTGAATCTTTTGAACTTGAGGGTTAAGAAGAATGTTTGGTGTTGTCACTGGCAATTTGAAGCATGGCGTGCATTCAGTTAGCAACACATTGAGAATTTTTGCAAGGGAAGAATTAAATAGAGATATTAATCTCCATGCCAAAATCCAAATCTAAAGATTTGACTATTTAAATAATTTCAAGAATTGGCACTTTTCTGCAACTTGGGCCATCTATGGTTTATTGCTTTTTCTCGTACTTCAAGCAGATTTTAATTGTGAATTTTCTTCCAGTTTCAATTGACTCTTTATATTTTTCCCTTTGTTTTGATTGGCTGATATGATCACTTTGGTTTAAGTTGGTTTTGTAACAATCCATCGTGATGCATAGTACATTGTGTTGTAAATGTACTCCTGGTTTTCTACCTAATTATAGTCAACTTCTCTCAGTAACAGCCTTGAGAAGTTTGGTTTTTTAAAATTTACTCAAACACTCTATCTTTTTTCTGGAGAAAGTATATTTAATAGCTAAAGAATCTGTGAACTATTGTTGCCTCTAAAGGACAATATACTCTAAATAACATTCATATGATAATAATACTCCAACTGCGTTATTTCAATTCAAAAACAAATTTAAAAAAATTGCTTAAGTTGATTGTTCAGCACCAGGACTAAATAGCTTTGGGAGAATCAGCATACACAAGACCTTTGATCTTCACTTGTTCACTATTACTGTATGACAGCTTATGTATGATAGCTTATAACTTTTTATTCAACATAGCAGGGAGCAAGTGAAAGTAACTTTGTTTGTTAGTGTTTTCCCTTCTAAACTTAACAGAATTCTTGGCTCCAAACCTTAAGGCATTGGTTAAAAATCAGGCAATCATTTAAAATTCTCAAAAATCATCCTTGCCTGACATTGCCACTTAGAGAGACCACCTCCCTATTACCAGCAGTAAATCATGACAACAAAGAGAGTTACTCAAAGTACCAATATCTAAATCCTTCATCCCTAATGAAAAAGACAGAGCAGCTGGTGTATTTTAAGTAATTACATTACTTTATGGTGACAACCTTCAGTGGTGGTGCAGGGCTCCATGCTTCACTACTTTCAAATTAACCAATTGGTGACCATAAATCATAATGTTTTCACCAGAAAAAGAAATTTTCAAAGGCAGAAAGAAGAAATGAAGAAGAAAAAAAAAACAGGATTACTCAGTGTTCTGTGTAAATGTTTATCTCTAACTTAAGACCATAAGTTACATGGATGCCAAACATAAGTCACCAAATTGGCAATTTTGTTGCAAATTTAGCCATCAAATTGTTTTCTCAGCCTGAAGACCATATTGGTAGCAGCTTGAAGCCTTGGGCTGAGATATGAATGTATCACCCAGCTACCACATCCTTTCATTGCCTGACCAACTTAATCATAATAATCAATATATGTTTACTCTACCATAATAAAAAAGCTGGTAGACTACCTCCATTATCAACCTAAAGTTGACAAAATAGATTTGTGAAAACCACCAAGTACACTTTAAAAAGCTAACAATTTGAATGTTTAAAGTGATTATTGATTTACAACCTAATCATGACCTAAGGGTCTAGAATTAGTTGTTTCTAAATTCTTTCAAACCTAATTTTTTTTGGCACCTAGGGTCTAAAAAATTCTCCATACAACCAAAGTTAACTTCTCTTTGGATAAGATATAAAAGATGTCATGTCCTCATGTTTACGAGGTAGCAGTGAAGGCTACGAAGCGAACAATCATGCCCACAACAAAGAGAGTTATTCCTATGCCAATTGACAAGTTTGCCAACTTCCTGGCCTCCATGCTCAACATATTGGCTGTAGCAAAGTCTCCTCGAATAATGGCATCACGTGTCTGCCCAAAGATGAAAAGAAAACAAATAGTTGCACTCTTGTGTTACAAAATGAAGTAAGCTGATTTATATGAATAAATATCAAGAAAGACATTTCATGAATTTTATTTTTAATTTCAATTTTAATTTTAGTTTAGTTCTTTCGTTAGTATCAGGCAATTTTTGTCATGGTATAACAGATGTGGACCGGACTCAAGAGACCATGTGACAGCTTACCTCATTGGATTTCAATATGGCACAAATTCCAGTTGGGCAAAAACAGAAGAGACATGCAAACCAGGCCAAGAAACAGTAATCAGGGGGTGCTAGCTGTGGTGCCAAAATAACACTGGGTCCAACGCCCCCTTGCTGAAAAAAACAATGAATAAAGCAATACTTGTGAAGCTAAGTGAATTTGACCGTGTTTTTGATCATTTTTCAGACAGCACACAATTGCAGGAAGAAAGTTTATTCAGACAATAATCCTGACTTACCACAACAGTGACAGAGTTTGTTTGTTGAGTTGTTATAGGAGGAACATAACCTTGTTGATAACTTGGGTAGTAACCAGGCTGCACAGTATAACCAGGCTGTCCAGGTGGAAACTGTGCATGGTAGCAAGGGGGCTGTGTTTGGTGTCCTGTTTTTTCAGGTGGGACACCTGCATACGGCTGTGGAGGGCCTGGGTATGCTGTGGGTGGTGGTGGCTGTTGCCAACCATACCCCTGGCCAGGGGGAGGGTACTGGGGTTGAGCTGATGCATCTCCTGAGTACGGGGGTGGTGCATAGGGAGGTGGTGCCAAACCTGAGAATAAACCATATCAAATTAATATTTAGTCACAAAGAAAATGCCATGCTGAGAGGGCAAGAAAATTTTTCAGGTTCTCTGTTTAAGGTATGGCTGATGACATAAAGTTTTCTTGCTCAAGACACCTTCCCTTTATCTATTCTCACCAAGGAATACAAATTGTGTGGAGAATCTGGAATGAATTGTATCCAGTGAATGACATGTACCTCTACATGTAGAAGAACCATTTATTTTGGAAGTCATTATCATAATGTTAGCCTGAGAACTTGAAATCCACATTCATCTAAATAGACAACCATGTAATAACTGTACCCTCTTCATGCTGCAGACTAAGCAAAAAACACTCAAAAGATACACAGATTGAACTACAGACAAAAATAGTCCATATATAAAAAAAGTAAGTATACTTTTACTAGCATAACTAAACCATACCATTGTCATTGGGTGTGTTAGGTTCCATGTTAAATCAAGAGTAACCAAACAACTTTATTGAGCCTGAAACCTACAGAGAAACAAAAAAGTCACCCTGAGAAAATACCAAGAAAATTAGCATTAAATTCTGAATAAAACTATTGTTTTCTTCTCAGGCTGAAGACCATGCCCAGGTTGTTCAAATCTGGGTTAAGATAACCCAGGGTTAGCATGGAATTTGATTTCAGGTCTGAAAGCTTTTAAAGAAAATTCAGTTCAAATCTTTTTGATTGCAAGTTGATCATTGGATGTTCCAAAAAGAACAGAGAAAATTTTATCTAAAAGGCTTTGGAAAAAAGAAATATAGAAACCTGCATTAAAATTTAACCTTGGGCTAGCACTAACCGGCCTTTGAACAACTGGGCCCATATTGGTAGCAGCTTGAAGCCCTGGACTGAGATGTGAATGTATCACCCAGCTACCACATCCTTTCATTGCCTGACCAACTTATATAATAAGCTACAAGTGAGACCTCAAGACCTCGGTCACAGTTTTTCACCATACGGACCTCCCAACCGGCAAATAACATATATTTCTATGCCATCTTTCATCAATCCGAAGTCTGTCAGGCGAATCATCTTCGATATTCGGAAGTCTTATATTGTTCCTAAGCTTGAATATAAAAAATAGCCTTAAACACGCCACAATATTGTATGGCTTACCTTGGGAAATTATCAAGGGTAACTGATTAACACCTTCACTAATGTTAAGGCGAATCTGAGCGCGCCGAAGGCTTTGCTGTCAAATTACTTTCGATATCTGTTTCTGGTACCTTTCAAAGGCTTCAAATATTTCTTTGACGTCATTTCAAAGACGTCATCCGTTGCTAGCCAAACACGAGACCTGGGCACGAGCCTAAAACGGTCCGCAGAGCGTACGTATAAAGGAAAACAGCTACACTGTTAGATTTTCCCGGAAATTTTATCTTCAAAACTTTATTCCAAACCCGAGAGAGTACGTATCACCATAAGATCTCTGCTGTTGTTTTTCTCAATCCTAAAATTTTTCAAGCGTTTTTGTTCAGTCGTTCAAACGTACTCAATCCAAGCACAAAGTTCTTCTGCATCTTTTCAGTTCTTGATAAATTACTGTAATCCGAATTTGAGTTTTTCTTTCCGACTGAGAACACTTTTTTAGCCACTTTCAGGCTAAAAGAACGTTTTCCCAAAAAAGGAAATATTAGATAAGTAAAAAACTTGATAAACAAGATCAATGGCATGAAATATTTTGACACTGCCCTTACAGAACAGTGAGACCGCCTTCCAGTGAACCAGTAACCACCCAATAAATTACAGGTTGACCAAGCTCGATAACAGGAGTTTGCCAACACCATATTATTTTTACACGAAGGTGAATACATAAGGATATGAATAGAGGACACGGTTACATCAGGAAATCAGAAAGTGTCTAGAATTCAATTAAAAAAAAAAGCAAAGAAAAGAAACTGATCTCGCTCCGTTCGCGCGTTTCTTCTGCACCTGTGTGGTTTTTTCAATTGATTCATGGCGATTCATAAGTTTTTTAGAAGCTCTGTTTTTCCGTGCATCAAGGAAGGGCGCCGCAGAATACTCTGGGTTACCCCCTCAGATCATGAATCGTCAGTGGTAAAGCTAAAGGTAAACAACTACTCGTAGGCCATGAAAGTTAGAACATGCCTGGGCAAGGAACTAGGATGGTTCTTTTCGGCGCAGGGGGGTTTGTAATGCAGCTGGAATGAAGAGAGTTAGCAGCTTCGGCTGCTACATAGCGTAAGTTTGGACTTCGTAAAGAGAGATGACAGGTTGTGCGGGATACGAGGTGCTGTTACACGACATAGCAATCGACCTTTCGTAGAGGAACTCGATCCTCTGACGGTTGACTGGCAAGACTGCAAGACACATGTATGTAATCTTTAAAATCCACCCGTAGCTTCGAGTTGGTATCAGTTATCGTAAGTAAATTGTTCTTTCTATTTTATTTTATTTTCATTTTTCATAGATGTGAAGTGTACAGGTAAATCGGAATAGTTAGGAATTTGCTCCAGTTTTAGAGGATTCCCGCCGTGCCTGTGACGTCTTAGGAACTACTACACTCGGTGCATTAGACGTAAGCTTAAAACAACTAATTTATTCTGTCAACTATAAGAAATGACAGTTTTCACAAGTTGCGAGCAACGGTATTAAAAACTTACTCCATGCGAGAAAGGAGCTGCTTTTGAGTTTTAACGCTATCTTCAAGGGGAATATTTCACATATGATAAATTTATACGCAACGCTTCAATTTTGAAGCCGTTAGATTTGTCACGCAATCCACTTACATGTTGCTTCTCCACAGGAAGTTACGGAGCTATAATATTGCAGAATAGCAGCAGCCCATTAATTCCAATAGATTGAAACGAAAATCTTAAAGGAGTTTGTGCGCTCAAAAATTTTTCTTGTACAATGTTTTGTTAGTGACGATACATTCAAGGTCTAAAGTCTAAGGAGTGCCGAAGTGTTTTGACAAGAAACATCTCCAGATCCGGTAAAATTAGATTAACTCAAATGACACGATAATTAGTTATCCTGGTCTTCACTTCCTCAGTGGAGTTCAGTTTCGCATACTTAGTAGAAAAACCCTTAATGTGGCAATTTTCATAACCCACAGGTTTTTTTTTTTGACTGAAAAGGATCACCTCATGGTCTCATCAACTGACAAAAATAACTGATCTTTTTTTTCATTTACGTCTATGAGCGTCTAGTTTGACTTAAACTTGATACATCACCAAATCCGCATCTCAGGCAGGAAAAAGTGAAAACAACACTAGTTGTAGGAAAGTTCCGATTCTGGCGCAAACCATGATTTTACCAGAAGCCTTCAATTAGTTATTAGATAAATTATTTGATAAGTGCTTGAACAGCCGGTTTTTGGACAAGTTCTTAGATAAAGTTTTGAATAGGTACTTATTGAGTCACTGCGATGAAATAATGGTTTGCGCCAGAATAATACATGCGCGAAAATCACCTGTATCACCATCTCTGATACTGATGACCATGACGTGAAGCGACGTGACCGTGAAAGCTGTTAGGAGGATTCGCCACGTGATATATAGGCACTACACATCACTACTCAAATCCTCTCTTCTGTACCTCGACAAAGGCAATGACATCGATAACGACGACATGACGATAACTACGACGATAAAGGTAAAGTAGGGATAACGAGAAACAATAACGACATTGACGACGATATTGTTGACAACAACTGTAATGGCACCGAGAACAACAGTAATAAAGACAACGATATCGATGAAAGTAAACGAAACGATTAAAAAAAAGATAAAAACATCAACGACAAGTACTTCAGTTCTGTATTGTTTACTCTTTAGATCGATAGTTACAAGCAAGAATGACGTACAGTTGGCGTGGACAGGCATTAAAACCGACACTAAGCTCTTAATTCATCTGGAGGCGACTGCCTCGATGAATGTAAGTATAACAAAATAAGAGACATCGCATGATTGTGCTGCGCCATAAAACTTTTACTAAACAAGTCTTTACTATGCTAGTAACCGCCGAAGACAACCCCCCCCACCCAACTCCCCACGTGCCTTCCCTTGAATAAGCGCTGCGCTGCGCCGCGGGCCCGATACGGTCGGCTTAAATATGCAAAGAGTTATCTTATGTACTTCGATCTTACATTAGTATTTGGATATGTTGAGGGATCTTAGAGAAAATGTTCTCGATTAAACAGACAGCGTACCCTTCTACGCTGGAGCTCTTAGAATCAGATCAAGAAGGGGTCAGTAAGATCGAAGTTGAGTGTATACACCACTGATAATGCACTGGTTATCATCCTGAAAATGTCTTCCCAAAATTAGGATGCATGCTCTCTCCAAATTCCTAATGCCGTGCTAATGCCACTAATCCCTACTTCGTTCGTTCCTATCCTTCGTGTATCCAAGAGTAAAAAAGGAAACGGCCTGAAGCGCGGGAAAATGCCAGTAACCAACACGCAGTTGGGTTTTGGTGGCGCCGCATGATTGGTGAAGAGGATGCAGCGAGGTTTGCGGACCAATCACAGAGCGAAGTACAATAAATCCAATGCAATAATACTTTCAATAATCAAATGATGATTGATTTGAAAGGAGTTAACGCTTGCTTCATTGTGAATCGCATGGACGACTGAGCGCCTTAAGTGTCTTGTAAGACTTAAATCGAGTCATTAGACAATGACTTCAAATTGCTTAAGTGCCTTGGATTAAAATGCACAAATTGAACATCATCTAAAGGTTCGAAATTACCAAGTGATTACCAATATTGTTCCGCCCCCCCTAATTTTTGCCTAAGTGCCTCTTATTTTGTCACCATTAACTAAACTATTACAAGGAAAGCCATCTAAGAGCTACGTGACGTCTCAACGTAACTGGGGTTATTGAACCATACAGACAGGTTGAATTTAGTAGCTACGGTAATTTGAAGATGATCAAGGTATGAATCAAGTTTTACTTGGCGTCATAGGATTTTCTGAAAGCGATAGAAATGCTTTGAATTTCACAAATGGTTGTAATGAGTTACTTTATATGCGAGTGAAAAGACACACGTATCTTCTTAATCACTGAATACCTTATTGATAATTTGGAAGGCTAATGTTGTAGCGAAGACGTCACGAGCGCAATCATATGTTAATTGAATCCTTTGTTATTACACGGAAGATTTTTGGGTGGCGTCGGTAATATTCCGTAATGGATCGTCGGTGCCGTAAAAACGGTTAGAGTAACAAAACGTGATTTAAAGGTGGTGAAGGTGCCAAAGAGAGAGGAACGTTGCAAATGAACAGAAGGTGAGATATTGTAGAATATATCTGAATTAATAGTTTGTGAATCTGTCAAGACCTCAAGTTAAACAGCGTTACCTACTGGTAGTCACGCGAAGCTAAGTCTGACATAGGTGTTAATTTGACTTAATACCGTCTTTGTGGTTGGGTAAATTGGTTGCTGTTAGATTTCCTCTCTGGTGGTTCATTTCAAATGAAGTTATTGAGCAGTGCTTCGATCGTCAACGGAAGTGAATGTCACATAAACATTGTCCACATTGGTTAGTTCAGTTAGTTTCTATCTCGAGAGAGGAATCACTACGTTACGTGATCATTTAATCATCCGATGTAGGTTCAGTTCGGCTATCAAGTGGAATTAGAGCCAGTGGGAATTTTTTTTCCTCAAAAACTTATTTTGTTTCATACAGAGAGCAGTTGATCTATCGAACAAAAGATGAAGAGAAATTGTTATGACAATAACTGAAAGCCGCCTGGCGCTTTTTGTATTCATTGGCAACTTGCTTTTAGCTGCGCACATTCGAATTGGTAGTTGTGCATTTTTCCCGGTCCACGACTCATTGTTCTAGTTTGGAAGATAACGCCATTACTAAAAAGACAAGAGCTTACAATTTTCGTTGAGTTTAAATTTCAGCCGCTTGAGTTAACTTCAATGGAATTTTTGGTCTTTCAGAGTTTCTTGTTTACATTACGAATCGCAAAGATAATAAAGATATTGACTTAAAAAGTCAACTGTCCGTATCAAGTGGTCAATACCGGAGTGACGCTCCGTAAAAGCATGGTATACGTCACATGATCAGATTGTGTTGTGTTTGTAAACAACTTTGTGTGCTGCCGTGGAAATCAACGTTTATTATTAATCTGGAAGAGTTTAAAGTGAAAAGTGTTTTGGTGAATCATAACAGAGTGTCTTGACTCTTAACCAGTACCCGTTCCTTTTTAATTTATGCCCGATGACCGAACTACCAAACTTGTAGGTTAAAGTTTCTTTCTTGTTGTAAGATGGACTCGTCCATTTTGCGACATAGCCGACTCCTTGAACTCAGGCAAACTATTGAATGGATTTTCCGCTAGAATTTTTATTTCAAAACTAAACAAATTGGTATATATACAAAGAGAAGCTTAAGGACTAAATGAAGGAGCAGTCTCAAATGATGGCATTAGCATTTATACGAAATATAAAATATTTGATATGATATGGTTCGCTTTATATCGCAAAACACTTGCTACTCCTAAATGGTCGCATAATTGCTACTACATGTATGTTCTTAAGCAGAAGATCTCTATGCCTAAGTGAAACTCGACTAACCACATAGTGAGTGAAAATATAACAGTTTTCTTGTACCACGTGTGGTTCAAGAACAGATATCGAAGTTGGATTTTTAAACAACAACATCAACAAAATGGCTTCAAATCCTATGGAGCCACTTTTAAGGAAGTATTTAGAGATGCAATTTGAATCGAGGTGAAGTTAAGCATCATATAACTCTTCCTCCATTCAATTTTGTACAGTCACAGGAAACAAAGTGCGATATTATACCAAGGAGGAGGAATTGAAAGTAAGGTTGTTAGGAATAAAATATTAGTATTCCATTGTAAAATGGAGCAATTTAAATGGTAACGTGTCAACCATTTTATCGCCAATTGGAGTTCTGTTCATTTTCTAATCACATTCACCGATGTTCAAATGATAATATATAATGGATTTCCTGGTGTCACTGAGTTCAGATTAACATTAATTTACATGTATAAGGTCTTTTCTTTCTCTTATCAGCATATCTTATCCTTGGTACTGTCGTAAATTTTACCTGATCGCGTAGCGCTGACGTGTGATATTGTGAAACTAGGCACACTACAGCGCCTATTTACTTTCATTAAATATCGCATTGAAGATCATTGTGTTACGAGTTCTATATATGTATGCAATCATATTCTTGGGAAAACTAGAGCCATTCATGAAGAATAGAGTTCCTTTCCTTTTCATACGAGGTAAACTGTTGCATTAATGATGATTAATGACGAAATATGTCACATAGATTGCACTTGAAAATAATGTAAGATTACGAATTTGTCATGTCCTTATCGTCTGACAGCTAACGATGGTGATGCCAGGTTTATTTCAACTATTTTTTTTTTCGTTCATATGATATTCAGCAGGAATCATTTCTGCCCTAAACTGGCCAGGAACAGATAGAAATTGTGTAGCCCGATGAGAGGAATGGAACTTAATGGAGGTATGAATTTTCTCTCTTGAGTAGTATGTTTGTTTTAGGGTTTTATGATTCCTACAAGTAAATGAAAAGTGTACAAATCAAAGTAAACGTCACACTTTGAAATGTACGCGTTCACATTCTTTGTTAGTTCTGGTGGACACCTTTAGGTCTTCGGAACAAAAGCCAATGTCTTATCACAAATTTATGCGGTAAAAGGAAAGGCTGTTGAAGATGGTGATCATGACAAAAGACAAGCTGTCCGAACACTCTGGATTAGTTTTTAGTGGTTCAAAGAGACATCATTATGTAAGAGAAGACTGATCGATCCATTACCTGAGGAAAGAGGAAAAAGTAGGGGGCTAGAGCTAACATCGTAGAATGGAGAAAAAAACAAAATGGAAAACTATCCTAAATTATGTTGATGGAATCTCTTAGCCTGAGTTAGAAAAATAAGCAGAAATATTGTAAACCCTTAACTCCCATGAGTAACTAAGACAGAATTTCTCCTTACATTATCAATACAATACCAAATAGAAAAAGGATGAGAACAAAGTAAAATGTCAGTTAGGGGATTGTTAGTTGATCCAATGCAATACCATTCTCTCCAAACTGACATCGTAAGAATTATATGGCAGATAGTAAGGAGAATTACTAATCAGATTTTGGAAGTTGAAAGGTTAATCAGACAGCAAACAAATATGCATATTTCATCTGCCATTTTCAAAACAACAAATTGAATTAAAAGGTTTGCAAGTTTGTTTGCCTTATCTTAACCTTGGATATTATCTGCACCTTCTGTCACACATATACATTGAGATGTTTGTTCGATTACTCTGGACTGAAAACTCCAGTATCCTGCGTTGTGTCTTAACCAAAACATATAGACGAATTCTGGTTTAAAATGGTAGATCATGATTGGACAAAAACTCATGCATGAAGAGACATTCCTTAGGCTTTCGAATGACAGTTTTTGAACTGAATTGTGCGTTATGACAGCCAGATCATGTCACGGGAACGTCAATGTTTTCCCGCTCGACCAAGATGGCAAAGCCTCACATTATAATCCAATGAGAATCTTCTTTCCCAATAAATTTGTCTCTGAACCCCCCAACGTCCTCAGATCTATTTCGTAATTCTCCCCTTCAGCTGCTACCAGTTTTCTTCCGAATAATTTTTTGCACCCTCCCTCGTATAGGCGTGTCTACTCTCATGGCCTAACTACAGGTTAGCGAATGATATATCTAGAAGACGTTTCGTTTCCAACACTTAAAAAGCTCTTCAAGACCACGTTACATTGCATTTTCGTTTTTGACCAATCGGATTAATTTGTCTTTGTTTACAGTCTTACGTAATGGCCACATCAAGCAGCAAAATCTCAATATATCAGAGAACGAAGAGATAAAAAAATCATCTCTTACCGTCTCAGATCAAACCGACGAGGAAGAGGAAGGAGATCATGTTACACCTCTGCCTGGTTCAACTGTAAATCTTGATATAGTCAGTTGGCCATCAGAAGATACAGACCCATCAGGGCAGGTCCGCGTTACAGTCATACCTTCGGCTCAGGTTTGTGTGCTATCAGCCTTTCTCTAATTAAGTAGTTTTTTAAATAATTATTTTTTTTACATTTCTTCAGTAAGGTACGCCAAACAGTAAGGAAGACTAACGACGCTGTTAACGTCAAGTGCACTAACATAAATCTCATTATTTTTGTCGAAGGACGAATCTAGAAGAAAATCTCGTTATTCAACATATCAGCAATCTCCGCCATTACTTATTCCTCGGCCAGACAACCACCTTTGTCTGGCAATAACTGCAATAATCTGTTGCTGCCTACCTTTTGGTGTGGTCGGATTCATTTGTGCACTACAGGTAAAATACCCCAGAGGTATACATGCTCGTTTGCTGCGGCTGACACTTTGTTTTTACTTATTTGATTGGATAGTGTTTGAAATTTGAAGTGGACTTAAACGAAACCAATACTAAATGACCTGAAAAACCCACCATGGCAAAAGGAACTAAGCTTTTAGGCTTTAAAAATAATTCTTCGAACATTAGCGGTTATCACGAATCTCATTCATATTTACTATTTTGCTTCAATTAAGAGAAATGAAGAAATAAATTCAAAACCTCAAGACAGTGGTGACCGACCAAACACGGAAACAAAAAAATCTCTGAATAGAAAGGAAATAAAATTGAATCATACGGTCTTCTTAGCTGGAGTTTTCCTCACAGTGCCATCTTGTTGATGTTTGAATATTTTCAAAGAACAAGAAGAATAACTTTAAAATCTTAGAAATCTCACCACTCCATCGCACAATTTTTATTTCTGGTACCAATCTTGTGCCAGGTCTCTTTTCACGAGTAACAAGGTTTTTTGCCAAGACCCAACGTCGACTGGAAAAGAGACTAGTACCAATTTGCTTCCACTTCATTTGAAACCACTCGAAGCATTTGCTCTGCCTCAGAAGTATAATTATCGTGACTGTGATTATTAGATTTGTGATACAGTCTGTTATGTTCACCTCATTACAGGTGGACAGAACCTACGATGATGGAAACAGAGAAGGTGCTGTGCAGAAATCGAAAAATGCAAAGTACTGGAGTATGACGGCTATTGTGTTTGGCATGCTGGGAATAGTTGGAGCGTCATTTTATCTGATATTCTTTCATCTCGTTCCTTCTATCTCATAGTTTTTGGGAGTTCACTCCAAATTTCAGGCGTGACTAAATTTCATATCAAGCGAAACAAGAATGGAGAAGGTTTGATGAACCTCAGCGTAGAATATGCGACAGTCAATCTGAGTCTCTGTTCAGTCCTGGCTTGGAGGTAGGACCATCTGCATGGGATGATGGTATCATATCCTAAGGTTCTTCCTCGCTGGCCTTTCACCAGAAACTAGCGATGCGCGTGTGGATGGTAGAACCAAGAACATGGTAGAAATCTACCTTAAACATAAGATAATCTACGATCAACAAGAAGAAAAAACTTTAACGGAAGAGGTTGCGTTATGGCCGATGCAAAAAGGAGTGGTGTTTCGGACAGCACAAAACTACGATAGGCAAACCTCTCAGCCTGATCTAACTGCTAAGAGTCAGTTGGATCGATAAAGTCAAGTCATTCAAAGGGTGAATTTCTCAGAAAATACTGAAAACATACTTGATTGCCTCAACATCCTACAAAACCCCATGTAAATAACTCGTTTCGATTTTCCTCTCTTAATAATTATGCGATTGTGCGTCAAACCATAACAATGAGACTTCAGCTTGTTAGTTTGAAGTATGGCTCTCTTTACCAACCCTTTGACCTCTAAAACAGACCAGTATCGTATTTCTCCCCGCAATATAACCCTTGAATCACGCATGAAGGTCACGAGAATAAAGGAAATGATCACCAACTAAACAAATTTTCCATGTGAGCACCTAAGGAAATGCATGAAGGACAGTTTGGAGAATATGTATACTGATGTTAAGGTGTAAGGAGTCAAGCGAAGTTGTCATTCCGGCTTTCAAACACGATTTTACGGCACAGCGGCAGACCCAGACGTAATTAACTTTAACCAAAGATACGATGGGACCCCCTTCTAAAGACATTTACATTTTTTAATCATACGCTGGCAGCGATAAAGCAAACGGAAGAATGAGTTCCGAAACGCCTTCTGGTTGAAACCGAAAAATTGCTTGATGAACGAAATAATGTCATTCTTTCATTCGAACACTGAGTGCTGAATCTCTGTGTCAAACAAAGAGATTTTGCAATACAGTACTGGTAATTTACCTGTGCTCTGTCTTCAATGCATTAACCAATGTAACTGTAACGTACTATGAGTTTGAAAAATAATAAATATAAATAATTTAACTCTTTTGAGGCTTACACTCGGCTCTCTAACTCTGTAAGATGATTTGAAGCTGGCAACTGTCGACGATACTTCTGGTCTTATTCTTCTTTTAAGACACGTCTATATAAATTTGCATGATAATTACCGCTGAACGAAAATATTGCTTTCGCTTGTGAGTTGTTATTGCACGAGGTCACGATATCACACCTAGCTTCACACGTAAACTTTGTTTTGAGGAAATACTCGACAAGAGAGCCAATTTTTGTAGCTTGATCTTTGTTATAGCCGATTGGCAAAGCTACGCGAGAAACATCTTCTTATCATTGGTGTGTATTCACAGAGTCAGGTACGTGAATTTCTGCACAAGCTTTCTAATATTGCGTCTAGTTCTTGATAGTATTTGCGATTGGCCATTTAGCTACCTGCTGGTTGGAACCAAAAGTTTTTCAAACCTTGCGCTTCGAAATGATTGAAAGAGCACAGGAACGAAGTTTCTGCCTCGTAAAGCAACGAATTTAAAGCGCCCGAGGTCCATTTGGAAAAACATGTCGCTGCTAATTGATGCTATATGTAAACAGATCAAAGAAACTAGATCATTAGATACTTACTTAGATCTAACTACTTATTGTTTGCGGTTTGGCCTTTGAAAAAATAGAGGGGCTATGTTTAATGTCACAACTTTAAATTTTTTAAAGGAAATTTTTTTTCTAAAGCCGAAAGAAATAAAAATATTATTTAAATTTTACGAGAAACGCTTGCGTGACGCTTAGCAGCGTCAAGTTCATCGTAGGAAATTTTGGAGGTCGATAACTGCAACGATTTGTCTTTCTTTGATTTTTTTTAAATTCAAAAATAATTTTAACAAGCTAGTTTGCACTCTGATGATTTTTTGGTGGGGAATGAATAGGTCTTTTGGATCGTCAGTCCGGATTTGTCCATCGAAGAAAATTTACATATCATACGAATCCTTTTAAAGGCGAATGAAGTCGGTGCTCATAAAAATATCACTTTCTCACCCTACAAATCTCCCCACAATAAATTATTTTGTAATACGTCATGGATTTCGATAGGTTTTTGCCATAGTAGCAAATGTGCTCAGTTGTGTTATGCTGAGGCGTGACTTGTTCACTCACCAGAAGGGTTTTAGCTCTCAGTCCGCGGCGCATGAAAAACAGGGGGTCACATAAACGAGCTGTTGTTTACTTCACAACTACAACCGCTCGTTTTCTCTCGCCCGCCTTGTACTTAGTCTGCACGGACTGAGGGCCTGGAGCCTGTAATTCCATAAGAGAGCCAGGAAGAATCATGTGACTTACTGTGACGTTGGTGTCGATTTTTTCATAGCATTGCAGATCACATTAAAAGACGCCATGAGTAACTTTGTTTGGTGGAGGAACATGCTGGGTCAAAAGCTAACAGATGAAGAAATGAGAAACATAAAGTACCCGGAAACAGAACTCTACACTCATGTTACTTTCAAGACCATTCAAGCTGGGGCGCTTCTTGGTATGGTCATTATTGCTCCTGTAGTTCGCCTTGCTGCTGGCCCTCGCACTTTAGGGGCCGTTAAAGAGACAGCTCTTCGGTATGGAAGAAATGGAGCGATCATTGGGATTCCTCTGGGACCTCTAATGACTTTTGCAAAGGCTAACAGTGGTGCAGGCATTGATGATGACGGAATGTTTAATCGTACATATAGATTAAGGTAGAAAGATTTTAAGAATTTATGTATATGCATAGCCTCTTTTTTCGAGATGTGTTGAAATCAACCTAACCCTATAACCCCTTAGAGCGACTAACAAATCACTTATCCTAGTGATATCGATCACAGCCGAGTCAAAGACTTAAGTTATAATAATGATGTCAATGATTGCCGTGTAAAGAGGCTCTGGACTGTTAAACAAACTCTCTCAGTCAGTGCTGTAGGTAATGTGCAGAGGAAAGCGTGTAGGGATGTAAAGGATTGAAAAGGGTGTGTTTTTTCCAGTTTTCTGAAAATCAAGTTATTTCTTGTCCTTCACAATTTCCTGGCATATTTGCACGCATATACACAGTTCTCAGCTTTAAAGTGGAGCTGGACTTGCGAAGGAGACGAAGGGGGTAAATATCTTTGTACTTGTGTGTACCCGGTAGTCCATTAAGTTTGCAGTCCTTTGTGCTTGTTGTTACCTGATACTCCGTTAAGTTTGCAGTAGGTTTAATTACAAGAATGCTAAAAGATGCATTCTACTATTTTGATCCAGGTATAACCGGAACCAAATACGAGTAGATCAAGCTTCCATTCTTGGATCCGTAGGAGGTGCAAGTGGGAACTTTTTGCTAGGGGGCTCAGCTGTGTCAGGTGCCGTGGTAGGCCTGGTTGGAGGAACCATCGCTATGGGTCTATACAACACAGTTAATGCCGAGAGGCATAAATGAACTTGAAACATAGATGCTTTTGTTTACGACGGGAAGGAAAAATCAGCGCTGTAAGAGTTCATGTTCATTTTGACTGTAATTTCATTGACCGGGCTCAGTAACATATGATTTGAGGTTTTTTATCTTTTCGTGTTTATCAGTAATCCATGTCATTGAAGTAGAATGTCTCAACATTTGTAGAAGTACCGATGCAAAATTCTATCATATCTGAGGTATATAAAGATGATCACGTTAAACTCGTCGTAAACTCAAGAATGATAGAATTAGAAGTAGCGAAAAGAGGCTGAAAGCAAGCGTATAACGAATGAAACGAACGAAATATGAAACTGGACCGCTTTCTATTTTTGTTTATAAGCCGGAGATATAAGTTCAACAGTGTGCAACAACAAACGACTGTCAAAAAATGCGTGTATTCCATTTTGGAAATTGCTCGTGGGGAGAAAAAAAAGATTTATTTTTCCGTCGGCCATTTGACTATTTCATTATGCCAACTCTAGTAAAACAGTGTGCCAAGACCGCCAACAAATTTGTTGGAACTGAGCGATGCACGACGGTATGTGACTAACGCATGCGCTACAATACTAGCTTGCGAAAAAACAGTGAGTTTGAGCCTTGGCTCAAAAGCCTTTTACTCTGTATGTTTCGTTTTCTGAAATTTTTCTTGTTGGAATTTCAACGTAGACATCTCGACCCGGATGCTAGTGTGAAGAATCCTACCGGCTAACACAGGGCCTCTCGAATGCCCAATCCTCATCAGGCCTCGATTCTTTCTTTTTCCACGAACATAACGAGTGAATTGAATAAATCCTGTAGTACCTAACCAGACGCCACTTTCTCAGTGATCATTTTGCGACAGCCAGGGTCACATACCTCGGCGTTATTGATTCTTTTGGGTTAGTGAGTGCTGACATGACATGATAGGTTTACAGAATAATAAACATGCAATGAAAAGAGGTATACTAAACACCCGTTTATTGCCCGAACTTTAAAGTCAATACAAAGAAGAAAAGACTAGCGTAAATGCAAAAATCTGCTTATCATCCATCCATCTTCATGCAAGACGGGATTCCATCTTTTTAATAAAATCTAAAATCCAGTCAAATTGTAAGCGCACGAAAGAAGATTTCATTCGGTACAGCGACGAGCGGTAAAAATTACGCTGTAACTGTAAAATGTAACCGTAAAATATAATGGCCATCAGGATTTAAAAAGAATTTAGAAAAGAACCAAACCTCGATTGGAAATAATTGAAATTTATGCTAAATTATGTTATGATAAACAGTTGAGTACGTGTTATATGACCAAAATTTTTACAAAAGAGAAAAAACCCGATTTGGCAAATGAGCTCTACCTTAATCTTCTGCATGTTCTGTAGACTAAATTAACTAGGCTGCAACCGCGTTGGATACGATAACGATGTATATGATAAGGCCAAAGATGATAGATGCAATATTGAGCCACCTAGCAATGTTAGAGTTCCTCAAGGCACCATCGTAATCTCCTGCAGCATATGAACTGTCCACCTTCAAATACACAAACGAAACTAACATCAGACAAACAAACAAACAACAAAGAAAGGAGATTATGTAACCAAAATAAAGTTTTATAGCCCCAGTATTGATTATCTTGCAACGGTTGAAAAGAACCATTTTCGATTTAACAAATCAACAGTGGTTTAGTGGTTTTTTGACAACGGCAAATTGGCCAATCAATTGTAGTATTACTGCCAATTGTGATGAGAAATAATGTTGAATATTGTGTGAGGTTTAAAACCACAGTACCTTTTTGCAAGTCTTGAACTTCAATATTACTTTTTGAAATGCGACTGTTGGACATCATGAACAAATTATGTTCAAGTTTGCTATAGAATGACTGTGAATGCACTATATAATTACAGATCCTGAGCACGAAGTTTGCTGAAACGACTATAGTTGGTTAAAAGGTTATCCATACGTTAGCTTCATGATCGTCGCGAATACTTTATTCCCCAACATTTATGGTATTCATACAGAGACTCAATAGAGATCTTATTCAGCATCACAGACCGAGCTTTGCAAGGTCGAGCACGTACAATTCTAAGCCCGTTTTCCGTTTTCTCATATGATGGATTTTCAAACTTTTTCTGTCTTACCATGCAAGAAAACACAATAGCTGCCAGTCCTATGGGCCATGCACAGCAAAGGCAGTTGAACACAGACCAACACATGTGATTTGGAGGACGAGGATTGACTGGCACCACGATAGTCTGGGCAGCCTGTGCAAGAATAGAGGAGTCAATTTAACGTCCTATAAACAAAAAGGAAGACTAAGCATTGAAGAGGGAAGACAACTGATATGTAGTTACACGGTAAAGTCAGGAAATAATGTCAACAATCAGTCTTAAACTTACAGGGGCGCCAATATTGATCACAGTGCTGCTTTGTTGTACTTGCTGAACAGACTGTTGAGGATACACTGCCGGTTGATGTGCTGGATACCCAGGCTGTGGTGGATACCCAGGCTGAGGTGGATACCCAGGCTGAGGTGGATACCCTGGTTGAGGCTGCGCTGGGTAACCTGGCTGCGCATTGTAATTTGGTTGGGCTGCGTAACCAGGTGGGTAACCAGGCTGGGGTGGATATCCAGGCTGAGCAGGGCTACCAGGTTGAGCTGAGACAGGAGGCTGCTCAGGCGATGTATATGGTGGAGGATCTACTGCAAAGATTATGAATATGATCAGTTTGACCCTTGTCATCATAAAACGTAATTTTGTAGAAATGATTTAAGGAGTTACTCTACAATTTTACCATTTTCTTCTTTGCCAGAATTGCATGTTTATGATTTTTTAAAATAAAAAATAACTTTACCTTGAAGATTCTTCTCGGTCATTTCTTGAGTTTTGAGTCATTCAATGATTTAGTCCCAGACAATCGATACCAAGTTCACCTGAAGATGACAGCGTTTAAACAAGCGTAAATATCAAATGAAACAATAATTTTTTCAATATCTGTCATTCAAAGTTCCTACTTTTTATCCGCTTACTGAAGGCTTTTGTGTTATTTTACATGTCAGTTGTAATTGGTCCGTCAATTCAGTTTGTCCAAATCGGAGTATTGTATAGAAATCAAAGGCATTGTGTCCACAGGTTACAGAATATATTATTCGCAAATTTAATTTTTTATTTTATCACCTTAGGAGCTTTTTAATTAAATTTTTGATTAGCAATTCGTTGATGTATATGAACATCTGATTGGTAATTCCCACTTTAATTATAGAATAAGAGATATGGTAAGTTTTGAGCTCGATAAAGAAATAGAGGAAGACGTTTTTCGTCTTGTCACGAGCATGGGACAAAGAAAAAATTCTGAGTACCCACGAGGAATCGAACCTCAGAGCTCCGATGCTCTACCACGGAGCCACAGAGACTTTACGATGAACGAGATATATTGCGTAGTTCATATGACACGCGTCCTGAATATCGCTAGAATCAGCAATGTCGATAGTGTCATGTTTGTAAATAGAATAGAGATGGTAAGTTTTGAGCTCGTTAAGTTAAGTTGTGAATCTCTACAATGTTTCTGGCGCAACAAGAATACAATTTCTTAAACTTGCGGTTTTAATTTTGATTTTGAAATAAGTTTTCAGTTTTTCTATCCCTCTTTGTGAGAGTATTAAAATTCAGTTAAGGACGTGCTTTCTAACCCCTCCATGTTAATCAACTGAGTCAACTTTAAACTTTCGGAACTAAATGAGTATAAATATTTTGGCTCACAGGATTAATATGGATTCATCGTGAAATGAGTTCGATGTGTTTGATCATGATTATCCGATTATCGATTATCCGGACCTAGATTATCCGAACCTAGATTATCCGGACTTTTTCCCTAATCCCAATTTTGCCATGAATATTTATTGGTCATGAACAAGATCCGTAACCATATTCTTTAACACTATAGCGTTGAAAAGTGAAGTAAAGGTATGTTAAAAATATATTAAAGTTCTCACGGCAACCAGGTGGACAATCAGACATAGTTTGGTGCTACTCTGGTTTGCAGATTTAATGAATGTAAACGAAGAAGTTACACTTCACAGATCCAACGTTTCGAAAGTCGAAAAACCAATTAAAATTGTTTGTACGATCGAGTAAAAGCTCCGTTAACCAGCAGTGTTTCCTATTACAACCACCTCCCACCCGTCCCTGCGTTGTATTGGTCCGTCTCACACCCCTCCCTGAGTAATAACATTCCACCTCCCACCCCTCCCTTAGTACTAATAGACTTCATCCCACCCTTCCCTCAGTAGTAATGTTGTGCTCCCCCCTTTAAAATGGTCCAAAAAAAAAAATAGTCCAAAAAAATGGTCCAAAAAATAGTCCAGTCCATATTTTACCCTTTATGCCGCTGCACATTGAATGTCCAGCCAGCTAATTTGCATAAGTAATTCAAGCCAAGGTTCGACGCCTCTTGGTGGCACGAGGTGTTCGCTTAACATTCCAGGACATCCGATAATCGCTTCAAAAAATGTAATTATGCTCCCCTCGAATGAAATGGAAAAAACCGCAACTTCCGATGATTACAATTCCAATCAATTTCAAGATGCAACTCTACTTTGTTCACTCATTTTCCAGAAACAAGAGTCCAGAGAAATGTCTCGTACAAACTTAACGGGTCTAATTCGAAAAAACTTAAAGGGCGATACGCTAACCTTATTTTCTCTGTAAAGACAATGCATGTCTTAAAGAAGACAACAGTAAATCGTTAACACAAGGTCCACGAATATTCCTGACCAAATGTTACAGAAACATATAACAAGAACAATTTAAAACACGTAAAACGAAGGGACTCAAAAATTGCCTAAAAAGCGGCACCGGTAAAGCTGATTTCACCTCCATTATCGAAGACCTAGGCCTACGTAAGGTTAATTCCGACAAACCCTTCTTTATACAGGTCATGGTTTTTAACTTTTAAAGTCCAGAAACTGTGTTGATTAGATAATCCAGAGAATACACATCGCTTCCAACTGATAGTCTCCTCGTTCGGTCTTCAAGCTTCGGCGCAATGCAGTTATTCTTATAATGACCTTTTATGTGCGAAGGTTTCAGTTTGGAACGGCATTTTGAGCTTTTCCGAAGACATCAGTCTTATCAAAATCGACTATACCAGGGAAGAAGCTGGTCTAAAACATCGTTATTGCATTTTAGGTCATTGGGAACAAATTCACACATATGAATATCGTCTTACGCGACTGCTGAGTTAGGAGGGATAAGAAAAGGTTAAAAATAACCCTCAGGTATACGCTACCCAACAGGGTATAAAAGAGATTAAAAATTACCCTCAGGTATACACTACCCAGGAGGGTATAGGAGAGATTAAGAATTACCCTCAGGTATACACTAACCAAGAGGGTATGCAAGAGATTAAAAATAACCCTCAGAAGGTATATAAGAGATTAAAACTAACCCTCAGGTATACACTACCCAAGAGGGTATAGAAGAGATTAAAAATACCCCTCAGGTATACACTACCCAAGAGGGTATGCAAGAGATTAAAATAACCCTCAGATTAAAAATAGCCCTCAGGTATACACTACCCAAGAGGGTATAGAAGAGATTAAAACTAACCCTCAGGTATACGCTGCCCAAGAGGGTATAGAATAGATTAAAAATAACCCTCAGGTATACACTACCCAAGAGGGTATGCAAGAGATTAAAATAACCCTCAGGTATACACTACCCAAGAGGGCATAGAAGATATTAAAAGTCAATCCTCAGGTATACACTACCCAAGAGAGTATGCAAGAGATTTAAATAACCCTTGTATACACTACCCAAGAGGGCACGAAAAAAACTAACCCTCAGGTATACGCTACCCAAGAGGGTATAGAAGAGATTAAAACTAACCCTCAGGTATACACTACCCAAGAGGGTATGCAAGAGATTAAAAATAACCCTCAGGTATACACTACCCAAGAGGGTATAGAGGTGATTAAAAATAGCCCTCAGGTAAACACTACCCAAGAGGGTATAGAAGAGATTAAAACTAACCCTCAGGTATACACTACCCAAGAGGGTATAGAAGAGATTAAAAATAACCCTCAGGTATACACTACCCAAGAGGGTATAGAAGAGATTAAAAATAACCCTCAGGTATACACTACCCAAGAGGGTATAGAAGAGATTAAAAATAACCCTCAGGTATACACTACCGAAGAGGGTATAGAAGAGATTAAAAATAACCCTCAGGTATACACTACCCAAGAGGGTACGCAAGAGATTAAAGGTAATCCTCAGGTATAGACTACCCAAGAGGGCACGAAAAATTGAATTCACACTTATTTATATCAGGAGACCGCTCTTTGTCTGGACTCTTTCTTTTGACTGAAAGTTGAGGCATCCACCATTAACTTATATAATTATTATCGTTTAGTAGTTCCCGAATGTCTTTGTCAAGCTCGGCTATTCTTGACTGACATCATTGCAATTTCCCATGATATTTCGACTGGAGGCATTAAAGTGAACGGTCGAGGGCGATTTGATTTACCGCATCAACAACAAGATTATATTTTGAGACCTTGCGAATCCATCTGCTGGATTTCTCCCTGTCTAATTAATCCGGCACAGAGACCAATTGAAGATATAACATGCATGTTATTTGGTTACCTGGCGTTGAACGAACAGCCTTTGTTGGCGCGCTCGAGACCTGCTGGCGGGACAGAACGTATTGTAGTCATCGCGGAATCGACGAAACAATTCGTTCTTTGCAAAAGCTTTCGGCCTGATTTCACATTAACTTTTCGTTAGCATATACCAGGACTTTTTGGGGTCGAGATTGGATCCCGTAACTATAGAAAGCTCAGCCGATCGATCGAAGCCTTCAGCCTCCATGATAAGATCGCGCCAAGTGATTTTAATGCCAGATTTCTTGTGTTTTCGTAATTGTCGAGCATAGATGCAGTATTAATAATTAGGTGAATCTTTAACCTATATTATTATCAATATACGCGGCCAAATAGAAAATCGGCCTCTTCAAAACACACGTTCAGCGGGCCGGAAAAGACTGACAGCGGGCTGCTAATGCATTATCAGCCCTACAGCTGAGTAAATATTACTAGTCGTCTAATTTGCCTAAAAACTATTTCTGGATCCTTGTCTTTCTTGTTGCGTTTTTCTCAGAATTTACGTGCGTAGGTGAACACTCCTTTTGTCTCTAGGAGACAACAGTTTCGAACCTTTGAACTCCTGGCGAGATAACAAAACTCTCATTGTTCGGTGGTATTTGAATTTCTCTTTCTAGGAGAGTTCTCCGTAGAATGCATGCTGCGGATTTTTTTCGGGGCCAAGCTCCTCATGCTATTGAAGCGAAATCAACATTTGAAGCGGTCGAAATGTTGAATGACACAAACAAAGAAAAATTATTCAAAACAAAGGTAACAGAGTATTAATGAAAGCAACTTCTGGGAGAACAAAATAACTTAATAAAAAAGCGACAGAGACTAAAAAGAAAATGACTAACGTTAAAAGAAACGCGCAATAACTTTGGTGGCAACACCATGAATTCCCGCATGAAGAGACTTATTTTCGTTTGACTTTGACCATAGCTTCCACTATCTTAAGCCGTTTAGCTATGTGACAATTTGTTTACCCTGAGGCTTTTTTTAAAAGAGCCATTTGGGTCATTTCCAAGGCTGGGAGGCAATTGAATAAAAGTAGTCATGACTTAAGCAAGTGCACCTCTGTGAACCATTGTATTGAGTTGGTTGACTTCTGCAAATACGTTTTTTCTTGCTCGTTGTGTAAAGTCTACCGAATATACATATCGTGAATGCGGGTTTGGTTTTTCCACAAAGTCAAAAACAGACTGTTTCATTGATTTGTAAATGTTTTGTTTCACGATGAAAGGTCGCTTTCTTAATTTAATTAGATTTTGTTCCTTCTAATATTTACATTCTCGATTATTCGGACCCTTGATTATCTGGACTATTTCATTTAGTCCCAACGAGTCCGAATAATCGAGGTTCGACTGTACTGCATGTTTGTTTAAACGACTGAAACGACACGAACAATATCAGGAACAACTTTACCAAGCTAAATCTTGCAACACACACCTTTAGTTAATTTATTAATTAGTATGCCTGAACGACTCTTCTTCAAAGATAGAGAAAGCTACCAGAAAATAAAAGATTTCTGACCCATAAAACGAGAGTGGAAAGGTTCGGATGTCCTATCTGAGTAAGAAAACTTTGCGCTGAACATAGGGTAAGCAAATTTAGTGAAGAGAGTAGCGAGAAATACTTCAATGGAAGATCGTTATTAAAATTCTTTGCATTTTTCAAGCAAGGTCTCTGAATAATTTACTTCGTTGCTGTCCATCTAAAGCGACCCTTTTATTAATTCTAAGCACAAATACAGTAGCATTTTCCCATTACGGAACAAGCTGCCTGAGATTGAAACGACTCGATCGCGAACTACAACAGAAACGACGTTACCAATCTTCATCCGATACTGCGTAGTTAATAAATAATTGGGGCGTTAAGAACTCTCCTAGAAAGAGAAATTCAAATACCACCGAACAATGAGAGTTTTGTTATCTCGCCAGGAGTTCAAAGGTTCGAAACTGTTGTCTCCTAGAGACAAAAGGAACGTTCACCTACGCACGTAAATTCTGAGAAAAACGCAACAAGAAAGACAAGGATCCAGAAATAGTTTTAGGCAAATTAGACGACTAGTAATATTTACTTCAATAATACCCATCTAATGCGATCCTTTTTAAACTTGGAGAACATATTGATGGTACTTTTTTTCTTTTTCCGTTGCAGTTGTAACAGCGTTTTTTTACATCAACAATAACCTCATCAATCTACGCCGTTAATAAGGGAATAACATGACTTTTTGAGGGAATATTCGCGCTCGGGCCGCAAATGACACTACAAGGGCGCAAATAAACAATATTCCCGAAAAAAGTCATGTCATTATCATTACTATCAATAAACAAGGCCAAATGATATCAAGAATGCGAGTTTTAATAATACAAGCTAAGTGAATGACGAATTCAAAGTCACTTCAAATCATCATGTAAGTGTTGATTGAACAAGCTATTAAAGAATCAACTCAGTCCAGTGAACTTATTGAAAATTACCGAAAAAATGCTCAAAATCGTCTATAAATAATAGGCATATCACAAAGTTAACCTTAAAAATGTCCATGCTGGTAACAGAATCATCACAAAGTTAACGGAAACTCAGTTCTAATCACTATCACTTTCGATAATTATTCGACGGCGCTTGACAGGTTGCAATCAGAGTGAAATATATATATATATATGTTGATAATAATATTTCGTAATGTATCGATGAATGCGCTTTAAGAATTCTACTCGAAATCTGGAAGCAAAAACCGCAGAACTAAAGAGTTCGACTGGCCTCAAAACGGGAAATATCTCTAATAAGCAATATAGACAAAGACGACTCAATCAATATTGCAAGCGATGAACGCAAATTTCAAGACGAGCGCAGTTATCTGCATTCGAAGCAAGTTATACGACTAATTTGTCTCTTATTGCCGATCTGATCTAAAACGTTTTTTACTTTTAACGAAATTAGCGGCTCTTTCAATCTATTAGGCACGCAGTTATCTTTCAAACGATTCAGTTTTACGGCAACCCAATTTGATTAAAATTTCCAAGAATTTGATATCTATGGTGAATGCTTACCTTATCCTCACTCAAAACTACATACGTGACGGTTTCTCTCCATAAGTCACTCTTTCGGTAGATTTTCAAGCTTCGATAGAGGCATGCGTGAGTCAGGCGAATAAGATGCGTTTGGATTTAGTCTGCTCTTACTTCGCTAAATTCCCATGAAGCCACTTTTACACCGAAAGCCTTAATTTCAAGACTCAATAGAAGCAGTAACTCTTACCTTTTGGTGGTGAAGTTAATGTTTGTTGCGGAGAGGTTGTGCAAAACCGAAGTGAAACCCCAGCGGAGTGAATCAAGGCTAACTCAAATACCACGACAACGCCTTAGCTACACGGAAGTACTCGATCACGGATAAGTAACCAATCCATCCTTTGTTAACCTCGAACTAAAGGTAAACAGAGGACTGGGCAGACAGCTCACTGTCACTTTGCGAGGAGAATGGTGAAGAAATTACGTGCGGACTTTGAACAGTTTTTAGGACTGGCTAAGGAGCTCTGTAAATTGATGGCTTTTGCTTGATATGTTGGGCGTCAGAATGAAAAAGTATCCGATCACGGATAAGTACCGAATAAATTCTCTGTTAACCGTGAACATAAGGTGAACAGAGGGCTAGGCAGACAGCTCATTGTCACTTTGCGAGGAGAATGGTTAAGAAATTACGTGCGGACTTTAAACAATTTTTAAGACTGGCTAAGGAGCATCGTAGATTGATAGCTTTTGCTTGATATGTTGCGCGTCAGAATGAAAAAGAGGACTTTTATCGATTTAACTAGGCCTATATTCTAATTGAAACTGGTATTTGAACTGTCCTGATCTTTTTATTGAAAAGGTGAGGTATCCCAAAATCATTTCGATTTAAAATTTCAGAGAGCTGTCCTGTGTTAAAAGTTTGTGCCTTTCTTTAACTGCTCGTTGTTAAACGTTTCCCATTGGTTAATGCTAATGTTGTTTGGCGTTTATTTATTTCCTTTGTTAGAATAAACGAATTTATTATCGTTGATATAAATGGGAGAAAAAATACCTCACTTAAACGAGCTGTTACTATGAGAAAAAGGCACATGTATAAACAATAGACCTGTCAATTAAAAATATAAACAATTTTAATCATTTTAATTAAAACAACTTAAAAGTCGTTTTAACAAAAAAAGGTCGAAAAGGTAAAAATTGGGACGGGTAAGAATGGTATCCGGTTAGATCGCACCGTGGTTAGATCGCTCCCAGTTAGATCGCTCCAACCAAAACGTAGATCGCTCCATCAAATGAGTGACTTCGCTCCCAACATAAGTTACTTCGCTCCATGTAGTAATGTGAAGTATTACTTACCAATGATCACTAAACATCACAACAGACAGAGACCTGTTTTGGGACCAAACAGTTCATCAAATGTATATATCCTACGAATAAATAACACTCTAGACTATTACATAAAATATATTGGACGAATACACTAAACCAAGCCACCCAGTTATCGATGCCTAGATTCATATTAATAGACATTAATATTCACTGAAAGTATATAGGTGATAATGTGTCTTGCGACGATTCGAGTACATCGTATTCACTCTGTCCTTCAGATCAGCCACCGAGCTACCGATGTATGATGTATAGCGATGATAAAATTAATGATCGTGGAATAAATTATAACTTTATAGTCTGAAGTGTATTGAAAAAGAGCGATCTAACCATGGTGCGATCTGACCGTAATTCGTAAGAATTGATCATCGATTTGGGTACGAACAAACTCAAAATTGAGTACGAAACTTGAGCGCGAAACGACTGAATTGAGGAACTGTATGACTGGGTTCGAAACGACCAGATTCCTCCTCACCCATCGGGGATAAGATCCAAGAAAGATGCGAGTTTTCGAAAGCAATATATAAAGTGAAAAACGTGAGATGAGTAGATAGGGAAGTTTGTTCTCTTCACTTTCTTAGGGCATTCTTGACGCAAATATTTTTTCTGGGTTTTGTTTTTGTTTCCTCCTTTTTTTGTCCTTTGTATTTTCTTTTCTTTTTTTTTTATTTATTTATTTATTTATTTTTTGAGAGAACCTAAACAGCAGCCGTCTTAAAGCCGTACGTTTCAATTCCCACCATTCCGTGGAAGTGCTGTTTGGTTATTGAGCGTTTTAAAAATGGCGGCGCCCAAACTTGAACCACATTTGACGACAATTTTTGAACAACTCAGTTACACTCTGGAATCTCAAAAAGCGGTTAGTAGCGATATTTAAAATGTTTTACATAGTTACATAGTACTTGACTTCGGAAGCGAACTTCTTTATAATGGCGACACTCTGACCCACGTTTTGGTATTTCCAGCCAACCATTACAAAGTGGGATATATCAACATAAAATTTTCAAAGTCAATGAAGATAATGCATTGCATTCTAAGAAATAAATTTTACAATATGTTTTCGGGATCAGAACGTTTGTTAAATCTATTTTAGATAAAATTGGACAAAAGCAATTCTTGGCGATTATTTTCTTGAATAAATCCATTAGGCAAGGTTTGCTTGTTCCTGACCGTTTGTAATGCAATGTGAAATATGAGCTCAACGTGGTTGAAATGCAGGCCTATTTATACTATTTTAAGAAATATTTGCTGACTATGCCAGCCGTAGAGCACAAGAACTCAGTATCTCTTATTATTTCAAGATTTGGGAGAAGACTGTTCACATATTATAATTGTAGCGTTTCTTTCCTTGCTCGTTTTCCCTTTTAGGCTTGAGAAGTAATGATCTGACTCCAAAATACATATCAGACTTTATCAGCATCTGCTAACCTTGGCATCATTTGCACTTAGCCTTTATCATAAAAAATGGTCGTACCGACTTCTAATTTGCATGATACTAACCGAGGGAGGTAAGATTTAAGAGCATACAATTGTTGAGGGACCGAGACAATAATGTAAAATAAATCAGCCTCTGTGGAGAGTTTCTGTTGGAAACAACTCTGCGTGAGAAATTTATTTATCATTTCTATTTTAATTCCGATTATCATTATGACCAAATTTTAATGAGTTTTGTTAAACACATCCCTGCATGCTTTATACTGATCTTCGACAAGTTTGTACGTTTTCAATCTTTCTATTAAGACACCGCAAACAATGGGTGTGTAAAACTCGTTTTAATGTTTTAACTTACAGAAGCAGCGTTTTGGTTGACTAAATATTGGAGCAAAAGTACTCGAGAAAGCTCACTCTAATTGCACTGATAAAAAGCGGGAGATTGATGGTTTTGTTTGTTTGTTTAGTTTTATTTTTTACTAAGCCGCCATTAAGATTATAAGAAGCACGAACGTGAAGCATCCCATGGCGATAGAGATAATATTCAGCCACTTGGCGATTTGTGAATTCCTCCAAGCGCCGTCGTAGTCTCTTGCTGCATATGAACTGTCCACCTGAATAGACAGCAGTTGAATGATCGGTAAGAGTATTAACAATAAAATTTTAGATAAAGTACTAAAATGTTCACTCCCAATTGTTGTTAGTATTAGTATTGTTTAGAAACTGTTCAAATACAATGTCGAAGAAGGTAATTTCGGGTTTTGAAATAGAATTGCACCAAACGAAAATAATTAGAATTTGCTGAGGATATATACAGCTAAATAGACGATCATTCTTTGGAGGCTGTCTTTCATACATTACTTCGCCAGCTGAAACGAATGGCTAGTACATCAATGAGTTAAAGGAAGATTCATGAAATAGATTTTCTTTTTGAAATAGGAACATAACAGCAGCTACAGGACTCTTAGTACTGCACATTTTTAAACTAGACTGAATAATGAAATTATAAGGAGCCATTCACGGTAGGAAAATAATTTAGTTTTGGAGATTTTCTTAAATGATAGACAACCCAGTTGAGGCTACCTATTTCAGGATATTTTATCATGAAAGATACACTTACCATAATGGAGAAAATGATTGCAGCTATTCCAAGAATTGGGAAGCAAAAAAGGCATGTGAATATGGACAGGGCCAACCAATTGGGAGGAGGAAAAGCCATAGGCATGATGATCGTCGGAGCCTTCCAAAGAGAACAAAAGAGAAAATCAAAAAACTTTTTGAAATGACAAGAAAGCTCGCAATGCATGTATAGAAAGAGAACTGTGTTTTTACCCGTCCAGGGTATCCTATTTAAAGATATTTCCGATTTTGGTCGTGATTCTTTAGGAGAGGTGTAAGGGCTCGAAACTATGATGTCATAATTGGAGCCTTACATAAGGTCAGAAAAAGAGAAATTCTAACTAGTGAGCTAAAACTAGTGATATAAAACCCAAAAACGAAGTATATTTGGATTCCTTTGTGAAAATGACAACGTACAGGTTCCAGATATATCAAACTCCTCGCGTTCCGAAACATCCATGTTACATGCAAATTCCGAATAGTCGGATGCACTAAACGCGAGTTTCACGTTTAACCATTGCGAATTTCCGATTAAATAATGTCAATTTATGGTAGTTTGGCTCTATTGCTAATCAGGGAGATCCGCGCTCTTATATGAGGGCGGTAGTGAGAAGGTTGCAGTCGCCATTTTGTTTAAAAATGTTTAAGGTACACAAGGGGTTTGAGCTTAAAGTTTTCAAGTTGACTATTGGAGTCCTATTTGTCCTCTTTATACTTAGCCACTCTTGGGCCTTATTGGTTTATCATTATCAATTGCCAAATCTAATGGTATCCTTCAACTTGAGCGTAGATTTTTCACGCGCAAAATCAATAACATATAGCCTTTCCTTGATAGATGTATGGTACGCGAGTAAAATCCCCATTTCCTCTGGATTTTTCAAGTTTTCATGGCTAGCTGGTCGAGGAGGATAAAGGGGGTAAGTTTCTAGAGAAACTGTGGTGCTGCGTCAGCGGGGAAGTATAGCAAGATAATGTTGGTTATGTCGACGAAGTTGATAACGTAAATTGGCCTCTGTAAAGAGTTTCAAAGCTGACGTTGGAGCGAATGGTAAAACCAAAATTAATAAAACCAAAGTTATCTTGTCGAGGAGGAGTTTCAGTTCTGTTATAAAAAGCCGATAAGAAACTTACAGGTGCTTGCATGTTGACCACTGTGGTACTTTGTTGGACATGTTGGGTGGGCTGTGGAGGATAGCCTGGCTGCTGCGTTTGCGGGTAACCATATTGAGGAGAATACCCAGGCTGAGGCTGCTGCCCAGGCTGTGCTGGGTAACCAGGCTGTGCTGGAAAGCCAGGCTGTGCTGGGTAACCAGGCTGTCCTGGGTAACCTGACTGTGCTGGGTAACCGGGCTGAGCAGCACCACTGAGTTGAGGTTGGTAGGCTGGTTGAGCCGTAACAGGAGCCTGTGGTGTGTAGGGTGGAGGATTATCTGAAAACGGCATGTTTTAAAGATATCTTGATCAGTTATGATTGAACTCGTACATCACAACACTGCTCAGTGGACAGTGTCCATTGAAAGTGGTCAGAGTCGCCTTGAATTTAAAAAGGGTGCCTTGAGTTTAACGGGTCAGTAAAGTTGCAGCAATTTGACTCAGTATATGAGAGTCGCACCTGGGTTCACTTGTGTGTTCTGTTCCATGTTCAGTTTTATTCTGAAAAGAAAAAATATACATGATTTTAGTAAATAGGAACGAACAGCCAGGTATACCATGGTTAAGCAGTATTAATTTCTTGGGTTGTTTATCCCATGATTACTCTTCAACGATTTTCATGTCCTCATTTTCAAGTCTCCGCGATTTGTGGAAAGGCGTTTGACTGTTCGTCTAAAGGAAGGATATTTTGAATCAGACTCAAGGAATAACTCGAACGGCAAGGAAGAGTCGAGAGAAATAGATGCCGCTCGACCACTATTGAATCTGATTGAGGTTTATGAGATTTGACTCTTTTGTTTGGTTATTGTGTTGCTAATATTGAAAAGTCGATGTAAATCTTGTGGATAATTTTGAGCAAAGTAGAGGATAGTAACGCTTTTAAACTTTGGTAAAATTTATACAGAACGTGAGAAAACCATAACTGTAATATTTACATTGGTTTTTTATTTACTGTTTCATGATGGCTTGTCAAGCAAGTATAATTAATTGTTTTCGCGAGCTAAATCTGTGTTCATTCGGCTATCGCCAATCGCGGCATCATCGCATCATGCCGATCCATTGTCGAAAACTTTCAACCTTAGTGGTTATATTTTGTTTTTCCAGATTATTGTGATAAGGTGTTTGAAGCTTAAACTTCCTCAGTAAGTTCATTAAGATGAAAATACTATAAAATTACATATACGACATCATTGCGTATTACTGGACTTGTTTCTAAAGACCGTGACACACGAACAATATTTTTCAGATAGGCATTTCATATTTCGAACTTCTTTTTCAGTGTCCTACACAAGCCAGAATCGTCATCCTCGACTTGGAAGAATTAGACTTAGCGAGTATGTTACTTATCGAAGGAAATCTTGGGGAACTGGCACTATGCCCGACATTACAGGGCTTTGCTTATATTGTTCATTATGATAATGCGCTGGAGAAAATGCCTGAATATTTGAAAACGGCGTCGAAGGTGGTCGAGCGAACGAGGATATTTTGGATTATGAAGAAGCACTGGATTTTCGTCACTCGCTCCAAGGAGACACGATGTTATTTCCGAAGGACCGCTCGCGAGAGAATCAAGGAATACTTTGAAAGTGTTTCTGTGCTTCATGGATGCATTCGCCGTTTTCTACTTTGCTTATAAGTATCTATTAATTTCGTCTGGGAATCAAACTGAAAGCTTTCATAATTTTTACCTAGTTTTTGCTTGATATAAGTTCGTATATTTATCTTAAATCGTTCAAAAGTAATCGGAAATCAACTGAATGCTCCGTCCAACACCTAGCTTAGAGTGCCACTTCTCAATTTGCAAATATCTAATATCTTGCACGCCGTTTAAGCAGAGACGCATGAGATACAGAAAGTAAATTTATGAACCACGTGCAAGTTTGTTAGATTCATAAACTTTTAGTATTTCTCAAAGTGATCAGTAGAACCCTCACAAGGTCTAAAGATTTGTTTCTTAGGGGAAGCTTTTTTAGAGGAAATCAATACCCGGACTCTTGAACAAGACATCATATTTGCATTTTACTGTAGTTTAGATGCGAATTAAAAAAGATTTAAACTTTGGGTGGATTCATTATAGATCCTATCTAAAACAGAATTTGTAGGATTCAAGGATTCGCGTTTCAGATTCTAGCGATAAGATCCGAAAGCGAGGTAATTTAAAATTGCTAGTCTTCCTGTTTAAAAAGTAATGTCATTTGAGACTCCATCAGTGACCGAGGGAAATTTTCAACTGAATCTTTGTCACTGAATTGTCCTAAAATCTTGCAGAATTTCTCAAGCATGAGCATTTGTGAAAACTTCTGACATATAGCAAGTCTTCGACGAGTGAAGTTGATTTCAAATAGGCAATTTAGCAATTCTTTGCTTCTCACTAATTTTACTTTGCATAATCTTCCACAAAGTAAAAGAAGCGATGCCATGAAGTATTATTTCCCATTTTTAATTGCTTCGGTCAAAAGATGTCCACGTGATCTTGGATACGGAGTCCTGACAAAGACTGCATAGATTAGTTTGTTTCAATGGACAATTATAGCTACCAAGTCTGAAATTCATGAGCGACACGGTTCTAAAACAAAGTAATCAAAATTTCCGCTTTAAATGGACTTTGTCTAAATAGTCGACAAAGATCGACACTCTTCGGCATTTTACAAGAAAAGTACAAATTTGGTGTAAAGAACAATACTTACCGGTTTGTGAAAGGAAACGAGATATCTGGTTAAGAATCCTGAAGTCTTTCAGAACCCGCGGAACTGGAAGAGAATGAATGAGCGAACTTCTTCGACAAATCGCCAGGAGGTAACCTAACAAATGTAGCTGCGTCACAGGTCAGCGGTTGACATCATATTGGCTCAAGCAGTCCACACCTGTGTGTGGGAGAAGAAAACAATAGAATTAAAATCAAACGAATATCGTCTTAACTGTTGAACCTAGCAATGTAAGAATCGAATACGCAAACACATTCTAAGAAGAAAAACTTTTGCATAGATCTTCATATATTCTGTGAGTATTTGAAAGCACTCATCATAAAATGGTAAGTTTAGATCTGCACATTTTAGAGGGATTTCTTTTCTTTCCCGGCATGCGCAAATGATGTGAGTTCTGAGAGTGAAATTCAGTCGCCCCTGGTCATGTGTCGCATTGTTGCCTGGCTCAAAATCGTCTTCTACAGGACCATATCGTCGTCGGCAGTGATTGAAGTTTCGAAAAATAGTGTGGAAGTCATTATCAGAGCCACTCTAGTTTGTGGATGTCTTGTGCTCAGGGTTTCGAAACGCTTAGCGTTGCCGCGGACACTGACTCATGCAGGTCTACCCTTGCCCGGACTGTATCACTCTATACAATCGCCTGCCTCGCTGTTTCGCTGTCAACGGGACTCTAAAAACTTTGTTAGTGATAAAGTATTGTGATGTTTCAGTTCATTTCAACTTTCTTCAGAAAACAGAAGCAACATAATCATCCTTTTTTCCGCTTGATTTTTTTTTACGAAGAGAATGCCATTTATTTTCCGTCATGCGAACGGCTACTATAAAATTGCTATAACCAAGACCCAAAATGCCTTTCTTCCTTTCATACATTCATCCTTGTGTCACACTACACGTAACTTCCCTGTCTGGAAAAAAGCAATCATTTACAAAAAACATCTGACAGATTGTGGCTTCTCTATCAACAGGTACAGTTTTAAACATTTATGACGTTTTTCTTCATTGTTATTCATAAACCTCATACAAAATAGTAGTAACCCATCAAGCCGAGAAAATTTGGATGTACGACCGTACGACCGTACAAGGTGCTACTTTTAACATGCGTGGTCAACTGTACCGCGGGGCACGCCAACGCCACGGCTTTGTTCATTAGTCCAGTGGGTTCCGAGTCGGACGACCCGGGTTCTAGTCCTAGTCGGGGCAAGGCGTTGTGCCCTTGAGACGTGCGGGAAAAAAAAGTGCGAGCTCCGCTTTTAGGCTTGGCTAAATCTTTATATTAACCCTGTTCACTGAAGAAAACTGAAATAATTACGTATTTAGTTTTTTTACATGCAATCTGAATTCAACTGATACAATAGGAATAAACATGGAACTACCTTTCCAATATAATGCATGTATCTAGTTTCGGTCAGCCTGTTGAGCAGCTTTATCAAGTTTCCACACAATTTCAAGCTTAAGCACACGTCAGTTGTTTGTGTTGGTGAGTTTGGCAGAGGTAACTAAAGAGGGGTACTTCTGACTATGTCAGTCTGCAGGAGTCCACGATCAACCTCCCTCAATGCTCCTTCCAGTTTATTCCGCTTCTTTAAAGCGGGCTGATTGGTACAAACCTAATCTACTATATTCTTTTTCCAACATTTTCAATAAGAAATGGACTGATCGATTGAGGCTTGAGTTTTGTTTTTAATGCAGAAAGGGAAGGGGTACTCTCCTAAAGACTATGTATGAAATTGGACCAGATTTTTCAGGTCAGTGCAAATTGAAATATGAAAAAACTCAATCTTCAACCTAAGGAATACGATGAGGGTGCGCCAATCCGTTATCTATGTTATTTTCTGTTTTATCCATGATTCAACTCTTGCCTAATTTCTGAATCTAAATTACACGACAGCAGGTTAAGTGTTACCCAAACCTGGGATGGAGGTTTGAAATCTCTTTTGAAATAATCAAATTGTCTCAAGAAGATTTACTTCACAGGCTAAAAATCCTCTACGATCGCATCTAATTGATCTTTAAGTTTGTAAAGAAATGATCACGGTACAATATAAGTGTTTTTGTCATATCATACCGGGCTTGGTATTTTTTTCTTTGTTGGAGACTATTTGTTTCAGGAAACTTCAACTGTGATACACTTTTGACTACAATTGCTCCATGGTGGAAAATTTTAAAGTTATTGTATCAACAAAAATGACGCATCGAAACGCATTGTTTGTACATACATACATACATACACATACATAAGCTTTATTTATCCTCGGATTTCAGTGTAGCTTACAAGCTAGTATCTCCGATCCTAATTACTAATTTTAAAAGTTACAGGCTGAAAAGAGAAAAAATAATAATTCATAATATAATAATATAATAATATAATAATCATTAATATAATAATATAATGTAATATTAATGTAATATTAACAGAAAGCGTGCATTAACAGTTTGCGCTTAAATTCGCTATAATCTACAGTCTTTCTAAAGTGGTCAGGGAGGGAGTTCCAGTACTTAACAGATGAATAGCTAAAATAATTTAGACCATATGTGGTTGTAAACGGCTTAGGAAGTGATAAAATGTTGGTGCCCCTTAGGGAGTAAGCAGTAGATCTTAGCTTGATCAGTTGTTTCAAATAGCACGGATATTTACCAAGATGGAGACAGTTGAATATACAAATCATCATATTTTGTATCCTCCTTTTGGCTAAACCACACACACCTGCCTTGTCTAAAAGATCATCATAGTTCGAGTCCCAGTCCTTTAAAACAAATCTTAAAATACGTCTATTTAAGGTGTCCAGTTTAACAGAGTCCTCTGAATTACAAAAGTGCCATATCATTGAACAGTAGTGAAAATGGGGTAACGTAAACGTTTTATAAAGGCGAAGCATAATTTCAGTAGAAATAAGTTTTCCAAATCTTTTGAAGACACTGAACTGATTATTTATTTTTTTACATACAGAGGATATGTGTTCCTTGAAATTAAGTTCATTATCAAGAATTATTCCAAAAAGTTCCAGGCATCTTGTGGTTGAGAAGGAGAAAGGGTAATCAGTTTTGCCAAGAACCATCCCTTGGTGTTTAACGGGGTTGGCTTTCATCCCATTGTCTTCGAACCATTTGTTTGCTATTTGTACATCATGATTGATCCGCTGTTCCAAGGCTACTGGGTCTACGTCAGATGTGTGCAGTTGGCAGTCATAAGCACAAGTGTTTAGTTTTACAGACTTAATGTGAAAGATGAGGTCATTGAGGAACATGTTGAAAAACATGGGTCCCAGGACGCTACCTTGAGGCACGCCACGCTTCAAGCTCATCCAATACGAATAAGTATCACCAATTTTCACTCGCTGCATTCTATCCGTCAAGTAGTCACCGATAAGGGCACAGCTGGATTCATGCAAAACATACGCTTTCAGTTTCGCTAGTAGCAAAGCATGAGGTACGGTGTCGAAAGCTTTTGACAAATCCATTGATATAACCGCCACGATCTCTTTATTATCTAGACTACGCCTCCAGTCCTCAGTCAGCCTAAGTAAAGATGTCTCACAGCTATGGTGCCTTCTGTAGGCAGATACGTATTCGGACAATATGTTTTGGTAAAAGTCGCCCATTTGAGCTGAAAGCAGCCTCGCGAAAACATTATTGAGCGCAGGTAAAACGGTCACTGGTCGATAATTGCTTTTGTTCAGTTCATCGTCCTTTTTAAATAAAGGAGTAACTTGACCTAATTTCCAGCGCGACGGATACTGTCCTGTCCTGATCGAGTGATTCATTATTGCAGCAATAGGACCAGCAATCGCGTTGGCAGACTCTTTTACCAGTCGCGGTGGTATTCCGTCATGACCACAGGATTTGCGGGAGTTGATTTTGAGTAACAAAGCTTCCACTTGGGTTTTATAAGTATATTGAAAAGCAAATTTGTTTCTCACAGCGAGCTGTTCATTGTTGTTGAAAATCGCCTGAATGCTAGGATACGCATCCAACTCTTTTCCATAACTCTGTTCAGTAATCTCTGGCACGCCGTCCGCGATGTTGACAAAATAACTATTAAAAAGCTCCGTCATTTGTTTTTGTCTGTTATCACGACATCGTGTTCTTTTAATATTATGTATAATGTCATTTGCTTGCGTGCTTTTCCTTGAATGCAAAAATGGGCGGTATGTGTCCCAAAACTCCCTTGGGTTTTCCGACTCACTTTTCTTGTCGAAGAAAGTTTTAATAGCTTTACGTCTTAGAGAAGTGCAAATGTTCCTTTGTCTCTTGTACAATTCATAATTAGTATCAGTTCTTTCGCGGATGAAACGTTTCCACAAACGGTTTTTCTGGCGAATAGCTTTGCGCCATTGTTCATTCATAAAGAGAACTTGATTTCCCCTTATGCGGACCTATTTCAAAGGTGCATGCTCACCAAGAATGTCCTCGTATAGACAATCAAACACGTAGAGCTTATCGTCAACGTCATCAAATATTTCAGCTACTTGGAAAGGAACATTATGCAAATCATGTAGAAAATGCTGTTTATCAAAATTTTTAGGGCTTCTGAATTATATTTTCCGAGATCGTATTCTCGGTTCCGATGCCCTGAGCATGGCAAACACAAGAGAGTGATCACTTATATTAACATGGACTACGCCCGATGACTGTATTTTTCTCAAGTTGTCAGTGAGAAAAAGGTCCAGTAGGGTTTCTGATGTCTTGGTAATACGGGTGGCTTCATGTATTAAATTCTTCAAGTCGTAAATATCAAGTAGGTTTGCCATAACTCTACCATCCCTTGGCGGCTTGTCTGGTAGTAGCATATCCGAGTTCAAGTCGCCTACGAAAAAGCAGTTACCAGGAAGTATTGTGATCGCCTCAAGTATAGAGGATAGTTCAAATTTCTATAGCGATTGTGGAACAGACGCAGATGTTGGAGGTCTATAGATACCGACGATGGTTTCCCACTTCTTAGCTATCCTCACCTTCAGCACAATCGATTCAGTCTTGTACCGTTCACGCTCACATAATCGAAGATTGGGAAGGTCTTTAATGACTTTAAAGCAGAGGTCTGCGCGGATATAGACAAATAAACCACCGCCATGTATGTTTCTGTCAGCCCTACACATTCGATATCCGGTGACCATAAATTGACTGTCTGGAAAACTGGAATCCAGCTTCGTTTCAGAAAGTACTAAAATATCAAACTTTCCTTCTAATAGCCAATACTAGAAAGCAATTGTTTATTTTTTTCTATTTGTTTGCTTGTCTGTTTATTTTTCCATTTTTTAATTATAATACATCAACAGAAATAAAAGGAATTACATATACATTCATATAATATGCATAAACTTTTTCTCCATTTACCTTCTAAGTTCTTCTGAGGGGTAATGGGTTAGGGATCAGCGTTGGAGATGAACTACGGAAGACGGAAGACGGAAGACTTGGTGGTAGGGATTTTCAATCGTATCTTTTTATTTCAGCCAGGTTACCAAGTTCATCCTGGTTACCTACCTCAGCCCGTCAGCATCCAACAGTCATCTCATAAGGGCGCAACTGTCATTTATTCAAACAATTTCCTCTGTAAACAGTTTAACCAACAAATCACGTTCAGCAGACAGTTGCAGAGGTTAATACAGGCATGTCAGTTCAAGTGAGATATCATGAGTCATGCATTAAGAGAATTTTTTCAATCCTTTTTTCGTTGAGAGATAACTCAAGAGTAACGCGCAGAGGTCATGCTTTTTTAGCGGGTGTCTTTACCGTCTTGACCAAAAAAAGTCACTACGTCATCACAATGAACACCACAAACCCCAAACTGCAGGCTGCCAAACATAACACATCAAATTTCACCATAGAACCACTAAACGATTAGCTTTTGTTTTCAAAATAGTCGTACTGCAGGAACGTGCACTAAAATTAGATTTAAAAAAATTTATCATTGGAATAGGGGTACGTATGGGGTATGAGTTCTCTCATTTTATAATCTCGTGGACAGAGCTAATCATTGTGGTGAACGAAAAGATAGGGAAGTCTGCCTCGGAAACAACCAGTCATTACATGAAAGTTAATGTCTGGTGCATTTATTTTGAACAAAAATGCTTATTTCATCTTTTCTTTTGTCATTACCGAGCATTAAATCTCCAAAATATTTTTTCAAATACAAAACATGTTTGAGACAAATAGCATTATTTTCCAGAGGAGTTATCTGAATATGAAAAAGACGAATGTGACGAGGCGTTTCGGTAAGAACTTTCGCTAGAAAGTTTCAGTTACTTTATTTTTCCGAAAAAATAGTTTCCATACTAACCAGGGAACAAGCTTCGAGAACAACACACTCACCAATGAGATATTACGTGTGTTCAAATTGTTTACGGACAACGAAACACCCTCTAAAATTTGCTTCGTTTCCAAAATGTGGCTTGGTTACTCAATCGTTAGGAACGTCCTAACAACATTCAGGGGGCCAGGTATCAAGTCTCGTGGAAGCTAATATTTCATTTATTTTCTTTTCAAGATTTTGCTTTTGAACAATTGCTCAAGAAATTTTACCTGTGAGCATCCGTTTGTCTCAAGAGCAACACTGAATTGTAAATGTCATTAACTTTTTGCGATTTGGTAGTCGAAAAGGCAAACAATAGACATGTTTTTACGTAAAAGACATCACCGTTTGAAGGCATTAGACTCCTTGGTGAAAATCCCCGACAAAGTTGCTTGAATTATTGAAATGGTGCTTTCTTAGAAAGCTCCTCGAACCGGAAAAAAGATTGAAAACGTCGGCTATGAATTAAAAGGTGGACGGAACGAAATCAGCCGTTACATGAAAGATGATGACTGGTGCAATTATTTTGAACCAAAATGCTTCGTTAATCTTTCTTTTTGTCATTACTGGACATATAAATCCCCAAAGTATTTACAAAAAAACCAGTCATTTTTAAGTGAATGGTATCATTGTGTGGTGGTGTTATCTGTGTCTGAAAAGGTAAATGAAACGAGGTGTTTCCGCACGCACGTTTTCTAGACCCCTTCGCAAGTTCAGCAATTTGAAGTGAACAGAGGGTACCTCCTTCGCACCTAAAGGTAAGTTTAAAAAAATTTAATATCATCCACTTTAAATGAAGCAATTGAATTTGTCACCTACTTGAACTTTCGAGTTCATCTGGCTAAACTTGTCTCAGTTAGCAACTATGATGGCTTGTTAAATCTAAGTAAAATTTTAGGGGTTCTGAAATTACTTAACAGAATCGAAACAAACAAATTTCAATTATGGGTAGGTTCAGTCAAACAGTTCCCTCACCTCATGTGCGCCGCGGTTCCACAGGGTTGATTTTGGTCTATTACTGCCCCTGAATATTCCCTTATTATCCTTTAATACACTTGTAATCTCTAATTTTTCACAAAATCACAAGAAATACTCACCAATACGAAAACATTTCTTCCCTAACTCTACAGAACGAACAATGTCTCGCCAAACCATTCTGTGGATCATCATTTTCACTGTGTGTGGAATGACCCCAGTCATTGCAGCTAGTAAAAAAGTAATATATTGCCACAACCCACAATACACAGGTCCGATCAAAGAAGTATTCGAGATGAAAGCAACTAAGCTGGAAGAGAAGACATCCGACGCCGCCAAGGTTATGCCTTGAATTTACCAAGGCTCTGGTTTCAAATACCATAGGAGAAATCCCAGTTGTGAGATTTGTACTGAGCGCGCTTTTCGATGGACTCGTGGAACTATTTGAAGGAGATCTCGACCCGAGGACGTACACAACAGTTTGATTGAGGAAATCAACCATGATTTCTCTCTCTTACGAGCCGAGATAAACATCAGCGCCCAAATTAGCGCCCATTACACATGCTAAACAAGACACACTTTTACTTCAGCAGATGTAACAAAACAGGTTTCCGGCTCTCCACCTCATTACTTTCTACGTAATGTCGCCAAAAATTACCAGGTAGTGTAAATGGCAAAAAAAATCTAAAGAATAATTCATGAAAATTAAAAAAACAAATTTTTCTTTTTAATCCTTTATTTAAATCGCACTAAATCTTTCCTCCAACAAACTATTTTTACAAAGATGTAACGAGACACAAACGAGTCTCTCTTTAGACCATTGAACGGCGCCAGAGGTTTGCACGGCTGTAATTTATCCCGGGTAATTATTTTCCTTGCCAAATGAAGCTAACTTACTGTAAAATTCCGATGACAAATGCTGAGAAGGAGTGATCAATACTTCAATGATCCGAAATTATTCAGGGTAATTTTAAGCAGTTTGAAATATCTAACAACAAGTGTGAGATGGAAAAAGGAATCCTTTATGGTGAAACTGTCGTTCCTTTTTCATCTACAACGAATAAACATGCCAAACAGTATACAATTACCATTCTTACATAAATAAAAATTACAGCACTTAATATTGCCAAAAAGGCATTAAAAAGTAGGAAGACTGAAATATACAAAAAGCAAAAACAAACAAAACAACCAAAACAAAAAGGCAAGCAAAACCGAAAAATTTTTTCAGTGAGTTTCAGGAAGATCATCCTTAATAAATCAGCAAAATTTTATAGTAATATCTATAGTTGGGATCCAATGGAGATATGAGTACAAAGCAGGCTAAACACTGAAGGAAAGTATACTATTGGATCTTTTGTAGCCCTTGTTTAATCAAATTCCTCGCTTCAACTGAGGGATGCAGATCAGAATGGTGAGCACAGCACACAAGCCAAATGAAATTGACGTCAGTGCCATTGTCTCAGCCTCATGATAGTTCTCAACCTCCTTCTTTTTTTTGCCATCTCCTCCAGCCTTTCGCGCCTGCAATTTGAAAGTTAAAAGCTTTAAAACAGCGTTCTAGAGGGGTTTTCTCGACGGCGTACCGATGTATGATGGGGCTTTTCATTGAAAAGAAATAAATATAATATAAGTGTCTAAGGAGCTAAAAAATTGCTTGACTGGCTGATGGAATAAACGAACGAATAAAAAAATACGTGAATAAGTGAACGAATGAATGAATTCTTTGATAAATGGATGGACAAAGAAAGATGAACTACAATAGAATATTAATGACGGTAATGGTTGTCATAGTAATGGCAGTAATAGTTGTCATAGTAATGGCGGTATGGTTGTCATAGTAATAGCAGTAATGGTTGTCATAATAGTGGCGGTAATGGTTGTCATAGTAATGGCGGTAATGGTTGTCATAGTAATGGCAGTAATAGTTGTCCTAGTACAGTAAACACCCGCGTATAAGAACCTAGTGATTTAAGAACCTACAGGCTGAAATTGGGCATTTTAGTACCCAAATATATAAGAACCTATTTAGGCTAGCAAAGAACAATAGGTTCTTATACAAAAAAACACTCTTTCAAATTGTATTTGATTATTTTCAAATTGGTTCAATTTTAATTCCCTAAATTGGGTTGTTATTTATTTGTGCTGTTTTTATTTACATATTTATATTGCTATTAGCAATTTACATTATTATCAAATACAACTGTAAATATGGTAGCCTATGATACTGAATTTATTATTGTTTAAAAAATAAGGCTTGGTATTTTTGCTGTTTAAAATACAAATGTTCAACCATTATGACAAACTAGTACTACAGTAGTTCTCTGAATGGTATCACTATGACAACTCCTACAAATAAGAACCTACTAAGAACCTAATCAGCCTGAGTTCGGAAAAACTACCCCAAAATATAAGAACCCATTCAGCCTGAACCCAAAAATTCTAGGTTCTTATACGCGGGAGCTTACTGTAATGGCCGAATAGTTGTCATAGTAATAGCAGTAATGGTTGTCATAATAATGGCAGTAATAGTTGTCATAGTAATGGCGGTAATGGTTGAGGCATGGTATTGATAGTGCCTGTTATAACGGTAATGATAATAAATGTAAAAAGTTGCATGGAAAAAACAAACAGATAAATCAATGGACAGAGAATGCCCGCCTGCAAAAGTACATTCGTAAAAATGATTCCTTCTTCTCCTTTCTTGCTCGGGGTCGAGAACATATCTTAGACTTACCAATATCCAGAAAACAATGGAGACGATTCCAACGGGGAAAAGGGTCAGCAAAGACAACATAACAAGAGCAGTTCTGGTACCATCACTGAACAGCAGCTTCCTGCAAGCTTCCTGTTCGTTGAAAGAGAGAACATAGTCTTATTTTCTCCTTCAAATCGAAAACTCTTTGGGCTTTTTCACTCCAGAGCCTAATTTAGGTTATAAAATCAGATAGTCATTGCTTTCATTGAAATTCCAAGAAATAAAAAAGGAAAAAGGAAAAAGAAAACAATTAAAAAATAACTTTAACAGTGATTAGTTACGATTCGGTATGCAAAGCTTGAATACACTCCTTCAAATATTTTAACTGGCGCATTCGTTCTCCAAAAGCAGAAAATCGTTGAGTTGCTTTAATTCAGTTACAATTTAATTTAGTTTGAAACTTATACCATTCTGCGATACATTGTACCACCGATGTATCAGAGCAATTGTCAATCGGGTGTCGGAAATACTGCCTGATTGGAATATTTTTGCTTTCCAAAGCTCTGAGATTAAAACTGGAAAACTTGCTCTTTCTTCTCAACCAATTATTTCTTACTTAGTAACTCACAATTTCCCGGGTTTGAGGTAATTTGCATAAATTAATTTTCTTTATTGATTATAAATATGTTTGCCTTATAAATCATCCTCAATAATAATTGGTTCTTGTGATTGCCTCTGGTTTATGACAATCGATTGAAAAGCGCTCTCTACGTATATTTATATTAACCCTTTAGCTCCCATGAGTGACCAAGACAGAATTTCTCCTTACAATATCAATGACAATATTGAGCAGACAAGTGATGAGAATAAAAAAAAATATCAGTTAGAGTATTATTAGTTGATCCAATACCAAATTTCCAAAACTAACATCAGAAGAAAAGTATGGCAGACAGTAAGGAGAATTACTGATGAGATCTTGGGAGTTAAAGGGTTAATGCTTCTGTAATATTTTTGCGTAGACATAAATATACCCGGTATGCAGCTTCTTCTTCAACCCTGATGTGTTCCATTTCTCAGTAACTGTTGAATCAAAATAAAAGCCCGGGAAATTATCACCTTGGAGAAATTATAGATTTCATTGATAATAATGTACTCGTTCTGTCTTTTTCCTTTCGAATAACCGTATTTTCATACAAGATAAGTTTTCGTAGCCTGGTCCTTTCTCTCGATAAACTTGTATTGTCTTTACTCTGTTTTAGTTGACTTTAAACACAAACGCGAGGAGCCATTCGTTGCTGTTATTGATAAAAGCATAATCGTCAATTGAATCTCATTTGCAAGATCTATTAGCGAGACTCAGTCGTAAAGAATCGATTACCAGGTACCTAATTATTCATCGCTCCTTTGTTCTAAATGTTTTTACCAGTGATGGTAAATTTATTCAATCACGTTGTTGAGACAAAGCATAAAATAATGATATTCAAAATCTTGAATCGAGAGTTTTGTGAATCGCGCAAAACTTTACCTCCTTCTGTTGGAAGAGGAGCGATCTTAAATGCGAATGAGTTGGGTATAAGTCCATAAAAATAACCTCAACGATGAAATTTCATTATGAAGGAGGACTGAATTAACAATAAAACAACGGTTCGTTGTGTTACGCCTGATAGCATAAATACTGTGCACTATTCATTGCCACGTTGCGAAATTTAAGCAGTTATAACTCGCTGTTTCGATTAGAATTCATTCAAAATGTTGTTAAATGTTTCCTAGGGAAGCTTTATCGAGCGTAGGTTATAGATTTTGAAAAACTTAATTTAGGAATTTGAACATAATCTTGACGATTACTTCTGTTGTGAGTGTGGTAGCGAATGAATTAACGAAATCAAATGAACACGTTTTAACCTACGCTTGAAAAGTATTTAATGACATACACAGTGGAGTCTGTGAGACATAAAGCGTATCGCGTGATCACTACTTTTGAGTAGCTAAGGAAGAAGCATGATGATGACACATGCACAAGAATTATGAGTTAAGGGTCGCCTGATCACGACACGATTAGACACAGACTACTGAAAACTTGGCGGCAAAACTAAGTCAATTGAAACAGTGTTTTGGTATTGCACAGAAAAACCTTTGCCTTAAAATGACATCAATCGAAGATCCTAAGACAGACTGTTATATCTAACTCTTTCTGACACAGGAACACCTCAATTACTTGTTTATTTATGTCAAAATGTTTCAAGGAAATAAGCATTTCCAAATCCAAATCCGTCGATCAATTTCCTTCATCGGTTGTATTAAGAGTCACGATATTTATAAGTGCATCTTTTGGGAGGACTGTTCAGTAAATAACTAATAATTAGTTCTTAGAGAATCGACATAAAGTGCTTGAAATTTTGCCGCAAAATAGAGTTAAAAGATATCAGAAGTGTTGGCGCATTCGTCTATAGTAAATTTAGCGCCGTCTGCCGAGTTCGCGGGTCATGGCGACTGTTTTGTATAATGCACATTGATCTTCAATCAAGAATGTTGTTTATGAGCTCAGGAAAGGAGTTAGCAACGTTTCTGTTGTGTTTTTCTTTTAACGTATAAAGCCGAACTCCACAAGAATCGATTCTGATTTACGTCGGAGAATGGTTGATATTTCGCCATGAATGCTCGAGTAATTCGACTGGATGTCGGAGTGTCTTACTACGGCCAAATGATTAATTTAGTGGTTACCTTTTTAGTCAGACGAATTCGTTTCTTCTGAGACTTGGTTTTATGGCAAACACTTCAACACAGTTTCCTCGTTGTTCAGACCGTTTAAAGGCGGTAAAAGACAGAGCCGGTTTCAAAAAGCACAGGACGAGAGCGTGACCCGTCGTTCTCAATTGGTAGCGCGGATTGGCAGTTTTGGATTAGCATGAATGGAATGCGCCCAGAGGTTCACTGAATTATTTGCATGATAATACAGGAAATGAAATGATGAACATAATGCATAACAGATTAGTTCAAATCGCTCTGGACTTTAATTCCCATGTATTCACATACGTTGTCTATTTTACAACTGTGTCGGTAGACATTGAATAGCGTGAAACCACAAACGTAAACACCCACACGGACATTTGTTGTACCCTTACTGGTGGGCATGCGTCACTTTAGGCCAAATCATATTTGTTGTATGTTTATTTATGTTTGGTCGCGTTGTGACAAAGCCTGCACCACGAACAACAGGGGGGGACGACGACCAAGTTGAGGCACGAAAAAGTAGCTCTTTTGCAAGTTGCCACACGAGCTAACCATACCAGGAAGTTAAAGAACAAAACTAAAAAAGTGAAGTAAAGTGAATGCAAATGTGTTTCCGTTTGGCTCGAGTCAACATAAAAAGAAATGGCAAATGAGTGAGCAAAGTGATCAGCGAGTCTATAGGGTGTACTTCTCGCCGAACCGCGCTTTGTTTCTCTTGGAGTCTGCCTTCCCCTTCGTAAGCAGTTTCTATTTTTCGACCCAAACTGGAGCTTGCTCGGAAACTGGGAAGAATACTGGGCGCAAGTTGCGACAGTTTATCAGTCAAGCCATGCAGTTGTCAGATCTACAGAACGTCTTCGGTGGCTACAGGGCTTCAATGCGATTAAATTAAAATATTTGCCATCTTTTTAAAGTTTTAGTCGACTCAGATTTTGTTGAAAGCCGTTAACTTTGCTTCGCTTCAGCAGATTTTTATTTCCTTCTTTCTCGGTTGGATACCTTTTTCTTCTACTCCTAACAATTTAAGATCTGATGTAAATATTTACATATTTGAACGGCAAAAGCACTAGAGACTGGATTATTCTTAAATCATAATTTTTCAGTCAGCCCTTACGACGTTTTAATTCTGCTTTAGCAAGGCGGATTTTTTTTTTGGCATCCGAGAGAATGAAATGCAACACAAGAAAAGAAGCGACGAGAAAGACAGATACTCAACCAACCTAATCGCGTGGTGAGAATTCGTGACCTCTGACGAAATATTTATAGCACGAGAGTTATGTTAATCACTAAACTTTAGTATACGCATTGTTTGATTGATTGAGTCTGACCCGTAACTTCACTCGCGTTTTTTCCTTTCTAGACGCAAATTCGTTTAGCCGCCAAGGAAATTTCTTTGGACGTCGAAAGAAGATATCTGCAAAACCTAAATTTAAATCTGTTAAGAACGTCTGGGACGAGTGCAAAACGTTTTGCTTCGTCGATATTTGAGGTAGGTTCAAGTCAAAGAGTGCGAGGCGCGGATATTGCTTATTTAAACACTGTAGTAAATGCTGAATTATTCAAGTAGAACTAGAAAGGATTGCTTGAGGAACACTTTGAAAGGATTTTAATTCCAAATAGCCGAAATTTTCAGTAAATAAGACTGAGGAGAGGCTGGAATGGCGTTGATGTAGAGAAACTAAAGAACTGAAATAGTAATATGATATGATAGCATACCACAGGCATAATGGATAGTCGTCTACATATATTCAGTGAGACCCTGGGTCGACTGATATTAATTGACTTACGGTAATATCCACACGCATATGACATCCATACGTCCATGTTCGTCTGCGTATTCAAAGTTTTCTGTTAACAAGTAAGCGACGAAAAGCGCTATTCCACTCTGGCGCGCGTTTTTGTTAATTTGCGTACACCTTTTCTTTCCCCTCATTTGCGACTGGAATGGAGCCCAAAATACTGAGAATGAAAACCCTGTGCACATGTTCTTAGAGATAATAGCGCGGCGTGCAAACTTTTTTCTTTTAATCTTTCTTAAAATTCTGGATGATCGTATGTTGTCATTTTTTTGCGGTTTGCAACTGGAAACTCATCATCTGTTAGTGAAACTATCTCCATTATTTTCATGTGGCTGACATGCTGTGTGTTTATACCCTTGGACAACAAGCTTGCGGATTTGTTTAACTGTTTAGCTGAAATCCTTAAGCCTGATAAACTAAACATTTAGTAAAAAATTTTCAGATTTGCGTTTTTGAATAGAATTATTCATCCTTACTGTCATGCACCGCTGTCTAAGCATAAAGACACTTGTTGTGCTTTTCAATCTATAGATCATAACTATAATACTAAACATACTTTATCAGCCTTTCTTGCTGTCGGTAGCTGAGGCCATCTTATCAGCCACCAAATCTAACATAACCGCGAAATGGCGAAATGGCCTAAAAAGATGGATCATTTAAAAGCTGGCATCGTGCTACGTGACGATCAATCAAGTTCTGCGTTTGGCGCTGGCTCAAGACATTTTTGTTTGAGTTGTGAGCCAAGTTTCTGAGCAGGGAGAGCTAGGGATAATATTAGTTCATCTTTATACCTAGTTTTCAGCAGGGAGGGCCAAACAAGCCTACTTAAAAGTTGTCGTGGCTGTAAATTAAAACGCAGTGTCTTTGAGGCACACGTGGTAGAAGATGATTACATGCATGTTTAACAATACGCGCACTGATATTCAACCCACAGGGCGTGTTTTCTAAATTTATCCTTTGTACCCTTCAGAACTGCCGGGTGTGCTATTATTTTGCACGCCTGTTGAATAGACGACTTTTTGGCGCCAATTCAGGTGTTAAAAAAACCGTAAAAAGTGAGGAAGGAAAGTTTACTAGCCAGATTGAGAGTTATAAATGACTTCTTTGTTTTCAGGAATTGGATTAATTAATATCCAAAATGCAGAGTGGAGATAAGTCCCTCGAAATGGAACAGGTATGTCACATTATGCATTCAAACGGGAAGTTGGAGGCAACTACGATGTTTTTATGAAATTCATTGTTAACTTCCTATCGAACTCAAGGTGCAAAAGTTATCAATTTAAGTATCAAGGCTGATTTGTAATTCTCTCCCCTCCCTCCACCCTCGCCTGCAAACTTATTTTCCTATCACTTAGTTAGAGCATTTTGTGTTACATCCTGATAAATGATAAATGTGTCCATTCCCATCATCTACTTGTCTCAGAGTTGCGAGAGAATTTGTGCGGAGAAATGATCTTATCAGTAATTTCTGAAATTAAAAGGTCTGAATAATTGCAGGTTCATGAAGTATATTTTTAACGATTCTTTTTCTGCCCACACCTCGACTGCTCAGCTATGGAAGGCCTCGCACTTTACTTCTCTGTGTTAATACCAAGCATCAATTTGCGTTCATTTGTTCATTTGATTATTCAGTCAGTTACATATCTGATCAACCTTTCTCGTTTTGATTTAATTTTTTTTTTTTATTCACCGCTAACGAAAATTTTTTTATCTAGGTACCTGCTGCTGTTCAGATGGAGCGTGTAAGTGTTATGAAACATCAGTAATTTGATCAAAAATTTCCGTGATATTCTTACAACAATGAACTTTAGACCATCACAAATATACTTCATATCATATGACTTCGCGGTGTGGCCTAGAGGGTCCAATCGTTGTATAAAAATGTCAATAAGTACAATCTCATCCGTTTAACGCTGGGTATAACTCGGTTACGAGGTTAACGGGCCAATCTAAAATCAAGAGAAATTTTTACGAATTTTAATTTAATATGCAATCTTGCAGAATCGCGAAGAAATTTTATTTCGTTAAACGTTTTAACTTAAACGTAAAATTGCACATTTTTCCCAGCATGCACCTCTCCGAGAGGAACCGCCGAAAGACTACTTCAAACTGGCTGTGGTGTCCGTATTCTTTTGTCCATTGATTGGTGCCCTGGCGGTTTACATGTCACATTTGGTAGGTTGAGTGATATTTTTCTCTTGGATAGGGATTCAGGCTGTCCCTTGAATTAATTCCTTGTATCTTAATTGCCCTGTTTTGGAGCTACTTTACAGGAAGAGACATATCGATCTAACAGAAGCAGATATCTACTGCAATGTGTCCTTGGGAACTGAGAATGACAATTTGTAAAATGTCAAGAAAACTTGGTGAAATCGTGGAGTAAAATGCTTTGGATTGGCATTCCCCCACAAGAGATGTGAAAGTTTTCTCACGCTACAGAAACCGACGGTAGCGTCGACGAGTCACCCATTTACGTTCATATTTCATACGTAGAATTTTAAAGTCTTTGGATCAAAATTTTTATTAATTATGAGCATATCAATCTGCAAATAATTTTTCTCAGTTATCTACTGGAATTAATTGTTGATCCAAACAAAAATTAATTTTTTATTTCAGACTAATTCGCGATACGAAGAAGACGACATAAAAAGAGCAAATGATGCTTCTAAAGATGCGCGGTTCTCAGCATTTTTTGCCATTTTCCTCGGAGTTGGCATCATCTTCTTTTTCATTTTCATTGCAGCTATCGTGCCAGAATTCGCTTAGAAATTTTGGTGAATTTCATTTGGATGCTTTTCGAGGTCTTTTCAAATTGTAAAGTTGAGAAAAATATGTAGTTCTTATTCGAACTTGCACTCATTTGGGAAAGCATAGAAAGTACGTATGTTTATGTTCATAAACCTAATAATGTATTCGTTTTACTAAAGTGATATGCGATTAATCAGAGACAAATGGACTTCAGTACAAAATGCATGATGAAGTATGATTATATTAGATTTCTTCCCATTAGTTATCAGCCTCGAAAGACCATATATATTTTTACTTATTAATTAACATGTGTTATCATATCCGAGGAAGTTAAGGCAATCTAGTTTTTTTTAGCCATCAACTTCTCCTCAAGCCCAAGTTTAATTATCGTGGAGAAGCACGAAAACTTTGCATTAATTGTATTTGACGGGTTGGCTATTTTTTGTGCTTTGCGGAAACAGTTTTTCTGCCGCTCTATATAACTGTAATTTTTCCTGGAAAACATGTCTAACAGAGAAGAAAATGCAATATCTTCAGTTTCAATTACTGGTTGAGTTATACCGAAGGATCTCTCCCATCTTCAAGAGCCCGGAAATCGTGTTCATGGATATTTCCAGTAAGACCAATTACGAAGATCGTGTTGTGACACACGATTCGCCTTCTCAGTTCTTCACATGCAATTAAAATTTCTTTATACTATTTATGAAGTATACGCAAGCTCATTCCAATTTACATTTATCGTGTAAATGTCGCTTCTTCCATCCTGTGGAATTTAAAGTTGTCCACATTACGGATAGGGATTCTGAAGGGCTAAATTCTAAAAGTCGAAGGACTGTTCCCCTCATGTTACACCAAATATTTTATTTTTATTAAAATATAGCACTGTATTGTTATTGTAATAAATCAGAATCAGGCTTTGCCTCCTAAAGCCAGAGTGATATTAGCGAGATTTGAGAATGTTACCGGCATAAAATGAACGAATTGGGCAACCCCGAGCTGACATTGCTGTGACCCGAAAGCCCTTCTCTCCATAATCCTACCCCCAACCCTTCCGCTACAATAAGGGATATCTATCTCACTTCACTAACTCTTTTTCAGAAAATTTATTGTAATCTGAACGAACTCGGAACCATATGACTGGGTGAAAACCAATTCCCGAGTTTAAATAACTTACTCCAAAGATATTTTTCAATTCCCGGTTAGGAGAAACATTGTACCGCATACGGAGAAACGTTTGCCTGCTTTCGAGCGTTTTTGAATGCAGACGTCAAAGTCATTATTTTAATTCAGTGTCACAGTATATCGTGCTCTGTTGTCCACCAGTTTGTCAATTGTTGAGCTCTCAGCTACCATTACTGCTTTTTGGTCTGTATATGATTATTTTGCTACCCGGCCAGTGTAAAAGTTTTAGCGTGTGAAATTAACTTATGGAACTCGATAAGTGATTGCACTGACGTAGTCGTTGATAAATTCATCACAAAAAAAGTGTCTGTCAAACTTTAAAACGCGTTATAATGCTAAGTGATTTTACTGGTTTGATGTTGGTAGCGCATCAATACAAACCTCAACCTCGCTATCCTTTAGTTTTTGACGGCAGAGAGAGAGAAACCAGGCAACTTACTTTTTAAAAAGTTCCTGTTTATTTCAATTTTCAAGCTTCGAGTGTTCAGTTCTCGACATCGCATGCCCATGACTGTCAAAGTTTTGCATGAACAGCTTGTGTTTTCGTGGCAGTTTTATCAACATTTTCAAAAAGGGAAGATTGGCGTTATTACAGACAGCAATCAAACATTCATAAATATTTAAAACAACACAACTCAAGGGAACATTTCGTGCCCATTAAGCGAGATAAAACAAAGGTAAAAAACGTTGACATGCATCTCACTCAGCAGAAAATAACTCCAGACAATTTTATTCATTTTTATTCCGTTTGGTATCTTAAAAAAAGATTACAGAGTGATACATTTTACGGCGTTTTGTTGGTTACGTGGTAACGTTTTTAAAGCTGATTACAGGCTCGTTCATAATTGACGAGTTTTAGTCAGTGAACTGTGATGCAAATTTTGCTTTATATTCTGCTTTGACTAAGCTGGTACTGTATTACTTGAGTAAGAACGATTCTGAACAAGAACCTCAGTAAAAGAACCTAATTCTCACAAAGGTAAGAATATCTCTGGCGATGATGGGATGATGGCTACTTGCGCAACTCCATATCATCTACGTTTTCGTTTAATGTCATGCGAGTGATCACACAGTTCTCAGTGACCTCCGGGTTTCAGACCTTTTATTGAGTTTTTCGTCTTTACTATAGACACAAATACCCAAGTTAATAAATGCAGTTGAATAGTTCAAAATCCATAGGATTCCAGGAATCAATTTTCTTAATCTCTTTTCATCCCACGCAAGACAAAGAACGTTACTGATAATGAAAAATAGCCCCTAAGCTCTCCCAGAAAACTTGGAATCTTCTCAGTGAAACACGTGAAAACACTCTCTCTCTTTTACGCGACGGCGTTTGCCGTTTGCTTTATTTTTTGGCATTCTTTGCATGGCGATAAAAACTCCGTTATATGGGAAATGACAACTAAAAAAAGAACGAGTTAAAAAAAAGTTTTAGTTTACAAGTTGTTTATTTTTCCTTTCTACCGTTTTCAGGTAAGAGTGTCATTTTTCTGAGCACTATGTAAATTTATCCAGTCGGACGTAAAAATAAGAGACCATGATCGTGATTTCGGTTACGTTATGGGTTTGTTTTCAATACTCATTTTGTAAAGTTATTAATTGAAATGTGTTTGGTTGTAATTGTAAGTCCGTTTAAAAAAACCTTTTTCTAAAAAATTTATTTTTCATCGGGTTCATCTTTGCCAAAAATTAAAAAAATTGACTGGCTCTTCTATGAAAGGAGAATTATTGGAACACAGCTGTTTCGGGTAATTTCCAGGCCAAGTTTTTAACGCTTTTGCTTGTTACTTCTTGATTTGTTTTGAACTGTCGTAGCTGTAAATGAATGCCCAGTTCCACCGCTAGATGCTCTGTTCTATTAATGTATGTACCAAGGTAACCAACATGTTATTCATGTTTATTTTAAAGATGACGATAGAAATTCATATCATTGCTGTGTTCATGACATCCTTGGTCATCATATTTACAACGGGTGGTAAGAATTTCATGACTTTTTGAGTAAAATTCTCTTCACATGTTTTAATGGCATTTTCTTGAAAGCATTTATAATTTAGTGATTAGATTAGATTTTAATACTCCTGCACTTAGTGTCCAATTGAACAAATATGTTCAGGGGTACTGGCCAGATTGATTGGCTTAAAAACGACTTAAAGACGATTAAGGTTGTTTTTTCCTGTTACCAAGACATGAGAGACAAAAAGATATTGCTTCAGTGGAGACTCTTTTTAAGGACACCCCTCCTAATGTACTGTTAGGTGAACAAAATCTTGTTCGCTAATGGCGTCTGATATTTAAGAGGTCATTTGACGAATTGCAGGTATTGTTATCTGCACTTGCTATTATCCTGATTGGTGGCCTAAATATTTGTCGTCGCCCCTCTCTTGATACCTTAATTTATAGCGAAATATATTTTTCATTATACATATTACATTATTTTTTTTTCTTTAATTTTTTTATTGTAGATAAAAAAAATTACCATTCAAAGCTCGCTAGTTTCAATAATAAAATCATACACTCGCTTTATTTTCTAACAGAGGCCTCCTTATGGGACGAGCAGAGGCTAATTCACGACCTGTTTCAAAACTACAGCAAGTTCTCTCGTCCAGTAGTGAACAGAAATGATCAGGTTGTGGTCACATTCAGGGCGAAACTCAAGCAAATAATCGACTTGGTGAGTGTGAATAAGTTGCAAAGAAATTAAGTGAACTGGGGGCGATTACCATATCTGACTATAGAGGATGACCGCCGTAAAAGGCCGTTCATTGGTTATCACGGGAGGTGGGTCAGAGGTCTTTTGTTGTTTCACAATAAAATTTACCTGATCCCCTAGAAGGCTCTGTAATATTCTTACGAATTCCCCTACACCCCTTATACTATGTTGGCGACGACTGAACTTCCCTCCGTCCCCCACGTGTTCTGCCAAACAATCCTCTGTCCCCGTTCTCCCCCTCCGCCGCGCCTCTCAGGAAATTAAAAATGACTGCTCCCCAAGTAAGTCAATAATTCTTGACTGACTGAATGACCGAGGTATTCCAAACTTTGGATTACTTCTGTCATGATCAGTTAGACTTTTAGTTTCAACTCAGTTTTGTCTCTTGATTGAACATTTTGCTTTTAAGTTTGAACGTAAATGTCACCATTATTTAGCGAACACCTCTCTTTAAAATAACAAATATCGGCGAAGAATTTGTTTTCGTATTTTTACATGCTCTTCAACCTTATCCAGAAGGACAACGAACAACTTCTACAAGTCATTCTCTACACATATCAGGTACAAATTTTTCTTATGTCATGTTCTGAGATGTATGTGATTTATTCATATACTTAGTCTAATACTTTGATTTCCTGGCATCGTGAGCTACCCCTTTTCCACAGCATCTCAAAGAAAATGACGCTGCATGTCAGATACATTTACATTTCAAGTTCAAAACGAACGAAGAAAAGAAGCAAAAATAAAAGAGACTGAGAAAAGAGTGTCGAATCGTCTCAAGCATGTCTTTTCCAACTTTCCTTACGTATAACCTTCCTTTTCCTTCAACTCACCAAAACTCTCCTTTAATTTACCTCTGGGTCGAGAAAATTAAGTAAATTTTTGGTCGTAGCACTGTCAAGGGATATGTAGCAAAGTGTGGGCAAAGCCCACGAATGAGTCGAGAGTCTCTTTTGGGACGCAAGGTTTCTAATTATCTTGCCTTTCGCATGTAATCTACAAGCAACCTCAACCCATACTGATCTGTTTGAAAAATTGGTTTAGTACTTTTGGTGTAATCAAATCCGTTGAAATGTCCTTCAGGAATGGACTAACCCATTACTCACATGGAACGCCTCTCTTTACGGTGGAACGGAAGAAATCAACGTCGACGCCTCTATGGTTTGGGTGCCGGATATTGTGCTATACAATAGGTATTTGTGCATTCCAATTTGTGATTGGTGTGGCATAATACCACGTGACGTTGAAGTTAGGTGGCTGTTAGATTATTCCCAACATTCGTATCAATTTTAGGGATCTCTAATATACGCTGTGGTGGCAGAAAGGTCTTTTACTCTCAGCATATCATCAAATTTACTATTGCGTTTGAGAAAATCTTCCCCGCAATTACAACGCTATACTGATATTATAATTGCATGTGGTGCTAAGACCCGCGCATTTTATTTGCAAGAGCTTAGGACCAAGAAAAATAGATCAGTTAACTATTGACTAGGAAAGTCGTGGTTGGATTCCCTGTTATGATTACCATTATAATCACGACGATTTTGTCGATGACTGTTATCATTGGCACAAGAGTAATTGCACTTTTAATTACGGCTAAAGAAAAAGGTTGAGACTTGTAAATGCTATCTTCATTTTTTCTTCCTCAAAACTCAGCGCAGAGTTTACGTTCTCTGGTGGAACTCACAAGTACAAAACGGATGTTGTCATATATTGGAACGGAAGCACAATTTGGCTTGCACCCGCGATGTTTATCACGGTCTGTCACCTCGACGTGCGGTAAATTTTTATCACACGCTTATTTGATTTGTAACATTTCGACTGAGTGATAATCTAGCGTTAAAAATTATACCCTTCGCCGGAGCCATATTCCCCCAGCTGTATTACCACGCCACCGTTCTTACTCCTTCTAGGCATAGGTATGGATGGGTTCAGGAAAATACTAAGTGGGTTCTACTTTCAGGGCATGTAGCAGTACTCACCTCATGTTTTGCAAAAATATATGAGCTCTTCAATCCTGCAAAAAATCACTACTTAGTTAAGCATGGAAGTCCCTTCTCAAGTATCATTTCTGTTTATATTCAAGATATTTTCCTTTCGATGATCAGAAGTGCCCGATGAAATTTGGAAGCTGGACCCACGACGAAACACGTTTAGACATGCGCATTCTTACCAATGCCTCCAGTGACGACATCTACACGGAACATGGCGAGTGGCAGCTCTTAGGACTGGAGCAGAAAAGGTAGTAGTCCATCTTGTGCTTTGAGATGTCTCATTTAAAGAGTCTTTAGACTATGATTTTTTTCCACAATATTTTTTGACGGCTTCCTTTATATTCATTCCAAAAGTTAGCATATCTAGTTTATTACGTTCGAGCAATTTTCCATTAGATCCCAACGAAAGCAAAGTGTGAAGCTTCTTACGAGGCCGGGAGAGAAGTTCCAACACCCCAAGAACTTCACGCTCTAAATAGAAACCTCAAAAGCAAGTTTAATTTCATTTTCAGGACCTCAAAGTTTTACGACTGCTGCCCAAAACCGTACGTGGACATAACATATACTATCCACGTCCGCAGAAAGCCCTTGTTCTATACTCTATACTTGATTGTTCCCGCCATAATAATCACAGCCATGGTGCTGGTGGGCTTCTACCTGCCTCCAGAGTCTGGAGAGAGGATGCAGCTTGGAATTACTGTCTTGTTGGCTATGATAGTGTTCCTTCAGCTCGTATACCAAAATCTTCCATCGACTTCAAATAGCGCTCCCCTTTTAGGAAAGTTCTACATCGTCACAATGTTTCTGATCGCTCTTTCGCTGGCTGCCACTTGTCTTGTGTTAAACTACTCCTACGGCCGCCATTGCGATGGTGAAATGCCCATGTGGGTTCGAATGATCATTCTGCACTGTCTTGGTCGAGTTTTTGGATCATCCAACAATTCTGGAAAAAGAAGGCGAACGTCAATGAGTGGAAGAACGAACGAATGGAAGATTGCTGCCAGTATTCTGGATAAGTTCTTTATGGCTTTCTTTGCATTCATAATTACTGTGGTGGCATTGTATTTCTTTTACCAAGCCCCACACTAGTACGAAATCAGTGTAACACAGGCCATGTAGTCATTCAAAACCTACTGCAAAATACAAAGACTTTTATGTTCCGTTTTTGTTTTATTTTGTTTTTTTGTTTTGAGAAGTGTTTTTTTTTTCTGTTTTTTCTTTTCTTGAGAAACTTGCGTTCTCCAGTGCTAAAATCAAGGAAGATTTCCCTTTGTCTAGCTGGCATGCAGCATTTATGAGCGAGAGGAGGCCTGCAAAATGAACAACACGCCTACTCAGACAGTGATAAAGTAGGGAAACAAAGTGAAAAATAAAATTATGCAAAACTCAAGATGATGCAGGATGAATAAATTGCTCAAATGGACTCTTTCTGGTCGACAAACTCAGGTCATCTCCTGACCCTATGGGAGAAATTTTTTAGACTGCGAATATTTAAACAATCCACCCTCCCTCTCCCCCCCCCTAGCTGCAAAGTAGCATCCTTGCGATGTCGGACAGACCTTACGAGAGAGAATTTTTTTTGCCAATCACCACAATATATATATCTAGAGTGCCATTTTTATCTCCCATTGCGCCTCTTTTAAAAGCAGCCAAAACGAGGAAAGTGATTAGTAATGCTAATGGAACTGAGTGGAAAGCAAATTGATTTGAAATCCGGCATACGCGTGAATTTAAAATCGAACGAGAGCGCAGCAAGTTCGCTTTGAAATCACAAGTTTTGCAGCTGAGATAATGCAATAATTTTCCCAAGCCTTGCAACACATGTGTTGACTGTCATTTAATTATGAATCAATCCAATTTTCAATCGCTGAATGTTTGGTTGTTGTGCAACTGAGCTAGCGCAAAAATTTCCCATGCGTTTCAATACTCGTGTTGACCTTCATTTGATGAAAGTTTAATCATCTTTCAATACATAGCATATGTTTCTGCCGAGCAACTGAATAATCAACAAGAATTTCCCAAGCTTTTCAATACATTCTTTAAACTTCGGTGGATTAAATTTTGATTCTATTTTAACATTTCTGTACGAGTCGCGCAAAATCCTCGCTAGGCGGTATGAACGGGATGATATCATGTCGCAGGAAATAATAACAGTAATATGTTTATTTTGGCTGAACGGAGTAAACTATTGGTAGAATGGATGGCTTTGATCCCTTCAGAAAACACCTATGAAAAATAAGTAAGAGAAAACTACATTGAGCCTCGTTTTAATTCTTATCAGAATCACGCTTGTCACGAATAAAGCGATATGTGCGCGAACTTTGTGTGAAATATACTAGAAAAAAACCTATTGTGGTAGTTGTAAGCTATTTGTATCTAGATGTCCAAGTTATTTTTAAATGAGAAGATAGGTTTTGCATGTGGGTAGTGCGCGTTTGTTTTCTAGCAACTGAGTAAACAAAAAAATTTCTCAAGCTTTTTAAACCTCTGTTTAGTTTTGTTTCATTCTTAGTTATCTTAATTATTGGTCCCCTGGTATAAATATAAATTAGGCCGTGAAGGAAAACTACGACTGATGCAGTATTTACCGTCACCGTCAAAAAGAAGCCCGTGAAGAAAACTCTGTGCACTTCTGTGAGGTAATAGCTCAATTCAAACGTAGAGTTTTCCAAAAGCCATCTTAATAGTTTATTAATTTTTCGCATGGTACTAGTCAACTAATGTATGTCTAAAGAAGGTTGAATATATCCGCACCCATATAAACCTTACAATCTCCTTGCTGATGTTGTAACTTTTCTTAAGCGTTTACTTCCACTGGGCTCGTCCATACACCTCGTGTGTAGAAAAGCACGAGCCCATGTAAACGCAGAAAGAGTTCTCTCTGACTAAAATGAAATATTCCTCAAAAACAGCCCAGATTGAAGGAGTTAAACCTTGTTTGCAACCAAGTATATCTATTGACCAATGAGAGCGCGTCTGGCTTCTCGCTTATTTGAGAAATGGTCATGTATTGTGTTCAACTGGTCTCTGGAAAAAATTAATCCCCCTCGAAAAAGCACAGGAGCTACGAAAGCCAAAGATCTACAAGACTTTCCTCCCTCTGCGGGTGGTTGACTATTTTTAACCAACTTAATTGCCTCTAATTGTTGTTTTTTTTTAACTGATCCAAGGGAACTCACCGAACAAAAGATGTCCCGATTCTTGGTTCTGCTTCCATCGCTTTTCCCGCTGTTTATGGTGTCTGTGGTTCGTGGACGAGGTGGGTCCTCAAACAGTTTTTCTATTCTCTGTTATTAGGCTAAATTAAATGTGGTTTTATCGAGAAACAAACGCAGAAAAAAATTCCGTTTGTCTGCATTGTCCAAAATTTGATGCAAGTATCAAGGTTTACTTCCCTAGAAAAAGAAAATAGAGATACTTTCTTTGAAAAATATTGATATTGTGTGCAAACTCGAATTCAATTCGAATTCGAATTCGAATTCGAATTCAAACTCGCGAATAAAAAGCAAAGAAATGCCCGAAACAAAAGCTTCATTTTCTGGTTCAATGCTCTTTGAGTTTTCTTTTTCAGATGAGCCACTTTCGCCTGAAAAGTATCAAAGTAGGTTCGGGCTGGGTTTTCCACAAACTGGTTTAAGACAGAGAAACCAATGGAAAAGTACTCTGAGCAGAACATCAAAGATGTCCACAAAAAAGGGTTTAGTAACTTACGAATTCGATGTAGAGCAGATCAAATTTAATACTTTTTCCTAAAGGTTTTTAGTTTTAATACTGAATCTAAAAGTGAAATGTGCAGTGAGATTCGGTCGAATTGTGGCTCATAAAAAACTCCTCTTTTTTTCATGACAATTAGAAAACAAATTGCTCAAATTATTATTCATTTATGAATGAACGACAGCCGAATTCACAGGAATAGGGGCACACTTCTTTTCTTACCACAAAGCTTGCGTTTTCCTTATCCAAATTGAAGAAAGCCTAATGGTAATGATATTTTTTGTGCCTTCATTGTTCAGGCAAAACCTTCTCTTGAGCTTCATCGTGATTTCAGCTTGGATTCCTTGTATCACCGCGCTCATTGATTCGGTCGCACTCGCCGGTTTTTCGCCGGTTGTTCGCCGGTTGTTCGCGCTTTTTGACCGGTTTATTGAGAATCAGCGAATTGATTTTCAAAGTAAGTGATAAATGTCTAGGTCGCTCTCCTAAACCTAATAAACGGTTATGCCATAACAGCCATAGAGCACATCTTCGAAGGTTTTAAATCGGTGCCAACCCACTTTAGATGCTAAAAGAACACTCGAAAGTTAAAAAAGCACCCGCCCCACGGCTAATGAGTTTTGGTTTATCACGTTATAGAACCAAGGAAAATGCGTTCGTTTGATTCATTTCTCGCTCAAGATTAGTCAATGTAAAAACAGGTTATGGCGAGTAATAAGGAAATTACCTGTTTTACCCTCTCGTAATTCAAGCTTTTCAAATTAGATAATACACGATAATTTCTGAAATGCTAAAAATAATCAAGCTTAGTTTGTTTGCCGCAGTTATTATTGAAAATGCCGGTAAATTCAGATAACTCATTGGAACATTTTTAGTCTAAAAGAAATGTTTTTTTTTTTTTCTGTCGTGTCACAAGTGTGTGACAAAAAGAAATTCCAAATCTTTAAGGAGTCAAACCTTATACCGACGGATTCCGCACCCTGATGCGTAAGACCAGATTTTTAAAGCAAATTGAGTGTTTTTGTCTGGTTTGGGGTATTTTTAAAAATTGAAATTGTTTTTTAAACGACGTTTCGATGTGTATCTCTTGTCTTCTCAAGGTATTGTATTAAAAATCAATATTGGGGATCGTTGTTTTTGCTTGGTGAATGAACTCTGAGGCATACGAACATACAATAACATTCTATCTAAAGCTGTCGGTCGATTCAATTTTTTTGCAGTAGTGAACGTGAATAATCCGATTTCCCCGAAAGAGTACCAAGCTAAGATTCGAGGAGGATTTTCCACAAATTGGTTCAAATCGAAGCCACCACTGAAAAAGTACTCGGAACAGAACATCATAGACGTCCATGAGAAAGGCTTTAGTAACTTAAGGCTTCGATGCAGGGCAGATCTGTACTCATACGACTTCTCCACCGTCGAATTCAAACGGTTTCTTGGCTCTCTGACGACTGTTGTCGACGATTGTCTGAAACACGATTTGATTCCAATTATCTCCTGGATACACCACCACGCAGAAGCCTACGCTACAGAGAAGGATCGTGTCGCCTATGTTGGTTGGTGGACAGCTGTGGCACGCCAGTTAAAGGACAGGGATTACAGACTGAGTTTCAATCTCTTCACAGAACTTGGAATTGACACTTGTAAAGAGGAAGGGAAAAGTTGCGACAAAAGTCTTCGCAGGAGAACAGACAAATACAACGAGTGGACAAAAGATGTAACAAAAGCGATTCGAGGTACGGGTGGAAATAACACAAAGCGAATACTCATTCTTGGGTCACCAGGAAAAACTGCCAAGGACTTACCTAAAATCGATTCAGAAATTTACAAAAATGATCGATATATGATGGTTGAATGGCATCTTTATGCTTCAGGGCCAAACAAAGAGAAGGATTCTCAAAAGTATTGGAGTGGTGATGGTAAATCTGGAGGCCAAGCAAATGTCGAAGAAGCAATTAGCTACGCGACGAGTTTTTCGAACAAGACTGGTCTGCTGACCTATCTTGGTGCTTGGATGCCTCACGATAACGCAAACGGAGGCATAACAGAAACAGAAGCCATAAAATTTGCCCGTTTCTTTGTTAAGGAGCTGCGTAAGGAGAACATACCATGGTCCCTGAACGTTCTGGACAACTATTACGACACCAAGGAAAGCAAATGGCGGACAGAGACTCAAGTCATCAAAGGTCAGCAGTTAAAGATGGCCAAGATTTTGAACAACATTCGTAAAGAAATGCCAAAGGCTATTTATTAGTTAACTTTACATCGGTACATTTGAGCTACTTCATTAAGTAAGCCCAGATCGTGTCAGCCATTTTTTTCGTCTGGGTCACAAAAAGTAATAAGTTAGAGTAATTTTAGTAGTGTTCTGGGACATGTTGCACTCTGTATGAAAATTTCAGTCATGGATTTAGAGTGATGCAAGCTGCTGAAGAATCGTAATAAATCGTTTTAAAAGGAGTACTGACGCATTCGTTTTCTGCATAAATTATCATGTTGGGAGAATAATTTCTGGGCGCTTAAAAATATAAAAATTTTAGTCTAAATTCTCTTTTTTCGTTATTTGTTGCTTTTAGGGAAGATACGACTGTTTGCGGAATTATTTACAAATCATCAATTAATTTTAATAAATCAACGGAAAAAATAGACCTTCAACCATAGATTATATTCCTTTATAACCTTGGTCGTTTTGACTGTCTTGATAGAGATCAAAACTTGCGACAAACTTTTTTCGCCCACTTTTTTTTTTCTCATAATTGGGGGTTCTCTCAATTTTGAGGACTTTTTTCAGAAAAGCTTGCTGTCATGATGCTTGATGTCTTCATAGTCTCTAGTACAGTTGGAGGTGCATGGGTTGAGGTTTGTAATACGCCTCTTCCGGCTCAAAAGTGTTGCGTGTCTAAGCAAGAGGTACAAGAAAGCCTTTCAATTTAGATTCCCGATTAATACAATAACAACAACGACAAGCAATTGAGTACTGTAGGTTTAAAATATTTACAAATTATTGACTAAGTGAGACGTAAGTTTGAAACAATGTTATGCCAGAACATCAAAGTTGTTATCATTTCAAGAGAGAGAAAAAAACATACAAAACAAAAAGGAACTTATTCATCTTTATATCAGCAAACTTTAATTCCTTTGCCTTTCGTTCGTTCACAAGAATCGTTATTGATCCTACATCCCGTTGTGGATCCACGCGAAATTTCACTGTTACCATGGCGGCTTTGAGTAGTTTAACGCCAGATCAGTCACGGCCAGGGAAGCCGCAGGCGCACTACCATGGCCGACAGGACGATAACTTCTCACTCCATGAAAAATGGCGTATACCTCAAATTTAATCATGGAGCAGAATATGAAGGAACGGCTTATCTCTGAGTGCTACTAAATAGCGTGTGTCTTTGTAGAGATCATAATTACTTTTAAATAGTTGATTCAAAATCGCGAATGGCGCCTCCAACCATCTCTTTAAGCGTTTTGTAATTAAACTCTGAGAAAAGACAAATTTCTAATAGCTCGTCGAGGACCGAGAACTATACTCACTGGGAAGTTTCATAAAGCCTGCAGATAACATGGTAGTCAAAGAGAGTTCGCACTGAAAAATATCGCCCATTTCTTACGTCATCTTATTTACGCACGGGCGTGGGTAAATAAAGATTTTGTTCATAGTGGCTCAATAGGACTTATATGGGGTAAGCACGCGCGCTATGTTATAATAGTCGCTTTTTCAATTGCATTTCTTACATTTGTTTGGCATTTAGAACTACCATTTCCTTTCCAGTACACTGACGAATTATCTCTTTTGTTTGACCCTGAAGTATAAATGTGCCACTCAGCCAACATATGTATCATTTTGATAAATTGTTGAATCGATTTTAGATAACTCCTGAGCATTTTTTCCTGGCGACGCCAAAATAAGTATTCGCTGAGCGTTCTTTCCCCCTGTGCCTTGGATTGCTTCTGTTACATTCTTAGTCCATTGAGTGTATTTGACGATATTTTTTCGAGGACTATTTTTGCAACGTATTCCATGAGTTTTACACGCGCCAAATCTCAGCTCTGTGAAAAGATTAAAACACAGTCTATAGTCCCTGTCCTTTAACTGCCGTGCCACGGCTGTCCACCAGGAAACATAAGCGGTGCGATCGTTCTCTGTGGCGTAGGCTTCCGACCTTACGGTGAAACTAAGAGATAATTGAAACCATATCACGTTTCAGACAGTCATCACCTGTGGTCGTCAAGTTGCCAAGAAACCATGTAAAATTGAGGACGGAGTAGTTGTTTGGGTACAAATCTGCCCTGCATCGAATTCGTAAGTTGGTAAACCAGAGTACCTTAGTGGGTCATCGTGAGTCCAATTCTCATTTGGCTTGAGCCAGTTTGTACCGAACCCAGCTCGAATTATCCTTTGATAGCTTGCCGGTGGAATCGGCAAGTTACCAAATGTAGACAAATGAACGCAGAATATTTACTCCTGACTAACCGAGCGCGAGGGCTGCACTGAAGAATTTTCGCCCGATTTTGGCCCGTACAAAAACGACTGAGGGCCAATATTCCCCAAGAACGGCTCGAGTTAGCAAGTTTAGTAAATAGTTTATTATAGAGCACTCGGACCAAAGTTGTTGACTGAATTTGCTGGCTTTCGAAATTCGTGTTCCCTCTTATGGCTCCCTCCAGGACAAGATGGTAAGTCGTCTCGATTGAGTACAGACAAGCGAACAAACTTATCAGCCGAACATCCAACTCTCCTCGACTGCTTGGTGGCGAGGTAACTGGATACATGGAAGCTGCTCACTACTTGATAACAGGCATTGAAGAAGCTCATTACTCAAACAAAGCATTTGTCTACCTTTCCCTGTTTTTGAAATAAGGGGGACGTTTTAGTCATTCCTAAGTGCAGCTTATCGATGTTATGTTTTTCGGCGATGGAGTATTCGCTATTGGGACTAAGAGGACGCACAGAAAAAGCCTATTAATAATGAAATGACAGGCTTAATTCCCTCCAACATTATATTTATCCGATGGATATTTATCTTAATGGGGTCATAATAACAACTCGTAAAATGGCTTTCAGCGAATTTTTATTTGAAAATCAACCCTGCTGCGACATAGCAGAGATATAAAAATCACCAAGAATAGAGTTATCTTATGAGCAGTGTGAATACCCTGATGCCAGCCCGTCTGAGTGCGGGGCATATCAATAATAAATAGAGTGTAGTTGCATTTTCAACCAAGAAGTATCGCACCGCAAAAAAATAAACTACTCACTACTTAATGATGAGTTTAGGGGTGCAATTCCCGAGAAATATCTCAAATGTTCAAAAACTTAAAACCGACGGCAAAGAGCATGACAGGAAGTGCAACTTTCACTTCTTTCGACAAAAAATATGAACAAATTAATGTCATCGTGGCACGAAGTTTCCGCTCCAGGTTCCCAAGTTGGAAGGATAAAAATACCTGTCTGCTTCCGTAAGCTGTGACAAGGGGGTTAAATCGTGTAAAACTTTTCGTCAAATTTTGGTCAGGAAATCTTTGAGACAACTCAAATGCCAATGCTTGCGGCCTGCCTGAGCTCATCTTGTCATTTTCTGGTTGTTTTAAAAACTAAAATGGAAGTTAGTGACTCTTGTCATGTGGGTCTAGGATGGATATAATCACCTGGTTAACATGTTCTAATGGGAAAAACAGTAAATATATAATGTTAGTAGGGACAGCTTACTTAGTCATTGAGGTCAAGATGTCATCACATCTCTTAACTCTTCAAATTAAATATTCCAAGGAAAAATTACATCCCTGTAGTAATCTAAATGGCAAAAGCTCCATACAGAAAAATAGTAAGGACTTGAAAGGAAGCCTAATTCCGTAATAACAATAATAGCGTCATGGTAATTCCAAAAATATCTTTTTGCTAAAGACGAGTCCTGAATTTTAGTTTAGATTGTCTGCATTTCATAAAATGCGAAATATATATTGAACTATAGTGATCTTGGATGAATCAATGAAAATCCATTGACGCTGAAGCAAATCAGGTTTTAGACGTCTATCTATTGAGCTGTTCCAGAAAATGTTTCATTTCGGAGTTCTTGAACCATTTTATGATGATTTAGGAAAACATGATATGAAATCGTTAGTTAGGCTCTACACCAAAGAGTTAAGAAACAATCTGGCGGAGGCCCTCTTCACTAACTCCTGTATGTATGTATTTTATTTAAGATGACAACTAATGTGAAAGCCCATATCTTACATGCTACCGTCTCTAACTGTTTGCCGTTCAGAAAACGTATTTCATTTTCCCTTTTTTCTCTTTTCTTTTGGACCACAAAATTATGAAAACATAAACTATACCAGCAACTGAGGTGTAATGACGATAACTGTCCTAATCTGGCGTAAATTATAATTTTATGGCTATTTTGGTATAACTTCATAAATATTCTCCAAATTCCTGGGCATGTTTAGTGCTTGGTTTTTGATGTTCTGATCCCCCCTCTTCCATTCGCGTGTTATGGTGTCGTAGTAGTGTTCCAGAGCGTAAAAGGACCATGATATGTTGACTTGATCCAGCTCTGTAATGATATATAAAAAACGGGAAAAGGTGATAGCTTCCGACTCCGCTGTCAAACCAAATAACTTATCGTGCGCCATACACGCACTAAGATACGTCAGCAGACCTGTTTCCATCGTGGAATTAGTCACTTTTTCAATTGCATTTCTGACATTTGTTCGGCATTTAGAACTACCATTTCCTCTCCAGCAAACTGACAAATTATCTCTTTAGTTTGACCCTGAAGTATAAATGTGCTACTTAGCCATCATATATGTATCATTTTGATAAACCGTTGAATCTAATTTAGATAACTCCTTAGCATTTTTTCCTGGCGACGCCAAAATAAGTATTCACTGAGCGTTCTTTCCACCTGTAGCTCAGATTGCTTCTGTTACATTTTTGGTCCATTGAGTGTATTTGACGACACTTTTTCGATAACTATTTTTGTAACGTATTCCATGAGTTTTACGCGCACCAAATCCCAGTTCTATGAGAAGATTAAAACTCATTCTATAGTCACTGTCTTTTAACCGTCGTGCCATGGCTGTCCACCAGGCAACAAAGGCGATGCGATCCTTCTCTGTGGCGTTAGCCTCCGACTTGAAGATGAAACTAAGAGATAGTTGAAACCACATCATGTTTCAGACAGTCATCAACTATGGTCGTCAGTTTGTCAAGAAACCATGTAAAGTTGAGGGCGGAGTAGTTGTATGGTACAAATCTGCCCTGCATCTAGCTCGTAAGTTAGTAAACCGTTTCTCGCAGACGTCTGTAACTTTCTTCTTAGAGTACCTTAGAGGGTCATTGTGAGTCCAATTCTCATTCGGCTTGAGCCAGTTTGTATTGAACCAATACTACAAACCGTGCCTGGTCAGTGCATCATGGGATATGATGAGAGTTAGGTAAGACAGGTTTGTCACGTGAGAGACCACTCTAGACCATAGTGTACGTAGTAGTAAATGCTTTCATTTCTGTTTTAGCAGTGTGGCCTTCGTGGAATGGGTAATTCAGAGCGTGAGCCATGGTTCCTAGAGGATTTTTCCGGCAGGTTTTTTTCTAGCCTTCGTTGAGGCAATAACTATTTCTGTCGCTTAGCACTACTCTTTCTTTTACAGTGTTACTCTTTTCACTCGCATAGAACTGTAAGATCTAAAGTTGTAACATGCTACAACGTTGTCAAAGTTCCCGGCTCTGTATGGTACGGTAGTGTAATCATATGTAATAAGGTGCCGGGGGCTCGGCCCAAACTGCCAAATAAACGTAATAGTTTTTCTGTTTATTTTGCATACTGAGTAGTGGAGCTAAAATCGACCATCTCAAGTGAAGCATTGGATGAAAACTGATCCCTTTCTTATTCATATGCAATTTAATGCGAAAGGAATCTAAACAAAAATAACGAAAATCTCATAACGAGTGGGTACTTTATCCATCCGGTTCAGCACCCCACAGTCAGAGCAGGTCTATGCTCTGTCATGGTTTCTCAACCCAAATGATCGATGATGCCGATTTTGTAATTGACGAGGATTGCCATACAGGATCTAACCAAACTAGAGACCACAGAACAGAAGGATACAGTATTAGTTTCCTCTGAATTTGGTTTTCAATGTATTTGACCTTATTTTAGTTACAGTCGTGTTGTAGTGACTGAAATTATCCGAGTTGCGTTTGATGTGCAGACGATTGCTAATCTAGATTCGTCTACAGTATGTTCTCAGAATTTGTGGCATTAGTTCACGAATATTGTCCAAAATCATGGACATATTCAATTTTCTCTTTTGGATCTCCTGGTCCCCTGTCAACCATGTCTTGTTTTTAGTGCTGTAGCAGTTATCCAAGGCGTTCAAAGACCATGGTATGTTGACTTTGCCCAGCTCGGCAACAAAGAACCGTGCGAAGTTGATGGCTTCCGACTCTGTTATCGAACCATTTTCGTTATCTTGCGGCATCCACGCACCGAGGTATGTCAGCAAATCAGATTTATTCGTGTAGTCTGTTGCTTGTTTAATTGCTGTTTTGACATTGTTTCGGCCTCCAGAAGTGCCATTGTCGATCCAGTACTTCTTGGAACTGAGCACTTTGTTTGGACCAGATGCATAAATATGCCACTCAGCCATCGTATAGTGATCATTTTCATAGATTTCTGGATCGATTTCAGATAAGTCCTTGGCAGTTTTTTAGGAGATCCCAAAATCAGTATTCGCTGAGCGTTGTTCCCCTCCTGTTTTCCGGATCGCTCTTGTCGCATTCCTGGTCCAGAGGTTGTATTTGTCGGTTTTCTCGCGAAGACTCTCGCTACTTCTGTTGTTTCGTTCACAAGTGTCTTTTCCAAGTCCTGTAGAAAGATTAAAACTCAGTCTGTAGTCCTTGTTTTTTAACTGCTTTGCCACCGCTGTCCACCAATCCACGCCGGTAAGCTATAAAGTCCTCTTTCATGGCGCAGGCCTCTGCTTGATGGTGAATCCAGGAGGAATCACATCGTGTTTCAGACAATGGTTGACAGTCGTCAGGTTGCCAAGAAATCATGTGAAGTTTACAGCGGAGAAGTCGTATGAATATAGATCTGCCCTGCATCGAAACCATAAGTTACTAAATCCTTTCTCATGGACGTCTATGGTGTTCTGTTCCAAGTACTTTTTCAGTGGCGACTTCCATTTGAACCAGTTTGTGCAAAATCCTGCTCGAATCTTAGCTTGGTACTCTTTCGGAGAAATCGGATTATTCACGTTCACTACTGCAAAAAATTGAATGGACCGTTTTTTTACGGGCCAAAATCGGGCCAAAATTCTTGAGTGCGACCCTCGGGCTCGGTTAGTTAGGAGTAAATATTCTGCCTTCATTTGTCTACACTAATTTTGTAGTTTGCCGATTCCACCGGCAAGCTATCAAAGGATAATTCGAGCTGGGTTCGGTACAAACTGGCTCAAGCCAAATGAGAATTGGACTCACGATGACCCACTAAGGTACTCTGAGAAGCAAGTTACAGACGTCCATGAAAAAAGGGTTTACCAACTTACGAATTCGATGTAGGGCAGATTTGTACCCAAACAACTACTTCGCCCTAAATTTTACATGGTTTCTTGGCAACTTGACGACCACTGTTGATGACTGTCTGAAACGTGATATAGTTTCAATTACCTCTTAGTTTCACCGTAAGGTCGGAGGCCTACGCCATAGAGAAGGATCGCATCGCTTATGTTGCCTGGTGGACAGCCGTGGCACGACGGTTAAAAGACAGGGACTATAGACTGTCGTAATCTTTTCACAGAACTGGGATTTGGCGCGTGTAGAACTAATGGAATACGTTGCAAAAATAGTCCTCGAAAAAATATCGTCAAATACACTCAAGAATGTAACAGAAGCAATCCAAGCTACAAGAGGAAAGAACGCTCAGCGAATACTTATTCTGGTATCGCCAGGAAAAACTGCTAAGGAGTCATCTAAAATCAATTCAACAATTAATCAAAATGATACATATATGATGGCTAAGTGGCACCGATTTATACTTCAGGGTCAAACAAAAGAGATAATTTGTCAGTGTACTGGAGAGGAAATGATAGTTCTTAATGCCGAACAAATGTCAGAAATACAATTGAAAAAGCGACTAATTCCACGAAGGAAACAGGTCTGCTGACGTATTTTAGTGCGTGTATGGCGCATGATAACTTATTTGGTGTGACAACGGAATCGGAAGCTATTAACTTTGCCCGTTTTATCATTACAGAGCTGCAGCAAGTCAACATATCATGGTCCTTTTACGCTCTGGAACACTACTACGACACCAAACGTGCGAATAAAAGAGAGGGACTCAGAACATCAAAAACCAAGCACTAAACTTGTCCAGGAGTTTGGTAAACATATGTGAAGTTATGCCAAAATAGCCTTAAAATTAAAATTTACGCCAGATTAGGCCAGTTATCGTCATTACATATTAGTTACTGTTATAGTTTACGTTTTCGTAATTTTCTGGTAAAAAAAAGGAGAGAAAAAAAGGAAAATGAAATACGTTTTCTGAACGACAAACAGTTAGAGACAGCAGCGTTAAAGATATAGGTCTACACGATAATTGTGATCTTAAATGGAATGCACACATACAGGAGTTAGTAAATAAAAAGAAAAACGAAAGGCGAGACAAACACAGGCACAGCTTCTGGTGAACTACAAGACTATTACTCATCAACACTTTAACCTGAATAATGTGGAAATGTGCACTTGCTCTGACGAAGGGCTAACGCTCGAAACGTCAGTTTTTTAACTCTTTACGGTGGCCAATTCACGTTATTAACTCAGATGATAATAAATTAACTATTGGATGCTTGTTTCACTTGAAAACGATAATAAAACCTGTAAATCAAGAATTGGTTCTTGATTGACGTGCGTATATCGAGTTATGGACGCACACGAGACAAGCTTGGGAGCTGCTCGAGGGGTGCAGCGATAACAGTTTTTACGTTTCTTTTGTGCCCCTCAAAACTTCCCGTGTGCATTTATAATTCGATACACGCGCGCTAACCGATTCTTGATTCATGGGTTTTACTATCGTTTTCTAGTGGAACAGCCACCTAAAAGAACAGATGATGACAATAAATCATAGCATGTCATTATGCGTTATTGACGTGCACTGTCAAGCCAACAAACCGACATGCAACATGCAATTCATTTTTGTTTGCTAACCAAATCTTATTCCATTCCTTTAGTGGTTAAAAACTAGAACTGATGTAGTCCTCTTTCTTATGTCGGGATGTAAGAATTGGGCCATATTTTTAAGTGCGAACTCTCTTTGACTACCATGTTATCTGCAGGCTTTATGAAACCTCCCAGTGAGTATAGTTCTCGGTCCTCGACGAGCTAAAGAATTTGTCTTTTCTCAGAGTTTAATTACAAAATGCTTAAAGAGACGGTTAGAGGCGCCATTCGCGATTTTGAATCGACTATTTGAAAGTAATTATGAACTCTACAAAGACACACGCTATTTAGTAGCACTCAGAGACAAGGGGATCCTTCACATTCTGCTCCATGATTAAATTTGAGACATACACCATTTTCCATGGAGTGAGAAGTTATCGTCCTGTCGGCCATGGTAGTGCGCCTGCAGCTTCCCTGGCCACGGTAACAGTGAAATTTCTCGTGAATGTGGGATCAGCACACGACTCTTTTGAACGAACGAAAGGCAAAGGAATTAAAGTTTGTTGCTGTAAAGACGAATAAGTTCCTTTTTGTTGTGTTTGTTTTTTTTTTTTCTTTCTTGGAATAATAACAACCTTGATGTTCTGGCATAACATTGGTTCCAACTAACATCTGACTTAGTCAATAACTTGTAAACATTTTGAACCTACAGTACTCAATTGCTTGTTGTTGTTGCTGTTGTTGTTGTTATTGTATTAATCGGAAATCTAGATTGAAAGTTTTTTTTTTGTACTTCTCGCCTAGACACGCAACAGTTATGAGCTGGAAGAGGCGTGTTACAACCCTTAACCCATGTACCTCCAACTGTACTAGAGGCTATGAAGATATCAAGCAGCAAGACAGCAAGCTTTCTGAAAAAGTCCTTAAAATTGAGAGAACCCCCAGTCATGAGAAGGAAGATTTTTTTTCTGTAAAAAGGGACCAAAAAGGTTTGTCACAAGTTCTGATCTCTATCTAGACAGTCAAAACCACCAAGGTTGTAAAGGAATAAAGTCTACGGTTGAAGGTCTATTTTTTCGGTTGGTTTATTAAAATTAATCGATGATTTGTAAATAATTCCGCAAACAGTCATATCTTCCTTATAAGCAACAAATAACGAAAAAAGAGAATTTAGACTGAAACTTTTATATCTTTAAGCGCCCAGAAATTACTCCCAACATGATGATTTATGCAGAAAACGAATGCGTCAATACTCCTTTTAAAACGATTTATTATGATTCTTCAGCAGTTTGCATCATTCTAAGTCCTTGACTGAAGTTTTCATACAGACTACAAAATGCCCAAAACACGACTAAAATTACTCTAACTTATTACTTTTTGAACAAAACAATGGTTGACACGATCTGGGCTTACTTAATAAAGTAGCTCAAATGTACCGATGTAAAGTTAACTAATAAGTAGCCTTTGGCATTTCTTTACGAATATTGTTCAAAATCTTGGCCATCTTTAACTGCTGACCTTTGATGACTTGAGTCTCTGTCCGCCATTTGCTTTCCTTGGTGTCGTAATAGTTGTCCAGAACGTTCAGGGACCACGGTATGTTCTCCTTACGCAGCTCCTTAACAAAGAAACGGGCAAATTTTATGGCTTCTGTTTCTGTTATGCTTCCGTTTGCGTTATCGTGAGGCATCCAAGCACCAAGATAGGTCAGCAGACCAGTCTTGTTCGAAAAACTCGTCGCGTAGCTAATTGCTTCTTCGACATTTGCTTGGCCTCCAGATTTACCATCACCACTCCAATACTTTTGGGAATCCTTCTCTTTGTTTGGCCCTGAAGCATAAAGATGCCATTCAACCATCATATACCGATCATTTTTGTAAATTTCTGAATCGATTTTAGGTAAGTCCTTGGCAGTTTTTCCTGGTGACCCAAGAATGAGTATTCGCTTTGTGTTATTTCCACCCGTACCTCGAATCGCTTTTGTTACATCTTTTGTCCACTCGTTGTATTTGTCTGTTCTCCTGCGAAGACTTCTGTCACAACTTTTCCCTTCCTCTTTACAAGTGTCAATTCCAAGTTCTGTGAAGAGATTAAAACTCAGTCTGTAGTCCTTGTCCTTTAACTGGCGTGCCACAGCTGTCCACCAACCAACATAGGCGACACGATCCTCCTCTGTAGCGTAGGCTTCTGCGTGGTGGTGTATCCAGGAGATAATTGGAATCACATCGTGTTTCAGACAATCGTCGACAACGGTCGTCAGAGAGCCAAGAAACCGTTTGAATTCGACAGTGGAGAAGTCGTATGAGTACAGATCTGCCCTGCATCGAAGCCTTAAGTTACTAAAGCCTTTCTCATGGACGTCTATGATGTTCTGTTCCGAGTACTTTTTCAGTGGCGGCTTCGATTTGAACCAATTTGTGGAAAATCCTGCTCGAATCTTAGCTTGGTACTCTTTCGGAGAAATCGGATTATTCACGTTCACTACTGCAAAAAAATTGAATCGACCGAGAGCATTAGATAGAATGTTATTGTATGTTCAGTATGCCTCAGAGTTCGTTCACCAAGCAAAACAACGATCCCCAATATTGATTTTTAATACAATACCTTGAGAAGACAAGAGATACACATCGAAACGTCGTTTTAAAAACAATTTCAATTTTTAAAAATACCCCTAACCAGACAAAAACACTCAATTTGCTTTAAAAATCTGGTCTCAACCATCAGGGTGCGGAATCCGTCGGTATAAGGTTTGACTCCTTGAAGATTTGGAATTTCTTTTTGTCACACACTTGTGACACGACAGAAAAAAAAAAAAACATTTCTTTTGACTAAAAATGTTCCAATGAGTTATCTGAATTTACCGGCATTTTCAATAATAACTGCGGCAAACAAACTAACCTTGATTATTTTTAGTATTTCAGAAATTATCGTGCATTATCTAACTTGAAAAACTTGAATTACGAGAGGGTAAAACAGGTAATTTCCTTATTACTCGCCATAACCTGTTTTTACATTGACTAATCTTGAGCGAGAAATGAATCAAACAAACGCATTTTCCTTGGTTCTATAACGTGATAAATCAAAACTCATCAGCCGTGGGGCGGGTGCTTTTTTAACTTTCGAGTGTTCTTTTAGCATCTAAAGTGGGTTGGCACCGATTTAAAACCTTCGAAGATGTGCTCTATGGCTGTTATGGCATAACCGTTTATTAGGTTTAGGAGAGCGACCTAGACATTTATCACTTACTTTGAAAATCAATTCGCTGATTCTCAATAAACCGGTCAAAAAGCGCGAACAACCGGCGAACAACCGGCGAACAACCGGCGAAAAACCGGCGAGTGCGACCGAATCAATGAGCGCGGTGATACAAGGAATCCAAGCTGAAATCACGATGAAGCTCAAGAGAAAGTTTAGCCTGCACAATGAAGGCAAAAACAACATCATTACCATTAGGCTTTCTTCAATTTGGATACGGAAAACGCAAGCTTTGTGGTAAGAAAAGAAGTGTGCCCCTATTCCTGTGAATTCGGCTGTCGTTCATTCATAAATGAATAATAATTTGAGCAATTTGTTTTCTAATTGTCATGAAAAAAAGAGGAGTTTTTTATGAGCCACAATTCGACCGAATCTCACTGCACATTTCACTTTTAGATTCAGTATTAAAACTAAAAACCTTTCGGAAAAAGTGTTAAATTTGACCTGCCGATCTATTTCAGTTTGTGAATTATTGCAGATATGCGACCAATCAGTTTATTTAAACCATTCTAACAAGGATTGTAATTGGCTTGTTGTTGCGTGCTTTATGAGGGTAAAGAGCAAGCTTACGACACTGTTGTTCGCTTTAGAAATAAACTTTGCTCTGAAAATTGAATGTGATGCCTGGGGAGTTTAACGGATTCTTTACTATAAAACAAATGGAGTGCTTTGACTCAAGAAGTAGGGAGAAACACTCGACTACCATTAGTGTTTCTCCCTGCTCTTCTTTCGTGCTCTAACCGCTTTCTACGTGCTTTACAACAGAACAAAGCACAGTCGAGGCTTCTCGATGTATTTGTTCAAGAAACTCTTCGCGTCACAATTTAATTAAAAAAATTGTCGATGGACCCACCTGTTTCCCCGGTTATGAAAACCATAAACAGCAGGAAAGCTGAAGGTAACAGGACCAATGATCCAAACATGTCGTTTCCTTTCGTTGATTCCTGTCGATCTGTATAAGGGAATTTAAGAGATACATTTAAGGCCTTGTGTCCGAGAGGAAAGTGTCGTTTGGTGAGTCATAGGATTGCAAAGTGTAGTAACAATTATTCTAACATATGACACGGGTCTTGTAAACGCAAGAAATGCGTACCTTTTTCGCTTCGTTTTTCAAACGGTGAATATTATTTTAAAATGTTGATATGCCCTAAAGCAGAATTCAATAGGATATTTTAATTTTAGAATGGTACAAATTCACGATTTCCATCACAAACTTACGCAATTTACTGGCGGTGAGTTCCATTAAACAAAGATTTAAGCAAACTGAATCTACTACGCAGTCTTCAGTATGCAAGAAATTCGTTTGTTTTTTAGCGTCTTAAGCAAATTTGCATTTTTGAAATAAAATTTTGGTCTCGAAATATTTTTTTGGTCGTTTTTGCCTTTTCTTTTATTCATAGTTTTTGGGCCGGATCGCGATTAAGTGGTAAACTCGACACAATAGTGATAAAACTCTTTCTTCAAGCACGGGTTGAGTCCGTTATGTTATAAAAGAGCTGGTTCGTGCTTTTAGTTATGCGTATATCGAGTTATGGATGCTCTTGGAAAGTTTAGAGAGCACTCAAGAAGCTAAAGTTGCTCGAGGCGCGGCCGAGAGTAACTCTTACGCTTATCTCGTGCTTTCCAAACTTCCCGCGTACATTCATAACTCGATATACGCACGCTAAGCATGAGCCAACTCCCCAATTTTCTTATAACATATAAAGGGGGCAAGTCCTACGTAATTCCTAAGAAGCTACTATGGTAAAAAAATCCTTATGTACGCACTGCCATGCATCCATAACACGACGTGTGCAGTTTCACCTTATTTTAGCTGCAAGTGCCCGTTGAGTATAGCCACCAGGTTTCAAACCTTTCAAAATTTTGTTTCCATTCCTCCTTGATTGAGATAGACCTTTTGGAGCTCAAAATGAAAAGCAGATATACTAAACAAAACTTATGAGAATGTAAGTCCTCTCTCTGACTTCAAGTGAGGCTTTGCGACGTAGGGGTCAATTCTTTAGAACGGTAAATATTATTTTAAGTATTGACATGTCCCAAAAGTAATTTTAAATAGGAGATTTTGACCTAAATCGTACGTTTTTCAAAAATTTCAGCGCAAAGCCTTGCAATTTTCGAGTCGTAACTTCTAGTAAACACAAATTCAAGTAAGGCGAATCAACTTGGCGGGTCTCGTAAAGACAAAAAATTCGTACGTTTTTCGCTTTGTTTTTCGAACAGTGAGTATTGCTTTTAAATCTTGCTATGCCCCAAAAGTATTGTTAAATAGATGATATTAATTTCAAACCGTACAATTTCAGAATTTTCATCACAAACCTACACAATTTTCTGGCCGTGAATTCTAGTAAACAACGATTCAAGCATGTTGAATCTACGACGTGGTCACGCACATGCAAAAAATTCGTTTTTCTCTTTAAGCTTTTTATCATCATACTTAAAATTCTCCAAATACATTTTTGGTCTAATATATTTCTTGGTCGTCTTTGCCTTATCATAAAGTCATAGCTTTCGGGTAGATCGCGATTACCTGGGAAACCCGACACAATAGTGATATTTTAAAAAACTCTTTCTTCCAGCACAAGTCATGCTTTTAGCTGTTCGTAGATCGAGTTATGAATACACGCAGGAGATTTGGAAAGCACCAGGGAAGCGTTATAGTTGCTGAAGGCACAGCCGAGAGCAACTTAAGCTTCTTGATTGCTCTCCAAACTTCCCGCGTGCATCCATGCGTGGCCCAGTACGAAGAAGAGTTTTAAAGATAACTTTGTTATTCTATACCAATTGTGGCCCTGAGTATGTTTTAGAATTGGCTCTAAGTTGATTAAAATAAATAAACCGCTAATGTCACGGGAGCGAGCTCTCTTTTGGCACAATTACTCCAAGATAGCACTAAAGTTTCAAAGTTGAGCTTTGTTGAATTCACTCTAGTGTAACATCCGACATTATCGACTATTCTTCATAAAATTAGCAAGTATCCGAGACGTGTGGTTTGTTTTTATGCTCACTTAAGTTTATATCAAATTCATAGAATCGGATTTTAAAACAAAGGAATCTTGTGGTTGGTTTTGTCTCTAACCCAGGAATTATGGCTCTGTTCGCTTAGATATTTCAGACAAAAAACATGCAACTTATGTGCCTGTTCAGAGGAGAACTGATTTCAAGTCATTGAAGACCTTTTTTCCCGTGAAACATCGGTTACAATGACACATAATTATATTTATTATATTATTATTAATGGACTTGAAATAGGATAACCACCAGATACCTCACTAAAACATAACGGTTTCAAAGCGTATCACATTTCTGAACATGATAGACATTTCCGTCACTACATACTCAACCAAAACCATCATTTTCGATCCCTAATCCCAAGTATTTCGTAGGAAAGTAGATAAAATCTAGTTGCCTATTAAGTAAAAAATGGTTTTGAAGAGTGATAGTGTTTGTCCCTGGTGTAGTTACTTACTTGTCAAGGTGTTGCTGCTGACATAAGTATGTAGATCAAGCAAATGAGATCTGGAGGGCTAACCCTTCAAACGTCTGCTTTAGAAACCCTTTACTTTGGCCAGTTTACTTTGGCCAATGGGCTATTTCCGAATTACCTTTAGCCTCTTTTTCATAACAAGGCCTGGTGCTTGTATGAAAATGAATTTAATTTGCATGTGAATGAAAACTTATAATCCTATGAAGGGTTGTGGACTAGGACTCGGTTTGAAAATAAAGGGCTATTTACATAAGCTAATTATCTTGTTATACCCCCAGCCGACACAGCATCATACTATGTTTCTCAAGAAACTTACCCTCTGAGGTCTGGAATTGCTCAGCTACCGAGGCACTAATGATCTAAGACCATCTAAGATGAGCTACGTTTTAAGGAAATGGGTGTTACTAAATTTAGGCCCGCGGCCTCGGCGTCCGACCTCATCAAGACCTGTGGCCATAACAGGTTGGCCAAAGGGCAATAGATTCTAAAATGTTGGAATCTTATTCTATTTTAAGTTCACAGAAGGCAAAAATGTCCATTGTTTTCACAATAGAGGGTCGCTACTTGAGAATTTTTGGTGACAAATCTTACTTGTCACAGATCCAATTTATTAGATAAATGTAATTTTTGGTCAAACATAGAAATTAACCCAAAACCCCGTTACCGAAAACGTTTAATTCAGTCTTAACTCAGTCCGAAATAATTCCAAAATCGTCCACTTAGAGAGCAAATCGAAGTGGCAGCGAACCCCTAGGCTCGTAAATTGAACTATCCCGGAGGGGTGAAACGTCGAGGCCATTGAAAGGACTTCGTATTTTAAAATCTACCCGTATAAGGAAGAAAATGTTTTATCAATATCAGTCTACTAGCGGAAACATGTTATCACATAGAAATATATTACAAACTTTGACAATGGACAGTACAACCCCGCTCAAGTGAAAGGTCCCAGGAGCGATTCCAAGCGATGACGATTTTTTTTCCTTTCATTTTTCTGGTTTTTTTTTTCCAGAACAGCACCATTTATTGCGCAGAAATCGGCATTTAAGCAGCCATTACCGAAGCACAGCGTTTGTCTTTCCTTTCCCAGCTTTTGCAAAAAGGGAAGGTTCTAATTATGCCTGAGAGCAGCTCATCGGTTTTGTGTTTTCGACGTTCATGCATTCAATTTTGGGACTAAGATGGCGTATATACAAGGCATCTAAATAATTAAATGTGAGACGGCTTATAGCCATCGAGCGATATATTTATTCGACGGAGGGAAGGTTGAATTTTTGGTCCTAACAACAAATCAAAAATGACTTTTGACCATATTTTGGAATTGAAAAGTAACCCAGCGCTCAGTTAAAGTAAACAGAGTTTCTTAATGCTTGAGAAATCATTGTGCATTCTAAGTCGTTCTCAGAACAAAGCACGATCGGGAAGTGAAGACCGTGTTAACCCATGAATACTCATTTTCAAGCTGAATTTGCAGAAGTGTAGGCAGAACTTTCAGAAATATTGTAAAAATTAATTATTTAGCTAAATCATGATATACTTTATCATTCTTACTACAATATGTTAAAATATTGTAAAAATTGACTGTTTAGTTTTTTCATTCCTGCTAGGATTCCCAATCGCAAAACGTTCTAGAATTTCAGCGCTATCATCCACCATGAAGCTGGAAAGCCGCGAAAGGTAAACATTAAATCTGATCTTGAAAGATCTGTCAGTAAAGCGATAAAAGAAAATAATATACGCAGAATATCATGAGTTTGAAGAGAGAGAGAGTTTGTCATTGTGAGGTTACTTACTTGTCACGGTGCTGACTTATTTTTTGAAGATCAGGCAACTGAGATCTGGAGCAGTTCAGTTGCAGCGAGGCACTAATGATCTAAGGCCATCTGAGGTGGGGACTACGTTTTAGAGTAATGGGTGTTGCTAAAATCAGGCCTGCAGGCCACGTCTTACCTCATCAAGGTCCCCAGGCCATAACAGGTTGACCTGAGGCCAACGCACTCGAAAGACTTCGAATCTTATGGTCTGTTAAGTTCACATGTGGAAACTCTCAAGGGTTTCATGCGTTACTTTTTTTCCAGATTATCAGCCCATAAAACTTTAGTGCTGATTATTCAGAGAATGAAATGAAAGTCTTCCTGCCGGACAGATTAACGTTATTCGGCAAAACAGGGAAATTGAACCAAAACTTTTTCCGATTCACTTAACCAGACATTAAAACAAAAACTTGTAACTAAGTCTTAACAAACTCCGCAAAAATTTAAAGATTGGCCACGTAGAGAATGGAAAGTTATTCCTGTAGCGAGTTGTCACAGGTAAAAATCACCAGGGAGAGAATTACCCTATGAAAGGTGTAATACCCTGGTGTCTGCCCTTCTGAGTGCGGAGTGAAGCAAAAATGGAAATTGAATGATGAACATACTGTGACGGCATTTTCAGTTAAAAAATTTGGCTCCGATTAAGACATGGAAGCTGCTCACTACTTGATAACAGGCACTGGAGAGGCTCATTACTCAAACAAAGCATTTTTCTACCTTTCTCTGTTTTTGAAAAAAAGGGGAGGTTTTAGTCATTCCTAAGTGCAGCTTATCGATGTTGTGTTTTTCGGCGATGGAGTATTCGCTATTGGGACCAAGAGGACGCACACACAAAGCCTATTAATAATGAAATGACAGGCTTAATTCCCTCCAACATTATATTTATCCATGGATATTTATCTTAATGGGGTCATTATAACAACTCGTAAAATGGCTTTCAGTGAATTTTTTATTTGAAAATCAACCCTGCTGCGACATAGCAAAGATATAAAAATCACCAAGAATAGAGTTATCTTAAGAGCAGTGTGAATACCCTGATGCCAGCCCGTCTGAGTGCGGGGCATATCAATAATAAATAAACTACTCACTACTTAATGATGAGTTTAGGGGTGTAATTCCCGAGAAATATCTCAAATGTTCAAGAACTTAAAACCGACGGCAAAGAGCAGGACAGGAAGCGCAACTTTCACTTCTTTCGACAAAAAATATGAACAAATTAATGTCACCGTGGCACGAGGTTTCCGCTCCAGGTTCCCAAGTTGGAAGGATAAAAATACCTGTCTGCTTCCGTAAGCTGTGACAAGGGGGTTAAATCTTGCAAAACTTTTCGTCAAATTTTGGTCAGGAAATCTTTGAGACAACTCAAATGCCAATGTTTGCGGCCTGCCTGAGCTCATCTGGTCATTTTCTGGTTGTTTTACAAACTAGAATGGAAGTTAGTGACTTTTGTCATGTGGGTCTAGGATGGATATAATCACCTGGTTAACATGTTCTAATGGGTAAAGTAAATATATAATGTTAGTAGGGACAGCTTACTTAGTCATTGCGGTCAAGATGTCATCACATCTCTTAACTCTTCAAATTAAATATTCCAAGGAAAAATTACATCCCTGTAGTAATCTAAATGGCAAAAGCTCCATACAGAAAAATAGTAAGGACTTGAAAGGAAGCGTAATTCCGTAATAACAATAATAGCGTCATGGTAATTCCAAAAATATCTTTTTGCTAAAGACGAGTCCTGAATTTTAGTTTAGATTGTCTGCATTTCATAAAATGCGAAATATATTGAACTATAGTGATCTTGGATGAATCAATGAAAATCCATTGACGCTGAAGCAAATCAGGTTTTAGACGTCTATCTATTGAGCTGTTCCAGAAAATGTTTCATTTCGGAGTTCTTGAACATGATGATTTAGGAAAACATGATATGAAATCGTTAGTTAGGCTCTACACCAAAGAGTTAAGAAACAATCTGGCGGAGGCCCTCTTCACTAACTCCTGTATGTATGTATTTTATTTAAGATGACAACTTATGTGAAAGCCCATATCTTACATGCCACCGTCTCTAACTGTTTGCCGTTCAGAAAACGTATTTCATTTTCCCTTTTTTCTCTTTTCTTTTTTTTTTTATTTTGGACCACAAAATTATGAAAACATAAACTTTACCAGCAACTGAGGTGTAATGACGATAACTGTCCTAATCTGGCGTAAATTATAATTTTATGGCTATTTTGGTATAACTTCATAAATATTCTCCAAATTCCTGGGCATGTTTAGTGCTTGGTTTTTGATGTTCTGATTCCCCCTCTTCCATTCGCGTGTTATGGTGTCGTAGTAGTGTTCCAGAGCGTAAAAGGACCATGATATGTTGACTTGATGCAGCTCTGTAATGATATATAAAAAACGGGAAAAGTTGATAGCTTCCGACTCCGCTGTCATACCAAATAACTTATCGTGCGCCATACACGCACTAAGATACGTCAACAGACCTGTTTCCTTCGTGGAATTAGTCGCTTTTTCAATTGCATTTCTGACATTTGTTCGGCATTTAGAACTACCATTTCCTCTCCAGTACACTGACAAATTATCTCTTTAGTTTGACCCTGAAGTATAAATGTGCTACTTAGCCATCATATATGTATCATTTTGATAAACCGTTGAATCTAATTTAGATAACTCCTTAGCATTTTTTCCTGGCGACGCCAAAATAAGTATTCACTGAGCTTTCTTTCCACCCGTGCCATGGCTGTCCACCAGGCAACAAAGGCGATGCGATCCTTCTCTGTGGCGTTAGCCTCCGACTTGAAGATGAAACTAAGAGATAGCTGAAACCACATCATGTTTCAGACAGTCATCAACTATGGTCGTCAGTTTGTCAAGAAACCATGTAAAGTTGAGGGCGGAGTAGTTGTATGGTACAAATCTGCCCTGCATCTAGCTCGTAAGTTGGTAAACCGTTTCTCGCAGACGTCTGTAACTTTCTTCTTAGAGTACCTTAGAGGGTCATTGTGAGTCCAATTCTCATTCGGCTTGAGCCAGTTTGTATTGAACACAACTCAAATTATCCTTTGAGAGCTTGTCGGTAGAATTGGCAAGCTACCAAAGTTAGACAAATGAATGCAGAATATTACTCCTGACTAACCGAGCGCGCGCTGGAGAATTTTAACCCGTACAAAAACGACCGAGGGCCAATATTCCCCCAGAACGGCTAGAGCTAGCATTCGGACCAAAGTTGTTTACTAAATTTGCTGGTTTTCGAAAACAAAAATACACGGCTTATTACCGTTTCCGTGGAGACGGTCCGTATGACAAAATACTGACCAGTCAATATGCTAGGATCTACCTCGGGACTACCTAGCCTTAATTGAGCCGTTCCTTTGTCGGAAAAATTTAACAGGACACGAAATTGAACCTAAACTTCAAAAGCTTCTGTCCGACTGTGGCTTAGAACACTTGGAAGTGTCACCACCCTACAAAAAGGGATCTATTTACTCTATTGGGAAATAGAATTCACGTACGACGATATGGTCATTTCCGGCGTTGAATTTGAATCGGCCGGAAATTAAATATTTCTGCGGCACGAGAGCAGTAAGGACCGTGCCTGGTCAGTGCATCATGGGATATGATGAGAGTTAGGTAAGACAGGTTTGTCTCGTGAGAGACCACTCTAGACCATAGTGTACGTAGTAGTAAATTCTTTCATTTCTGTTTTAGCAGTGTGGCCTTCGTGGAATGGGTTATTCAGAGCGTGAGCCATGGTTCCTAGAGGATTTTTCCGGCAGGTTTTTTTCTTGCCTTCGTTGAGGTAATAACTATTTCTGTCGCTTAGTACTACTCTTTCTTTTACAGTGTTACTCTTTTCACTCGCATAGAACCGTAAGATCTAAAGTTGTAACATGCTACAACGTTGTCAAAGTTCCCGGCTCTGTATGGTACGGTAGTGTAATCATATGTAATAAGGTGCCGGGGGCTCGGCCCAAACTGCCAAATAAACGTAATGGTTTTTCCGTTTATTTTGCATACTAAGTAGTGGAGCTAAAATCGACCATCTCAAGTGAAGCATAGGATGAAAACTGATCCCTTTCTTATTCATATGCATTTTAATGCGAAAGGAATCTAAGCAAAAATAACGAAAATCTCATAACGAATGGGTACTTTATCCATCCGGCTCAGCACCCCACAGTCAGAGCAGGTCTATGCTCTGTCATGGTTTCTCAACCCAAATGATCGATGATGCCGATTTTGTAATTGACGAGGATTGCCATACAGGATCTAACCAAACTCGAGACCACAGAACAGAAGGATGCAGTATTAGTTTCCTCTGAATTTGGTTTTCAATGTATTTGACCTTATTCTAGTTACAGTCGTGTTGTAGTGACTGAAATTATCTGAGTTGCGTTTGATGTGCAGACGATTGCTAATCTAGATTCGTCTACAGTATGTTCTCAGAATTTGTGGCATTAGTTCACGAATATTGTCCAAAATCATGGACATATTCAATTTTCTCTTTTGGATCTCCTGGTCCCCTGTCAACCATGTCTTGTTTTTAGTGTTATAGTAGTTATCCAGGGCGTTCAAAGACCATGGTATGTTGACTTTGCCCAGCTCGGCAACAAAGAACCGTGCGAAGTTGATGGCTTCTGATTCCGTTATCGAACCATTTGCGTTATCTTGCGGCATCCACGCACCGAGGTATGTCAGCAAATCAGATTTCTTTGTGTAATCTGTTGCGTGTTTAATTGCTGTTTTGACATTGCTTCGGCCTCCAGAAGTGCCATTGTCGCTCCAGTACTTCTTGGAACCGAGCACTTTGTTTGGACCAGATGCATAAATATGCCACTCAGCCATCGTATAGTGATCATTTTCATAGATTTCTGGATCGATTTCAGATAAGTACTTGGCAGTTTTTTAGGAGATCCCAAAATCAGTATTCGCTGAGCGTTGTTCCCACCTGTTTTCCGGATCGCTTTTGTCACACTCCTGGTCCAGAGGTTGTATTTGTCGGTTTTCTCGCGAAGACTCTCGCCACTTCTGTTGTTTCGTTCACAAGTGTCTTTTCCAAGTTCTGTAGAAAGATTAAAACTCAGTCTGTAGTCCTTGTTTTTTAACTGCTTTGCCACCGCTGTCCACCAATCCACGCCGGTAAGCTATAAAGTCCTCTTTCATGGCGCAGGCCTCTGCTTGATGGTGAATCCAGGAGATGATTGGAATCACATCGTGTTTCAGACAATGGTTGACAGTCGTCAGGTTGCCAAGAAATCATGTGAAGTTTACAGCGGAGAAGTCGTATGAATATAGATCTGCCCTGCATCGAAACCATGGAATGGTTACTGTTAAATCCTTTCAGTCGTGGACGTCTATGGTGTTCTGTTCCGAAATCGGATTATTCACGTTTTCAAAAAAAAGAATGGGCGACGGGCTCGGTTTCCATTTGAACCAGTTTGATGGTCGGAGGCCTACGCCATAGAGAAGGATCGCAAATCGCAAATTATGTTGCCTGGTGGACAGCCAGACGTCCACGACGGTTTAAAAGACAGGGGGACTATAGACTGTCTTAATCATGGTTTTTCACAGAACTGTCTGGAGTTTGGCGTAAGGCGTGTAGAACTAATGGAATACAAAAAAAAAGACAGGGAAAAATAGTCCTCAGAAAAATATCGTTGCAAAAATAGTCCTGAAAAAAAATATCGTCAAATACACTCAAGAATGTAACAGAGGCAATCCAAGCTACAAGAGGAAAGAACGCTCAGCGAATACTTATTCTGGTATCGCCAGGAAAAACTGCTAAGGAGTCATCTAAAATCAATTCAACAATTAATCAAAATGATACATATATGATGGCTAAGTGGCACCGATTTATACTTCAGGGTCAAACAAAAGAGATAATTTGTCAGTGTACTGGAGAGGAAATGGTAGTTCTAAATGCCGAACAAATGTCAGAAATGCAATTGAAAAAGCGACTAATTCCACGAAGGAAACAGGTCTGTTGACGTATCTTAGTGCGTGTATGGCGCATGATAACTTATTTGGTGTGACAACGGAATCGGAAGCTATCAACTTTGCCCGTTTTATCATTACAGAGCTGCAGCAAGTCAACATATCATGGTCCTTTTACGCTCTGGAACACTACTACGACACCAAACGTGCGAATAAAAGAGAGGGACTCAGAACATCAAAAACCAAGCACTAAACTTGTCCAGGAGTTTGGTAAACATATGTGAAGTTATGCCAAAATAGCCTTAAAATTAAAATTTACGCCAGATTAGGCCAGTTATCGTCATTACATATTAGTTACTGGTATAGTTTACGTTTTCGTAATTTTGTGGTCAAAAAAAGGAGAGAAAAAAAAGAAAATGAAATACGTTTTCTGAACGACAAACAGTTAGAGACAGCAGCGTTAAAGATATAGGTCTACACGATAATTGTGATCTTAAATGGAATGCACACATAAAGGAGTTAGTAAATAAAAAGAAAAACGAAAGGCGAGACAAACACAGGCACAGCTTCTGGTGAACTACAAGACTATTACTCATCAACACTTTAACCTGAATAATGTGGAAAAGTGCACTTGCTCTGACGAAGGGCTAACGCTCGAAACGTCAGTTTTTTAACCCTTTAAGGTGGCCAATTCACGTTATTAACTCAGATGATAACAAATTAACTATTGGATGATTGTTTCACTTGAAAACGATAATAAAACCTGTAAATCAAGAATTGGTTCTTGATTGACGTGCGTATATCGAGTTATGGACGCACACGAGACAAGCTTGGGAGCTGCTCGAGGGGTGCAGCGATAACAGTTTTTACGTTTCTTTTGTGCCCCTCAAAACTTCCCGTGTGCATTTATAATTCGATACACGCGCGCTAACCGATTCTTGATTCATGGGTTTTACTATCGTTTTCTAGTGGAACAGCCACCTAAAGGAACAGATGATGACAATAAATCATAGCATGTCATTATGCGTTATTGACGTGCACTGTCAAGCCAACAAACCGACATGCAACCGAAACACTGTTTCATTTTTGTTTGCTAACCAAATATTATTCCATTTCTTTAGTGGTTAAAAACTAGAACTGATGTAGTCCTCTTTCTTATGTCGGGATGTAAGAATTGGGCCATATTTTTAAGTGCGAACTCTCTTTGACTACCATGTTATCTGCAGGCTTTATGAAACTTCCCAGTGAGTATAGTTCTCGGTCCTCGACGAGCTAAAGAATTTGTCTTTTCTCTGAGTTTAATTACAAAATGCTTAAAGAGACGGTTAGAGGCGCCATTCGCGATTTTGAATCGACTATTTGAAAGTAATTATGAACTCTACAAAGACACACGCTATTTAGTAGCACTCAGAGACAAGGGGATCCTTCACATTCTGCTCCATGATTAAATTTGAGACATACACCATTTTCCATGGAGTGAGAAGTTATCGTCCTGTCGGCCATGGTAGTGCACCTGCAGCTTCCCTGGCTACGGTAACAGTGAAATTTCTCGTGAATGTGGGATCAGCACACGACTCTTGTGAACGAACGAAAGGCAAAGGAATTAAAGTTTGTTGCTGTAAAGACGAATAAGTTCCTTTTTGTTTTGTTTGTTTTTTTCTCTCTCTTGAAATGATAACAACCTTGATGTTCTGGCATAACATTGGTTCAAACTAACATCTCACTTAGTCAATAACTTGTAAACATTTTGAAGCTACAGTACTCAATTGCTTGTTGTTGTTGTTGTTGTTGTTGTTGTTGTTGTTGTTGTTATTGTATTAATCGGAAATCTAAATTGAAAGTTTTTTTTTGTACCTCTCGCCTAGACATGCAACAGTTATGAGCCGGAAGAGGCGTGTTACAACCCTTAACCCATGCACCTCCAACTGTACTAGAGGCTATGAAGACATCAAGCAGCAAGACAGCAAGCTTTCTGAAAAAGTCCTTAGAATTGAGAGAACCCCCAGTCATGAGAAGGAAGATTTTTTTTCTGAAAAAAGGATCAAAAAGGTTTGTCACAAGTTCTGATCTCTATCTAGACAGTCAAAACCACCAAGGCTGTAAAGGAATAAAGTCTACGGTTGAAGGTCTATTTTTTCGGTTGGTTTATTAAAATTAATCGATGATTTGTAAATAATTCCGCAAACAGCCATATCTTCCTTAAAAGCAACAAATAACGAAAAAAGAGAATTTAGACTGAAACTTTTATATCTTTAAGCGCCCAGAAATTACTCCCAACATGATGATTTATGCAGAAAACGAATGCGTCAGTACTCCTTTTAAAACGATTTATTACGATTCTTCAGCAGTTTGCATCATTCTAAGTCCTTCACTGAAGTTTTCATACAGACTACAAAATGCCCAAAACAAGACTAAAATTACTCTGACTAACTTATTACTTTTTGAGACCCAGACGAAAACAATGGTTGACACGATCTGGGCTTACTTAATAAAGTAGCTCAAATTTACCGATGTAAAGTTAACTAATAAATAGCCTTTGGCATTTCTTTACGAATATTATTCAAAATCTTGGCCATCTTTAACTGCTGACCTTTGATGACTTGAGTCTCTGTCCGCCATTTGCTTTCCTTGGTGTCGTAATAGTTGTCCAGAACGTTCAGGGACCACGGTATGTTCTCCTTACGCAGCTCCTTAACAAAGAAACGGGCAAATTTTATGGCTTCCGTTTCTGTTATGCTTCCGTTTGCGTTATCGTGAGGCATCCAAGCACCAAGATAGGTCAGTAGACCAGTCTTGTTCGAAAAACTCGTCGCGTAGCTAATTGCTTCTTCGACATTTGCTTGGCCTCCAGATTTACCATCGCCACTCCAATACTTTTGGGAATCCTTCACTTTGTTTGGCCCTGAAGCATAAAGATGCCATTCAACCATCATATACCGATCATTTTTGTAAATTTCTGAATCGATTTTAGGTAAGTCCTTGGCAGTTTTTCCTGGTGACCCAAGAATGAGTATTCGCTTTGTGTTATTTCCACCCGTACCTCGAATCGCTTTTGTTACATTTTTTGTCCACTCATTGTATTTGTCTGTTCTCCTGCGAAGACTTTGGTCACAACTTTTCCCTTCCTCTTTACAAGTGTCAATTCCAAGTTCTGTGAAGAGATTAAAACTCAGTCTGTAGTCCTTGTCCTTTAACTGGCGTGCCACAGCTGTCCACCAACCAACATAGGCGACACGATCCTTCTCTGTAGCGTAGGCTTCTGCGTGGTGGTGTATCCAGGAGATAATTGGAATCACATCGTGTTTCAGACAATCGTCGACAACGGTCGTCAGAGACCCAAGAAACCGTTTGAATTCGACGGTGGAGAAGTCGTATGAGTACAGATCTGCCCTGCATCGAAGCCTTAAGTTACTAAAGCCTTTCTCATGGACGTCTATGATGTTCTGTTCCGAGTACTTTTTCAGTGGCGGCTTCGATTTGAACCAATTTGTGGAAAATCCTGCTCGAATCTTAGCTTGGTACTCTTTCGGAGAAATCGGATTATTCACGTTCACTACTGCAAAAAAATTGAATCGACCGAGAGCATTAGATAGAATGTTATTGTATGTTCAGTATGCCTCAGAGTTCGTTCACCAAGCAAAACAACGATCCCCAATATTGATTTTTAATACAATACCTTGAGAAGACAAGAGATACACATCGAAACGTCGTTTTAAAAACAATTTCAATTTTTAAAAATACCCCAAACCAGACAAAAACACTCAATTTGCTTTAAAAATCTGGTCTCAAGCATCAGGGTGCGGAATCCGTCGGTATAAGGTTTGACTCCTTAAAGATTTGGAATTTCTTTTTGTCACACATTTGTAACACGAAAAAAAAAAACATTTCTTTTAGACTAAAAATGTTCCAATGAGTTATCTGAATTTACCGGCATTTTCAATAATAACTGCGGCAAACAAACTAAGCTTGATTATTTTTAGCATTTCAGAAATTATCGTGCATTATCTAACTTGAAAAGCTTGAATTACGAGAGGGTAAAACAGGTAATTTCCTTATTACTCGCCATAACCTGTTTTTACATTGACTAATCTTGAGCGAGAAATGAATCAAACGAACGCATTTTCCTTGGTTCTATAACGTGATAAACCAAAACTCATCAGCCGTGGGGCGGGTGCTTTTTTAACTTTCGAGTGTTCTTTTAGCATCTAAAGTGGGTTGGCACCGATTTAAAACCTTCGAAGATGTGCTCTATGGCTGTTATGGCAGAACCCTTTATTTAGTTTAGGAGAGCGACCTAGACATTTATCACTTACTTTGAAAATCAATTCGCTGATTCTCAATAAACCGGTCAAAAAGCGCGAACAACCGGCGAACAACCGGCGAACAACCGGCGAAAAACCGGCGAGTGCGACCGAATCAATGAGCGCGGTGATACAAGGAATCCAAGCTGAAATCACGATGAAGCTCAAGAGAACGTTTTGCCTGAACAATGAAGGCACAAAAAATATCATTACCGGCATTAGGCTTTCTTCAATTTGGATAAGGAAAACGCAAGCTTTGTGGTAAGAAAAGAAGTGTGCCCCCATTCCTGCGAATTCGGCTGTCGTTCATTCATAAATGAATAATAATTTGAGCAATTTGTTTTCTAATTGTCATGAAAAAAAGAGGAGTTTTTTATGAGCCACAATTCGACCGAATCTCACTGCACATTTCACTTTTAGATTCAGTATTAAAACTAAAAAACTTTAGGAAAAAGTGTTAAATTTGACCTGCCGATCTATTTCAGTTTGTGAATTATTGCAGATATGCGACCAATCAGTTTATTTGATCCATTCTAACGAGGATTGGCTAGTTATTGCGTGCTTTACTTACGACACTGTTGTTCGCTTTAGGAATAAACTTTGCTCTGAAAATTGAATGTAATGCGTGGAGAGTTTAACGGATTCTTTACTATAAAACAAATGGAGTGCTTTGACTCAAGAAGTGGGGAGAAACACTCGACTGCCACTGGTGTTTCTCCCTGCTCTTCTTTCGTGCTCTAACCGCTTTCTACGTGCTTTACAACAGAACAAAGCACAGTCAAGGCTTCTCTATGTATTTGTTAAAGAAACTCTTCACGTCACAATTTGATAAAAAAAATTGTCGATGGACCCACCTGTTTCCCCGGTTATGAAAACCATAAACAGCAGGAAAGCTGAAGGTAACAGGACCAATGATCCAAACATGTCGTTTCCTTTCGTTGATTCCTGTCGATCTGTATAAGGGAATTTAAGAGATACATTTAAGGCCTTGTGTCCGAGAGGAAAGTGTCGTTTGGTGAGTCATAGTATTGCTAAGTGTAGTAACAATTATTCTATCATATGACACGAGTCTTGTAAACGCAAGAAATTCGTACCTTTTTCGCTTCGTTTTTCAAACAGTGAATATTATTTTAAAATGTTGATATGCCCTAAAGCAGAATTCAATAGGATATTTTAATTTTAGAATCGTACAAATTAACGATTTCCATCACAAACTTACGCAATTTACTGGCGGTGAGTTCTATTAAACAAAGATTTAAGCAAACTGAATCTACTACGCAGTCTTAAGTATGCAAGAAATTCGTTCGTTTTAGCTTCTTAAGCAAGTTTAGTTTTTGGGCCAGATCGCGATTAAGTGGTAAACTCGACACAGTAGTGATAAAACCCTTTCTTCAAGCACGTGTTGAGTCCGTTATGTTATAAAAGAGCTGGTTCGTGCTTTTAGCTATGCGTATATCGAGTTATGGATGCACTCGGAGAATTTAGAGAGCACTCAAGAAGCTAAAGTTGCTCGAGGCGCGGCCGAGAGTAACTCTTACGCTCATCTCGTGCTTTCCAAACTTCCCGCGTACATTCATAACTCGATATATGCACGCTAAGAATGAGCCAATTTTTATTAAGACATATAAAGGGGCAAGTCCTACGTAATTCCTAAGGAGCTAATATGGTAAAAAAAATCCTTATATACGCACAGCCATGCATCCATAACACGACGTGTGTAGTTTCACCTTATTTTAGCTGCAAGTGCCCGTTGAGTATAGCCGCGAGGTTTCAAACCTTTCAAAATTTTGTTTCCATTCCTCCTTGATTGAGATAGACCTTTTGGAGCTCAAAATGAAAACCAGATATACTAAACAAAACTTATGAGAATGTAAGTCCTCTCTCTAACTTCAAGTGAGGCTTTGCGACGTAGGGATCAATTCTTTAGAACGGTAAATATAATATTTAAGTGTTGACATGCCCCAAAAGTAATTTTAAATAGGAGATTTTGACCTAAATCGTACGTTTTTCAAAAATTTCAGCGCAAAGCCTTGCAATTTTCGAGTCGTAACTTCTAGTAAACACAAATTCAAATTCAAGTAAGGCGAATCAACTTGGCGGGTCTCGTAAAGACAAAAAATTCGTACGTTTTTCGTTTTGTTTTTTGAACGGTGAGTATTGCTTTTAAATCTTGCTATGCCCCAAAAGTATTGTTAAATAGATGATATTAATTTCAAACCGTACAATTTCAGAATTTTCATCACAAACCTACACAATTTTCTGGCCGTGAATTCTAGTAAACAACGATTCAAGCATGTTGAATCTACGACGTGGTCACGCACATGCAAAAAATTCGTTTTTCTCTTTAAGCTTTTTATCATCATACTTAGGGTTTAATATATTTCTTGGTCGTCTTTGCCTCATCATAAAGTCATAGCTTTCGGGTAGATCGCGATTACCTGGGAAACCCGACACAATAGTGATATTTTAAAAAACTCTTTCTTCTAGCACAAGTCATGCTTTTAGCTGTTCGTAGATCGAGTTATGAATACACGCAGGAGATTTGGAAAGCACCAGGGAAGCGTTATAGTCGCCTAAGGCACAGCCGAGAGCAACTTAAGCTTCTTGATTGCTCTCCAAACTTCCCGCGTGCATCCATGATTCAATATACGCACGCTAAGCATGAACCAAATCTTTAAGGTCTTGGTAAAGAGCGTGGCCCAGTACGAAGAAGAGTTTTAAAGATAACTTTGTTATTCTATACCAATTATAGCCCTGAGTATGTTTTAGAATTGGCTCTAAGTTGATTGAAATAAATAAATCGCTAATGTCACGGGAGCTAGATCTTTTTGGGAACAATTACTCCAAGATAGTACTAAAGCTTGAAAGTTGAGCTTTGTTGAATTCACTCTCGCGTGACATCCGACATTATCGACTATTCGTCATGAAGTAAGCAAGTATCCGAGGCGTGTGGCTTGTTTTTATGCACACTTAAGTTTATATCAAATTCATAGAATCGGATTTTAAAACAAAGGAATCTTGTGGTTGGTTTTGTCTTTAACCGAGGAATTATGGCTGTGTTCGCTTAGATATTTCAGACAAAAAAGATGCAACTTATATGCCTGTTCAGAGGAGAACTGATTTCAAGTCATTGAAGACCTTTTTTCCCGTGAAACATCGGTTACAATGACACATAATTATATTTATTATATTATTATTATTGGACTTGAAATAGGATAACCACCAGATACCTCACTAAAACATAACGGTTTCAAAGCGTATCACATTTCTGAACATGATAGACATTTCCGTCATTACATACTCAACCAAAACCATCATTTTCGATCCCTGATCCCAAGTATTTCGTAGGATAGTAGATAAAATCTAGTTGTCTATTAAGTAAAAAATGGTTTTGAAGAGTGATAGTGTTTGTCTCTGGTGTAGTTACTTACTTGTCAAGGTGTTGCTGCTGACATAAGTATGTAGATCAAGCAAATGAGATCTGGTGGGCTAACCCTTCAAACGTCTACTTTAGAAACCCTTTACTTTGGCCAGTTTACTTTGGCCAATGGGCTATTTCCGAATTACCTTTAGCCTCTTTTTCATAACAAGGCCTGGTGCTTGTATTAAAACGAGTTTAATTTGCATGTGAATGAAAACTTATAATCCTATGAAGGGTTGTGGACCAGGACTCGCTTTCAAAATAAAGGGCTGTTTACATAAGCTAATTATCTTGTTATACCCCCAGCCGACACAGCATCATACTAAGTTTCTCAAGAAACTTACCCTCTGAGGTCTGGAATTGCTCAGCTACCGAGGCACTAATGATCTAAGACCATCTAAGATGAGCTATGTTGTAAGGAAATGGGTATTCCGACATTTTTACTAAATTTAGGCCGGCGGCCTCGACGTCCGACCTCATCAATACCTGTAGCCATAACAGGTTAGCCAAAGGGCAATAGATTCTAAAATGTCGGAATATTGCGCTATTTTAAGTTCACAGAAGGTAAAAATGTCCATTGTTTTCACGATAGAGGATCGTTACTTGAGAAATTTTGGCGACAAATCTTACTTGTCACAGAAAATAAAGGGCTATTTACATAAGCTAAATATCTTGTTATACCCCCAACCGACACAGCATCATAATATGTTTCTTAAGAAACTTACCCCCTGAGATCTGGAATTGCTCAGCTACCGAGACACTGATGATCTAAGACCATCTAAGATGAGCTACGTTTTAAGGAAATGGGTGTTACTAAATTTAGGCCCGCGGCCCCGGCGTCCGACCTCATCAAGACCTGTGGCCATAACAGGTTGGCCAAAGGGCAATAGATTCTAAAATGTTGGAATCTTATTCTACTTTAAGTTCACAGAAGGCAAAAATATCCATTGTTTTCACAATAGAGGATCGCTACTTGAGAATATTTGGTGACAAATCTTACTTGTCACAGATCCAATTTATTAGATATATGTGATTTTTGGTCAAACGCAGAAATTAACCCAAAACCCCGTTACCGAAAACGTTTAATTCAGTCTTAACTCAGTCCGAAATAATTCCAAAATCGTCCACTTAGAGAGCAAATCGAAGTGGCAGCGAACCCCTAGGCTCGTAAATTGAACTATCCCGGAGGGTTGAAACGTCGAAGCCACTGAAAGGACTTCGTATTTTAAAATCTACCCGTATAAGGAAGAAAATGTTTTATCAATATCAGTCTACTAGCGGAAACATGTTATCACATGGAAATATATTACAAACTTTGGCAATGGACAGTACAACCCCGCTCAAGTGAAAGGTCCCAGGAGCGATTCCAAGCGATGACGATTTCTTCTCCAATTAAAATACACGTTTTTCTGGTTTTTTTCAGAACAGCACCATTTATTGCGCAGAAATCGACATTTAAGCAGCCATTACCGAAGCACAGCGTTTGTCTCTCCTTTCCAAGCTTTTGCAAAAAGGGAAGGTTCTAATCATGCCTGAGAGCAGCTCATCGATTTTGTGTTTTCGACGTTCATGCATTCAATTTTGGGACCAAGATGGCGTATATACAAGGCATCTAAATAATTAAATGTGAGACGGCTTATAGCCATTGAGCGATATATTTATCCGACGGAGGGAAGATTGAATTTTTGGTCCTAACAACAATTCAGAAGTGACTTTTGACCATATTTTTTAATTGAAGAGTAACCCAGCGCTCAGTTAAAGTAAACAGAGTTTCTTAATGCTTGAGAAATTATTGTGCATTCTAATTCGTTCTCAGAACAAAGCACGATCGGGAAGTGGAGACCGTGCTAACGCATGAATACTCATTTTCAAGCTGAATTTGCAGCAGTGTAGGCAGAACTTTAGAAAATATTGTAGAAATTGATTATTTAGCTTTTTCATTCCTGCTAGGATTCCCAATCGCAAAACGTTCTAGAATTTTAGCGCGATCATCCACCATGAAGCTGGAAAGCCGCGAAAGGTAAACATTAAATCTAATCTTGAGAGATCTGTCAGTAAAGCGATAAAAGAAAATAATATACGCAGAATATCATGAGTTTGAAGAGAGAGAGTTTTTCATCGTGAAGTTACTTACTTGTCACGGTGCTGACTTATTTTTTTGAAGATCAGGCAATTGAGATCTGGAGCAGTTCAGTTGCAGCGAGGCACTAATTATCCAAGACCATCTGAGGTGGGGACTACGTTTTAGAGTAGTGGGTGTTGCTAAAATCAGGCCTGTGGCCCATGTCTTACCTCATCAAGGTCCCCAGGCCATAACAGGTTGACCTGAGGCCAACGCACTCGAAAGACTTCGAATCTTATGGTCTGTTAAGTTCACATGTGGAAAATTCTCTAGGGTTTTATATGTTACTTTTTTTTCCAGATTATCAGCCCATAAAACTTTGGTGCTGATTGTTCAGAGAATGAAATGAAAGTCTTTCCTGCCGGACAGATTGACGTTTTTCGGCAAAACAGGGAAATTGAACCAAACTTTTTCCGATTTACTTAACCAGACATTAAAACGAAAACGTGTCACTAAGTCTAAACAAACTCCGAAAAAATTTAAAGATCGGCCACAAAGAGAATGGAAAGTCATTCCTGTAGCGACTTGTCACAGCTAAAAATCACCAGGAAGAGAATTATCCTTTGAAAGGTGTAATACCCTGGTGTCTGCCCTTCTGAGCGCAAAGTGAAGCCTGAATGGAAATTTAATCATCAAGTTAATTGACCGCATTTTCAGTTAAAAAATATCGCTCTGATTAAGACATGGAAGCTGCTAACAACTTAATAACAGGCATTGAAGAAGCTCATTACTCAAACAAAGCATATGTCTACCTTTCCCTGTTTTTGAAATAAAGGGGAGGTTTTAGTCATTCCTAAGTGCAGCTTATCGATGTTATGTTTTTCGGCGGTGGATTATTCGCTATTGGGACCAAGGCGACGTACAGGCAAGGCCTATTAATAATGAAATGACAGGCTTATTTCCCTCGAACATTATATTTATCCGATGGATATTTATCTTGATGGGGTCATAATAACAACTCGTAAAATGGCTGTCAGCGAATTTTTTATTTGAAAATCAACCCTGATGCGACATAGCAGAGATATAGAGTGATATCCTGGTGCCTGCCCATCTGAGTGCGGGGTGAATCCAGAGGGTCATATGAATAATACATAGGGTGTAAACTACTCACTACTTGATGATGAGTTTAAAGGTGCAATTCCTGAAAACTATCTTAAATGTTCAAGAACTCAAAATCGATCGCAAAGAGCATGGCGGGAAGCGCTTTCACTTTTTTCGACAAAAAATTTGAACAAATTAATGTCATCGTGACACGAAGTTTCCGCTACAGGTTCCCATGTTGGAAGGATAAAAGTACCTGCCAGCTTCCATAAGCTGTGACAAGGGAGTTTAATCTTGGAAAACTTTTCGTTAAATTTTGGTCAGGAAATCTTTGAAACAACCTAAGTGTCACAACGAAGCGCAACTTCAACTTTTTTCTTCAGCAAAAGTCTCATCAAAGTGACGTTGTAGTAGCGCGAATTTTTTTAGCTGCAAGGTGCTATCTATGAAATGGGAGAGAGCTGCCTGCTTGCTTCCCAGTAAACTTTGATGAGGGTCTGGTTTCAAAAAACTTTCAAAGTCTTTTTAGCAACCTAAAAGTTCTAGTTATGATATTTTTGGTTTCCCCTAATATGAAGTCATGTTATTACGAGGCAATATCTCGCTAATTGATACTAATTCTGTGACTGATCACTGAAAACCGAGTCGATTACATATCCCTTACTGGAGATTTGTAAATTTCCCTTACAACATAGTTAATTGGTTTGCATTAGAATTATAAATATTTCGTCTCGGAGCAAAAAGAGCAGAGATCATTTAAGCCATCTTCATGAAATGAATTTCAGTATGAGCCTGCTGTAGCTGTTTCGCCGTGGGCGAGTTTGTCATTTTGAAAACTGAGATACAATTTGACATATTTTGTGATTTTTTATGTGAAAGAAAGGAATGATAACCTAAAGCCAACTCTCATTGGAAATATTAAAAGAATAACGTGATGTTAAAGAAATATATGCTCAAATGTCAATGTTTGCGGCCTGCCTGAGCTCATCTGGTTATTTTCTGAAAGCTGAGGCAAGTCACTCCAGTTTTGTCTATTTAGAAGTTTTAGTGGCTACCGAAAAAATGAAGGCTAGGCGCAAACTAAGAAACCTAGTCATGCAAGGTCACGGCAAAGAAGTTCATGATGAAGTTAAAACCTATTTGTCCGTCTCAGCCCCTTTAAGGGCACATCAAACCCTGTCCATTAGTGAGGGAAATATGTTTTTCAATAAAACACTTAACAATTAGTTCGTTCGTCAGCGTGTGCACATCCATATAAAGCACGTGGGAGGTTTTAGATAAAATAAGAAGTGTAACAGTTGCTCGCGGTATAGCCGCATGCAACATATTTTAACGCAGTACGTGATAGGTTGTTTTCCGGGGCCCAATGAGACATACGAGAAAAATGTGCAGAATTAGTTAAGAAACAAATTGAAGAATAAAGATAAAAAATGTAGAGTCAGTCTCTCTCTCCCTCTCTCTTTCACCCTCTCTCTTTCACCCTCTCTCTTTTTGAAGAATTTTTCCATGCGCCTTTTTACTAACAGAAAAAACAGAACGTTCATTGTAATGTTTATTCTTCAATTTTCAATCTAGTGATTTAATTTGATTACACAAATAGCAAATAATTTCCAATTTTTAGCTACCCCGTCAGCTCGAGAAAGTCTAGTGACAGGCATTAATAAGCCATCCTGCACCTTGGAAAAACATTTGAGGGCTGAGACATTTCCAAATAGAACTTGGGGTACTATATCCTCGTCAGTTTCACTTCGACACTAAACCCATTTTTCAAATTTCTAAAGTGAACGGTTTGGCCACTTATATCCACGTTAGGTGTGTAACTTGCAGGTGTACCATGGACTTTGGTATCGGCAACAGTTGTTTGTACTTGATTCCTGAGCGTTACTGATACAATGTTTTCTGTACTTTCAGAGGTGTACAGCAAACTTGTTCCCACATCTCTTGAATCTGTCAGAGTACCTGCACCACTCAAAGCTAAGTCGGGATAGGTGATCGCGAGATGGATGAATTGCGCTGTTTCCTCCACCATTATAAGACACTTTCCGGAACTCACATCTGTTATTGGCCCATCACTTGGCAAAGAGCTCACACTTCTAAACATGACGTAACCTGTAACTGGATGACTGAGGCCTGACCAAGACTTGGGTGATTTGAGAAATTGAACAATGTGTGCGCGATCATCCATCCTCAAGACTTTGTAGACCTTGTTACCTGCGGTGTCTTGGGCCGTTTGGAGGTCACTCAGTTGCGTATGATAAGATGCAGTCGGTATCAAGACAGCATACTCGTAGCTGGGGTTAGCCGAACTATGTTCAAACCACGCCGTACCATACTTTCCAGATGTGCTAGTACTTCCATCATCTTTTTTGGAGGTCTGAGTTGAGACATTTACCTTTAATATTGGACTACTGGTCCTAGGTATGTAATAGAAGTTTCCTTTTGCATCTGTAAGAGAAGTACTGGAGGACGTCGATGGGACGTGATTATAATTAGACGAAGCTTCCTTTCGTGATCCATCAACCTTGATAAACTGCGAGGAAGAAAGCTTGTCTTGAAATAATGTTGTTTGAGCAATTTTCATGTTATTTCTTTGAAGTAAAATATCACTTCCCAAGCCAACTAAAAGGTTTTCAAACATGAAAACTGACTTTTTGAATTGAAATCTGATGTTCCCTCGCCAGTCCGAGACATCATATTCCGGTTGCCTAAAATTCATGCCAAACAGTCCGTTCTTCGAGGTCATAGTGCCCCCAAAAGTGAGTCCTCCCGCAAATCTGCGTTTAATGTAGAATCTCCCGGTTGTGCCTATATTTAATTCATCTATGTTTGGATTCCCCAAGGCGATAGTAGTAGCCCCGGGAATTTTGGACCAATCCCATCCGGTATCAATATCATGATGCTGAAGGGCTGCTTCGTCATTTGCGATAAGGAGAGCACCATGACTGGCAAATAATCCAAACACATTTTCGTTCGCTGAGGTTTCATAATCCCAGACAAAGTTATTGAAACCTTTTACAGTCACTGCCCAGTTCTTACGCCGATGTATGGAAAGAGCGGCGAAGTTCTTGGACCAATGACCTTCAGGGGACTGCTCTTGTGATTTGCCTTGTGACACGGCAGTGGAATTCACCTATTAACGTAAAAGCAGACTAAAATAACATTTTGAGCATGTTTCATTTTGAGTGACGAATGCTTCATGGAAATTCAATTTGATTGTTACGCTACATTTCATTTTTTTAAAATCTATTTTAGTTTTTTTCGATTTCTTCACCGAGTTCAATATTAACCATCTTTCTTATTTTATTTTCCAACATATGACACTATCGACATTGTTGATCCTGGCAGTTTGCAGGACGCGTGCGATATAAGAACTTCGTAATGGGCCTTGGTCACCATAGAGTATGTGGGTCAGTGGTAGAGCATCGGAGCGCGGCATCTATGGGTCTGAGGTTCGATTCCTCATGAGGACTCAGAATTTATTCTTTGTACCACGCTCGTTAGAAGACAAAAAACATATTTCTCTGTTTCTTAACCAAGCTCCAATTTCACCATCTTTCTTATTTCATTTATTTCATTTTTTGTGACGGACAATGGTGTATGCAAAGCACGGATGGTGCTGTTGGCATCATGTTTTATAGCAAAGAGGGTCATCGCCAATTAATAATGAACATCAATAAGTTCCATTTTTAAAGGGGAACGATACTTACCGCTTCCATTATTTGCAGAGATCCCAGACTGTTAAAATAGTACTTATTTTTGTTCGGTGCTCCATCTTCTAGAAAACTTTCGACAGATGTGTCATTGTACAACCTCAGGAACCATTCTGGATTATTCAAACTGCTTACACTTACACCTGTTGGCACTGAAGTCGGTAAAGTAGTAGGATAAGCCACACTGATGTAAGCATATGCCGGTAGATTCTTCACGAGAACCTTGTTCGAGTATTCTGGGTAACGTCCGCTTACACTGGGTGGAGTGGAGTATTTGACTGCCATGAGTCGCAGTGCTTCTAGTCCTCCTTTGATATGGTTCTCGCTTGTTGAAGATAGGGCGAACACAGTCCCTCCCAGAAGATATTGAACTAGAGCTGCATTTTGAAGGGCTGGTGGGCCGTAGGCTGATCCATAAAACGATTTATGGTGATATACCAAGTAGTCTGGCTTTATTAGTCCTCCAAGACCTTTATTGATAGATAACGCATTATTCTGCCACCGAATTAAGGCATCCATATCACGGATTTTTTCTTTGATGGCGTCATCGGTATCAGTCGGCATCACAAGCACAATAATAAGTCTATAAAGCATTAGCGTGATCATACGGTCAGCAGTTGTTCCTTGAAATTCAAAAGTTGGCGTTTGATAGATCTCTCCAAAGTCGTTGAACCACTTTGCTGTATTTATCAAATCCATCAATGTGCTTCTACTCAACGATTCACTGAGGAGAAACAGAGAGTGCATGAACCCAGCACCATCAAGGTTCATTTCATGGTCCAGGGATCCTAATCCACTACCATCTGTAAATCCTTGATCTTTAACAAAATCAAGAAGCTTGTTTATCCTACTCAGCCGATGGCTGTTAAGGGTTTCTATTGCAGTTTTTATTTGATCCACAGTCAGCGTAGAAGAGCTAGGCAGGCTCGACTCAAAAAATGCCTTCATATTGGCGTTTTTTCCTGCAATGGTCTTTATCGCTCTTGTTCTCCTTCTACCTCCATTGTTTAACTCTGACTGCTGTTCTGTGGCAACATCTGTAATCTCATTCGGACGAGAGCATAGATGGTATTCTAGTGCTAATGGTAAAAGATTTTTAATCATGATATCTCCAAACTTTGTTCTAGGCTCACAATTTCTGCAAAACAAAGGAGGTCCTACAATGTCTCCAGTTACCGAATCAAAGCTTAAGTTATCGTACCCATCATGTGCTCTCTTGAATTTTCTTACAAGATCACTCCATCGTTTTTCTAGAGCCGGGCTGCGACTAAGGTAATTAGGCGACGTTACAGTCTCATCCGAATACCAGTTCTTTAGCCGGCTTTTGATATGATCCAAATGGTTTCTTTTTTGTGTTTCAATAGTAGTAGGTGGGTCAGGGACTCTTGTGGCACCCCACCTATAAGTCTGTTGCCAAAAATCTGAGTTGTCGTACAAATCCTCACCAAATGGACTGATGGGAGGAACTATTTTGTCCCGTGATTGCTTTCTAATATTACAATTGAACTCGAGCTTGTCTATATAAACAGTTTGAGCTCCGTTTCCGATAAAGTTGACCTCATCGATAACAGCTGGGCTTTGTAAGCTATTACTTTGTGTCTTGGATTCTGCAAACGTTACCCAAATCCCACGCCATCCTTCAAAGTCATTTGCTGTAAAACCTCCAACAGTGGTAGAAGAATTTTTGAATTCCACTTGCAATGTATGTCCTGACGTCGATCCTTTGTAGATCCAGACTTTCACGCCCCCATTTCTCAGACAACTGTTAGGAATGGTAAACGTTGACGATCTTAACTGCAACGTTGATGCGCCAGTGGTTACCCATCTCAGAGATGATGATCCGTATTTCACAGTCTTTTTATGGTTAGAAAGGCTTATCGTTCCAGTCGATGGCGAGGCAATAGTCTGAAAGCATCCTAACTGCGCTGCACTTTCAAAATCAAATGGCACATTGAAAGGGCAAGTAGATGGAGATTGGGCTGAAAGAAGAGGCGTACGAGCGGATTGGCATTTAACAACGTTCTTTAGCCTTTCTGATTCAAAAGATAACCCTTATACCAAGTGATCTAAGCTAGTGGTCAAGAAGTAGTAATGAATCTTCTCTATGCCTCCTTGACGGCAATTAAACATCATTTTCAATATCACAAATAAAGTACCTATTCGTTTAACTCATCATATCATAGTAGCATGAAAAAGTGAAATTCAATCGATGCACCACAGCTTTGAAACTACCCCTCTTGGGTTAAAGGTAAATGGTTGGTTATTAGTGAAGCCCTACTCTCATTTAGGACTTTCTGTCTAGTTCGGACGTCTGTTAAGCGGATTTTAACCGGGTTTTTTTTTTATATATACTATAAGGCAAAACTCTAATGTGCTGAAAATTAACCTCAATAATGGCAAATGAAGATCTCCAAAACATATGTGCTTGGCTGTCAAGTTTTCATTCCATTCTCTTTGACGAAGGGCTCACAGTCGAAAGATCACCTTTAGAAAATCTGTAGATACGTAATTTACATTACCAATTCAGTTGACAATAGCAAATTATTAAAAAGTTTTCAATGCGATTCTCATATTTTGAGGAGACGTATCTTGCTGTGTTCGGCGATTACTATCATCTTGGCTTTATGATTTAATTACGATACCATATTCTCTTGTGTATGGTGCTACACTAGCTTGTCTGCCCCGCATAGGTTCTACCGTTAAGATGCCTTTTAAAAGTGACCACAGACCTCGAACGCAAGTTTTAAAAACCGTTAGGAACAGGAGGAATATTTGCAGCAAAACCAAGAAGCTGAACATCTTCTTTGTTTGGGCCTGTCGATGGGTAACAATTTTCTTATTTATTTGTGGCCCATAGGACCAGTCGAATGATTGCCATAAATTGAACCATATCAGGAATGTGTATTTGCCTATTGATGTGCAGATTGTGATGGGATAAATGTACGTTTGACATGCCAATCAAAATCTAACTCCTGTGATAAACGCTTCTCGCAAATCCATTGATTCACTAACGATTATGATTTAAAGCATTCTGGAGATGATCATCATAGTCAAGATCTAAATTTTTTACATGAACAACAATGCCCCAAGTTAATTATAGTTACAGTTTGAAATTTTACAAGATTCCATTGCTAGCCTTGATTTTTTTTTCCTTCCTTTGGCCATATAATTTTATAACTCTACATTAAATCGTCTATCTCAAAGAAAAACAGGATGGCGACAACGAATAAACTTATCTTGGCTGGCCTTGGTCTTTGATGTTTGATGTTTAATAACTCAAACCCTTATCATTGTTTAAAAGGAAACAAGATCACATCAGTTGTTCAACTTACCTCACAGGATTTGCAGGACTACTTAACTAACCTTGGTGTTTTATTTTAGCCGCAATGCTTGATAACCACGACAGTTGTGTTAAACTTATCTCGTGTCTCTTTTTTCAGGCTCCACGCCCAGGCATAAGAGCTAAGACTGTTGAGTAATAAAAAAATATTTGGTGCTTTTTATACCTTGTCTTTCAAATGACTCATCATTGAATCAGTGTTACAGCAGGGCAGAATTATCTCCATGACAAGTTTACAGGTGTAGAATGAAAGGACGCCCCCATGAGATATTTGGCACTTGTGACGCTATATTGACTAGTTCTTCCTCCATTGAGTTGAACTTTCCTCTTATTGTTCCACGAATTACCACAGAATCTTTTCATATGCCTTGATTTAAAATGTATCTCCTTGTAGACAACTAAGATCTAAGGTATACTGTAAACGTTCTTAACAATTTGAAGAAACGTGCCTTTACCCTAACTATATTTCACGATTTTCATTATTATTTATGACTGAGATAAAGTAAAAAAATCTGTTCCATTGTTGAGCAGGCAGTAGCCCACGTGGTGATCTCGCTGGTACATGCAAATGAACAACAAATGGTTGCTGTTGTCCGTTCTCGCAGAGTTGAAATTTTTGCGATAGCGATAAATTTCTCGCTAATCTCTCAATCTAATGATCTTTTCTTGCTATTGCGGAGTTTTTATCTTAAAAGACAGCTAGAGGAATTGATATTTCAAAGCAATTTCCCCGAAATACGATTCAAACTCTGCAAATTCATGCAAAGATGTAAAAGAGCTAAAAAAGAAACGGGCGGTATACACCTGTATACAATAGACACTCAGAGCTATTAGAACTATGACAACCGTATCTACATGTCATCTTTTTATTTACTTCTTTTAAGTAGGCTGTAGCGCTGGCTGTCACAAGTACGCTGTTGAAAAAAAGCACGACTTTGTCAAGCGTTTCCTGAACAACAGGTTGTAACTTAGTTTTGTAATAATAGTAAATCAATATTATCGTCCGCTAAAGCGAGAGAAAAATAAATTTCTTTAAAGAAAGTTTCGGTGACAGTTACCAGTGTTTCGTTACCCTGATGAAAACCCATCATCAGGGTGAAGCGTGGAGTGGTTTAGCGGTGGAATGTTACAATAAATTGCATCAAAGATCTTTGACTTTCGATACAAATCGCCATTTTTTTTTCTCCATGTGGCGATGACGCCGACTTTACCATGATGAACATCATCTCACTCCGTACGACAGTAGGGGCTGAGGGACAGTGAAAAACAAAAGGATCTTTTGAGAAAAGGCGATGGCATATTTCGAATTCTGCAATGTTGGACAGGGCATTCCTAGCCATGAGCAAGATAGGAAAGACTTTCAAGTTTCAATGTTAAAATACCATTACTTTCTCAGTTTCATTTAATTTTTAACCAAGAATGCAAATCACAAAACCGAGGGAGAAGTCGAAAATTGGTTTCGTTCTTAGGTTTGGAAATAGTATCAACTTGCATAACATAGATTCGAAACCCCTCATCCAAAGATATGAACTCAATGCATGTAATGAGTCACCAATAAGTTTCAAGCTTCTGTTCTATCTCACCACCAACCATTCTAACCAATTAGTGTGCCGGCCGCGGAATAGAGAGGTCTGATATTTCAATCTTTATGGGAACTCATATTTTGTCCTCTTCCCACTCTCTTGCCAAACTTTGCGACTAACATCTCACTTATTTCGTTGACAGAGCTTTAATTTAGGCATCTTTCCTAATTCTTTTTTGACACACACACGATGACTTGAGGGTAAAGTTTCTTTGTCCGATACTCATAATCGTTCACAGTCGTGCTTCATTCTTTTATCGCTTATGAAGGAATTAGGAGATCTCAACGGTAGAAACAGCTGATCAACGATGCTATTTCACACTTCCCTTGTGTTCTTTCTTTGGGACGTTATAATCTCCAAATACAAGGAGGGGAATTTTATTTGATCATATTTTGCATGTCCCTTTTATGACATAAAAATCTCTCAGCTGTCAAAGGTTGACAATGCTTACTCTTCAGAATTCGGGCTTACCCATGTAAACTATAATAATCGTAGCCTTTATTCTAAGATTCTTTTCCCTGTTATTTAGTTTTGGATGTCATTCCTTGTCATTAGGTGGAACAGGGAAGTTATAGTAAGAAAGAAAAACTACTCTTCCTTTCATGGTCATGCAGTCAAACTATAATTTCAAGTCAAGTCATATTCTTTACAGTATGCGAAGGGGAACAGGGTACTTTTCCTTTTTTTCTTTTTACTGGTTCAATCCCAAACGAAAAAAAAAACAAAGAATGGGGCGGAGATCCAGATAAAAAATGATCCGTGTAATATGTAAAACTCCCCCCCACGTTTAGGGCCCTCTTGTAACAAGGACCTTTCCTTTGTGGAAGATGACTTCCTGTGATTTTGATTGTTCAGTTTCTGCGTTTTCAACACATTCTTGAAAGCTGATGTAATTTTCGTTTTGAGAAGGAAGTCAGGGTTTGAATTCGCCACAAAAGAGAGGTCACGGTAAATGAATACTCAGGAATTAAGAAGTTCTCATCAAATTAAAAGGGAAAAAGAAAATCAGTTAATGACGTGAGTTTTCATTTGCTTAAGCCCTTACAATAGGTCCGATGAATAATAAATGTGGTCAATGTGGAAACTTAAGTCCATGGCATTACCTCACGAATGTTGTCCAACACTCAGGAAATCGTTAGAGCTCGATCTTTAATTACCTGTCCTTCCGTTTACCATGTATTTTCTTTCGTATCATAATAGCGATCTAGAACGTTCAAAGACCATGGTATTTTGACAGAACGCAGCTCAGAAACAAAGAAACAAGCAAAATTGATTACTTCTTCCTCTCTTAAATCTCCATCCTCATTATCTTGTGACATCCATGCACCAAGATACGTCAGTAGACCTGTGTCGCTCGAGAATTGTTTGCCTCGGAAATCGTTTTTCTAACTTTAGTTTGGCCTTAGGGGACACCTTCTCCCCTCCAAAATTTCTGCCCATCTGGATTTTTGTTTGGCCCTGAGGCATAAATGTGCCACTCGGCCATCATATGAGGATCATTAATATAAATTGATTGATTTATTGTAGTAAATCCTTGGCGGTTTTTCCTGGAGATACCAAAATCAGTATTCTCTGGGCGTTCATGCCACCTGTTTCTCTTGCTGCCACTACATCCGCAGTCCATCGGCTGTATTTGTCGCAGTTGCTCCGACATTCGTCGATTCCCAGTTCGATAAAATAGTCTATAGTCCCGGTCTTTTAACTGCTTTGCTACTGCTTTCCATTAAGACATATAACCGTTGTGATCTTCCTCTGTGGCATAGACCTCTGCTTGGTGATGAATCCAGGACATGATTGGAATCACTTAGTTGCATTTCAGGCAATGGTCGACAATGGTCGTCAGATTGCCAAGAAATTAAGAGCAGTTAGCCGCGGTGTAATTATGAGAGTACAGGTCTTCCCTACATCGAAGCCTTAAGTTTTTGAAGCCTTTATCACGGATGTCTTTGATATTCTGCTAAAAATTCTAATGCATTGGGCTCTTCGTCTTGAATCAGTTAGTAGAAAACCCTGGCCCAATCAGCTTTTGATATCGTTTGGCAGAGAACAGCGTTGGCAGAACGACAGGATATGAAATGGCAAAGACTACGACAATGACAGCGCTTTTTACCAAGAGCGTGGACAGAGTGATGTGAAGTTTCGGGGTAAGTTGATGAAGGATTGTTGACATCTTTGGATATTTCAATAGTAAATAGTTGTCATCTTTGATGTAAAAAAACAAACAAAATTGTCTGTAGATTTTTTGAATGATTAAAGTATATCAAGCTTCCAAATGATTGAGCTGCGAGTTCGAATAAAAAATGCACTGTGGTGGAATCTCGTTTTTTTCGTTAGGAAAGAAAAGGTTCGAAAGTAATTTTTTAAGAGTATGATTAAGATAAATAGTCAGAGAAGGTCCCTGATCTTAATAAACTGGAGGGTAATTTTTGGCCCATTCTTCTCTAATTTAGGGCTCTATAAAGCGAGGTCGCGTTCAAATTTGCCTCACTTCACTTCAAGTTCATATGCAGATTACACACCTCACCTACTTGTGCTTTCATTTACAAAATTTACGTTCATTGATAGCAGAGAGAATCATTTAATCCTCTCACCGTTCTTACAATTTTCTATTTCTTTTCATAATTTCGGTGTGCGAGGCTGTCACCTCTTTTGTACCACTGATCTCTAGAAACGTCAAAAAAAAAAAAAAAGATTGACAGTGAACACTGGAGAGAAAAAATGTGACCCTCCACGGGAAAACGGACACTAACGCTTTTCCGTTTAAGCTGCAAAACCGTTTACTATCCGTTTATATCCGTTTAAACGGTTCATGAAAGCGTTTAAACGGTTTGCTTATCCGTTTAAAAAAATTTGCATCCGTTTAACGCTTTAGCTAAAACGTTTAAGCGGTTTGCTCATCCGTTTAAAAAAATTTGCATCCGTTTAACGCTTTTGCCAAAACGTTTAAGCGGTTTGCTCATCCGTTTAAAAAAATTTGCATCCGTTCAACGCTCTAGCAAAAACATTTAAACGGTTTGCTTACCCGTTTTAAAAAAAAAAGCTATCCGTTTAAAGTTCCACGGAAAGCTTTGGACTGTTTGCCTATCATTCTGTTATAGGCAGTTCGAAGTATCAATCTTACGTTCGCTCGATACTCGCTACTTAATTGTGATACGGATAACAGTTTCTCTTTAACATGGTAACTGGCGACAAATTTTCCCCCTTTTTGTCCCAGTTCATTCCTTTTAGGTTAAAGAATCCTAAAAGAGCAATTAAATGATATATTGTGCAAAACTAAATTTTGGACGCTTCATTGACAATCATTTTGAAAACGTTCCGATCCAGGTCACGTGATGCAATACGTCACACGTGTGTAAGGTAGTGCAAAGGGTCAAGTTAAGACCTGAAAGTAATAACTTCGCCTTAGCTATCCAGAAAAGATTTCCATTTCAAGTCCAGTGCAGGGACTTGAGGAACAAAAATTTTGAAGGATATAGTCATGGCATCCACCTGCACAGGTTGATTAAGCTTACTTCCCACCTTCAGAGGCCGAAAAAAATCGTTTTTTCTTTTATTTTACTAAACTGATTTCAAACATTTAACCTAAAGTTACCGAAAAAACTTGAAAAACGTATTTTCAAGTAATAGTTTTTAAATCAGGAAGGTGTCATAATCTCGTACCTGGGTGAGTCTCTTGATGAAATTTTCGCGGCAGCCGCTCATCTTGGTGTCCGTTTTTCAATTCATTTGCACATTTTTTTGCGTCGCGCACTTTACAAATTCACATGTGGAAGCTCTTTACTTATGGAAAAATCTTTACTCACGGAAAAATCAAAAGCGGAAGAAAGTTAACTAAAAAAAACAAAAACAAAAAACAAGGAAAAAAAAAAACAGACCCAAAGAAGAGTACCATTCTGTCAAGAAAAGAAAAAAATCCTTTATGAAGCCACTGGTACTGGCGGAGCTCTACGCTGGCGTCCAGATTTCGAACAAAGAAGTCGCCGTCAAATCTAAATTTGTCAAACATAATGCTAAAAACGAGATTTTCCAATTATCCATTTTTGCCGCGGGTTTTTTCTTTGCCTGTGGGAACTTTGCCCGTTGTGTCGTCTTCCTGAACACCCCACTGAGCGATCGAGATGAAAAAAAAAGCTTCTGTTACGGTTTACTCTTCCCGCGAAATCCTGATCTAGCGTCAGCGACGCTAGGAGGTCCCATCACCTCATTGGAGGCGAGATAATCTCCTGGCGTGGCGCGAGTTGTTTGCGAACCTTTAATGACGAGCTAAAATCTCGCGTTTGGTTTTAGGACGAATACATCCGCTTTGAGCGAATTTATAGGGTATATGGATTTGACCGATTTTCGTCAAATTTCGCCAAAACATTCCAAGAATAATAACAAACGAAAGTATCAGGAAATTTTGATATTTGAAATATTTGTCCCGTAGCGTCCAGTTACGCAAAACGCTTCGCATATTTTTAACTACTCCAACTTTAGATTTTGATATCTAGACAACCAATCAGAATATCGAAAATGAATAAGACTGTGCAGCCAATTTGCTCGTGCTGCAGTATACAATACCCGATAAATTCAACAAAAGAACCCTCGGTCGTTTCACGTCTTACCGGCTCCTGACACTTCCTAAAAGGAAAACTCGCTTAAATTATATTTGTATCGTAAACAGCAGTTATTAAGCTTTCTTCTGATATATCCTTTGCTAGGATTTTAGTGAAACAAGCGCGCGTACGAATTTTCTCCGAAGGTAGGAAGTAACCTTAAGATTGAAGTAGAGTCAGGCCTATCAGGCGAGGAAACGGAGAACCTCAAAAGCTGATCAACGATCAGCCGTTTAATCTTAAATAAATTTAATGGAAATTACCCGTGTCATGCAACCGTAAGTTGACCAAGCAGCACGTGGGCAGTTAGCATGCGGGAATGGAAGCGAATTAGAAAATCCACGCAACACGCAGGCGATCATAGGTGTTCTACTATTCCTCTTGACCTTCTGACCTTCATTATTTTTTTTTTTTCCCTTCTCTTTTCAGTGCAAGATCACAATCTTGCGTGGATAACAAACCTGCATGCTACTGAATTTGAGACCGGTGAAAAAATAAATCTGACGTTGACTTAAAGATCTTAATCTCTGGCATGAGAATCAGCAGAAAAAATGTCTGACATGAGACGACAAAATGATTTATTTAACATTTATCACCAATGCATCAAGTATCGCAATAAGCTGACTTTGATATAATATACTAAAATACATGGCATATAGGCAAAATTTAAAACCTTACACGAGAAACCGAAACAAAAACTACCTTTGGACTATATAAATTAAATCTATAAAATGCTACACCGTACAGGCCTACTCTCAACGAGATTAAACACAATTAAGTTATCAGAACATTAATAGAATGATTGCTGTTTCCCTCTCTTGATGGTAAAAAATACTGGCAACAGTTTCAACTGCACTCATCTTGACTTGTAGAATTCTTATCTAACCTGCATCCAGTACAGTATAGCAATTTTCTTAACAAAGAGTACACTCTTCTGACCTGCATTCAGTACAATAGCAACTTTCTAAACAAAGATAACTCTCTTCTGAAAAGCAACTCTTGATCCTAAAAAATTTTTTACTCTTGTATACGTAATGGAAAAGGCTTGCAATCGGTCTCCCCTATATAACCTTTATAATATGACATATAGTGAAATCTGTCTGACAGGCTAATGTCTAAAAGAATGCTAAGAACTTTTATTGCTACAGGAAGTCGTTCAGCTTTTTTACCAAAAAGCAAACCCGTTGTACAGTCACAAAGCACATACATTAATAAACAAAGCCTTCTTTGCTAAAATCATAAACAATGGAGAGGAAAATATCCATCTGCCATGTGGTACCTAACCTGTAACGAACTGGAATCATTCTTGATATGAAAAAAAAAAACTTTTGAATCAATTTTTCTCTTTGGAAAGATAAAAAAGGCTCTAATTCTTTAGTTTATGACTACACACTGAGTTAGATGCCAACTATGCACTGAAACTTACAACAACTATAATCTAGAAAAAAGGAAATATCAAAACTGTGACGACAGTTTACACAACCAAGGGAGCCTTGTCATGAGTCTTTGCTGTTTGTTCTGTGAACATGGCCTGTCCAGCATAAGTACCCTGAGGGTAAGCACCCTGAGGGTAAGCACCTTGGGGGTAAGTCCCTTGGGGGTAAGCCATTGGAGCCCCTCCACTAACCTGCATGGATGAATGAGAGACCACCACACCAGTGGGGGCCATTGTTGGCTGAGCAATAACCATCATGGGGGGATCCTAAGAGAAGCAAAGATTTGCTCAGTCATTATGTTACTCACTGCTGTTTTCAAAATTACTGGCCAGCATAAATAACTTACAAACAGAATGCCTGTCATACAAGAACATGTTGTCAATAACTCAATGAGGTATTTAAAACATATCATTACTAGTAGCAATGGACTACAAAATACAAAGATACGAGGTTCAATTGCTTGAGGTGAACTCAGATTATTTCTTGTCCACCACTCCTCAAAAACTGAACATCTTTCTTAGCAGTTTCTTTTCAACAATATTTTCAACAAAATTATGCTATTAAGATTTCTAATGTTCATGCATCATTTAGTGCTTTCAATCCTACAAATCTCTAAATGCCTCTCTACTTACAGGTGGGGCACAGCAAGTTGTAACACAGCCCAAAATTGATCCAGCCAGGGCCAAAGCAGTGGAGATGTAGCAGACAATCATGATCACAACAATCACAGCTCTGATGCTGCTCAGGTAGGAGCAGTCATCCACTGCAGTAAAGAGTGTCATTTTAGAGATATTACCTCTAACAGTGATCAGAGAGGTGGTTTATTGAGCTTTATAGAGATGAAGTAAAACTTAAATAATGTAAAAATTACCTTAATTGCTACTATTTTTATTATTGAACTACCCTCATCATTATTTGCATTGTCATTCTCCTGTAATTTTGCAGACAAGAGTTATAAAGGATTACATATATACAGTATTTTTGTCTCCCTTTTGCAGTCTGTGTTGGCTAGAAACTTAAAAATTTTGACACCAAGTTACTGAAATGGGTTCTTCACCCCACTTATAAATTCACTTAACCCTTTAACTCCCACATCAAATGTGTAATTCTCCTTACTGTCAACCATACAATTCTTATAATGTTAGTTTAGAGAACTTAGTATTGGGTCAACGAATCTTCCCCTAATTGATTTTTTTTCCTTTATTCTCATAACTCATCTAGTTGATATCATATTGATATTATATGGGGAACTTCTGTCCTGGTCACTCATGGGAGGTAAAAGGTTAACTTAAAAAGAATATTTACACAAAGCATTGTGCAACAATGTGTAGCCATGGGGAAGTTTTGCAGGACTCCAAAAAATCCAACGAGCAAGAAAGAAAAGTGATACTAAAGTAGAGAAAGATGCAAATTGCAACTTTATATGCCTTTAATTAATTGTGCAACCAAGTGTCTTCCTCTAAATTATAGCAAACAAGTTGATTTTTCAGAATGTTGATCTTGTGACATATAATTCACTGAACTGTGAGAACTCAGAAGTGGCCTACTGCAATTTAGAGAATGATCAACAGTGCAAAATTTTCTTGATCATCATTAAATATGGACAGATCACAATACAATTTGATTAATTACCCCTTTGAGACACCAATAGTGCAAATTTTCACCAATATTATAATAATAGTGACATTAACAAAGCACCTCTGATTTTAGGACAGGATGCAGAATAATGCTGAAGACCAAAAATGTAATCATCTGGAATAAATTACAAAATACAATTTAAATTAATAGCATTGTTTTGACTCTCAAAATAATCATTTATCAAAACATTTTCTCATACCTTTAAGGCTATAAACAAAGCTGTCCCACAATTTGCAAAAAAATATTCTTGAATGTGACTATCTGAGGGTACTAAATAGTCATCTGAGTCCAGAGAATTCTGTGTCTCAGATCTGCATAACTTTCCCAAATACCCCAACCCCTCATGTTTAGATCATTGTGACTATACAAACATGAAAAAGTCAATATGAAAAATGTAAGGTAATTTAATTTTCTGAAAATTTTCAGAGTCACCAGATGACAATAAAGTTTCGTTCTTTTCTTTCAGAATAACCACAAAAAAAGCTTCACAAAAACAAAATATTTGCAAAGAGTAACACTTACACAACAATGGTTCTTGGTAACACCTCCACAAATGCCAAAAATTCCACAGAGAAAGAACTAAAATATAAAAGTCACTTTTACTACAGCAAAAGTAAAAGAAGTTATGGGCATAACATTGTTCTTAAACATGCAGGTGTAGAGATTTTTTAGTTACATTTTGAGTAATCATTGCTGTGTCTATGCACAATACTGGTGCTTCTCAGCCAACAGTTGTGCTGTTTTGCTTGTGTTTCCTAATGGTAAAACAATGTCTAGAATTTCAAGAATTCCTGATTAAAAAATCGAAATTTAAGGGATGAGAATCAAATAGTACTTAGAAAAACCTGAGGGCGTTTAACCCTTTTTCTATGATCTGCACATCCTGTCATCCTTGACAATGAGTCTTGAAGTCTCCTTTACAAAACATTTCATTTTGATCTCCAGTTCTTGCATTTCTTAGAAAGTTGTCACATATCTGGGGCCATTCAATATTTTCGAGAACAGAGGAAAAGTTGAATAGATGTTGAATGAAAGTTTAAACCAATTTTAAACTTGATTCAACACGCTTTCCACAAGCTTTCAACATTTTTACGTTTTCAACAATGTTGGACGACCTGTTCAAACGCACCAAACATTTAGTTCAATAAAGTGTTGAATGCATGTTGAAGCAAATGTTGAAACTATTTAAACGGACCCTAACGCGTGCCTATCCAAAAGTTAACATTTTGGAGAAACCGGAGAAGCAAACACAATGCATGGTAAATTTTTATATGAATCATCTTTTCCCAAAAACAAGCTCCAGTGAAAGAAGGCCATTTAATAACTTACTTTCAACGAAGAAGACAATAGATGTATATTGAGTTTTTACTCTAAAATCAAGACAAAAGACGTGTGTGAACAGGTGTGCGAATCGGATGTGAATATGCAAATTTATCAGTGTGTAGAGAGACCTAATGTTTTATGGAATTTAAAAATAAGAAGCAAGACGAAACTGACCGAGGAACGTTTCTGGAAGATGGTTTTATTCAAAACGGTTCTTGATTATCTGTTAGTAGCGAAAAACGTGCGAATTTCTTACGTGTACGAAACCCACTAGGAAGAATTAATCTCCTTAGATCATTGTTTATTTGACTTCACGGCTGGTAAATTGCGCAGCGTTATGTTGAAAATTCTGAAAGTTCTACGTTTTGACACAAATCATCTATTGAACAATACTTTTTGGACATCTCATTACTCACACATGATATTTACCGGGCCTTGGAATCTTCATAATGTCGCTAGGCCTTACTTGAAGTCTGAAAGTTCGGTTTTCACTTTACGGCCCCAATTCGCATCGCTTCAGAGAATCGTGGTGTTGTCGGCTCGAAAGTTTGATTTGTCGCTCTTAAGACTTTGATATCCATTATCTTCCAAGAAGATTATTCTATAACATTTTGACTTTTTCTTTCTGTTCCAGAAGGTCTAAAGTCATCGGAAAGAAACGGAAAATCCGACTTGAAAATATTGAAAGTCGGCCGTGAGGACGCCATTTTTTCCATCTTGTGAACGCATAAAATGACGCCTTTCTAGTACCCCATAGAGTCATAAAAATAACTGCGCAAAACACGGATTCTGATAAGTTTATAGAGGCTTATACTATTTTGCGAAACGAAACGAAACGAAACGAAATCGGGTCAGATGAAATAAAACAAAAGGAATAATGCAGATATATTTTCTAATAAGGTAAAGATAACTTTCACAAGGATTTTGGAGTAATCGTTCATTAACAAGAAGGATTTCTATTCATTTCGCAAAATAGTAATTTTAGGAGCGTTACTATTTTGCGAAATGGAATTTTTCACTCTGCGGTGACAACGTGACCTCTTCCATGTCACAAAAATACATTTAAACATTACAAATTAGTATATCTACGAAGATTTTGGCCTCCTCTTATTTCTTAAACCGTATTAAAATGTATTTCGCAAAATAGTAATTTTAGCAGAGTTACTATTTTGCGAAATGGACCATTTTCACCCCTGCGGTGACAACGTGACCTCTTTCACGTCACGAAAATACATTTAAACATTACAAATTAGCATATCACCGAACATTCTGGCCTCCTCTCATTTCTTAAACCGTATTAAAATATATTTCGCAAAATAGTAATTTTAGAAGAGTTGCTATTTTGCGTGACCTCTTTCATGTCACGAAAATACATTTAAACATTACATTATAGTATATTCTCAAAGATCTTGGTCACCTCCTCTTTAATGTAGTAATTTCTAAACTAATTGAATGTAGTAATTCCGAAAAATGTTTATTTTGCGAAATGGATTATTTACACTCGGCGGGCGGGAACTCGAGAATAAGGGCGAAGGGATTGTTGCAGATTCCCTTGAACTTCACAATGTTTGGATGTTTCAACTCTTGAATGATTCTTGCTTCCTTTACAAACGTTTTCTTATCCAATATGTCCTCGCCAAGCAATTTCTTAACGACGACTTTCTCCGCAGCGGCCGATTTCCTACCCGCATCAGGAACAGTCTGCCAGTTAGCAGTGAACACAGCACCATAAGCGCCCTTACCAATGATTTCCTTGTTTGTCAAACACTTGAAATCATGAACTGGAAGACCTGAACAGTCGATGGTCTTGGGCTTAAGAACAGGAAATTTAAAAGCCATAATCTTGCCTGATTTAGCAGCACACAAAGCGAGCACAAAGCAAACTTCTTGCCGCACGTGGAACTTGCGCAAATGCGAAACACGATCTCTTGCTCGTAAGGAAGAGGTGTGCGACGGGGGTGTAATCAGAAGCGCGTAACTTTTCCATGTATATTATTTTTATTGAAAATTTTGAAGCAAAAAAACTGTATTACTTGCGATTATAAAACTGCTGGACGACTATTTCGGCATGGATATGCTTCTGTTCTCTTTACGAGACAGAGAGTCTAAACATGTTTAGCCGCCACTGGAAAACTGTCATGTTGGTTTTGCACCGAAACAGTGCACACCCTTCAAAACGCACGAAATGGGGTCTTTCAAATCTCTCAGGAGAACATGCCAACTTCCCCCTAGAATAGCTCCGTCGCTAGTAACAACAGCTTTTACCTCTTACTTTCCGCTCCCTCCCATGTCATTAATTGGACACAACCTCGGTTTGGGCCTTCAGCGGGGCTCTCTTGACTTGATTTCGGCGTCACGCAATACGGTACTACACAGTTGTCGATTTTGATTAAATGAACCTGTTAGCCCAAACCTCTTGTTGCATGTTTATTGAGATGGAGTTATTAATTGGCTCTTACTTAATCATTTGAAGCTGAGGAAAGGAAAACACCGCCTTGTTGCTTGGCAGTGAAGAAGTACAGACCACAGCCGAATTAAAACACTTACGTACAAGGAAAGGTGAGACCTGTAAACCCAATCTGTCACGAGTCAGTTTTATCAGGCGGCATTTAAATCATTTATGGTCCATTTTGCAAAACAGTAATTCTTCCAAAATTACTGCCTCGCGAAATAAACTTAGAAGACGTTTATATAGGTGAAGATAGCTTAGACCTTTTGAGATTTTATAGTGCTTTAAATTGAAACTTACCGAAAACCTATTGTATGACAAGAGAATAACAACATCGTTGCCGCTGAGTGAAAATAGCCTAACTATTCCGCAAAACAGTAATTTTTCTGACATTACTACTTTGAGAAATTAATTATATCTGGATAGAGAAAGAGGAGGTGACCGAACCCTTCGAGAATATACTATAATAAAATGTTTAAGCGTATTTTTGTGACCCGAAAAGAAAGTTATTGAGGGGTAAAAATAGTCCATTTCGCAAAATAGTAACTCTCCTAAAATTACTATTTTGCGAAATAAAATTTGAAACGGTTTAAGAAATAAGAGGAGGCCAAGATGTCCAGTGATATACTAATTTGTAATGTTTAAGTGTATTTTTGTGACATGAAAGAGGTCACGTTGTCACCGCAGGGGTGAAAATAGTCCATTTCGCAAAATAGCAACTCTCCTAAAATTACTATTTTGCGAAATATATTTTAATACGGTTTAAGAAATGAGAGGAGGCCAAAATGTTCGGTGATATACTAATTTGTAATGTTTAAATGTATTTTCGTGACGTGAAAGAGGTCACGTTGACACCGCAGCGTGAAAATAGTCCATTTCGCAAAATAGTAACTCTCCTAAAATTACTATTTTGCGAAATATATTTTAATACGGTTTAAGAAATAAGAGGAGGCCAAAATCTTCGGTGATATACTAATTTGTAATGTTTAAATGTATTTTTGTGACATGAAAGAGGTCACGTTGTCACCGCAGGGGTGACAATAGTCCATTTCGCAAAATAGTAACTCTCCTAAAATTACTATTTTGCGAAATACATTTTAATACGGTTTAAGAAATAACAGGAGGCCAAAATGTTCGGTGATATACTAATTTGTAATGTTTAAATGTATTTTCGTGACATGAAAGAGGTCATGTTGTCACCGCAGGGTGAAAATAGTCCATTTCGCAAAATAGTAACTCTCCTAAAATTACTATTTTGCGAAATACATTTTAATACGGTTTAAGAAGTAAGAGGAGGCCAAAATGTTCGTTGATATACTAATTTGTAATGTATAGATGTATTCTCGTGACATGAAAGAGGTCACGTTGTCACCGCAGGGGTGAAAATGGTCCATTTCGCAAAATAGTAACTCTCCTAAAATTACTATTTTGCGAAATATATTTTAATACGGTTTAAGAAATAAGAGAAGGCCAAAATCTTCGTTGATATACTAATTTGTAATGTTTAAATGTATTTTCGCGACATGAAAGAGGTCATGTTGTCACCGCAGGGTGAAAATAGTCCATTTCGCAAAATAGTAACTCTGCTAAAATTACTATTTTGCGAAATGAATAAAAATCTTTCTTGTTAATGAACGATTACTCCAAAATCCTTGTGAAAGTTATCTTTACCTTATTAGAAAATATATCTGCATTATTCCTTTTGTTTTATTTCATCTGACCCGATTTCGTTTCGTTTCGTTTCGTTTCGCAAAATAGTATAAGCCGTTTATAGATCCTCAAACAACAGAGAAAGTTTGAGACAAAATTCTGCTTAGCGGGGGAGGTAGGGGGAAAGCATCTCTCGCGCGAGTGCACCGCGCAGCACGGGTGCTTCAGGTGTCAATGGGAAAATTGAGTGTAACAAAGAACAACAAATCTTCCACTTTTTGCAGAGTTAGAATCATATTCCATTTTCATGTCCTCCTTCTAGGGGATTCAGGTGACATGCAATTGGCCAATGATCCTGATTTATTTCACGTCATTCATAAATAATTCAAAATAAAAGATAAGCAAAGTCTGAATTAATTTAAGTTGAAACGTATTCAAAGTGCATATGGTAATTTTGATCAAAATGGTTTTCTTCACATATAGATTTTGAATGTGCACAGCAACTCTGGTAGTATATAGTCTATGGATCATGTGATCACTGTGTGTATTACACATTTATTCTGAACACGAAACGTTTCATGGAGACTATTTGCATGTTCAATCCGCAAGAAACGTCATCCTCTTCCCGACATTTTAAACACGCATAGAAAACAATTCTAGCTATTTAGAGATCAATTGAAAAAAGACTTGATATTTAACACTAGCGATGAGGATGAGATCCACATATTAGGGGACAACGGCGACATTGGTAAAATTTCCGCACAGCCCCATACTACATTAAGCATTCAGTTCTTGGATAGAGAAAACAATGACAAAAACAATAGATTGCCATTGGGAAAACAGATTTGTTTTACAATAGTATGGGGCTGTGCGGAAATTTTACCGCGACATTAATCATCGAAATAAAAGGCGTAGCTCCACTTGATTACAAAGGTATTATCGACGGCATTAGCACTACGGTGAAAAAATAGCTTCAGACGTTTCAACACTTTCTGGTTAGCCAAAGGGGTGCAAATGACTAAGTGCCTATTGCCTCGAAGACATGATAGCTCTAAGTTGCAATGTCCGTCATGGTCTCTCGACGCTCTAAAATGGCTTTCCATGGAAGCTTCTTGCGTGAGAAACTTTAACAACTCAGTTCCTAAGGGGCGCTCGGCAGACGCGTATCCTCAAATGTCACCCGGAAAAAATGAAATCGCAGGTTAAACCGAAGGTTTCGAGGAAATAAATTAATTTACAGGTTTCACTGACATCTAAAACCCTTTCCAGAACAGAAATCAATTTCGAAAACCCTCTAACTACACCACAGATTTGCACGTAAACGAAACGAAATCTTTTCACACTCACCGGGAACCCACACCAATATGGCGTTGAGGATGTGTTGACGCCGTGGCCATAGCTCGAAAGAACGAAAGAGGGAATGATCAAAGCAACGGAAAACAACAACTGCAGAATACCAATAGAAATGGCAGCGACAGAATGGCCTCTCGTCATTCCCATTTTATACGCTGATTCTCGTTTTCTTCCTTCCTCGAGACCAGCTATTTCCAAAGACAAGCTTTGAAGACGACGTTGAAACCCCTGGCACTTGATTGACGTTTTTTCAAGAACACGTGATCACACGAACCGTGATAGGTAATTCTTTAAATCATTTGAGCCCTCCAACACCTTCAATGTGAACAGAAGATGCGTGCTTTTGAGATAAAATTCTTTGGGCGACTCCATGGATGGAATGGTAAGATGGCAGAAATGAAAAACCACAATGCACGGACAAAAATTTCCGGGAGATCAGGAGTCTCCTTGATAGTAAATATCTTGTAAGTATATACGAATCTGAACTGTAGTAAAAATCGCGGTTGATTGCGATTCTATCATCTTTTCTGAGTCATGCTTCACTCAGGGGAATGAAGACTGAAAAAACGCTGGGAAGATGGAAGAGAGGTAAGAGTAACCTGCGATGGACTAGAATCTCGTCTAGGGTACTAATACTGATAGTCGCATCATGCATCGTTTTCGAGAAGGTTAAAGTTGATGTACGTCGTAGTTTGGAGCCTTTCAAAGATTTGGATTGCCGCTTTGATCCTTCTTCAACAGCTCTGACCAAACGCTCTCAAACGCCCTCCAACGGTACGTGTGTTTCTCGCACTTAAAGCGATAGTGTTTGAGACCGATTATGGCCTATAAGAGGCCTACTGTTGCCTTACACAGCGTTACTATCGTATACTCAATTGTGTTGTAAATCTACTTTCCTCAGTAAAAGGAAATTTACTAATGGCGAGTGTTGTATGGTAAATCTACTATCTTGATCACTGAATGAAGGAGAGATGAATTAGAGCAACTAAAGGAGTCACTTGACCAATAAATAACTCTACAATGCACACGGCGACACGCCAGGTAAGCCGGTGTCCTAGCGGATTTGGATCCCCCGGTCCAAATCTGCTAACGGATATGGACCCCCTCCGCGGATTTGGACCCCCCAACAAAACAGAGTGAAAACATCATCCTTAACGTTCTAGTAAACATGGATGATACTTTACGTTCCAGTGCGTACTAAAGTATGTTTTAATTCAGTACATGCGTATCGTTAATGCATACGAACTGGCATCCCGTCGGATGTTTCTTTTGACCAAGGGAAAATGGACAACAATTTAGTTTAATGTCTGGAGAAAGGTCGTTTCTGAACCTTTTCCGTGATGGCCGAACACCGCTGGATTCAATAAGAGACAAATTTGTGACACTAACTTATTTTGTCATTGTTCAATGCCCCAGTGTTGGGACGACATGGTACAGTGCGAGTTGTGCGAGGAATGGTTACACATGAGCTGCGAGGGATTTAAGACTGCCCCGGAGGACGAGTGGCTCTGCATTGTCTGCAGATCGCCAGACTCTAGACGTCTTCGTAATTGTTAAGGTGTTATTTCGGATCTCTCATCAGTTAATAATCGTTAAAATTAGAAAATAAGATTGAGTTCGATGTAATAGTTTCCACTTTTGATAAGACGTGGACATTAATGTTGATTTGCATCTGAAACTAAGCTGAGAGTTCCAATAGTTCAGAATAGAAACATTTTTACTTATCATAGGCTTTACGAACGACTTGTAGTAGGAGTAGTTTCTTCGTTCTTGTTCAGAAACTGTTTAATGTTATTATTTTAGAAAATCAGACTGAGTTATTTTTGTGACAGGACGCAATAGTCTACTATTTTTATGACGTTTCGTGTCAATGTTGATTCGCATCAGAAGAAGCAAAGATTTATTGTAACAATTTCAATAGTTCAAATGCAGTAGTTTGTTCACATCTAATTCTTGCATATACATCTATGTATGACTCGCTATAATAAATGCGGTAGAATTGGAACGAAATTGCAGTGTGTTTTTTTTTACCTTTATTGATGTTGTGTTGCGATTGAAAAGAACATAGACAAAAAGCTTGCAAATAGAATTAGTAACCAAATATGATACAAAGGATACTTAAAAGGAAAGTCTGGTGAGGGGGTCCAAATCTGCGAAGGGGTTCAAATTCGCTGTGACACCGGAAAGCAGAAGGCAGTCGATGGTTAAAAGGTGTTGATAGGCTTGTACGACTCCTGCCATTCGCTTGTGCTTTTAAATCTTCTGACCTGAAAGCTAAGCTGTTATTAGGATATCTTTTAATGACTTTCGTTCGCGATGTGATAGTAAAGGTTAGTTTTCAGGTGTCATTTCTCCATCTGTGTGTTCTTGGTCTCCTTGAGGATTGGCAAAGCCGGATTAGATTGTTTTACCAAAGGTAATATTTTTATCTGTGTGCGCTATTTTTTTCGTTTTCAGGTATACTGTCTCTCCCGCATAAAATAACTCCAGAGATACGCTTCTCAAAACCTTATTATCGGTATTCTTTATTCTTTAAGCATATTTGAAACTCTGTACGTTGAGCGTAACGAATTTGGTCTTAGGAGGCGTAAGGCTTCTCCTTTCGCGAATCCCGCTATCTCGCTGCCACAAGAGATGTTCACTCGACCGCGACAGGATGCAGATGACTCGCTTTTCGTTTTACGACCATGATGCAACGCAATCAGAGTGGGCACACCGCCTGTGTTTAAGTAGTGTACATTACTGCGAGGATCACTTTCATATTCACAATATACACAGTAACACAGTTATCTCGAACCAGATTTCTACGGGTTGTGGTCACAAAATTTTTTTTGACTAGTCAATTACATTGGCGGACCCAGACCTTGACATAGGGAGGGGGGAGAGGCGTTTTATGTCGCTTGCCTTGCCGGCTTTTTTTCCTGCTGCGATTTTTTTTTAACCCAAAATATAGAGGAGGGGGAGGGAGGGGGCCCGGGCCCCTCCCCTAGATCCGCCGCTGAATTCTCGAAACATCGCGGCAAAAGAAGATTTGCCGCCAATGACACTCTTTCATGTTGGGTAAAGGCATTCTCGATTCAGGGGAAGAACCTTTAGTTATTAGTTAGTTGGCATCAACATCAAATTCCCTAGCGAGGTTATTGGGATTCAAATAATCTTTTTTTTCTAGGTTTCCCTCTGGATAATCAGAAGTCGCATGAAGAAAAAATAATTTAGCGAATAGCCATCATGTCGTCATCATCTTGCATGGACAAGCGAAGGTGGAAATAACCCTGTTTCAACATAGTCATCAAGAATCTACAAAGAAAAATTAGTTTGAATGAACACTTCAACAGAACTGACACGCAGCAATATGTTTAATATCATATGTTATCGAAAGAAATCGGGGCTTGGTTCTCCTTGCCGAGATGTTGGCTTTATAAAGTGTCTCCGAAGAACCGCTGTACATATTTGCTAATGCTAATTTGTTTTCAGTTAGCATTTCTCTGCGCATCTTTTTGTCGTAAGCATTCTCGTCTAGATTGTATTTGCTTGCGGTTGGCGTTTCTCGATACATTTGTTTACTGAAGGGTAGCATTCTTTCTTTGGATAACGCGCTTCTGAGGTAACACGATTCACTATTACCGCGGTACCAGTCGTACATAATTGACGTTTAATTGACAAACCTCGGCTAAGCCTTCCTCAAGAACTGACATTTCGAGATAGAACTGTACACCAAGATTTTCTTCGGATTGGTGCAATTTCTACACCCCTTCAGTTACACTCGCCAGACGTCAACTTCAGAGAGCGAGAACTATGTACACGACGCTCAAAAACAGAGAACAAATGACTAGCAAAAAAAACTTACCTCTCTAAGCACTTCCGCTGTAAGTTCGGGATAATTGTAGCTAAAACCCGATTCTTCAATCTTTGATCCGTTAACGAACAAGTGATTATCATAATGAAGTTCCTATTGAAAGAAATGAGGCAAACCAAAGCTGAAATTCGTAGTAGCACCATAAATGAAGGGAAGGGCGTGGCAGTTATGAACAAGGAGCTCGCTTCCCAAAATTAAAATTTAAAAACTAGGAAATGACAGAAAAACGAAAAATAAAACACTTTATTTGTTTAGTGCATCACTTTTTAAAGACATTTAGAGGGGGTTACAGACCAAAACAGCCTACAAGTTCTTAGTACTAACAGCCTATTAGGACACACATATCAATTTACATTGGCCTTTATCCTGAAATCTTTCTTAAGATAGTCTATCAGTAAGGTACTAACTTTGATGTCCTAGATTGTTTACGTTTTGTAAATGGTTGGTAGCACACGCAGTATCTAACATCCATGGCTTACATGGGTTGTTAATATAATACTTCTTACAAGTGACTGTCTGTGTTTGATAGATGTCTTCATTGACAGTCAACTGTGCTACTTTTAATTACTCATTCAGTCCTTGCCTGTCAGCTTTTCCATAAATAATTGTTGGTCTAGCAGTGATAAACTTTAATCTAAAAAGTCAAAAAGTAGATCACTTAGTGCCATCAAAACCTTAAAGTTTCCCTTGGTTTTCTCTTTGTGTTCCGTGTTTCAAACTGGTCACCAGCCAGAAGTACGAGATAAAACACAGGGAAACAAAAAGTATATGTATGTGAAGGGGGACTGAGGGAATAAATTGAACCACAAAAATCATATTCAAAGCTAGTTTCAATTTTCCATCAATCATTTCATGCCCATCAAGTTTAGCTATTTCTTGTTCCACCATTAGCTTGTATTTTGCAATGTGTGTCCATGGTGATTTCTTGCCGTCTTTATTACTTATGTCCTGTTACAAGAACAGAATACAAGTGAATGAATGGAAGAATGGAGTTCGATCAACTTAATGCTGTGGCTGACCATGGAGATCTGTCTGACTATTTATTCTTATGATGAGTTGGAGAATGACAATAAGTTGAGAGACCAAGAAGAGGACCATCAAGAGCTGCTAACATCAATATTTCAAAGGAAATGTTTTCACAAGCAATACAAATTAAACAAAACAGTTGTATTTCATTTTAAAATTAAACCCTGAGGGTTTTCCTTTTCATGTAAGGACAATGTAAATAAGGATAAAATAGACCCCAAGAAGAAAGCTGACCTGGGCAACAAAGTTCCTTTTCAGGCAAATAAATTTCAGAAATTGCTAGTCTGGTGGCTTGTAACACAGCTGAGCAGGTGTCCAACCCTGTTCATTGTATGCTACTAAAACAAAGTATGTGTGTATTCCCAAAATATCAATGTGATAAACCAAACAAAGTAGCTCATCAAAATAAGGTAGGAGGAAAATTTAAATTATATGTTTACCAAAATACCTACAAGAGATTGCATGATTGTGATAACCACTGGTGGCAGCCAGGAAGATATTGAGAGCACAAACATTAACCCCTCTTCAAGAAACCCTTTCACTCCCAAGAACTTACTTATGATTCTCCTCACAAAATGTCTGACATGGGATGACAAAACAATTTATTAAACTTTATATCACCACTGCATCGAGTATTGCAACAAGCTGACTTTGGTATAATATACTAAAATACATGGCATATAGGCTAAATTTAAAACCTAACACAAAAAACCGATACAAAAACTACCTTTGGTAGTATATAACTTAAATCTATAAAATGCTACACCATACAGGCCTACTCTTAACGAAATGAAATATAATTAAGTTATCAGAATACTTTTAAAATGATTGCTGTTTCTTTCTCTTGGTGGTAAAAAATACTGGCAACAATTTAAACTGCACTCATCCTCACTTGTTCAATTCTTAACTAACCTGCATCGAGTACAGTAGCAATTTTCTAAACAAAGAGAACACTCTTCTGAAGAGCAACTCTAGATCCTAAATAAATGCTTTATTTTTGTATATGTCATGGACAAAGCTGTCAATTGGTCTCTTCTATATAACCTATTATAAAAAAATTATTAACATAAAATGAAACCTATCTGACAGGCTAGTGTCTAAAAGAATGCTTAGAAATTTAATAGCTAAAGGAAGTTTTTCAGCTTTATTACCAAAAAGCAACTCTGTTAAATACAGTCACATATCACATACATTAATAAACAAAGCCTTCTTTGCTAAATCATAAACAATGGAGAGGAAAATATCCGTCTGCCATAACAAACTGGAATCATTCTTCATAAAAAAATATTTTGAATTAATTTTTCTTTGTGAAAAGATAACAAAGGGCTCTAATTCTTTAGTTTATGACTGCACACTGAGTTAGATGCCAACTATGCACTGAAACTTACAACAAATTTAACCTAGAAAAAAGGAAATATCAAACTAATGTAATAAACTGTGATGACAGTTTACACAACCAAGGGAGCCTTGTCGTGAGTCTGTGCTGTTTCTTCTGTGAACATGGCCTGTCCAGCAGAAGTACCCTGGGGGTAAGCACCCTGAGGGTAAGCACCCGGAGGGTAAGCACCCTGAGGGTAAGCACTCAGAGGGTAACCACCCTGGGGGTAGGCCATTGGAGCCCCTCCGCTAACCTGCATGGATGAATGAGATACCACCACACTAGTGGGGGCCATTGTTGGCTGAGCAATAACCACCATGGGGGGATCCTAAAAGAAGCAAAGATTTGCTCAGTCAGTGTGTTACTCATTGCTGTTTTCAACATTACTGGCAAGCATAAATAACTTACAAACAGAGTGCCAGTAATACTAGAATGTTGTCAATAACTCACGCAGTGAGGTATTTAACACATATCATTACTAGTAGCAGTGGTCTACAATATACAAAGATGTGTGGTTCATTTGCTTGAGAAGGGTTCAGATTCTTTCTTGTCCACCACTCCTCAAAAACTGAACATCTTTCTTAGCAGTTTTTTTCCCCCAAGGAAAGGAAAAGATTAAGGAATTTGTGCATCATTTAGTGCTTTCAATCCTACAAATCTCTAAATGTCTCTCTACTTACAGGTGGAGCACAGCAAGTTGTAACACAGCCCAAAATTGATCCAGCCAGGGCCAAAGCAGTGGAGATGTAGCAGACAATCATGATCACAATAATCACAGTTCTGATGTCGTTCAGGTAGGAGCAGTCATCCACTGCAGTAAAGAGTGTCATTTTAGAGATAATACCTCTGACAGTGATCAGAGAGGTGGTTCATTGAGTTACCAAGATGACATAAAACTTATAATAATTATTATATAAAAATTACCTTAATTAATTATATTTTTTATTATTGAACTACCCTCATCATTATTTGCATCGCCATTCTCCTGTAATTTTGTGGCCAAGAGTTATAAAGGATTACATATATACAGTATTTTTGTCTCCCTTTTGCAGTCTGTGTTGGCTAGAAACTTAAAAATTTTGACACCGAGTTACTGAAATGGGTTCTTCGCCCCACTAATAAATTCACTCAACCCTTTAATTCCCAGATCAAATGTGTAATTCTCCTTACTGTCAACCATACAATTCTTATAATGTTAGTTTAGAGAACTTAGTATTGGGTCAATGAATCTTCCCCTGATTGATTTTTTCCTTTATTCTCATAACTTATTTGGTTGATATTGTATTGATATTATATGGGGAACTTCTGTCCTGGTCACTCATGGGAGTTAAAAGGTTAACTTGAAAAGAATATTTACACAAAGCATTGTGCAACAATGTGTAGCCATGGGGAAGTTTTGCAGGACTCCAAAAAATCCAAAGAGCAAGAAAGAAAAGTGATACTAAAGTAGAGAAAGATGCAAATTGCAACTTTATATGCCTTTAATTGTGCAACCAAGTGTCTTCCTCTAAATTATAGCAAACAAGTTGATTTTTCAGGATGTTGATCTTGGGACACTCTGCAATAAATCTCAGCAGTTGATCCTGCTGAGAAGTTTTTGAAGAGAAGTGTTTGTAGTTTGAGCAAAAGTGTGATAAAACAAATCACAAAATCCAGATACAAAACTTTATTGCAATTTTGGGAATGATCAATAATTGATCTTTGTTATATATGGACAGATCACAATACAATTTAATTAATTACCATTTTGAGACACCAGTGGTGCAAATTTTCACCAATATTATAATAAAACTGACATCAACAAAGCACCTCTGATCATATTTTAGCACAGGATGCAGAATTTCAGAAAAGCTAGATTTTGTTTTGAATAACTGGAATGTTAAAAAATATAGGAGAAATGAAAAAATTACACCATTACAAAATAAATGTTATTAAATGGTAGAGTCTAACATACCTTCATAACTGTTGCCATATGAGCAATCATAAACATCTATAACGGTCAGAGCTATAGTGACAACAATCGACGCTATTGCAGAAATGACTGTGACAATAATGCTGAAGACCAAAAATGCAACCATCTGGAATAAATTACAAAATATAATTTAAATTAATAGCATTCAGTTTTCACTCTCAAATAATCATTTATAACATAAATTTTCATACCTTTATTAGGCTATACACAAAGGTGTCCCACAATTTGCAGAAAAATGTTCTTGAATGTGGCTATCTGAGGGTACTAAATAGTCATCTGAGTTCAAAGAATTCTGTGTCTCAGATTTACATAACTTTCCCAAATTCCTCTACCTTCCCTCTCATATTTAGATCATTGCAACTATACAAACATGAAAAAGTCTTCAATATGAAAAATGTAAGGAAATATGCCATAATTTTCTGACAATTTTTAGAGTCACCAGATAACAAAAACGTTTCATTCTTTTCTTTCAGAACCACAAAAAAAAGCTTTACAAAAACAAAATATTTGCAAAGAGTAACACTTACACAACAATGGTTCTTGGTAACACCTCCACAAATGCCAAAAATTGCACAGAGAAAGAACTATAATATAAAAGTCACTTTTAATACAGCAAAAGTAAAAAAAGTTATGAGCATAGCATTGTTCTTAAACACACAGGTGAATAGGTTTTGGAATATCATTTTAAGTAATTGTTGCTGTGTCTAAGCATGACACTGGTGGTCCTCAACCTTTAAACAATTGTGCTGTTTTGTCTGTGTTTCCTAATTGTAAAATAATGTCTACAGTATCAAGAATTCCTGATAAAAAAATTAAAGTTTAAGTCGTGAAGTCTCCTTTACGAAGCATTTTATTATAATCTCCATTTCTTGCATTTCTTGAAAACTTGTCAAATATCTGGGTTATGTTCTTAGAGGTGAGGAGCTCTGTCTCAGAGTAGTTAGTAATTGAGAGTAACTTAGAGTTATCATTAAGTTATCATTTTTAACACAAAGTCTGTAAATTTTTACTTCCATTTGAAATGAAGAAGTTTTTTTAAATCACAGAAGTAAATGACTAAAAGAGTACTGCAAGTGTCCCTTTTTCACCACACTCAACTCCTAATGTTGGGCATGTACTAAACTTGAAACAGCAAAACGAAATGAAACAAGCAAAACAAGCAAAACCACTGAAACAACCAAAATGAAACGATCGAAACAAAACAAACCTTATGACAAATATTGCCAAAATATCATACAGGAAAAAACAGTCAATAATCATAAAATAATAATGATGATGATGATAAAATGACTGCCCCTGGGAGTCAGGTATCAACCCTCATATTTGTCTCATTACAATTTAGGTCTACTCCTGGTCCTCCTTGCGAGGAAATTCAATTATCTCTCGATTGCCATTAGCTTGGTATAAGGCATTAACAAAACCTTAATTTAAAAAAAAAAGGTCAGAAAAACTATGGACATAGATATTGTCAATTAATACCAATATCTGTTTCTTCTCATCCTTTCCTTAAATGTTTTGGTATTCCATATGACTGGCATTCTGTTCTGGATACTGTGTATAATTGTCAAATTATGGTTTCAACTGCTAGCATGGTGGCAAAAATTTTTTTCCATGAGATGGCCTTAATATTTAAAAGTCTCAAATGCAAGAGAATATCTGAAAGGAAGTCTTCATTTTCTGCAACATATTATCCTATACTTGTCTCAATTATGGTAGTGGTTTTGTTTTGGTCATAACAGTCATTTCATTTTGGTCTTTACTATTGCTTTGTTTTGTTTTTTTTTTTGCTTGTTTTTCCTTTTTCCTTTCAGTTGTTTTGTTTTGCTGTTTCAGGTTTTAGAACATACCTTAATGTTGGGTGTGGAAATTAAAAAGCTTTTTTAATATATAACAGAAATTTAGAGTAACAAAGAACAACAAATCTTAACACCATGTTGAGCAGAACAAGACTTATATATTCAAAATAGAAGATTTGAATTAATTTAGGTTGAAACATATCCCCATGTTGTAATTCTAATAAAATGGCAATCACCTGTAGATGGATCATGGGATCACTGTGCGCATTACACATTTATTCTAGTCACGGAACGTTTCAAGTGACATGTACATTCGGAGATCAACTGAAAGAAGACTCGATATTTAACTAATGATCCTAGTTTCTTTCACATCATTCATAAATGATTCAAAATAGAAGATAAGCAAAGTCTGAATTAATTAATTTGAGGTTTTGACTGAGGAAATAAATTAATTTACAGGTTTCACTGACATCTAAAACCCTTCCCAGAACATAAATCAATTTCGAAAACCCTCTATCTACACCACAGATTTGCAAGTAAACGAAAACGAAAACGAAATCTTTCCACACTCACCGGAAACCCACTCCAATATGGCGTCATGGATGTGTCGACGTCGTAATGGTTGCCATAATTCGAAAGAACGAAAGAGGGAATGATCAAAGCAACGGAAAACAATAACTGCAGAGTACCAATAGAAATGGCTGCGATAGAATGGCCTCTCGTCATTCCCATCTTCGCGGCTGATTTTCGCTTCTTTTCCTTCTCGAGACAACCGGTTGCCGAAAGCAGGATTCGAAGATTGACTTTTTTTCAAGAACACGTGATCTCATAGAAAATGATAGGTTGCAGTCAAATTCCTCAAATTTAAAAATTTATTTCTTATATTGCGCAGTCTAGCATGCGATAAAGATATGATCGAGTGCGCATTACAACACTAAAATCTTAAAGTAATAAATGGCTAGTCCAGATAATGATAATAATAATAATAATTTACAATTTTCGGAAAACAATAAAAGTAAAATATGAGTTAATAAAAGAACTAATAAAAAGCTAATTTAAAAAGATGTGTCTTTAGTAAAACTTTAAAAATGTTCAATGATTGACATTGTCTAATTTCTAGAGGGAGTCGATTCCATACTTTGAGCGCAGCATTTTCAAACGCCCTATCCCCGAGTGTCTTTTTTGTTCTATAGGTATTGTCCATTAGGAGTATGCCCCGGTATGATCTCAACTGATACCGCGAGCTCTCTTTGATTTTTATCAAGTCTAAAAGATATTGTGGTGCGACGCCGTAGATACATTTGTGAACTGGCTATCTTGAATTCTATTCTGTGGGTAACCGGAAGCCAGTGCAGGTTGATCAGGGATGGTGTGATAGGATCATACCTAGATATAGTACATACCAGCCGAGCACCCGCGTTCTGCAGGCGTTGCAGCTTACCAAGATGACCAGCGGGTGTACCATATAATAGACCGTTACAATAGTCTAATCGTGATATTATAATAGCCTGTACAATGGACTTCCTATTATCATATGATAAATACTTTCTAATACGCCGGATGTTATGTAGATGGTAATAAATATTCTGACATATGCTGTTAATATGTGTGGTCATATTCATGTTTGCATCAAACCAAGCACCCAGGTTTCTAACAGAGTAAACCGCAGAAACCTTTACCTTACCTACGTGCAAGTCACTTATCATAACCTTATTTAACTGTGCGCGTGTACCTATAATAAGAAACTCGGTCTTAGCATCGTTCAGCCGAAGTTTGTCTTGGACCATCCAGGTTCTTATGTCCCTGATGCAAGCTTGTAGAGCGTCAACAGCATCCGTCTCAGTAGCAGAACCATCCGGCTTAAATGAGATATAGAGCTGCGTATCATCAGCGTATGTGTGAACGTTAGGGAGATGGGATTCAACAACATCGAAGAGCTTACTTGCGTACAACGTGAAGAGCAAGGGACCAAGACATGATCCTTGAGGTACCCCTTGAGGCAGATCAAAGTCACTCGAATAGCTCCCGTTAATCAGGATTCGCTGTTTCCTGTTTGATAAATACGAGTGAAACCATTTAAGAGCGGTACCTGTAATTCCATACGTCACGCACAGGCGATTCAACAACACTTGGTGGTCAATGGTGTCAAATGCTGCACTCAGGTCTAGCAATACCAAAAGAGTAACTCGTTGATTGTCCATTGCAGCTAGTATGTCATTCTGTATCTTCAATAGGGCAGTCTCTGGGCTATGACCAAGTCGATAGGCTGACTGGAGGATGGGATACAAACCCGACTGAGTAACGTGATCGGTTGTCTGATCATAAACTGCACTTTCAACCAATTTAGAGAGGTATTGCAGATTACTCACAGGTCTTAAATTGGATAAGGAAGTCCCTTGCTTGGTCTTCTTCAGTCTTGGATCCACAAGGGCCGTTTTCCAATCAGATGGAAAGTGTCCCAAGGAAAGTGAAGAATTCACGACATTAGTGATGATGGGGAGAAGCATATCGGACATGCCGACTACTAAATTGGTCGGCATAGGATCAAGTTGACAGCTTTTCTTCGATGATCTACTGACCAGCTTCCTTATATCTTCCACAGAATACGTATTGAAATGATCAAGTTTCCTATCGCCTGTAAACACTCTATCCTCAGCTACCGCCCCAGGATGAAGAGTACACGCATCAAGCTCTGCCCGAATCTTTGCAATCTTACGGTCGAAAAACCGCCCGATATCGTTGGCTAAGATTGAGTTGTCCGTGTATTCTGGAAACACAACTCATTCCTAGGAAGTAACAATGATCGAGTGGCCCTGAATAGCTTTCCTTGGTTTTCACTATTGTCGTTCACAAAGTCTGAGTAGAAAGCATGCTTAGCCCGTGTACTTAAATAAGTAACGTGGTTCTTGAGTTTCTTGAATGCCAACAAATCTTCCTGTGATCGTGTTCTTCTCCATCTCCGTTCTGCTTTCCGGCGTCGCCTTTTTGCCTCGGCTATCTCACTGGTATACCAGGGTACCTTGGGCCTAGCCCGCACTGTTTTGGTTTTTAAAGGTGCGTGACGATCAAGAACTTGAGAGAGTGTGGTCGTGTAATCCTCTACAAGTACATCCAAGTCCAGTGGGGTGATGGGATCGCTATTACCTCGATCACATAGCCCTGTAAGTACTACATCGTTCGATAGGCTCTCAGCGTCCAAGGATTTAGTTTTCCTAAACTTTATTATCCTAGTCTGAAATGAAGGCTTACTTATGGCAACATGACAATGTACAGCTGCATGATCGGAGAAATAGCGACAGGCGCGTGGTGGACTCGCCAGAATATCCTCAGTCTTTCTTGTTATAACAAGATCCAGGGTGTGACCACGTATGTGCGTTGGCTCTGTCACATGCTGCTCCAAACCGAGAGACTCAAGCAGATCTAAAAACTTAAGTGCATCAGTGTCATTAGGAACATCCACATGTATGTTGTAATCACCAACGACAATCAAAGGCTCTTTGGATAGAATAGTGGACTCCAGGCTAGGCTAGGCTATGGACAAAACTACCCAAGAGTATCAGGGACGTCACAACCCTAACGTCGTTTAAAAGCAAGATACGCCAACTCAATATAAGTGAACTTTTAGATGATGGCTGCGCAGGCTGTAGCCTTTGTTCATTTTGACTTCTGTGTATTTTTACTATAAATCTCTTAATGAGTTAACTATAGATATTTTACCTACTACTGTATATAGTTTTTTTTTTTTAGTTTGTATATTCTCCCCTAATTGGTGTCCCCAAATTAGTAAGGGATTTGTTCCCTAGCTAGACGGTTTTTTGACACTTTAATAAAGTTTCTATCTATCTATCTATCCATCAGGTCAGAAAACTCCATCAGAAAAGTGTTAATGGGAACCCTGCGGTGGTCATCACAATTCTGTGGACGGTAGACGATCACAAGCCGTATCTTGCGGGAAGTCGACGTTTGGACCAACAACTCGCAAAATTCAAGCGACTCTTGAGTTCCATCTCGAGTCGTGCTAACACGAAGTGAATCCTTGTACAGTAGTCCAATGCCTCCACCTGTCCGTTCTTGTCGTGGAAAGTCAAGAAACTTGTAACCAGGAGGACACAGTTCTATTCTTAGCGCATCATCATGGGGCTGGAGCCACGTCTCGGTAATGACAACCAAGTCATATCTACGTTCACAGACGTAATCTACAAAATCGGCTGTCTTGTTGCGCACCGACCGGGCATTCATGTGACAAAATGACAAAAAGACCCCATTTACGTAGTTGGCAGACAAACAATGCACTTTAGTAAAGTTTGAAACATTCCTAGTTGTTGATTTAGACAATGAAGAACGTGATTGAGGCGCCCGTAAAGTTCCATTATTTTGATGGCGTGATTTCACAATTGTTGATATACCGCATCCCTCAGGACCAGGATTAAGTTTGAAGACCAGATCGCCAATTAGCACTTGAGGGGGGTAGGTGGGCATTTGACCAGATATTGATATTGATCCAAATTTTTTAGGGCCTGTTTATATGGAGGTGGGGGACCTCAGGTAGGTAAGGTAACTCGCCTGGCCGTGGTCGAAAAATATAGCGCGTTTACATGCAATCTTATAACCCCGGGGTGCTGGGGTGAGGTTTCTTGAGGTTGTTGTTGCGCTTGCAGTTAAGGAGTTTGAGCAGAGGCGTCCCAAGCTCACATCTTGAAAAAGACGAAAGATTAATTCTCAGACACATATGTATTTATTCATGAGAGCGTCACGCGTTGTGTTGCGCGGTGTTTGATTTCGCGAGGAACCGTAGATTTTAACACGTTATACGGAATAGTTTGGGAAACCAGGTATGGTCGATTTAAAACGCTAAAACGCTAAATATTCCGTTGCGGTTTCTGATTTTTGCCATGAGACGCCTAAGAAATGTACAAAGTTTTAAAAAATACATGTTTCGCTTTTGAGCTTTTTGCCATGAACGCGACCCCGGCTAGGCGGGTTACCCCACCTTAACACTTTTACATAGCAAATTGTCACCCCGGCTGACAGGATTACCCTACCTGGCAGACCGGGCAACCCGCCTAGGCGGGTCACCCCACCTATCATGTAAACGTGATCAAAATAAAATAAGAATTTATATGGACAGGCGGGGTATCCCACCTAGGCGGGTTACCTCACCTACCTGGGGTCCCCCACCTCCATGTAAACAGGCCCTGAGAGGCCACGAGTCTCCTTGAACATCTGTAGGTACATATGAGTCTGAACTAAAGTAAAAATCGCGGTTGACTGCGATTCTATTATCCATCCGCTGTCTTGCTTCACCCAGGGGAATAAAGGGTACCGGTTGACTGTCAGGGAAGACTGAAAAAACGCTGAGAAGAAGAAAGAGAGGTAAGAGTAACCTGCGATGGACTAGAATCTCGTCTTGAGTATTAATACTCATGGTCGCATCATGCATCTCAACTCTGAAAAAAAAAGATTCTCGAGTGCGAGCCTTCCGGTATCTTTAGGCCAAATGGGTCATCGTCTGCTTACAACACCTCTTTCTCAATAATTAAAATATAAACTTCTTTTTCCTCTTATCCAAAATTGAAGCTGACAAACCCTCAAAGGACTTAACGATAAATAGAACAAAAACTACCTATTCATTCAAGCTGTGCAAGCACCTGAGTTTCAAACACAATGTTCAGACTGAACTAATCCTGAATGAACCTGGATGAAACGTTTCCAGCACTGGGCGAAAATCGCCAACCACCCAAACCTGCCTTTAGTCCGTTATGTTTTGTTTTTGTTTCTGATATTGCTAGACTGTGTAACAAGCTCTCTAGGGGTACCTCTGTATCCCTCGCCCTTTCTTGTCCCGATACCTAGAACGGCATTTATTTCAAAAGCTACGTGCCTTACACGTGTCTCAAAAAGCTACATGCCTAACACAAGTTATCTCGAACCAGATTTCTACAGGTTGTGGTCATTTTAGTATATTTGATGAGTAAATTACATTGGCGGATCCAGACCTTGAGTTTTTTGTCGCTTGCCCTGCCGGCTTTTCTTCCTTCTGCCATTCTATTTTTTTTAACTCAAAATAGGGAGGGGGGCCCGGGCCCCTCCCCTATATCCACCACTGAATTATCGAAACATCCCGGCAAAAGAAGATTTGCCGCTAGGGGGAAGAACCTTAAGTTATTAGTTCACATCAACATCAGATTCCTTGGCGAGATTATTGGGATCCAGATTAATCGCTTTCCCTCTGGATGATCAAAAGTCACATGAGGAATTATTTAATTTAGCGAATCGCCATCATGTCGTCATTATCTTGCATGGACCAGTGAAGGTAGAAATAACCCTGTTTCAACATAATCATCAAGAATCTACAAAGAAAAATTATGTTGAGTGAACACTCAAATAGAACTGACACGCAGCAATGGGTTAAAGGTCACATGTTATCGAAAGAAATCGGGGCTTAATTGTCCCTGAACGCCTGGATATTGGTTTTATAAATCAAGTGTCTCCGAAAAACCGCTGTACATAATTGCTAACGCTTGATTGTTTTCAGTTAGCATTTCTCTGTGTATCTTTTTGCGGTAAGCATTCTCGTCTAGATAGCATTTGCTCGGGGTTAGCGTTTCTCGATACATTTGTTGATGGTATGGTAGTATTCGTTCACTGGATAACGCGCTAATCTGAGGTAACACGATTCACCATTACCGCGGTACCACATAATTCACACACAATTCACACATAATTGACATTTAATTGACAAACCTCAGCCAAACCTCCCTCAAGGACTGACATTTAGCGATAGAACTGTACACCATGATTTTCTCCGGATTGGCGCAATTTCTTCACCCCTTCAAGTACACTCGCCAGATGTCAACCTCAGAGAGAGAGAATTATGTACATTATGAACATGACGCTAAAAAACAGAGAACAAATGACTAGCATAAAATAAATTTTCTAACTCTTACCTCCCTAAGCAAATCCGCTGTAAGTCCGGGATAATTGTAGCTAAACCCGATTCTTCAATCTTTGGTCCATTAACGAACAAGTGACTATCATAAAGAACTTCCTATTGAACGAAATGAGGCAAACCAGAGCTGAAAGTCCTTTGAGGGTCTACAATCACAGTAGCACTATAAATGCAGGGAAGGGCGTGGCAGTTATGAAAGGTCTGTTAGTAATGAACTTTTAATGCAACCTAGATCGTATACTGAGACCTACAGAGACAGAGCATTCGCTGTTCAGGCACCAAGAGAATGGAACTTAATACCCTATAAAATTCGAAAGTCTAACACCACCTCAATTTTTAAAAGAGCACTTAATACGTTCCTGTTTAGTAAATATTAATTTTTATAGATTTATATATATTGCTTTAGATTTAATTTTCTTTTTCAATCATTGTGAATTTTAGCTATGTTTAAGCATCATATAATAAGATATGGCTGGCTTTAGTTTCGTTTTTCTTTTTTAATCCGTATGAATTTTAGCTATGTTTACCCTTTTGAGGGTAAAGATGTGTTAAACTGGTTAAAGTTTAGCCTTTAACTTCCGGAAGAAATTAACATGTAATCTTTTTTTCCATAATATCCTTAATTATTCAGCAAACAGGTAATGAGAATACTCAAACTTGCTACTAGCTGTCAAGAACATTTGTAGCCACTAAAAAGGAGAATTAACAATCATATTTTGGGGGTTAAAGGTCTTACAGGTGTCACTCTTGTTGGCTAAGTTGAACACATCACCACTGCTGCCATGGCTGATCAGATGCCATAGTGCTCGACAAACATCAATGACATGAACAGTACTCATCTTCAGGTCCTTAGTCCAAAGCAGGTGGAAGAAATGTATTATCAAAGTTGATTTCATTAGAATCAAAAGGCAAGCAACAATTGTACATTAAAATAGTTAATTGTATGGTAAGAGGATCTTTCGACAAGAGTTGACGTCAAAAAAGATTAAAGGGGGGAAATTTCTCAAGGAACTGTGTGTATACTATCAACTGAGCTGATAACGTAAATTGACCACCGTGAAGAGTTTAAAAGCTGGCGTTTCGAGTGTTAGCCCTTTGTCAGAGCGATAAATTTCCCTGTTACTCTAATTACTCCTCTCACCAAAAAGATGTGAGTTTGATTTAGTGCATCACTTTTTAAAGGCATTCAGAAAGTGTTACAGACCAAAACAGCCTGCAAGTACTTAGTACTAATAGTCTGTTAGAAGTCGGATATCAATTTACATTGGCCTATATCCTAAAATGTTTCTTAAGATAGTCCATCAGAAAGGTGCTAACTTTGATGTCCTTGAGTGTTTAATATGCTCTGTAAATGGTCGGTAGCACATACAACGTGGGTTCTTAATTGTAATACTTCTTAGAAGTGACTGTCTGTGTTTGATAGATGTCTTCATTGACAGTCAACTGTGCTATTTTTAATTACTCACTCAGTCCTTGCCTGTCAGCTTTTCCATAAATAATTGCTGGTCTAACAATGATAAAGTTTAATCTAAAAAGACAAAAAATATATCATTTATACCATCAACACCTTAAATTTTTCCTGTGGTTTTCTCTTTGTGTTCTGTGTTTCAAACTGGTCACCAGCCATAAGTATAAAATAAAACACAGGGAAACTAAAAGTACATGTAATGAAAGGGGACTGAGGGAATAAATTGAACCACAAAAATCATATTCAAGGCTAATGTCAATTTTCCATCAATTATTTCATACCCACCAAGTTTAGCTATTTCTTGTTCCACCATCAGCTTGTATTTTGCAATACATGTCCATGGTGATTCTTGCTGTCTGCGTTACTTATGCCCTGTTACTAGAACAGAACATAAGTGAATGAATGGAAGAATGGAGTTCGATCAAGTCAATACTGGGGCTGATCATGGAGATCTGACTATTATTCTTATGATAAGTAGGAGAACGACAACAAGTTGAGAGACCAAGAAGAGGACCATTAAGAGCTGCTAACATCAATATTTCAAAAGAAATGTTTTCACAAGCAATGCAAATTAAACAAAACCATCGTAGTTCATTTTGAAATTAAACCCTAAGGGTTCCTTTTCATATAAGGGCAAAGTAAATAAGGATAATTAAATAGACCCCAAGAGGAAAGCTAACCTGGGCAACAAAGTTCCTTTTCAGACAAATAAATTTCAGAAATTGCTAGCCTGGTGGCTTGTTACACAGTTGAGCAGGTGTCCAGCCCTGTTCATTGTATGCTACTAACACAAAATACGTGTGTATTCACAAAATACCAATGTAATAAGCCAAACAAAGTAGCTTTTCAAAGCAAGGTAGGAGGAAAATTCAAATTATTAGTTTACCAAAATACCAAGAGTTTATGGACACAGCAAGAGATTGCATGATTGTGATAACTGCTGGTAGCAACCAGGAAGATATTGAGGGCACCAACATTAACCCCTCTTCATGAAACCCTTTCACTCCCAAGAACTTACTTATGATTCTCCTCACAGTCTCCAAAATGTCTGACATGAAATGACAAAATGATTTATTAAACTTTTATCACCAGTGCATCAAGTATGTACAAGCTGACTTTGATAAAATATACTAAAATACCAGGCATATTGGCCAAATTTAAAACCTAACATGAGAAAATTAAAAAAAAAAGTTTAGACTACAGAACTTAAATCTATAAAATGCTACACTGTACAGGCCTACTCTCAACTCAATTATGTTATCAGAATATAAACAAAATGATTGCTGTTCCCTTCTCTTGGTAGTAAAAAATGCTGGCAACAATTTCAACTGTGCCCATCTTGACTTGCTGAATTCTTATCTAACCTGCATCCAATACAGTAGCAACTTTCTAAACAAAGAGAACATTCTTCTAATCTGCATCTTAGGAACAGTAGCAACTTTCTAAACAAAGAGAACAGTCTCTTCTGAAAAGCAACTCTAGATCCTAAATAAATGTGTTATTTTTGTATAGGTCGTGGAAGAAGCTTCCAATTGGTCTCCTCGATATAACCTTTGTAAAATGACTAACATAAAGTGAAACTGGTCTGACAGGCTAAAAGAATGCTAAGAAATTTAATTGCTACAGTAAGTTCTTCTGATTTTTTACCAAAAAGCAACTCCGTTGTACAGTCACGTATCACATACGCTAATAAACAAAGTCCTCTTTGCTAAATCATAGACAATGGAGGGAATAATATCCATCTGCCACGTGGTACTTAACTGGTAACAAACTGGAATCATTATTGATAAAAAAAAATATTTTGAATTAATTTTCCTTTGCAAAAAGATAAAATGGGGCTCTAATTCTTTAGTTTATGACTGCACACTGAGTTAGATGCCAATTATGCCCTGAAACTTACAACGACTATAATCTAGTAAAAAGGAAATATCAAAACTAACATAATAAACTATGATGACAGTTTACACAAATAAGGAAGCCTTGTCATGAGTCTCTGCTGTTTGTTCTGTGAACATGGCCTGTCCAGCAGAAGTACCCTGGGGGTAAGCACCCAGAGGGTAAGCACCCTGGCAGTAAGCCATTGGAGCCCCTCCGCTAACCTGCATGGATGAATGAGAGACCACCATGCCAGTGGGAGCCATTGTTGGCTGAGCAATAACCATCATGGGGGGATCCTAAAAGAAACAAAGATTTGCTCAGTTAGTTAGTTTTGTTAGCTGTTTTCAACATTACTGGCCAGCATAAATAACTTATATACAGAATGTCTGTCATACAAGAACATGTTGTCAATAACTCAGTGAGGTATTGTAGAAATATGCTACAAAATACAAAGATATGTGGTTCATATATGTGGTTTGCTTGAGATGGGTTCAGATTCTTTCTTGTCAACCACTCCTCAAAAACTGAACATCTTTCTTTGCAGTTTTTTTTTTTCAACAATAAAGAAAATTGTGCTATTAAGATTTATAAAGTTCATGTATCATTTAGTGCTTTCAATCCTACAAATCTCTAATTTAATGCCTCTCTACTTACAGGTGGGGCATAGCAAATTGTAATACAGCCCAAAATTGATCCAGTCACAGCCAAAGCAAAGGAGATGTAGCAGACAAACATGACCACAATAATCACAGTTCTGATGCTCTTCAGGTAGGAGCAGTCATCCACTGCAGTAAAGAATGTCAATTTAGAGATAATGCTTTTAACAGTGATCAGAGGGGTAGTTCATTGAGCTTTACAGAGATGAAGTAAGCTTAAGTAATAAAAACTTAGTTAGTTGCTAATATTTTCATCATTGAACCACCCTTGTCATTATTAGCATCACAATTCTCCTGTAATTTTGTGGAAAAGAGAGGCTAATAAAGGATTACATGTAAACAGTATTGTTGTCTTCCTTTTGCAGTCTGTGTTGGCTAGAAACTAAATTTTGACATCATGCAACTTACTGAAATCGGTTCCTCATCCCCATTTACAAATTCACATAACTTAAGAGGAATAATTACAAAAAACATTGTGCAACAATGTGTAGCCATGGGGAAGTTTTGCAGGACTCCAAAAAATCCAGAGAGCAAGAAAGAAAAGTGATATCAAAGTAGAGAAAGATGCAAATTGCAACTTTATATGCCTTAAATTTTGCTACCAAGTGTCTTCCTCTCAATTGTAACAAACAAGTTGATTTTACAGAATGTTGATCTTGTGATCCTATAAATCTCAGCAGTTGATCCTGCTAAGAGGTTTTTGAAGAGAAGTGTCTTTAGTTTGAGCAAAATTTTAATAAAACAAATCACAAAATCCAGATAAAAAACTATAATTGTAATTTTGAGAATGATCAACAGTGCAATCTTCATTATATATAGACAGATCACAATGCAATTTAACTAATTGCCATTTTGAGACACCAATAGTGCAAATTATCATCTATATTATAATACTACTGACATTAACAAAGCACCTCTGATCATATCTTAGAACAGGATGCAGAATTTCAGAAAAGCTAGATTTTGTTTTGAATTACTAGTGTTCAAAGATAGAAAAAAGGAAAATTAAACCATTACAAAATAAACTTAATTAAATGAATGAAGAGCCACCACCACCTTACTCTGAAGCAGTTGGAGTTATTTGAATAATCGAGTGCTGTTTACGTGGACATTTCCACTATAATCATTATGTACATTTGACATTTAGCTTAAAGGTACAGTTTTTATTAGAGAAAATTATTACGCGAGTGCTGTTTACATGGACATTTCTGCTATAATCATTATGTACATTTGACATTTAGCTTAAAGGTACAGTTTTTAGTAGAGAAAGATATTACGCAAGTTAAGAGTAAGAAAGAACAATGGAGAAGACATATCTTAGGACTCAAGATAGACTTAAATAACTAACATCAACATGACATCAATTTTCATCAATCCATGAACAGTTTTGCCATTTTTGTAAACCTTGAGCTCCCTTTAGATCTTACTTTAGCTGCTGGCATGATTGATATTTCCCATATTGCTTTATTTCTATTTATATCTTTTAAAAAAATACCTCCATAACTGATGCCATCAAGACAATAGCAAGACCCTCCCAAAGTGATACAGTCCGAAAGGTCAACTGCAATATCCCAGTAGGACAGAGCTAAAGTGACAGTAATGGATGCTGCCGCAGAAATGATTGCAGTAATAATGCTGAAGACCAAAAATGTAACCATCTGGAATAAATTACAAAATACAATTTAAATCAATAGCATTTTTTTGACTCTCAAAATAATCATTTATCAAAACATTTTCTCCATACCATTAAGGCTATACACAAAACTGTCCCACAATTTGCAGGAAAATGTTCTTGAATGTGGCTATCTGAGGGTATTAGATAATCATCAGAGTCCAGAGAATTCTGTGTCTTGAGTTGCATAACTTTCCCAAATTCCCTTTCCTCCCTCCTCTCATGTTTAGTTCATTGAGACTATAAAAGTATAGAAGTCTTCAAGATGAAAAATGTAAGGAAATATCATAATTTTCTGACAATTTTCAGAGTCACCAGATGACCATAGAGTTTCATCCTTTTCTTTCGGAATAACCATAAAAAAAGCTTCACAAAAACAAAATATTTGCAAAGAATAACACTTACACAACAATACTTCTTGGTAACACCTCCAGCAAAGCCAAAAATTCCACAGATAAAGAACTATAATATTAAAAGTCACTTTTAATACAGCAAAAGTAAAAGAGGTTATGAGCATATCAATGTTCTTAAACACTCAGGAGGAGAAATTTTGGAACATCATTTTGAGTATAGTCTCTCCTGTGTCTTTGCACAATACTGGTGGTTTTTAACCTTTAAACAATAGTGCTGTTTTGCTTGTGTTTTTTTAATTGTAAAATAATGTCGACAGTGTCAAGAATTCCTGATTAAAAAAATTGAAATTTAAGGGATGGGAATGAAACAGTATCAAGAAAAACCTGAGGGTGTTATCTATGATCTGCACATCCTGTCACCCTTAACAATGAGTCTTGAAGTCTCCTTATCAGAGTGTTTGTTTTAATCTCCATTTCTTGCATTTCTTGAAAACTTGTCAAATATCTGGGTTATATATATAAATGTTTACTTTCATTTGCAATGAAGAAGTTTTTTAAATCACAGAAGTAAATGATAAAAAGAGTACTTCAAGCTTCCATTTTTCACCACACTCAACTCCTAGTGTACACATAATAAAACTTGAAACAGCAAAATGAAATGAAACAAGAAAAACAAACAAAACCACTGAAAGGACCAAAATGAAATAATCAAAATGAAACAAACCTAACAAAAAAAAATGGCCAAAACATCACACGAGTCAATAATCATAAAATAATAGTAATAATGATGATAAAATGACTGCCCAGGGGAGTCTGGTGTCAGCTGTCATATTTGTCTCATCACAATTTAGGTCTACTCCTGGTCTAGCTTGTGAGGAAATTCAATTATCTCTCAATTGCCATCAACTTGGTAAAAGGCATCTATAAAACCTTAATTAAAAAAAAGAAAATTAGGAAATAAATTATGGACATAAACGTTGTTGATGAATACAAAAATCTGTTTCTTCCTATCCTTTCCTTGTATGCTTTGGCATTCCATATGGCTGGCAGTCTGTCTTGGAAACGGCATGTAATTATCAAATTATGGCTTCAACTGCTTGCATGATGGCAAAAAAAATTTTTTTGCGAGACAGCCTTAATATTTAAAGCCTTAAATGCAAGAGAATATCTGAAGTGAAATCTTCATATTCTGCAACATTTTATCCTCTACTCATCTCAATTGTGGTAGTGGTTTTGTTTTGGTCATGACAGTCATTTCATTTTAGCCTTTACTGTTGTTTTTTTTGCTCATTTTCCTTTTTCATTCAGTTGTTTTGTTTTGCTGTTTCAGGTTTTAGTATATACCCTAATGTTGGGTGTGGAAATTAAAAAGCCATTTTAATGTATAACAGAAATTAAGTGTAACAAAGAACAACAGATCTTAACACCACTTTTTGCAGAGTTAGACTCATATTCTGTTCTCATATCCTCCTTCTACCACCACAATCACCTGTTGGTGTGGTAGGAAGGGGATTCAAGTGACATACATTTGGCTGATGATCTTTGTTTGCTTTCATGTCATTCATAAATTATTTAAAATAAAAGATAAGCAAAGTCTGAATTAATTTAGGGTGAAACGTATTCAAACTGTGTATTGTAATTTTAAATAAAACGGTTTTCTCCAGATTTTGAATATGCACGGCAACTCTGGTAGTATATAGTCTAAGGATCATGAATAAATGTAAAATGGTTTCCATGTTTACATAGCCTGATGTAAACACGCGGGAGGTTGGGAGAACACTCGATAAGCTGGAAACCACGACGCGAAGCATCAGGCTATGTAAACACGGAAACCATTTTATATTTCTTTTATAAAATAACTAATGAAAGAGGAACGAAAACCGTGTTTACATACGCTCATGTAAAATGGTTTTATGGCCAATCAGAGCGCGCGTACTATTTGAATTATTTTATAATTGTGTGCATTGCACATTTACTCAGATCACGAAACGTTTCTTGGAGACTTAACTTGCATGTCCAATCCGCATGAAACGTCATCCTCTTTCTGACATTTATAATACGTATAAAAAAAGATCTAGCTATTTAGATATCAATTGAAGATTTAATAATATTTAACACTGGCGACGAGGATGAGATCTACCAACTAGAGGACAATGGCGGCAGTAAACATCGAAAGAAAAGGCGCACCTCCACTCGATTGCAAAGGTATATTCAACGGCATTAGCAACACGGTGGAAATAATGGCTTTGGTCGTTTCAACCTTTTTTTGGTAACCGAAGGAGTGGCAAATGAATGATTGCCTATTTCCCCGGAGACATGATATCTCTAGGCTGCGTTTTCTGTCGTAATCACTCGACGCTCCAAAATGGCTTGCCAATGAAGCTTCTTGCGTGAGAAACTTAAAAACTTAATCCCTAAGGGTCGCTTCGCAGAGCGTGTACTCAAATGTCACCCGGAAAAAAATTTTTAATTGCAGGTTTACTAAAGGTTTCGAGGAAATAAATTGATTTACAGGTTTAACTGACATTTAAAACCCTTTCCAGAGCAGAAATCAATTTCGAAAACCCTTAATCTACACCACAGATTTGCAAGTAAACGGAACGAAATCTTTCAACACTCACCGGAAACCCACTCCAATATGGAGTTATGGATGTTTTGACGCCGTGGCCATAACTCAAAAGAACGAAAGAAGTAATGATCAAAATAACGGAAAACAACGACTGCACAGTACCGATAGTAATGGCAGCGATAGCATGGCCACTCGTCATTCCCATCTTAACAGCTGATTCTCGCTTCTTCCCTTCCTCGAGACTACCGCTTGCTAAAGACGAAGTTGGAAATGACTATTTTCTCCAAGAACACGTGATTACACGGAAAATGGATGGGATGGTCGAATGGGAGAAATGAAAAACCGCAATAGACAGACAAAAAATTTCAAGAGACCACAAGTCTCCTTGAAAGTCTGTAAGTACATATGAGTTTGAACTGGAGTAAGAATCGCGGTTGACTGCGATTCTATTATCCTTTCGCTGTCTTGCTCCACCCAGGGGAATAAAGGGTACCGGTGAACTGTCGGGGAAGACTGAAAAAACGCTGAGAAGAAGAAAGAGAGGTAAGAGTAACCTGCGATGGACTAGAATATGGTCTTGAGTCTTAATACTCATAATCGCATCCAGCATCTCAACCCTAAAAAAAGGATTCTGGAGTGCGGGCCTTCCGGCTTCTTTGAAGCCAAAATGGTTCATCGTCCGCTTAAAACACCTCTTTCTTAATCATTAAAATATAAACTTCTTTTTCCTCTTATCCAAAATTAGAGCTGACAAATCTTCAAAGGACTTAACGATAGATAGAACAAAAACTATATATTCATTCAAGCTGTGCAAACACCTGAGTTTCAAACACAATGTTCAGATTTAACTGATCCTGAAGGCGCCTGAATGAAACGTTTCCAGCACTGAGCGAAAATCGCCAACCACCCGAACCTGCCTTTAGTCCGTTTTGTTTCGTTTTTGTTTCTGATACCGCTAGAATGAATAACAAGCTCTCTCGGGGTACCTGTCTCCCTCGCCCTATCTTGTCCCAATATCTAAAACAACGGCGTTTATTTCAAGCAACATTCAAAAGCTACATGCCTTACTCGTGTCTCCTGACAAAACGAAAACAAAAAACACTATAACACAAGTTATCTCGAACCAGGTTTCCACAGGTTGTGGTCATTATATTTTGTTTGACGAGTCAATTACATTGGCGGATCGAGACCTTGAGTTTTTTGTCGCTTGCCCTGCCGGCTGTTCTTCCTTCTGCGATTCTAATTTTTTTCTCCTCAAAATAAGGAGGGGGGCCCGGGTCCCCCGCGCCCCTCCCATAGATCCGCCACTGAATTATCGAAACATCCCGGCAAAAGAAGATTTGCCGCCAGGGAAGGAACCTTTAGTTATTAGTTGACATTACAATCAGATTCCCTGGCGAGATTATTGGGATTCAAACTAATCATTTCTTTTCTCGGTTTCCCTCTAGATGATCAGAAGTCACATGAGGAATTATTTAATTTAGCGAATCGCCATCATGTCGTCATCATCTTGCATGGACCAACGAAGGTGGAAATAACCCTGTTTCAACATAATCTTCAAGAACCTATGAAGAAAAATTATTTTGAATGAACACTCAAACAGAAATGACACGCAGCAATGGGTTTAAGGTCACATGTTATCGAAAGAAATCGGGGCTTGGTTGTCCTTGAACGCCTGGATATTGGCTTTACAAATCAAGAGTCTTCGAAAAACCGCTGTACATAATAACGCTGGATTGTTTTCAGTTAGCATTTCTCTGTGCATCTTTTTGTCGTAAGCATTCTCGTCTAGATTGTATTTGCTTGCGGTTAGCATTTCTCGATACATTTGTTCACTGAAGGGTAGCATTCTTTCACTGGATAACGCGTTTCTGAGGTAACACGATTCACCATTACCGCGGTACCAGTCGCACATAATTGACATTTAATTGACAAACCTCGGCGAAATCTCCCTCAAGAACTGACATTTCGCGATAGAACTGTACACTATGATTTTCTTCGGATTGGCGCAATTTCTACACCACTTCAATTACACTCGCCAGATGACAACCTCAGAGAGTGAGACCTACGTACACGACGCTCAGAAACAGAGAACAAATGACTGGAAAAAAACAAATTTTCTAAATCTTACCTCCTTAAGCAATTCCGGTGTAAGTTCGGGATAATTGTAGCTAAAACCCGATTCTTCAATCTTTGATCCATTGACGAACAAGTGATTATCATAAAGAAGTTCCTATTGAACGAAATGAGGCAAACCAGAGCTAAAATTCGTCATCTTCAATCACAGTAGCACTATAAGTGCAGGGGAGGGCGTGGTGGTTATGAACAAGGAGCTCGCTTCCCAAAATTATCCAACGGTGGTTACTCGTCCCAAAAGCCGGGCTTTTTTTAAGTTTGTCGTGTTTACATTCTAGCGTGAGACATAAAGGGTCAGTTATTTACACGATGTATAACCCAAACCACAGTTTTACCTAATTAATGGGCTTCCTGCTTTCCCTCTAAAAGGGTTGATTTAAGTACATAAATGTCCCTTCATTGTTAGCTTTCGGCCCTCTTGACACTGTTCACAATAATAAACGTTCAGATAAATGGTACAGCTAAATTGAGGATTGTCTGGGACGCAGTTTTGTTAAACAACGGCTAAACTTTGTTTAAATAACCGGCCAGAAGGATTTTGAAATTAAAACAATAACAAAAATCAGGAAACCAAACAGACTATCTGGTTTTGAGCTTTGGCCCGCGGTTGGCCCGCGGTGTTACTCTTTAAGGTGTAGACGCAGATTTTAAATATGGCCTAGAGCTGGTTAAGCTAACAGGGCTTTCAAGGATTGGGAACTCACCTGATCCAAATAAGGACTAAGGGGGGTACTGTGGATACCATCTTTCTCACAAGCTGCGGACCAAGGCTCCAAGTGTTTTTCGTTAGAATCATCAACAGTGCCTGCCATGTTCAGCTAAACCGTTAGGAAAAAAAAGTAAACACTGTTATTTCAAACTGCTTTTTTTTTTTTCTTTAAAATCATGGAAAGTAACGTGGGCATTCTTTCAGCTCATAATCCTTCTCTAATTATACGTGACAAACGAACAGGGGGTGAAAGCAAGGAGAGCGATCTAATCCACTAACCGGTGTCCTAACTGATTTGGACCCCATGGTCCAAATCTGCGGACGGAAATGAACCCCCGCGTGTCTTTATCCGCAAGCGGACTTGGACCGGGGGGACTAAATCCTCTGTGACACCGGCATACCCATCAGTTTAATTGTTCTCAGTCACGCACTTCAGCAACGTACTAATTTACCCCTGATCCCTTGGAAGTGCAGTGGGCTACGCTTTAAATCTCAGCCACTTAGGGTAAAGGACAATCTTTCTGGTCGTATTTTTCAGCCATTGGATGGAAAAGGCAAACAAACCCGATATTGGCCAACGCTTTTAATTAGGTCGGCTTCGTCATCTTAGAAAGTATGGATACAATGACAAAGGGGGGCGGCAATGGCTCAAAATATAAAGTGAAAATGACTTGTTTTCTATTGGTGAAATATTTAGTCTGGGCATTGTTCTCCTCACTCCTTTGCCCTGTGACTAGTTTAAGAAACTCGCGCCTCTCTACCAATCACGAACCCAATTTAAGCCGGTCGCTGTTTTGGACTCTTTCCAGCCCTTTCCCCACAGACAGTTTCCTCGAGATAGCACTGCTTTCTCGTTTACTCCTTTTGATATTTTATTTCCTCCCTATTTATACAATACTGTCACATGCGTACAATGTCAAGTTGCCATAGCTTACCCGTGCCATATTGGATAAAACCGTTCCAAAATAGTCGTGTTCAATTCCAAATATCTCACAAACAATGTCTGTGATACTTCCCTGGGCTGAGGAAAAAAAAATGGACATTAAGTCATGATGCATGAACTTCAGTAACGTCTTGTCTCAAAAATCACATGCAATATTTATCCCATTCCACCGTGAGGTCATGTGCAATTGGTTTCTTGCGAGCGTTCTAAAGATCTTAAGAGGGTGCAACTTTCCCGCTATTATTCTTCTCCTGAAACAAATGATCAGTTTTGAAAATATATTATTCTTTTACAGTGTAAGGAGTTCGAGAAGGATGTTACACCCTTGTCTAGATTTAACAGAAGTGATCAAGTTTCCCTAGTAAATTACTCATCGCTCATTTTTTGACAATTTTTTCTGGAGTTAGCACTTATGCAAAAAGAAAAGGCAATATTTTATTTGACTATGGAAACTTCTGAGGGTAAAGATGTGTGAAACTGGTTAACCCTTTAACTCCCAAAAGTGATTAACAAGGTACTTCTCACTATAATATCTAAACATTATCCAGCAAACAGGTTATGAGAATATTCAAACTTACCAGAAGGGAGAATTAACAATCAGATTTTGGGAGTTAAAGAGTTTAAGTTTAGCCTTTAACTTCCACAAGAGATTAACATGTAATCTTTTCCCATAATATCCATACATTATTCAGCAACAGGTAATGAGAATACTCAAACTTTAAATTCTTGCAACTAGCTTTCAAGAAAATTTGTAGCCACTGAAAAGGAGAATTAACAATCATATTTTGGGGGTTAACGGTCTTACAGGTGTCACTCTTGTCGGCTAAGTTGAACACATCACCACTGCTGCCATGGCTGGTCAGATGCCATAGTGCTCGACAAACATCAATGACATGAACAGTGCTCATCTTCAGGTCCTTAGTCCAAAGCAGCTGGAGGAAAAAAAGTATTATTAAAGTTGATTTCATTAGAATCGAAAGGCAGGCAACAATAGTTGATAAAAACAGTCAGTAGTATGGTGAGATGATCTTTTGACAAGAGTTGACCTCAAAAAAGATCAAAGGGGTAACTTTCTACAGAAACTGTGGTGCTGCATTGGGTGGGAGAGTATAACAGGGTAACCAAGTATTATCAACTGAGTTGATAGCATAAATTGACCACTGTAAAGAGTTAAAAAGCTGACGTTTCGAGCGTTAGCCCTTCATCAGAGCTAGTGCTTGAAATGTCAGCTTTTAAACTCTTTACAGTGGCCAGTTTGCGTTATCAACTCAGCTGATAATACTAATTACCCTAAAAAAGACTGACTTGTTGGTGACAGCGACCGAAATTTTAACAATTGAAAATAAGCAGAAGTCTTTATCTTCATTTTCATTTACCAGATGTCTCTTTGGCAGTCATTGTTTGCTCTCCTAAGACAATGGGCTCTTTCACCTGAAAACTATTAGATATAGAGCTACCCACTGCTGTCTCAACTCTTCCCATGACCATAAGAAACATAGGTTTGCTTTCCAATCAATTACTTGTTACTGAGCTCATGGCATGAACAATACCAAACAAAAGCTGCAAAGGAGACTTGATCTTCACTCTGATGACGATAAGTCTTTCGCAGATTTCAAAACATCATCAGTCACTGTCCCTGACAACATTACCTTTCAGAAGTACCTTAGTTATCTTTAAACCACACCCTTAAAATGAACAAACATCATAATTCATTGTCCTTAAAAAAAGTCAATTTCAAGTCTGCAGTTACCTTCATTTTCTCCTCCATTTGCTTATAAACAGCACCAATAATTAACCTTGGCACTGCAAATTGATGAATGTCTAAGTTATAATGGTGCACAGTTACTATTATCTCCAACAGGGACCACTACATCAATTTTCCCCTCTTCTTCCTATGACCCCTCTCACCAAAAATATGTGAGTTTTGAAAAACTGAGAAATAACAGAAAACTGAAAAATTTTATTTGTTTAGTGCATCACTTTTTAAAGGCATTCAGAAAGTGTTACAGACTGAAACAGCCTACAAGTACTTAGTACTAATGGCCTATTAGGATTCACATATCAATTTACATTGGCCTGTATCCTAAAATGTTTCATAAGATAGTCTATCAGAAAGGTACTAACTTTGATGTCCTTGAGTGTCTAATATGTTCTGTAAATGGTCTGTAGCACATACAACATGCAACATCCATGGCTTACATGGATTCTTAATATAATACTTCTTAGAAGTGACTGTCTGTGTTTGATAGATGTCTTCATTGACAGTCAACTGTGCTACTTTTAATTACTCACTCAGTCCTTGCCTGTCAGCTTTTCCATAAATAATTGCTGGTCTAACAACAATAAAGTTTAATCTAAAAAGACAAAAAATATATCATTTAATGCTATCAACAACTTAAATTTTTCCTGTGGTTTTTTTTTTCGTGTGTGTTCTCTGGTTCAAACTGGTCATCAGTCAAAAGTATATGGTATATCATAGGGAAACTAAAAGTACATGTTATGAAAGGGGACTGAGGGAATAAATTGAACTGTAAAGATCATATTTGAAGCTAGTCTCAATTTTCCATAAATCATACCCATCAAGTTTAGCTATTTCTTGTTCCACCATCAGCTTGTATTTTGCAATATGTGTCCATGGTGATTTCTTGCTGTCTTCGTTACTTATGCCCTGTTACAAGAACAGATTATAGGCAAATGAACAGAAGAATGGAGTTAATTCAAGCCAGTGCTGCCGCTGATCATGGAGATCTATCTGACTATTATTCTTATGATGAGTTAGAGAATGACAATAAATTGAGAGACCAAGAAGAGGACTGCTAAGAGTTGCTAACATCAATCTTTCCATGGAAATGTTTTGACTGAGCAATACAAATTAAACAAAACATTTGTTGTTCATTTTGCAATTGAACACTAAAGGGTTTTCCTTTTCATGTAAGGGCAAAGTAAATGATGATAAAATTGACCCCAAGAAGAAAACTGACTAGGCAACAAAGTTCCTTTTCAGGCAAATAAATTTTAGAAATTTCTAACCTGGTGGCTTGTAACACGGCCAACACTGTTTATTTTATGCTACTGCCACAAAGTACATGTGTATTCATAAAATACCAATGAGATAAGCCAACAAAGCAGTGCATCAAGGTAGGAGGAAAATTCAAATTATTAGTGTAGCAAAATACAAAGTGTTTATGAACACAGAAAGAGACTGCATGATTGTGATAACAGCTGGTAGCAGCCAGGAAGATATTGAGAGCACAAACATTAACCCCTCTTCCTGAAACCCTTTCACTCCCAATAAATTACTTATAATTCTCTTTACAGTCTTACATACATTTCCAATGATGTTAGTTCTGAGAGGTGTGTGGGATTGACTTGTGTCAATGTTGTAAGGAGAAAATCTGTCCTGGTCAGTCACAGGAGTGAAAGAGTTAGCCTATTTTCAAGGTTCTCACCTTATCGCAGGAATACACCTGAGCTGTGGAAATCTCAATGTATCTCTTCACATTACTTTCCCGTGCTTGCTTTGCACAATTTATGCTCAGTTTGAACACCCCATCTGCATAAACCTATCCAGGGTTAATTCAAAAGTCCTTTAATAAATTTCTCTTACAATGGGTAGCTGGTTCATTACTATCCAACAGGGAAAATGAGAGATACATGTATATGTACATGTACACTGTATGTAGACATGGAAAAAGTCCATCCAAAAAATACTTCTGAATCTAAAATATCCTGTTACCTTAACATACCCTTATCTAACGTAACACAACTGTAAACCAATTAAGGAGAACTTACATATAATATTTTCTGCCATTTATTTATAAATTAGATGAATGAAACAATATAATTTGAGTGTTACTCACCTCCTCAGACTGTCCATATCTGGTCTCTGCAGCACAGTTTATACAAATATCAAAATCACCTCCAGAGTCACGGAAAGCTGACTCTACACTAGCTGAGTAAAAATCAAGTAGATTGTAAAATGCAAAAAAAAAAACAGTGAGCTACAGATTTGCACCCATCAATTTTATTTATCAATGATTTCATGAAAAAGGTAAAAAATTGTAATTTATGAGTTTATATACAAGATTGCTTGCTATGGCAAAATATTAAATTACAAGATGAATTCATAAGTAACCAAACATTACACTTGTTTCCTTCATCAAGTCCTGTGATTGATCAAACTCAAAATCACTTTCCAAACCAATCAGATGAAATGGACTTGGAGTAACCAGAATTGGCACTTGGTAACCTGCATTTTTCTGTGTCTTGATGCACTTTACTATTTCATCTCATCATTTACTTGAGATACAAACTGTTCTTCAGATTGCCTGCTGTGATTTTGGCTGTGAAATTCAAAGGCCCTCGAACAAATGAAGCTTTTTGATGGAATAGGGTCTACTAATTCCTACTGACAGTTCATTCATGCTCAATTATTTAAGTCATGCTCTTGACCTCATGTATAATTTAGTACTGAATATATTAATTTGATACTTACCAGGATGAATGAGATTGGCACTCTTAAATTCCACACTGTCATGATTAAATGCTGCCTGTAAAGAAAATAAGTTTGCATATAGTATAAAGGAGTTATTAATAAACACTATGAGGATTCACAATGTAAGATGAGGTTACTAAATTCAAGACAAAAATCTATTTCAGTTATGGTAATTGTTACATAAGAAAAGCAAGATAACTCTTACTTTATGTCTTTCATTCAACCAAGCTGTTTGTGGTGGAACTTTATCAACAGCCCTAATCTTTAAGACAAATAACAACAAACTTGAAAATGTTACAATAGTAACAACAGTTAGCTGATGAATGAGGAAGGGTGTCTTTAAATCAATTTCAGCTGGATAAGAAATTAGGACTGCCCCAGTGTGCAAGTACCAGGTGATAAGCAGAAAAAAATTACAGTTGCCGATAATAGTGCAAACACAAGAAGCCATGCCTAACCCTGCAAAGCCTTTTCTTATAGCAGTAATCTATTAGAAAATTGTTCAAATTATTCAGAGTCTCAAATAGTACTTTGAAATAAGTGACTGAGGTGCAAATCTTCCACAAACAACATTATCATTCCTTTGTGGAGCACTGATCAATTGTAAATGGTTGAAAAAAAAGACTCAGATTCTTTTGTACACAAAGAATTGCCCAACTAACAAAGGTGAAGGAACTAACAATGTCTCTGGCAATTAGTGACATAAAAAATTTTACCATCTCTTTGAAAGAACAGATTTATATTGATACTGCCCTAGTGTTATATATTATCCAAGTTAAAATAAGAATGCTCCAAACAAGATTATTTGGTCCACATTAATTTTGTCATCACTAACAAAATAAAATAACAGCCTTTTTATAGTCTAACCTTTGAACACAGCTTGTGCTCAACAAGGTAGCATACAAGGTTGCGGCCAACAAATCCCAATCCTGAAAAAAAGAAGAAAAAAAAAAAGCATTACAATAACATCTAGTCTGAATAATAATAATAATAATAAGGTTAGGGTTAATTAAACCCTATAGTAAAGACTTAACTCTTTAACTCCCATGAGTGACCAAGACAGAATTTCTCCTCACAATATCGGTACAAAATCAACCAGATAAGTGATAAGAACAAAGAAAACTATCAATTTGGGGATAATTGATCCAATACTAAATTCTCAGAAGTAACATTATAAAAATTGTATAGATGACAGTAAGGAGAATTACAAATTTGATCTGGGAGTTAAAGGGTTAAAAGCTTATTTCTCCTGATTCTAATCCTAATTCTTTATAACTAACCAACAGGGGCTTAAAAGGGTTATGATTAAAATTATGAACTTTTTTTAGTTGAAATTTTATTTTCATGCAGGAAAGAGGTTATTCTTCAGAAAATTCTTAATTTCCTTTGCCCCTGGACCTAGTAAGTCTTATTCTCGTAATCATACAAAGGATACAAAGGAAAGAAGAATCTAGTAGATGCATTTGTTGTTGGTAAAATGTTTTGAAATGAAATTAATATCCAACTGCAACATAAATTTCATTCTTGGATATTGATGTAAAAAATCAGTTAGTTTTAATAGAACCCTCTCTGTCAAAAGAAAAGAAAACAGTTTGAGATTCCTGGGAGCTTAATTTAACCTAACAATATATGATCCAAACATATGCTTCAAGGAAAACAGCTAAGCTATTCAGAATCTACGTATGAATTACTCTCCCTTCCACTCTCATCTCCCCCTGATTGATTTTTTCCTTTTCTTCTTCTCATCCTTGTAGTTACTAATGTGAAACCAAGGTGAACAAAAACAGGCCTTTGGGTCTAAAGCTATCAAATGAACAGGCGTGTCATGCTTCGTTTTTCACCCCAACCCCAAGCATAATACAGAAACAATATCTATGTATAGCGATTAATTATATTCTTCCGGTATTGAATATTTGAACATGCACAGAGTGACTTCTATCATCCTCTACATCAATGCGGCGAAATTGTAAACTGTAGGAGCAATTTGAAGTAAAACAAATTTACTTTAGATAATCACAAAGCCTGCAAATTAATTTATAGAGAATTGAATTATAAGTACAGATTAATCATATCTTAATTTGTTTACCTTTGAATCGATTTTATCTTGAATAATTGCTTTAACGGGTTACCCAGGTGCAATATAATTAAGTACAATTAGTGATAAATTTATCGAGGGTTACCAATGCTGCTTCGGAGGAAAAAAGTAACATCACAATCGAGTCAAAGTAGTCAGTAACCCGTTAATAGCTGGAAAACACCTTATGCGATAGTACACTTGCATCTCACTGGACAGTAATCATCCATTTAAATCAGATATAACATGGTGCACTTACCGCCAAGTATCAAAACTTTTGGTTTTGATGCCATTATCTTTGGCATAAAATCTTCTCCAATGGGCCCGCTACAAGGGAGAATGGAAGATAGTGCTTTTAGGTTACACATTTCGAATGTGAATGCCAGAATAAATTTACCAGCGTCGCGAGTTGATCATGAAAAATAAGCTTAACAATCGCGAAAAGCACCAAGGGCAGTCTAGAGAAGTGCGAGGGAATGTTGAGAAGATAGGTGACCCTGTTATCTTGTCCTTACCCGCAGACCTTCGAGTTGTTCGCTATTTTCTATCATGCATGAAGGAGATACGAAACCAAAAGGTGTGCACAGACTCAATAAGAAATACTCGAGCGAAACTCTTATGTGACTCGAAGAAAAACAGATGGGGTTGTGAAGAAAACCGCTGACCACCAGCTTTTGTATGTGTCGGCGTATCAACATCTAGATCTTGGGATATAGATTTCCTATGAATTTTCGAAAACGCCTTCTTTCTGAAGTTTACTAGATATTTTCCGACGCATGATTTGATAAATTCTTTGCTTTTAAAGTGGCAGTTAAAAATCTTATTCAGATATTACAATCAAGCGAACTAGTGTTAAAAAGATTTCCTCATGTACTGCCCTAATGTGATTTCTTGACGATTGAAGTCGGGAATCTAAGAAATAATTGCTAAAGCAAGCTTGTTCGAAGCTACAACTAATATTTTGGAGGCTTTCTATGAACACTTTCTAACAAACAAGAGCAAGCAAGTGAAGTTCTGGCGGGAAGGGTTTCTATATACGGGAACTTCGCGTAAGCTCAATAATTTTTATTAGGGAGAAATTTATACTTGATCACAAAGCTTTTGACCTTGAATAAATATAAAATCTTCAGATACTTTCAATTGTGATATATTAGAATCAAAATATATTTTCAGGAATCACACTAAATGTAAATGGTTTTTATTCAGGGATGCTAAGGTAAATGAAATACGTTTCATCTATATGTCTTTGATCAGAAAAGTACTTTCCTTCTACTAGTAGATCACGTGGTCAAACAACAACGGCGTCCAAATGCAAAGGAAGTTCTAAACGATCGACGAGAACCAACCATGTGCTTCCGCTGCTTGTTTCCGGCCTTCTTGCAGCCTGAATATTTGTGATGGCTTAACTTTTTCAAGGATACTTTTTTCCAGGAGACAGACGATCACTTAAGGGATCAAATTGCGGAACACGTTCACCAGGGTAAGAAAGATTTGTCGCGATTTCCAGGGCTGCCGATCATAAGTTGTAAGGAAAATTCTCGCTTCCGTGTTGTTCTTTTCCTTCTGAGTGCTGGATGTTTGTATGGGTTACGAGCCATGTTTTGATTTACTTCTCCGCTTTAAACTGTGTAATTTCGAAAGCTAAGTAATTTGAATACCTGCTCAATTATTTTTAAGGGAGCAATTTTGCGAGTTCATCCTTTAAATTGAAGTTTCCTGAACCGGTAGTTTGTATGTTATGTAGACGCGTTTGTATTTTGCATAAATTAGATACTCCGGATGTGAGCGGTTGGATGGCGTGTGTTTCTCAATTTTTCCAGCCCCATTCCATAAGCCCTACACTTGTATATTTAAACCTTAAGATTGATATTTATTCTTAGTGACTTTGATATTTTTTAGTCCATTTCTGTGGTATTATGCACATGGTTTGTTAAAATCATGTACATGTCAAGTTGTGTATTTACACGATCGGTCGTCTTCGATTTCAAATTTCGTCTCAATGATTTCAAGCTGGCATGGTCTCAACAACCAAGTAACTTAACGTAATTAAAACTATTTTTCTAAACCTTTCTACTCACTTCAGAGACATATATTGTTTATATATTAACTCAGGTGTAAAGTTTTGTTTTGCGTTGATGTGCGCTGTGTGTTCAACCTGCGGAATCAAGATGGCGGAATTGACTTCCGGACAATCAAGATTTACGCGTAGCAGGCCTTTCGCGATCGTTTCGAATTTTTGCTAATATTGTGACACTCAGCATTCTTCTTACATCAGCGAATCAGGGTGATTAAATTGTTTCTTCCGTGATGATGAAATATTGTATTCTAGATCAACTTGCTACAGAAAAATTCCAGGTTTTAACATGTATGCATGTCGACAATGTAAACTTTGTATACACATATGTGTACTTTAGGATAGGATAAATATTGGACTGTCAATAATTTTTTTGATTATGAGCATGTTTTTGGCCTACTTTTGCTCGGTGTAACATTCACTGATCGTTGCTTTTCTTGCTCCAAAATTATACCTGAAACACTCAGAAGTTAGTGAACATGCTAATATGTACTTGTACCATATGTTGTCTTTTTCACAATTTGCAATCTTGAAACTTACTTTACATGAAGTGAGGGTAAAATCATAGTAAATTGTTTACGTTTAAGTCATGCTTGGTTTTCATTTATCTTAGGAAATTGTTGTGGAGAATTTCACTGCATCAATTTGACTCTCACTTTTAAGAAATCATGTGAAAATTAAAAGAATTGTGTTCTTCAAACCTCCATTCTTGAGTCATTAAAATAGTGGAACGATTGGAAACACAAATAGCAAGGAAGAGTCAGCTTCCTCCATTGAAAGTCATGGGAAACTCAAAAATTTCCTGTAAAAATGTTCGTATTTGCCACGCAGGACACTCCTGGTAATTAATGAAATAACCCTCAGTTATAATTACAGTGTAAGGCATATTTCTCCTTATAGTATGTACACATTCAATGTTCGATGAGACTTATCAAATTTGAATCAACAGAAGCATCAAATGCATGTAAAAGCATATTTTGACAGACATTGTCAAATTGTCTTCATACCACAACAGTGTGTTTTACATGTATATTATCCATGTGTACTCAGAGATGTATTATATACAAATCAATCAGTGTACACTCACCTTAGTTACATTCAAATCCTGAATGATTTTAGTAGCTTTAATTTATTAACCCTGTGACCCTTAAGAGTGACCCACTAGCATCTAAATTCCCTTAATATTATTACCCCTGAATTGCACATTAAGGCCTAAAAATTGATGGAAATAATCACCAACTAAAGAAGCTCTTGATTGTTAAACAAATTCTCTTTGTCAGCATCTAAGGAAATGTTTAGAGAACAGTTAAGAGATTATGCATACTGATGTTATGGTGTAAAAGGCTTTATACCTGTATTGATGAGGTTTTTTTGTGTAGAGAATACCATGAATTTCAATCTTTAAATGTAGGTTTCCCTTTCATCTACAGAATATATTGATCATTATGAAAGAGAAGGAAAAGTCCTCATTAGTAGACCTGGGAAAGCGGTTGCTTGAAGCATCTCGTAAAGGACATGCAGATGAAGTTAGTGTTCTCATGGCATCTGGAGCTCCTTTTACAACAGACTGGGTAAGGTTTTGATAATAGATTCTAATCTTAGTACTTTATGGATGTAGGAAAATTGATAGTTAGACATTTTGGCCAGCTTTCACTTATACTTCAGAGAATATAGTGCTGTAGAGGAGGTTCAACTTTACAAGGAGAATGTAAGTACACCTGTCCTGTACTTTAAAATTGTGCAGAGCGACAATCTAGATAGAAATCCTTTCAATAAAACCCTTCCTTTCTTTGGAGTTTTGCATCTTTTTAAGCTTTTCCTTTTCCATAGAGATTTTTCTCTGTTGTCAATATGAGATACTTTCACCCTTCAATACATGAATGCACAGTCAAAGCCTTAATTAAGCAAGCTTATGAAAATTTTCCTTACTACTAATAGCCCAGTTAAACAGCCTTATAAAGAATAAGGCTAAATCGTGGATGACAAGTTGTTTTTTCTTGTCAGCTTGGAACATCCCCATTACACTTAGCAGCACAGCATGGTCATAGCCAGACAGCAGAAGCATTACTGCGGGCAGGGGTCAGCAGAGACGCTCGAACAAAGGTATAAATTTTATGACTTCTCAACAAAGAGATGTAGAGATACATGTACATGAAACGTTATTAATGTCTGCAAGGTCAATATTAGGAAATTTCTAGGTAACTGTATTTTACATGATTATATCACTTTAGTTAAATGTTATTTTTCAGGTTGACAGAACACCCCTACATATGGCGGCTCAACATGGTCACAAACAAGTAGTTGATCTTCTCATTTCTTCTGGGGCCTGTGCAAACAATACTGATATGGTAAGTTCATGTGGTTTTTAAAGGATTTTGATGTTACAGTGTACCTCGTTTGAATTTTTCGAGGTTCAAAATTCCTCAGACCAATTTGATTTTGATTAATTACTCTGATTCAAAATATTGTGTAATAAAAATGTAAATAATTATTACCAATTGGTTTGGAAATTTGATTAATTGTGGAAAATGTAAACTTTCACTTACAGTGTGTGTACCATAATGATTTAGTTAAGCACCCAGGGTGCTTATTTACTTCTGATACCTCAAGGTAGGCTCTTATAAGGGACAGAGTGCACATTTCTTCTTTGAGAAAGAGCAGAATCTGGGAAACAGCTTTGATGTTTATCTAAAAATGAGCAATAACAGAAACTGTAAATTTAACTAATATACAATGAATATTTGCATAGTAATGTTAAGGAATGTACCTTGTGCTCAAGCAGTGCTATCACTGAGACAGAATGGGGACGCCTATTAGAATAGGGGCGTTTACTGGAATGAGGGTACTTACACAGTAGGGGCGTTTCTTAGAATAGGGGCACCTCACAACAAAAGAAACTCTTAAGGGGGCACTTAATAGAGAGAGGGCACTCATTGGAACAAGGACACTAAATCAGATCACAACAGTATTGGTACTCTACAAATTTAGGTCAGGAAAGTGCTTTATTGTGACAACTGAATTACTTTGTATTACGTGTAAGCATTATGACTTAAATTTAATTATTGGAAAAAGGAGGCAAGTTGGTTTTTAGATAATTGCTTTTGCAGTACACAGTTGTCGTTTGATTATATTTACAGTATTTTTTTTATTATTACTCTAGTTAAACATGACACCTCTTCATTGGGCCTGTGAACATAATCATGTTGAGATTGTCAAAATTCTGCTTAGAGCAGGAGCTAAGATTGATATAAAGAGCAAGGTAACTTAATTCTTGGTGATGTTTGTCAACATAGTTATTGTTTATTTGTTTGTAAATCAATGTTTGCGGCTATTTTTACTGTTCATCAAACATGTTTCACTATGTTTATTCCATCCTCATCTGCATTGATTAAGCTCAATGCTTAAAAGAAAAAGCTAGAATATGAAAACAAACAAGTAAGAAATGATTTCTACTGATTTAATCCTAAACATCGGTTAACCCTTCCATACCTCTTAATCCACTTGATGTTGATCTGGCTCTTCCCCCTAATAATCTTTCAAAAACCTAGTCACAAAAACATTTATCCTGAAAAAATTATTTGGCTAAACTCAATGGGCAGTTATCAAGATTCTTATCATATTTTGTTTGACTAAAATTATTCCACAGTTAGTATACATAGCTGTGAGATGTATGATTGTTATACATTAAATAGTCTCTTAAATATACACAAATTATAAATTGTCACAATTATTATTTTAAATCATGCTTAGCTGTGGGCGTAAAGTTTTTCATGTTGAGAAAAGTTTTGTTTGCCTTGTTTCTCAAACACTGTTATGTAAAAACAAGGTGCAATTAAAAAAATTAGTTATCACTATGAAATCCCAGATCTTGAAAATTTACAGTTGAAAGAGGGGTAAAGTTGTAGTTACCCAACTTACTTTGTGCAGCAAATGTACTTAGCATAAGATTTCACACCTTAGTTAAACCTTTGGTGTAGGGGCATGTACCTGTATTTCTTGCATCTGTGGTGGATTCCTTACACAGTATATTCATTTGGTATCCTATCATTTTATTCAGTTTGGCAAGACTTCAGTTGACATCGCCAGAGCTAAAGGCTATAGCGAAGTGTTACAGGCTTTATCCTCAGATCAGGTTAGCTGCTAAGAAATTTTGATCAGCTTTAGGAGGGCAATTTATCATTTACTACAAATGAAAAGCAAAATTTATAATGACAAATTGCACTTCTCATATTTTTTCATGTCTTTACGTGAGTTATATTCACATGCATGAGTTGGTTGATCTTACTGTCAGAGTGTCAGCAAGGTTTCAGGTTACCAGCATGCACTGATCTGCATGTGTCTGGAGGATGGAACATACATGTTTTTACGCCTTGAAGGGCTGAAAACTCAATCCTTGTGATCCATTGCTAGGGGAATGCCTCATTTTTGTCACAAAATTATATGGACAGTGTGCAGTAAGGAGCTTGTAATCCCAAGCATTATCATTGCATGCTAACAAAGTTAGCCAGTGGTAATAGTTAATGATATTACTTATATGCTATAGGAAAAGCAAGTCAAAACTTTTATATTAAATATAGAAATTATTGACTTGTTTTTCTCTTCATGAACAATCATAATTTTTCTTGGTATTAGCTCTTTTAAGTAAGTATGATTTCACCTTACTAGGATCAGGATTTGTCATTGCCAAAAACTCTTAAGAGGCAAGGTAAGGTTGAGCAATTTAAATTTTCCTTAAAATGACTTTCAGTGATTGGAAGCACCTTGTGTTATTTAACCCTTTAATCCCTGAGAGTGACAAGCATCTAGTTTCTCCTTTCAATATCACCCCTGAGTCAAACATTAAGGTCATGAGAATAAAGGAAATGATAATCAACTGAAGAACCTCTTGATTGTTATACAAATTCTCCTTGCCAGCACATTAGGAAATGTATAGAGAACAGTATGAAGAATATGCATGCTGATGTTTGGGTGTAAAGGGTTAAAGGTTCTGTAGGTACAAGTATCTTACTTGAGAGTGTGAAATCATGAATCTTTGTTGACTAACTCCATGATAAAAAAAAAGTGTCTGATTTCCTGGGAACTGTTGGTTAAATAGTGGTTAGCTTTAAACTAGAACTCATAGTTAAAGTTGATTTTAATGAAAGCATATAGAGCTACCATTTTAAGGGTTTTATTGTGCTGTAAGGCAAAACTAGAAGAAAAAAAATTTAAACAATAAAACTGTTAATAAGACTCAAGACTCCATAAAAGATTTGCAGCAAGAGTGGGCTAGTGCATTCATTTCAGGTCACATCTCCTGATCTTTCACCAATGAGTAACACAATGTATATACAGGTGCCTTTGACTTATATACCTGCATCTATTTTCCAATTTGGATTATTTTATAGCTGATCGCAATAACCTCACATTGAACTCAATGAAGAAAAGACAAAGGACAAAAAAGTTTCCAATGACAGCTGGATCTTGGACTGGTCCTGAGGGACCTACAGGTACTTAGTAATTACACATACATCTGTACCATGCCATGAAAGAACAACATTGTATAGCACCTCAGGTCTCCCATCTTGTATCATTTCCAAAGTTTTTGCATAGTATTGGTAGCTTACTTGTTCCTGCAGAAGTGGAGCATTTAAAGATTTTTACATTCTTTCCCCCTATCTTTTTAATGTGCTGTCAAACAGACAGGTGCCTTTGACTTGATATTGATTTCCATTGCAAAACTTCATCACAGAAAATGGAAACAAAGCCAGAAGAAAGGCAACAACTCCAGGAACATCCCCAAAGTCTGCTGTGGGTGGTGGAAGAAGAGTGTCAGCTCCTCCTCACTTCCCCAATGCAGGTATTTGATGCTTTCAGTTTTTATGATAGCAGTTAACCCTTTAACTCTCAAGATCTCATCAGTAATTCTCCTCACTGTCTACCTAATGATTCTCATTATAGTAGTTTGGAGAATCTGGTATCAGATCAATTTGTACTCCCATAATTGATATTTTCCTTTATTCTCATCACTTGTCTGCCTGATGCTGTATAGATTGAGTAAGGAGAAATTCTGCCTTCATCACTAGCGGGAGTTAAAGGGTTAAGTCCAAAGATAAGAATACTTTATTTTGTTTTCTATTGGCATATGGGGTGTGGTCAAGGAAGAAAAGCCAAGTTCCAGGTTGTGCATTCAAGGATCACTCATTTCAAATTGTATTATCCAATTTTAATTCTTTTTCTATGATAAACACTAGGTTCTCCATCTCTACGTAGTCCAACTGAAAACTCCATTGCCTCTTTGGTGTCAGCTGCAGCCATAGTAAAAGCAAAATCAGAGAGTGAAGGTGAAGGCCAAATGTCAACAGGTAAGTCTTTTTTGTCATTATGTTCAGCCAGTTGGTTTGCACTTAGAGCTTTGCAGGATTGTTTTTGTTTTTAAGTCAGCTGGACAGCAAAAAAATTTAAAAGAGATATATTGCCTCTGTTAAGAACTACACAAGTTTGCCCTCTTTCTACTTTTGGGGCTTTTTTTTCAGTCACCTTCTAATATTCATCCATGTTTAGCATTCTAAGCAAATTTAGCAAGTGAAATACAATGAACAGTTACAGCATGATGTAATTGCAGAATCATAATGTAGCTGTAGGCTTTGTTCAGACCAAGGTGACCGTTAGCATAGTTCTCTTCCTTAGAATGTTAGATTTTGAGTTTGGACATTTTTTCCTTTGATACTCTTGTTAAGTGCGATGTTTTTGTGCATTTCATGCGGCATGTGTTTAGTGGTATCATATCATGAGCTGTTCTTTTTACTTTCAGTAGTTATGTCAGATGGCAAAAGCACCTCTAATACCTCTAAACCGCAAGACTCTAGTGTACTTGATACACTGGCCACACTTGCCACTGCCACCTTAAGCCACAGTACATCTGCGACTTCAACAACACCACCACAGCAAGTAACAGCCGTGGCTGGCAAACCCCTTGGCATTACACCCCTCACCCTCCCACCAACAACACCAACCTTCGCCACCCCGTTGACACCATCAAGTCTCTTCCCAATGCCTTCCCCTCTTGCAGCACTCTCTGCTCTGTCATCTTTATCATCACCAGCACAAACATCTCCTCTGCCGTTGTCTTTCACTATGCCCATGATGACCCCTCAGCAGGTTTCATCAACTGGAGCGCAGCTGATGCCCCTGGTTCAGAGTGGTGCACCCTTCTTCTCCAGTGCAGCAGGCGTGTCTATTCAACAAGGTGGGGCATCTGTGACAACTGCTGGGGATGTGCATGTACCTTTATCAACAAGCAGTGCTAGTTCAGGTGCCTCCATAGCAGGTGCGGATTCAATGGTGAAAACCATAACACTTGGCTCTGCAAGTTCGCAGTCCCACAATACATCTGCACAAGCTATTCTACCTCAATCCATCATGGCCCCCTTCCAAATTCCTGGTGGGTCAGGTCAGACACAACTGCAGACACAGCTTGCTCTGAGCCAAATGCTTGCCCCAATGCAAGGAGTTCAGCCCTCAGTTGTGTTAGAGCTGAATGCATCAGCTAATAAGGATGGAATTGGTGAGTTGCATAGGTGGCTTTCCTTAATTTTGTTGTCTTAACTCGTTTTCTACGACATGCGGTATTTCTTTCGACAGAAGGGAGTTTACGAAATATAGGGAAATTTTCCCCTGAGTTTCGAAAGTAACCCGGGGTTGTTTTACTTCAGCTTCCCTTTGCTTGGTGAGTGGTCAAACGACTTGCTCTACTTGCTCAACCAATCAGATTTTGGATTAAGATACCAAATTGAAATGCGCGGTAAGTTAAGACGGATAGGAAATCGTCAAAATGGGAATAAAAAAACAGAGAAGAATGAGAATGGTAGGATTTTCTTAAAGGTTTTAAGTAGCCGGAGCTTTTTTAAAGGTAAACGGTTGTTGGTCTGGAAATCAAATATGGCGGACAAAACGTCATATCGTTCGTACTTTCCTGCCACCGCAGCAAGATTTGTCACGAAGACAGTCCCCATCAGAACGTTTATAAACTAACCTTGAGTCAGAAGTCTTTTTATGTTCCAGAAAAGATTGGCAGGGCAAATTTATATTTTTATTGAGCCCAAGTTTAGACCTGATAAACATCATCTCTGTATGGGCTCTCGAAGCAGCGAAAGTAGCCGGCGAAACCTTGCAGAGAAGCCGGCGTACTTCGCCGGCTGCCGGCTCTTATCTACAACCCTGGAATGGTAAAGCTGGGAAAGTTCTAAAACACATTCCAAATTGAATATCTTATGACGCAAACACCGCGACTTAGCTCCTTGACTCTTTATACCCTAACATCAGTAATGATATTTTCCGTACTGTTCTTCAAGCATTACTGTGGTCGTGACAAGGGGAATCTGTGGAACAATCTAAAAGCCTATATTTTCACGACTCAGATTTTGGTTTCTCCTCTCTTAGGGGTTCAAAGTTCAAATGCATTTCATTAAGTGTATTCACTTTTGAGATGATCGTCTATATTAAATTTTTTTGCCTCTTAGCTCAAGTAAAAGTCGACCAAAATCAAGCAGCAGAGTTGTTAAAAAATCAGAGCCAGTCTCAGGTGGGTGTTTATGGTACAGGTTTGCAGAACCAGTAAATGAAAGCGATGCTGTTAAATAGTGCACTGTGTGGCAAGGAGCTCTCTATTTTACCGGTGGATAGCCAATTGCTATTTGTATATTATATATTTAAAAAAAAACTGGATTGTGATGTCTTTATCAGGATAACGATTTGTTCGGTTGATTCAAACAACCAGGGTCTGGCCTGTGATACATTTTAGCGCAAGAGGTAGATGAAGTAGGGGGATTAGTTCGTAGAAAGACACACATTGTGTGTTTAGAGGTCACATTTTCAGAAGTTTGTAAAATGCGTCGCATTTTGTAAAATGTAAAATTCTTGTGACTTCCAAGAATGTTGCGCATTTCCAGTGGTCTTGCATTTTTGCCCGTTGCTTCTCCCATTGTGGTTATGATTTTACATTTTATTAAATTGAGCTTTGTTCTCTCAATCGATAGGAAGTGGCGCAAACTCAGCTTCACCAAGATACCGGTGAATCAAAACAAGCGGAGGACATGAGCACACAAAACATTCCCGGCACACAGGAGGTGTTCATAACACTTCAGGTTCCAGCTGGTTTGCAGCATGTTCAGCCTCAGCTTGTGACAGACCCCAGCTTTGCCTTACAGCAAGTACAGCTTGTGCAACAAGTGGCCACACACGACACCTCACAGGTATCTACCCTCCTCATCCTATCAGTGTTTTAAGGCACAAACATTGCAAAGAGAAACTGACATATGACAGTCCCACTTCCTTCAATTTCAGCAAACAGCGACTGTAGCAACTCAGTCACAGCAGAACCCGGTCTCTATACAACCGGATACCGTTGCACACACTCAACAGGAACAAGCTGCTGGCTCAACCGCACCTCAGGCTCCGGTTGTCCAATTACAGCTGCCACAGGATCAGATAAACTTGGCGCATTTAATGCAAAATGTTGGACATGGAACGTTACCGCTGACAGTACCATTGACTCAACTTTTAGCAAGTAAGTGATTTACGGTTAAAGGCTCAAACGTCGCGTTTAAATATCTTTAAAGGTTGCTGTGAAAATCATTCTTGTGTGGTTCCTAGAGTGTTGATGAAATTTTAGAAGGCGTTCTGCAACGACGCTTATGTCCCTCGTCCACCTTGAGTATTCTTTGCGATGAAGAAAGTTAATTGTGCTTTGTTTTTATTTGCAGACAGCCAATTACAAATCGGCAGTCAAGTGACACAGGTGCCTCAACACACACAACAACAGCGACAACAGCAACAAACAACAGGGACACAGCACCAGCAACAAAATATTGCGCAACAGCTACTGGCTCAATCGGTTCCTCAAAGGACCTTACTACCCCAAAATTACGTGGCTCAGTTAGGCCAGGTAATTAAAATTAAAAAGCACTGGGAACACGGTTGAGGGAGAAACAACGGGTTTGAGTATAAGTGCACTGGACTGGAGCCTTGGCCAGGTCACTCTGCACTTCCTCTCATCCGCGGTTATTGCATGTAATAAATGCCTGAAAGACTTTACTTTAGTTTGTTTGGTTTTTTGGGTGTCTTTTCAAACGTCAGCTATTCCTGTTGTTTTTCTATATGATTTGGAGGGAAGCTCAGCTGTAATACTTACCTAATAATTTGGCTTAAAATCTGAAGGTCTAACCATGATCGTTGATTACCTGTTCTGTTGCCAGGCCCCTGTTCAACCAACAGCTGATGTCCAGCAGCAATCGCAGCAGCAACTCATCTCCCCTCAGCTTCTTCTGCAAGTACAAGAAGACCTTCGTAAACTGCTGGAACAGAGACAAGTAGAGGAGGACAAGGTCAGAAAGGAGTTGGAAGGAAAAGTGCACGCGTTACAACGAGACAGCGACAAGTATCGCTCAGAGCTGGAGCACGCGCAGAAAGAAGCGGAAGCTTACCGCAGTCGTTTGGAAGTCGAAAGGAAAGAAAAATCCAAGCTACACCAGTTGTATGAAGCAGCCAAGCATCCTAGTGGTAATGGCGGCGAAGGGCATGATAGCTCCACCACATCTGAACCTGCAAGTGATCCTTTAATGTAAAAGCTCTGTTTATATAGTGCCAAGTCCCAATTGTTATGACAAATAAGGTGATTATATTGCTCTTCTTAATTTAATTTTACCCTTTGTATTTCAGTCAGATGTTCTGAAGTTTTGATAGTTTATTTGCATTTGAACTTCTGGCATTTGCTACTATAACGGGTAATCAAGGAAAAAGTAACCATAACGATCCATTCACTAACTTGTCGTGTTGCGGTGTTATTTTGTTTTATTTTATTTATTTTTTTTAATTCACTGCGTCAGGTTTTTTTGGAACTTTTAGTGCAGCATGCAAAACTTCCTCTTAAGTTAGGGAATAATAGAAGAAAGTATTAATATGTTAAGAATGGTAGGGATAAATTTTCTAGGAACGGAAATAGGTTAACTCAGATCACAAATGATGAACTTGAAAATTTCAAGGCTTATTTTTTTCGAGATGCAGTATCCGTAGGCTCGATTTGTGCCGTTTTCTCGAGTCCAGTATTCGATCCTCCTAAGGGTGACTTTGGGGTGAGAGCCGGCTTACTTCCTGAATAGCGACTGGTGATCGAGCCTACTATAGCTGTCTCGTACCTTTTTTATTGCCGTATAATGCCCTTGTAATCTTTTCGGATTCTCTATAGTTTTCTTACGGTTTCATTGTAACTGAAAGACCCTTATGTATTTATCTTCTTGTAAAATAACTGTTATGCAGTCAGATTGAAGTTTTAATATTGTTCCGTCTGGGATAACTATAAGCGAAGTACTCTTTTGTACGGGAAGACAGAATGACACGGTCGTTTTCACGAACGTGTTGGACGGTGTTTCATCTTGGACGGCATAATATGTAAAGACTGTAAATAGTCCAGTCGTGTATATGGTGTTACAGTAACTTATTGGCACAGGTTATATAGTATTTGTGATAAGTATTAATTAAATATACGATGGTTTATTTGTACCATGTGCGGCGAGATTATCTCTCCACTGTAGTTTTCATTTTATTAGAAGTATCAAGGAGTGAATATTTCATTCATTTCATATGCAACGGGACATACACGTTCTTCATAAGTTCAGCGTACCTGAAACTAAATTATGTCCACTAAGATGCTATGTAGTGTGAAATAAGATTTAATTTAAGTATTTTAATTTGTAAGCGCATCTAAGGCCCATTTCATACGCCGAACTTTTCAGAGCCAAACCGGCTTAAGACCTCGAATGAAAAGTTCGGTATCTGAATCAACTTGGGAACGGTTCGGCCGGGAATTTTGACTTCGGCGCAGCTCAGTAACGGCTTTGATTCAGGCGCCGAACGGCCACGCTGAAAATTCTGGAACTGAGTCGGTATTGGCTCAATGAGTTCGATGATTTTTGACAGCTTACATTTGAATTTAGCTTTACCCGTGAATAAAGTTTGGCTTCTAAAACGGGCCTAAGCCCCGCAAAAATTTCCATCATTCCTGAACTCTTACATGTTGCAATACCTAGCATAAACACATCAATGCAGGTTAGCATATTTCCACTTAAGACATATTCCCTCAAAGAAAAAATTTAGAGTGATCTTAGACTAAGACTGCGGAGATCTCGGTGCTACCTTCCATATTTTAACAGCACTGATTGCATGGGGGTTCAAGTAAATTGAAAATTGTATCTGTTATCATTTTGGATATGTGCAGCAATTTTGCGTGGTGTAAAACAATCGAGAACTAGATGCATTGCACAGCGAAGGCTATTGTTAACGATTGTTGTGAATATGAGGAATAAAGAGTCATCTACAAACTAGTCTCGTCTGCTTTTGGGAGATAAATGACGAAGTTGACTCCAGTCATGGTTAACAGGTAACTCTAGTACAGCTTAGGCTCAGTAGAAGAAGCCTATCTATGGATGTGAACATCATACCTTAGTTTGAAAGAATTGAATGACCAAAGTCTTCGCAAGCTGACTTCCCGTTAACAGGCAGATAATGACATTAAAATGTTATTACCTCCAAATGTGTTGGAATATCGTGCTGTGCTCACATTGACGCGATTTTACTTGACCGAGTCACGCAGGAACGTGAATAAATGATGCATGCACGTGTACTCAAAGTGACACATTTTATGGTGTTTCCTACCGATCATGCCGCTGTTATGATGTACGTAAGATAACGGGAAAAGTTTGAAAAGTGGCATTTATTAGAATGATTAATAACATTACTCCGAGCAACACTGGCACTGGTTCGAACGAACAAGTTTAAAAATGATCCTACAAATCTGTGCACGATCGCCCTGCCCCCTCTTATATTTTGGAAACATGGCATAAAAGAAATATTCTGTAACCTTTCAGAGACGTCTGTAAAACGTGCCTAATTCATACCATTTCAAAACATTTCCTTGACGAAAACGTGTGAAAAAAACCAGTTGATAACTGCTACATACGCCGCCCCCTCTTCGCTGCTACTCTCCCACGGGAACTTGGTGTCTTCTTCTTGCCAGTGAGTAAAACACCTGACACCCTACTGGGTGGTGTGCAGCTTTGGTCCGTCGCGAAGCAGAAGTTCTCGTCAGTATGATCGACAAAGGCCAGCTCAGGAGAGCGGTCTTTCAGCTTTCTCCGGCGTCCCCTTCCATTTCCAATCAAAGGTGAATTTGCTTCGTCAAAATTACTTTGATCCTGCAGCACACGCCTGTCATTAAATCGAGAAATGCCACGTTTTGATTCATCTACCAACTGAGGCGATAAGGACGGTACAATCTGTATCGAACTCGACCTGGGACTTTTCCTTGTCTTGCTATTTTGCAGAGTTCTTTTGCTCATCTGTGCTGTAGTAACTTCTACAGAGGCTGCTATGGAAGTCATGTCCGAGCAAATGCTTGACATTACGTCGTTGGAAGCAGGATCTGTACTTGAGCTCGAAATCGCCTCGGTTTCTTCCGTACTCTCCACCACAACAGCATTGGTAGGGTCCTGCCGACGATCCCCTTCAGGAGAGAATAAAATTCCCAGAGGAGAAAGAAGCGGTGACAGGGTGACACCAAGATCACTCAAACTTTCCTGGCTTATTGTAGTCACGGCACTCAGGAACGAGTCTTGCTGCGGGGACTTCTGCACCTCGTGAGACTTCCCTGAGAAGACACTGTCATTAGTGAAGGCAGGGACTTCTACCACAGGAATCAATCTAGTACGAGGCTCTTGGGATGAGGGCTGCTCTGGTAACTGAGGGGCTAATACAGAAGTCTCGTCGCTTTGATCCACTGTCAAAAATTGGATATGTTGTAATGGAACTGACAGGGGTAACTCCGCCACTGTTATACCCTCTTCGTAGGTATCCACAGAATCAACGGATACAGCTTCTTCAGGACTAACAAAGGTGCATGAAAGCTCTTCTGTCGGTAACGAAATCGGTGAGATTAAAATTAAAGGTGAGGTCAGCACCGTTGCTGTTTCTTCTTGGGAATTTTCACAACTTTCTTCCTCCGTTAGAGCCCTTAACACCAAGTTGTTACAAATATCAGGAACATCGTGGCTCACGGGCGACAGCAAATTGTCTATCGTGATTCCTTGTTCTTCTTCAACTGTTGAGGTTTCTTCAAGAAAGCCTTGTAATTGAGCATTCCGTTGAGCTTCTAGTGACTGCAAAGTTGACCACAGCCCTGCATCTAAATGACAATGATTCATCATTAGTTGTGAAGTGTCCAACAAAGCATTTCCCAAGCTCCAAGTATATGAGATGAGTCGGCTTTACCTGTAACTTTCTTCTCAAGGATTCCGATGTACTTGATGGTTTCTTGTAAAATCTGCCCCTATGGTACAGATAAATTAATAATGATATGAAAGACAAACGAATTTGAGTAAGCTTTGATTGGCAGACAGAGCAGAATTATCCGCTGGTGTTTCCCCCACTTCATAACTACACAGCAAACCAGCTAACACTACGGTAAAAAACATGCGAGGAACTGCTTGAAGCAAAAACGATCAGAAAACTTACTCGAGTGGAATTCCGCTGAACACACGGCACTACTTGTCTCAGATGATGAAACGCTTTCTTGAGCTCAGCATCATACCGTCTGTGAGACAACAAACATATCATAAAAATAAATTAAATGGCCACTCTGCAAGAGTGGCTTTTCAGTGCCAAAATAACCAATACGATAGAACTACTTGACGGTTGAATAGTAGACTGGTTTAATATTTCAAAGGGAAGTTTGCAGACTAAATGAATACACAAGGTGAAGTCTGCACCCTGAGCTAAGCAAGGCGCCAGAACTTATCCCGGTCCACATAACGTAAAGCCATGAAAAAACAAGGAGTACTTTACTGTGAGAATATAGTGACTTACCCAAGAACACAACGCAGCGACTCAGTCTTTCAGACCAGCGCCTTAACTGTTACGCCACTACGCTACTACCACGACACCGGGTGAACCTAGGTTCAACTCGACGATCGGCCGGCGTCAGCAGGACTTCAGCCGGTTAAGACCAGAGTATAAACTCAGCACCATTACAATTCGCCTATGCAGAGTTTAATAGGGAACTACATAATTCGAAAGAGGTTCTTTCCTCGCTACTATACATAGTAAGTAAATAGCAACAAACCTGTCTCTGAGCTTTTTCTTTTCTTTATCTTCTCCACGTTTACCCGTCGTGGTTGGTGTTGCTATAATTTCAACACTTTCGGTAACATTGCAGTCTAAAGAAGGCTCACTTTCTGGATTATCCCTGCATTCCGATACTATACTGACTATAGATACAAACAATTTCCTTAATTTAACTATGCGTAAGAAAGCTAGACCAAGTGGAACCAGTCTATTGTTAGCATTTCGTTAGGTATATAAGCAAGTATATAGTGAGATAAAAAAAATCGAGGTTAACCAAGCATACATGCAGACAAAAAGCAAGGTCAGGGTGATCTGGAACAGACCTCAAGTAAACCCTAAATCAGATGAGGCGCAAAGAAAACAACAGCCCTTGGAATCGATGTTTATAATGCATTCTTCAAATATAACATTTAAAAGGGATTAATTAAAATTGATCAATTAAAAAGGGTTGGTAAATGACATTTGATAGAATTTGGGGAGGTAACAGCTTGCAACGGGATGAGGAAAGAAAGGTTCAGTGGAATCATCAGGTCGCCTACCAGTTGTCTGGAGGTCTATCTCCTCTGCAGATGTTAAACGGGTATCCAGGTCCCTCGTTATTTGAAGGCTGCTGTCTTGATTCTGCAAAAGAAAAAGCATAAACTCAAGTAAATGTTATCACTTTCTCATTGATAGAGGCGTAACAATGTTCCGCCACAGTTACCCGATGTACACTACAAAATTTCTGCCAATTCCTGAAAATATCTCATTGGTGATGTAAAGTGATTCAAGATTGCAGTATGTCTGCTTTCCCACATATATGCTGTAATTAGTTTAGAATCGAAAACTCCCTTCCTTTCCACGCCCGTAACAATTTCTATTTCTTCACCAAGCTCAAAATTTACCTTCTTTTTTGTTCTTATTGCACGCACGACGCTTTCGAGACTGCTGGTCTTAGCAGTATGCAGGACACGTGTTAGATACGAACCTAGCAATGGTTTAGCTCAGTGGTAGGTTTACAGTCATCTCGCACGAATTCGTATGGCCCGAAACCTGTTTTAACATATGACGAAAAATGGGCGACATGACTCGTGATTTCAGGCGACTTAACTCCAGTTTCGGGCGAGAAGACTTAGAGCGACTTGACCAGTTATCCAGACTGGTAGAGCATCAGAGCATACTATCCGAGGGTCTGAGCTTCGTTATTCCATATGACAACACACAATTTTTTTCTTTGTCCTAAGCATGTGACGGGACGAAAGAAAGTCTTTCTCGTACAAACCGAGCGGATGCAAATTTGAACTTAATTTCTGACGTGATTACCCGATTTTTTTCATGCTTAACGCACTTTGAACGTACATCTCAGTTGTCTTTGCCTTCTCGTGATACATGTTTCTTTCCTTGACTTTTAATGGCTGTTGTGGTTACTTTGCTTTTGGTTTCACGATGTACGATCGAAAGGCTCTCTAAGAAATTAAATGCTTCAAAAAGATATGCTCTCTTCTGTAGATCAGGCGGAAATGTCAGCATGCAAAACTCACACACATCAAATACTTCGTTGTCCAATAAGAACAAAATCCTCACCGTTCTTACAGTCTGAGGAACGTTCATCTCATAAGGTGCTTTGATCTTTATGCAGGTAAGTGGGGACTTCTCCATTTGTGGAACTGTTGCCTCTTGACCAGGTGAAGTTGAAAGTTCAGAGAACAGTGGCGCCAGTGACCTCTAGAAACACACAACAATTAGCTTGTAAAATTTAATTCGAACCAGGGCCTGATTGTAGATAACTAATTTGTGCAACTATCTCCAGGTTAGTGTTAGTTTTTCATAAATATTTAAGGTAAATCACCTTTGAGGTTCTTTCTGAGCCAGAGCCTTCTTTACTCTTCAATAGTCTTCTGAAACCTTGAGGCGGCAGACCTAAAATAATTTTTTTTTTAAACACAATAGATGCTTTACCCATGTAATGGTACTTTCCATAACTTAGAAGTAGAAAAACGACTAAGAAAAGATAGGGTTTAGGTGTTTCTTCGGTGAGGAAAACTCACACCATCTTTCTGTACCTTGCAGATAAATAGGTTGGTGATTTTCTTCTCCTGTGGAAGTTGTCAAACTGTCCTTGTAGGTTGACAACCCCTTGGAGTGTCTGTCGTTTCCTTGAGCAATAACATACTGTTGCTTTCTGCCTTGTAATGGTTGGATTGGAGTGGATGTAGTTGAGACGGTGATTATGGGAGAGGATGTACTGCCTTCATGAGGGCTTGGTGACACTCGCAGGATAGTTGAAGGTAAGGCTGTTCTAACTGGCTTTAGAGGGTGTGGGTTCCACTGCATTGATTGATGCTCAAACTCTGTATTCTGCAAGGGGGTGCCTCCTTATAAGAACGATTACAAAATTGATTTGTTACTCTAATTTTTATCAGTTCATAGCACATAGACTCCTAAACAAAACCCTGAAGGTACAAGGAAGTTTTTTAGACTGTTACCTTTCGGTTTCATTTTATGGAAATACATACCACCCTCCTAGGGCATGAGCTATTCATGTTTGTGATAGACTGATCAAAACAATGTGACTATATTGAAATGTAAACATTACAACACTAATTGGCTAAAAACAATCATCAAAACATCCTAAAGGACAGAAAGAACATAAAGAGACTGAATTCATATAAAGGGTGAGGAAAAATTGCAGTGTATATATAACAAGTTTACATTTTCTTTCAGGAAAAATAGGCAACTCACATAAAAATGAAGAAGGAAAAGTTCTCTATCATCAAGCAATTGGAGCCTTTTAACTTAATTACATCAGAATACACATCAGAATGACTAATTCCCCCCTCCAGTCTCGCTTTCGAGATGTAATTTAGCCGGTTTTTATAGGGAAATGTTTCTGTGGTTCTTAAAAACAACAACAACAACAACAACAACAACAATGACAGTCCATACAAGAAGAACATGGAAGGCTAAAAAAAGACCCAGAGTAAAAAAAGAGCCTGAGGGTGAATTTTAAGCTGATGATGTAATCATGCTAAAAGGTGACATGAAATGAAAGAAAACAACAATTAAATGAAGTAATAAAACCAATTTTATAGGACTTTTTTAATACCTTCAGGTGCAATTGTATGTTCTGTTACTACCATATGAGTTTTGGATGGTACAAAGTCAACATCTTCTTCATGTTGTTCTTGCTGCGTCTGAAGGCATTTGAGTGGGGCACAATTTTCATGATACAGTGGAGCTGGAACCACCAGCACATAACAGGAAACTTTTTCATTAGGACATGGTTTGGGTGCAATAGGAACACCTTGACTGTTCCCAGGCATAAAGAAAGCAGAGTGTAAGATTTTGTTGGGTATAACCACTCCAGCACTTGGTGAGGAATAGCATTGATCTGCATCTCCATATTCACAGTAACTGGAAGTGTCATTGGTGTTGAGTTTAGGACGTATTGTAGCTGGTCTCTTTTGGCTGATTTTGCAAAACATTGGGATAGATGATATGAATGCCTCTGGAGAAAAAGCTTCTGCTGGAACATTAGGGAAAGTCTCTCTCACATCTCTTTTCACTCTGTATTGTTCATTGAAAGCATGAGCAGAATCATTCATGGTTTGCATAAAGCTGTCATCGCAAGATTCATCATCAATCACTGCAGTGCTAAAATTTTCTTGGTTCAATGTGAAGGAACAATCATTACCCCTTTCCTCTTCAGTGTTATAATTTAAGAGCTGGTATTCAGCAGAAATGGCATCATTGTGATCAAGTTCTTCCTTGTTTGAGAAGAATCCAGATTTTGGTGACAAAGTTTGCTCCTGTAACTGTCGCACTGGTATGTCACTGTTTGTCACTGGAACTAGAGCAGCCATGGGTGACGGCATTGATAAAGTCAAAACTGACTTACTACAAGGTACACTGTGATCTTTGAAATAATCAGTGAGAGAGGAAAAAATCTGTTAAGGCCTTCACATAATTTTTAGTTACTTTAATTGGTTTCTTTTTGCAAAGCTATGTAAGTAAACTTTAATAATAATAATAATAATAATAATAATAATAGCAATAATAATTAAAATAATAATATATTTTATTTATAGAGTAAAACACATAACAGTGTACAAACTGATAAACCAGTGGCCCTCATAAGCTTGCACATAAACACACACACACCAATATATTTCTATTGACAAGACATTGTACCTGAGACCCCTTGACTTGAATGATTGGCAGGGAATAAAAATCCAGCGCCTGTGAGACTCTAAAGATAGCAATAGTGGAAAACAAGATTCATTCTTTCTCCTAGATGTGACATTGAAGCAAGTTTATTATAACTTGTTACTGTAACAGAGAAGATCAAAGAAATTAAAATATCGCCGTAAACAAAATAAGAAACCTTTTCCTCTTTTTCCATGTCATTTTTTTCTTTTTCATTTTCATCAGAGTTTAACTCACATTGCTGGCGGGAAATTCGGTTATGATATGTTGAGCTGTGTAGGAAATCGCGCTTTATCGTTTAAAAATCGTCTTAATTAAGTTAAATATTCTAAGTTATTTCGTTAACAAAGTTTGAATCCTAGATACAAAACTTACCGTGTCTGCATCAGAAACGGGTTCAGCAGAACAAATTATAACCTGATCTGAATTTTGGAATGCAGTGAAATTTGTCAAAGTAAGGTCTCCTGCAACGATAAATATTAAGATGCTTGAGTAAGGGAATTACTGAAAAAGATTAGCAAAGAATGTAAATCCTTAATTAACTGAAGCGTGTGACTGTTTCAACTGTTCAGTGGTTTTGGCCATCGATCAAAATCACCTCGTACGCTAGTTAGTAACAATCGAGTATTTGTCTAGATAGAGAACAGAACCATCTTTGAGGGAAAACTCACCTTCAGGCGGTTCTTTGTCAGTCGGAGCGCGGATAGATAGTTGGAACTCTTCCATTCTCGAGGAAACACTTAAGGCAAACACAACCTGCAGGTTATTTTCAAATTGTGTAGATGAAGGTTTTAAATTAGTTTCCTCACATTTTGCTCAAGTCACCTTTATTTCCAGCCAACAAAAAGCGGTAAGGGGCTTATCGGCCGTTCTTAGAGAAGGTAATTTCTCATTTTTATGATTCAATAGTTATCTTGGACGTAAAACATCTAATCACTAGGCAAATTAATATTGTCGATAGACTCAACCTACAGGATGGCTAGTTCTGGCCGCCAAAAAATTAACCACGTGACCTAGCGCCTCGTATCTATGCTCTAGACATAGTATGTTTGGAACGGATTCGTAGACTGCGGACGATGGATCATGTTCCTCAGATCGCTTCGCATCTACAAGGCTTTAGTAAAGAGTGAGAATCAGTGCTACTCAACAATCAAGCAGGAAGACCGAGTTCAGAACGAGAAAAGTGTATCTAATGCGAAAAAGGTAAGTGTGAAGCAGGGCCAATAAGTAGTCCTAAAATTTGCTATGGACTGTGTGCCTAGGAGCAAGAAATGCAATCAGACTTTGCAGCCTTTGTTTTCATTGTGTTCCACCACCAGTTAGATGTTTGCAGCTGTTTTGATGAATACAGCTGACTATGAGCACATAAATCCATGGTCGAAAAAGGTAAATACCGGTACATAGTCACAATGAGTTTTTACTTTTGCATCTGATGTCTATTGAGAGGATGCAATGTAGAGGATTAACATTTGGGTGCATGCTGGAGGGAAAAACAATACAATACTGGATAAGGCTCTATTAATCCATGGAAAATATAAAAAGATTGTGCAAAGTGCAAATTGTTTCTCCTGCACTCCTCTGTCATGATCAGGTAACTTTTGTACTCCAATTTTGGCTCTAAGATTGCGACCAAGGAACAATTCTACTTGCACACTTAAAGTCACCCCTAATTGCATAGAATTACATTCTATGTATACCTCTCAAAGAAATAATTATCAATTCTACATGACTGTATGCTACATTGAAAACCACTAACAGCTCCCCTTATCATTCAGGTTCCTTCACTTCAAGGAAGAGCTTGAAAGGATGAATTGAGGCGGACGATAGAAGATAAGATAAAAGGAATGGACTGGGAATAACAAACAAAAAACAGGAATAGATATTTGATTCTAAGGAAAAATTTGTTTTGGAATGAGTTCAGCAGAAATTTGGGCGGCAACTCTACCCCATCGTGGGATGGGGTAGATTTCTGGCCCTCACACCAACCTTCCAGGACACTCTCTCGGTTTCATTTGGGAGCATTCCACAAATTTCTTTGTCTCTTAATTCCACATAGACTATAATGATAACACGAACAACAAATACAGAGCTGACAATCATACTATCTTGTCTAATAAAATGGGGGGAAGTTGGAACTGAAAGGGGATGTAGTGTCTTCATTAGCATCAAATCTACTTACCCAAGAAATTAACCCTTGACTAGCATCAACATTAACTTCCCAAACTTTTCATCCACAATTTAATCACAGGTTTGCTGACTGACTCACACTGAGCCACCACCTTACACATTATTTACTTAAAGGAAAACATTGTTTCCTTGAAGTTGATGTTTTAATAATAATGAACATCAACAGCTAAGCAATAAATAAAAATACCTTACCCACACATTTTTAAATCTTACTCATTTAACTACTACAAGGTGTTAAAAATGGATGGGCATAGACACCACTTATGCCTAGCTTAAATTATGTTAGCTTATAGCTATTCCACAGTTAAATAAGTCTGCATATTGTATGAAAGAATATATTTTACACTTTAGAGTCAGCAAGAAGAGTTCCCCATTCCCACTTCAATGTGACTATGCATTTATCAATACATGTTTAAGAAACTTCAAGTGCACAGGTGCAAAACAAAATGTAAATAATTACATGAATGCTTAGATAGAATGCCTTCTTTGTAACAAATGCATTTCGTGCTTATGCATTCTGTACTAGTATCATACAACTTCTAATGAATATGTTGTACATGTATCTGGTCACAAAGGAAAACAATAGAGAGCACATTATTTCTCCCATCAACTTATTTTATCCCTTTCACTCCCAAGAGCAACAAAAAATGCATTTTTCATATTACAGCAGAAAGGTGATAGAGATCGAAGCCTGAAAATATCAGCTATAGGATATTATTAGATTGATGACCAAAATACCCTATGCTAAAACTTTAAGAAATTTATGACACATACAGAGGCAGAATTGATATTCTGTTCAACTTTGCGAGTTAAAGGATTAAGGGATTGGCTATATGTTTGGGTTTCACATAGATCCATAGATTCCACATAGATTCCCCAACAACTGATTAGGTGGATCTTTAAAAAAGTTTTTTTAATTCCTCAGTTATTGTAACTTAAAAAATTAATAAAACATGGCTAACACTATTGGTTCTGCCAGAATCTTACAATTCAGAAAAGCTTCTTAAACAATCCATTTTTTAAAACTGAGATCAACTGTGGCTTCCTCACTTTTGCTGTAACTCATATCACTCCCTTTCGCACTGTACTGTACATGATATTCTAAAATGATGAAACCAGACTTGAGTGGCAGAAAACCCATAACAGCTTTAGATCCTTACTATACATTCATTGGACCAATGTAAATTATGCTCATTATTAACACAAATGGAATAAAACATTTTAGCACAATGGAGTAATACAAAAGGGGTTATACTGTAAACAACATTGGACCAATGTAAATTATGCTCATTATTAACACAAATGGAACAAAACATTTTAGCACAATGGAGTAATACAAAAGGGGTTATACTGTAAAAAACTAACTGAACACAACTACAGCTATGCCTGACGCTGATACTGGAACAAGCTTGTTCCACGACGCTTCATAATCACATGTGCAACAACCAAGCCTCCAAATATTCCAACTACGAGCATGAGGATAGAAATTCCAGCTGCTGCACCACTTGACACACCCTTTGTTTTGACTTCACTTTTATCCCCTGGACCTGGTTTGCCTGTGGGTTTCTCTGTTGGTCTGGGTGGAGCAGGAGGAGGCGTTGCTGGCACCAGGCCTTCTCTGAATGAAGACTTCTCAGCAGGTATGGCTTCTGCCAAGACATAACAGTCAACAGTTACTGGTAAGTGTTAAAGCTGCTAAACAAATTAACTTTTACCAATAAATGTATCTTCTAGGGATTGTTGGATGTATATTGGTTAGTTTCAATTCCTGGACTTTGGAACTCCACACTACTTTGAAAAGTGTAGCTCCCATGCAAGTGGTGAAATTGGGCTGCTGATAACCAGTCAAAAACAATAAATTTCTTGTAGTTCTCATTAATCAAAACTCACCTTCATAGTATGTCAACTAAGGCTTTAAATATTTTTCTCCACTCTGTCATATGAATTTACTACATGTATTTGCTGTGAAAAAGATAACATATGAAAAAAAGCTATTCTTACTGGTTTGGAAGTTAACTTTGAATGCTCCACTCTGAACTGTTTTCTTTAAGGTACCCACTGCATCCTTGAGACCATTTTCAGGATATATTGTAACCTCTGCATCAACAAAAGGCTTTGTTTTGTTCAGCAAAATGAAAGCAACAGTCATTTGACCCTCGTTGTCCATTAACTGAAAATTGACAGCATATTAAACAATTATTGAATGAGGTTTTTGTGATATCCAGAATAATCAAGGTTGAGATAGGGGTTATCAGCCGAACACCAAGTGTCATGGGTAGTCATGTCATGTATGACTGTGGTGCATGATTTCTAAGGGTATCATGTCAAGTTGGTGTGCTTTGTGTTGCCTGTTGATATGTATATTTTTACATGTTTAGAAATAAATTACCAGTTCAACTTACTGTTGCGACCTTTTCTTTTTTTGTTCAATGTGTAACAAAACAATCATCAGATTCTGTTTTTTTTTTATATATCTAGAATAATCAAGGTCTAGCATGGTAAGGGTAATCAGACTAAGCTGAAGGTTGAGGCAGATTAACCCTACCTTGACCTTGATTATTCTGGATATCACAAAAACTGCATCCAATAATTGTTTATTAAAATGTCAAGTTCTAAATAAATTATTTCTCATCGTCAATATCACTCTAACTTATACCAGTTTTGGTGGTACCAGCTCTCAACATAAAGGTTGCTGATTTTTGCAAATTCATTTTAGACTACATTAATCCAAAATCCAGTGTAACAAACATCCATATATACCATACAGGTGAATAAAGCCTTTTGTGCATGCTGATCAGCTAGTTAAAAAGAATTTAGTTGAAAGTACTTTTCACCTCCAAGCAGCCTAAGAGAAGAAATTGACTTTGGTTCCTGTGAAGCATGCATTTACTAAAAACAATTACATTCATCGCAGTGTTGAACTGTTGAACTGAACTGAAAGTGCTGGATACTTGTATCTTGTGGCTTTGTGGCTCAGAAGATAGCCACCACTGTTCACCTCCACTTCAGTGAATAAACATTTAATGTCATCAATGCTCTTATCAGCCATATACACTTTTAAGTAAAAATTAAAATCATTTACCCTCATTCCATTTACTCTGATAATTGTCACATTTGCTGCTTCACTGATAGTCTTGCTGAGAGATAACTTGAACTCCCTTGAGGCAGCATATTTTGCATAATTACCTAAAAGAGTCAAAGAGTTGATATTTAATTGATCAACAGTAAATTACAAAACTGCTATCCCAGCATGTCTTTAACACATATTATTTCGCTGCCCCAGACTAAACTTAGGAAGTAAATTTTTTTCCTCCGTTTTCAAGTTGTAGGTACCATGCATTTCAGAGATGTGCATATTTTCTAACATACTTTGCCTTCCATTTGGACCTTCCAAAAGTGTCCTCTTGATTAGTAAGGAATGTGAAAATGCATTGTCCAACAGTTGCTTACATTTAAATTATGCATCGCACCCACAATGCACTTTTTCATGAATGCTGTATAGTAATACAGAGTTTATTACATAGATGAAGGGAAAAACATTGAAAAGCGACATCAAAACCAAATTTTCTTGGCATGATGGGTTACCAGAATTTCTCTGTAGTAAGGTGCTAATTACTTTGAGTACTTTGAGCTCTACAAGCTCAGCCATACAAGACAGAAAGTGGTCCACCTTAAGTGATGTTTTCTGCCTGCCTATTCTCCAACAAGCATCTCCTCATAACAAAACTAAATGAAACCCCTAATAATTGATAATAAAAACACTACTGTTATATTCAGTTATAATATATAATGATATAAATAATAATAATAATGCTAATGATGATGCTGATTAGGCTTGCCAAAACTGTTAACAGGCATAAAAACAGTAATAAGAATCAGTGGGATGTCCACAAGAAAAAGACAATTATTGCTATTTCTCTGACCTTTAAGGTTAAACTGAACATAGCGTTGCTCATCCCATTTGAAGCAAGGTTTAATGTCAAAGGCTGTTGTCTCTGCAGCCTCAGCATCAAAATTGAACATGTTAAACATCAAGTGATGTCCATCTGATGTGTACATGTCGAGGCGCACAGGGACCTGGGTTTGGTTGGTCTGTGAACCTGCCATGAATATCCACTTTGGTTTTGAGAAGGAATACTCAAAGATAGCCTATAAATAAACACAAAAGCACAAAGTGGAAAAAAAATCATTGTAATTAAAATAAGGAAGAAGTACTTCTTCAGCTTAACACCTGCACACAACATAATTTAATTTCTTGACTAATTGATTAATAATTTCTGGCTACTTCAAACAGAAAATGTAATTATTCTTCCCTAAACAGTCGAATAACTAAATGCAGACCACCCTTGATTTAAATCTTAAAGAGACCAAAGAGGGTTGTGACTATTTATAACAGTAAGAAACAATTACTGTTGATAATACAAAGGAATTGAGTCCTGGAAGATATCTAGATTAAAAGTCTGCACTGTAAGAGTGAGTCTGTCTGATTTTTTTCTCCCTCCTCCTCCCCCACTTTTTTTTTTCATGTTTTATTGGGAGTGAATTCAGAGAGGGAACATTTATTTATAACATATTTCCACTAGTGTATATAAATATTTTTTTCAATTTAAAAAGTTAGATTATATATTTTACTCAATTTTTCGCAATATAGTTTTTTTGTGACATTAAGAGTGCAATATGATCCTCAGTGTGCCTCATGAAGTTGTCACTTCCAATGTAAGTAATAATATTTTCAAATCATGTACAGTGTAGCACATCCTCTATGGGAAAGAGGAACCCTATAAATTTTCCTTGCTCCCAACATGGGGGCTTTGTAGATCAGCTGGACTAGCTGCAGCCAACTAGTACCTGGTATGCAGGGGCTTGAATCCCCTCATGCAAAGCCCTCTTTTTTTCAGACTCCTTTTTGGCAATTAAAGTGTAGCTCTCCTGTGAGGATCATTGCTTTATTTGACATCATAATTCATAAACAATTAATAATGGTAATTAACAGGACCCAGTGGAGTCCAATTCAGTCTCTAATCATACAAGTGATTAACAAGATCAGATGACTGTGAAGCACAAGTCTGATTTGTTAATTACAAGTATGATTACCAACAGAATTGGACAACACAAAGTCCTGTTACAAATTAATCACAACTATGACAAATTTTGAGAAAGAAACTAGACAATGGTTATAATAAGTTTTAGTAGCTGTACAGAGAACAGTATAGAGAATATGAATACGGATGTTAGGGTGTAAAGGGTTAAAAGAACTTACTAGCGGGTGAAGGACTATCAAAATTTAAATTGGAAATTGGTTAGACTAAATAAGAAAGTATGAACTCCCTCCAACGTAGAATACAGTTTTGTACATATAAAACAATATCATATTAAAGTTTTATTTATTGCTGTCATTAATTAGAATTGTATGCAGCTATGATTTTGTTACAAATGGTACTGCATAACTTTCAATTGAAACAACAATGGAAGTTTTAATAATAACATGACTTTTGATTTTATGCTAAAATTGACAAAAAAAATAAATTCACTGCAAAAATTGTGTTGTATAATGATCACCTCAGTCGACTCATTTGAAGTCCTTTTTTTGATCATGCCCTTTCCAACCCAGATGTCTACATCAATTCCACGCACAGTAGAAGAACCCTTGTAAATAAGGGGAGATGACCCATTTCTTTGAGGTGTGTTAAATAACTGATGAGTTGTCTTCATGCGAATGTGGTGGTGTCCGTCACGATACACATCCCAAGTTCCTGTCAAAGAAGACAGAGCAGATATGTTGCACACTGGCCCAGTCTTGCCAGTTGATATATTGTAAGAAATTCCTGTGTTGAAATCATGGATTGTTACAACTTGACCATGGCTACTTAACCAGTTTGGGTACTTCGCCAAGAACAGTTTTTTCTCAAGGTCATAAATTTCCTGTTAAATAAAAGAAAATGTCTATTATACTTGTGTCAGAAGTGTTAAATATGAAGTTTTGCTCTACCTTCATAACTTCCATAAAATTGTGTGAATCCAATTCCTTGATTTTTAGACTGAGTACATCCCACCATACCATCTTGCAGATTAAGACTGGTGCTTTTATAAATTAAAATATTTCCACAATTTGGAAATAGAGACCTGTTAGCACAATTTGAAGAGCAAATAATTCTAAAAACTTGATTCTCATCAGCAAGAGTACAAAAAAGACATAATTTGTGGTAATCAACAAAACCACAGAACAAACGTTGAACAAAAAATTAATACAAAATAAATTAAATAAATGATTGAATTAATATAATGTTACATATTAATTATTGGTCATAAACATTTTCAATTAATAATAGAGTAGATGAGTTAATACACATAAATGTCCATACCTGCCAATTTGAATCAACAAAAAAAGTTCTGTTTCTCCGGATGCGTCTCATTTCAATGTTCACACTAAACGCTGAAGGAACTTTAGGGACAGTCTTGTTTAAACCTTTAAGTCCTGCACAGAAATATCCACTGGGAAGCTGAAATTCAGATGGGTTTGGGGAACCAGGTCGGAAATTGAAAAAGTCATAAACATGATAAAAATCATGTAGGGCACCACCCCTGACAGATGTACCATTAATGACAGCCCGCACCACTGTTGCATTGGGCCAACTTGTTTTCCAACCTGGCACTGAAAAATAATAGTCCAAGTAATATGAACTATTACCATGCACAACACAAGCCCTCCAATGATTACATCTGAAAAGACAAGTTAGATAAAGCAAAATTCAATAAAGCAGCACTCCAAGCCGTAAGTAATTCTTTTGAACAATTTATTACCTTCCCACTAACTACATGTAGGTATATTATTGAAAAGAAACACCAGAAGGCAGCAAGCCAGATCTAATGGCTACCTCATGTAACCATAACCCCCTGAGAAAGCTAACCTTGACACAAACAATCTCCAAAACAAAAATAACCTTAATCCTAACCCTACTCAAAGAAATACAGTCTCAAATCTTTACACCCTAATATGTATATTCTCTATACTGTTTTTTACACATTTCTTAAGGTGCTAACAAGGAGAATTTGTTTCATAATCAAGAGCTTCTTTAGTTGGTGGTCATTTCCTTTATTCTCATGACCTTAATGTATGATTCAGAAGTGACATTGTAGGGAGAAATTAGATGCTAGTCACTCTTGGAGGTTAAAGGGTTAAATCATTTAATCAGAAAATAATTTAACTTGATTTATAGAAACATAGGTAGCTACCCACGCAAGAGTTAATTGTTTTGGGTGAGTAGGTTGAAATTGGACACCGAGTACAGCTCTTTAACTGATGTTTGCATTTTTGTAAAAGAAACAGAGCATTTACTTTTAAAAGATTCCCAGATGAATGAAATTATTGTTCAATGGACTGCAAAAAGAATAAACCTTCTAATTTATCTGAAATAACCTCAGACACATGTATTTTAATTGTCTATTGCCACCAGTGTCTAAATAAAAAAATTAAAGTGCATCAGTACCATGCATCCTGTAGTCTCCTTAACAGCTGTTGTTTGGTCTTGTCATGCAACACTCTATTGCCCTGTTACATAACAAGACCAAACAACAACCTTGCAGGCTAAGACTATGCATAGTGCCGTTCCTTCATAGAGACAAATCAAAATTATTCAGTCACAGCTAGTTGCCTAAAAAACATTTTCAGTACAATTTTTCAGTGGAAAGCAAACCAAAACTTTATTTTATCTGCAATAGCCTCTAACCAGGACTCAATGGAGATTACCACTACCACTTCTCATAGGTGAATATTACAGTAATTAATTTAATAACCCATTGACACCTGAACCGCTCGTAACCGCCCGTGCCGCGTGGGGGACTTGCGCGAGAGACCCCCCCTATCTCCCCTACTAAGCAGAATTTTGTCTCCAAATTTCCTCTGTTGTTAGAGGATCTATGTACCAATCAGAATCCGTGTTTTGCGCAGTTATTTCGATTACTTTAGGGGGTAGTACAGAGGCGTCATTTTATGCGTTCACAAGAAATGATCAAATATGAAAAGATGGCGTACGCGCGGCCGACTCTCAATATTTTCAAGTCGGATTTTCTGTTTCTTTCCGACCATTTTAGACCTCCTGGAACACAAAATGAAAAGAAAAAAATACTATAGAGTAATCTACTTGAAAAATAATGGACATCAAGTTCTTAAAAGCGACAAAATATGCTTTCGAGGCCACAATACTCCAAAGTGATGCGAATTAGGGCCGTAAAGTGAACACCAAACTATCGGACTTCAAGCGAGGCCTAACGACATTATGCAGATCCCAAGGCACGGTAAATATCATGTTTGAGTAATGAGACGTCCAAAAAGTATTGTTTGATAGAAGATTTTGTGTTAAAACGTAGAACTTTCAGTATTTTCAACATAACGCTGCGCAATATTCTTGCCGTGAAGTCAAGTAGACATCGATCTATGCATGATGAATTCTACTTAGTGGGTTTCGCACACGTAAGAAATTCGTACGTTTTTCGGTTCTAACAGAAAATCAAGAACTGTTTTGAATAAAGCTTTCTTCCCGAAACGTTCCTTGGTCAGTTTCGTCTTTCTTCTCATTTATAAATTCCGTGTGGCACGAGATCTCTCCACACACTGATAAATTTGCATATTCACTTTGAAATCCGATCTACATACTTGTTTGCACACGTGCGCAAAAATTTACTGATTTTTATCTTTTATCTTGATTTTAGAGTAAAAACTCAATATGCATCTATCGCTTTTTTCGTGGAAAGCAAGTTATTTAAATGGTGTTCTTTCACTTGAGCTTGTTTTTGGGAAAAGATGACTTATAAAACTTGACTGCGCATTGTGTTTACTTTCCGGTTTCTCCAAAATTTTAACTTTTGGATAGACACGTGTTACACGTAGGTGTCTATGTGTAGGGAGGGAAAATTTTAGGACTTTGACAACCAACCGCTTATTACAGGGTGACTGCTTGGTATGCTGCCACTTAATACAGGTTCAATTTTAACTAGTTGAACTTTCAAAATTAATGTGATGAAAAATTAAATGCAACATATATTCTGCTCACTGACTGAAATGTTGTGACCACTGCATAACATTTAGTGAAGTGAAGCATGAAATAACTCATGTCTCGGAGAAGAAGCAAACTACTGTGGCACTGTAACTAAAATCAAAATGCTTCAACAAGTACACTGTATCAGTATGATGGTAACTTCAGGTATCACAGATATAATTGCATGCAAAAACTTATCAAACACACTCAAAAAAAAAAATTATGTGAGCCCCTCTACTTTTTGCTCCTGTAAATAACTTGAAATTTATGCAAAAACCAAATTTTATCTATTTCTGAAAGCCACCATTTAGAAAGATGGCAACTTGCCCATGACCAAAATATAGTAAACATCGCAACATAACATTTAACCTTTTCACTCTTGTGTGTGACTTAAAAATAATATCTGCTCACCATGTCAATGTATTTCAGGCAGAAATGTGGTGAGAGAATAGAAAATAATCAAAAAGGAGATACTGTTTGATTTAACTTCGTACTCTTGTTTGAGCGAACAATACAATATCCCATCCATACCAGCAAAACATGCTTAGTTAATTGGGTTAAACTGAATGAAAATCAGAAACAGAGACCTGAAAAATTTTAATTTCAATGGGGTTCAAACACAAGTCACTAAGACCCCATTTATATGATCTTGGGTACCCAAGACAACCTTCCCCCTGAGACAACTTTTCAGAGTATTTATATGAAATTTGACACATACACCTGCTGACTCTTGTTTGGCCAAGTTACATAATCAACAAAATGGCAAACCACAGGTAAAAAATAGCTGTAAACATCCCGGTCTTACCATGTGCATGCATTTTCTGTTCGAATTGTCTTGCACCTTGGCCCAACACCCCCCCCTCCCCCTCCCGAGTTGTCTCACCTAACCAAGAGGAGTTTACAACCTCATGTAAACGTTTGGCTGAATTTTGTAAAGAAATAAGAAATAAGTTAACTCACCCAGGGTAACTCAGGGGGAGGGTTGTCTCAGTTACCCCCTTTAAATGGGGCCTAACTTGTATTTCAATGTGCATAAATTTAAAGTCAGCAATGGTTTAAGCAGCTTCTCTGCAGACAACAGGTTTAAACAATGTTTAACAAAACAGGTTCTAAACAAGTTAAAACATCACCGTGAATGGGGTATAAAATTGTCTGACAGTACAGACAATTAACATTCATATCTTCAGGGTGAAAGGGGTGAAAACACACCAAAAAAAGCAGATGTCACTTATTTTTATAAATGAATCATTAATTATTTCTGCTTGGGTGAAGAAGAATCATCTAGTTGCAATTATAGCATAACCTTGATAATGCTGAATCATTTTCGGTGGGTAATGATGGTTGCTTTCTAAATGTCACTGATGCATAAATTTCATGTGACTTTCTTGAGTACTGGATCAACGACATACTAATGTAAAACACTTGCACAGCTAAAACACATGGCTGACATATCAGTGAACACAAATCCTGTCTCGACTAAAGAAAAATAATAGAATGAAAAAGAAAATCCAAAAATGCTTAAGTAACTTTGGAAGCTAGCCACTTTCGTATCGAATCGCTCTAAAACATGTACAGAATCCTCTTCCACGCATGGCTGCTTTTACTGATATTGTGTCTCATCCTACGCTGAAACAAAGTCTAATATTTCGAGAACCTGTCCATCCATAATCTCCTTCTTAACTGAAGTTAACTTTAAAAAAACTAACGGATTGAAACTGAGACACATAGCATGAGACGTGATTCGAAAGCGAAAATACCTTTCAATTTCATTTTAAGCTCTATGTTGCAAGGCTATAGGAGACCGTTTACTTCAACAAAATATTTCTATGCACTTACCTGATTCCTCGAATGGACACAACACCCATATAGGTTTCGTTAAACCTTTTTGCAAAATGAAACAATTGTGAGACGCTATCAATGTGCGAGTTGTTGTTTCCGAAGAAATTAAAATGACGTGGTCCTACGTATATAGAAGAAACGAAACAGTTTTGCGCACTCATATCCAAATCGATTCTCTCGTCTAAACTGTAGTCGTAGATAGAGAGGGTTGTCTTTCCATCTTTTGTTCGCTGCAAGCTACCCTTATTCGCGGCTAGGTCATAGAATTCCTTGTAAATGGCAGTGTAGTTCTTGTTGACGATGTTTACCTCTACAGAGGTCGAGAAGGCCGGGGGAAAGGTAGGCAGTTCTGGGCTAGATACGTTCCGTTCACTTGCCTGCTGGCAAATGGGAACATAGTTCCCAAAAGAAGCTTGCAAGCCGGCTAGAAAGCAAAAAATGAACCAGCTCAACATTTCGAAAGTCTACGAATGCTGTAAAATGCACGAGGGCCTTGATCAAAGCGCGGTAAGCCAAACAAGTGTGAAGGCTATGCGTGTTCTGATTGGCTGATCAGAATCAATGGAACCCTCTTTCAGCTGCTATCGATTCACTCAACGGACGGTCTTCTAAATTCGCACCTGTAACTAAACGTGACGGTAAGAGTTATTTTTCTCTTTATTAGGTGGCATTGACAATTAGTGAAATATTAATCTAAAGAAATGTTGATTAATGTTAATTTTCCTTTTTTAATTTTCCTAGAGAAAGGAAAGTTAGTGCAGACTACCTTTTCAGCTGAGACATTTGAAAACAGAGGCGAAATCTGCGAAACGCCGTTGTCTATTTTAAAGTATTAGCATGCATGCGATATTACTATGGTTTATAGTCTGAGGATTAAAAAGAAAAATGTTTATTTCTTATTCGCTGTTCTTACAAAGCGGGGTTTTCCTCACTGCTTTTATTAAATCTAATTAAATACTAGCTTTCTGCTCTCTCTCCAGCTGAAACGAATTCCTTTTTCAAAATCTATCGGCGATCTATCGCGAATACTGCCAAACTGATAAATTGTTAAACATAGTTTCAGTTGTATTTAAAATGGAGTGAAAACATGTCTTCAGTTGAACGATCAATTAGATTTCTCGTTCTCCAACTCTGTGTGATGGTTGATTCGAGCTTCTTCCTTGACCACCAAAATTAGTTTGGAAACCTTTCTACTGTTTGCAATTTTTCATGTACATTGCGCTAATGTAGTTAGACAGATGTCCTCCTCCTACTCCTCTCCCCCCGCCACTCCTCACTCCCACGGGGTAATGACGCAACTTAGAGTATTCCTTTAGCTTTATTCACTTGGCGTGATCATTGCGCTTGCGGTGCGTTTTTCTGCTCTTTACTGCTCGAATGAAGGTGATTGATCTTGCTCTTTAGTCGGGAACTAATAGCTCTTAGAAGAAGACGTGTTCTTACTTTCTCTTGGTAAGTAGCCAGCACCTTTTTAACTTCTTCTCACGCGCTCACTGAACTTATGGCAGAGTCGTGATTATGCTTGTTCGTGATTGTTTGTTTGTTCGATTTTGAAATTACTTCACACTGTAGTTTGGAAGTGCTTTTTCGCAAGACTAAGTCTGTAACTTATTGACCAAGGTATTGTAAATGTAGTTAAGTATCGGTCTTACCACTCCTTAGCCCTGTTTGGACGTATGAAATAGAATTTGTGTTTGAATACGTAAATCAGAATCGTAGGGATTTTCTTTTATTGTTTTTATCTTTTCGTGTGTTTTTTCAGTTTAAGCGACGTGTCTGTTACTTGTCGAATTTTTCTCGGTAGCGTCACAACTAGCACGAAATACGCGGAGACTGCGACTGCAATGAATTCAATGCTCACGGATGCCCTTTCTTTGTTTTAATATATTACCAGAATCGAATAAATAATTTTTTTTTCAGTTGTGAGTGCAGTAAGCGCATATCATGTATTTAATAAATTGTGTTAGACGTTCGTATTTTAGTTGTCTTCATGCGTTTATGTAAGTGTTCGAGATCTTCTAAACTTATGCAAAAATGATCTTGAACTGGGAAATATTGATTTCATTTCTGACCGTCATAGTTTTTGCTCCTAAAAAACGGTGCCTTGTTTGGGATCAGTCAGTTTATCGTGATGGGTTAATACCAGTGTGAAATGAAACTGAAATATACTTCACAATGAAATAAGCCATCAGTTGGCCCCTTCATGAGGTTTGATGGCACCTTGATCAGCAATTCTAATGATAAATTGTTCTATTGAAACAGATCTGACTGCTAGCTAACATTGTAAGGGAATATAACCTCAAGTTATGGCAGCAAAAGGTAAATGCAAAAAAAATGTCTTGTGCATGTTGCATGCCAAATGAAAAGGCTGTGTTATAGAGTGTAATGAATTTCAACTGTATTCTCTAACTTGATTGTAATGCAGAATGGTATTATCATAATGTAATCATGGGGGGGGGAGGAGACAGGGGGGTGAGGAGACAGGGGGGGTCACAGCCTACCACCTCCTGTAGCACTTTCTCCAACCTCCAGTACTTTTGTGCCCCTTTGCTTCCCAACTCCTGCCCTTTATTGTATTACTCCCATCTTCCAATGAGTAATCTAATGGCTGATGTAGTTTCAAATGTGTATTTACTTGCATTTAGGAATACCTCATATACTGGGATCATGCCAGTTAGAAATGAAACCGAACAGTCACACATAAACTTAAGAGTTTAATACTCCTTTCTAATTCCCTGCTTCTAGCTTCGGTAATTGCATATCCATTTCAGGAAATTATGTTGTTCACAAATCTTGTTGTCATTGTGAAAGTGGCTTTATTATGGTTGGTAATAATTTTTCATATCTGACAAACTCAGTAGCTTCCCCCCTCATTGAAATACTTGTATGTATGGATGAGAAGTTGACATCTTCTTCAAAGCCAGGGGCCAAGGGTCAGATCTTTAAGGTGTACAGACAACCAGAAAGTATCAAACAGCAAAGGTCCTCTAACTAGGGTGGTTTGGAAAACTTTTATTTAAGGCCTCTCGGAAATGCCATTTCCTGTGTTTTCGCAGTTATTTTCAATAAATAAATACAAAGGAAATGTTTGGAAAATGCAGTGTTATTAGGTAGTTACAGTGTTTTTAAGTTACACCTCAGCTAGCTGCTGAAAGTTGTATATACATTTGTACACTGGTATCATGCAGCTTTGCGATTGTCTGATTTTAGAAAAGGCTTTGCAGAAAAGAAGTCTTTCATGGACTGATTTTTTCATTGCCAGACCAAAAAATACTGAGGCTGATCAATATAGCCTCTGATGACATGTGACCTAACTCGCTTTGTTTGCTGGAGAATTTTAACTGTTACAGCTCTACTGACAATGACAAATTTATTTAGGACCTATCATGTAACCAACTTCAATAAAAAAAAGAGTACATTTTTGTGCCCATATAAGTAACTATTTTATGCCTCAGTGGTTGTGTTTTCACTCAGACAATTTTGGCTTGATAAAGTTGGAAAAGTCTGGAAATTCAGTGAAAACAGTTTGTCTTGAGTTTTGTGTGTTAAGAATGCATACTGTTTTCATCAGAAAAAAAAAGTGATTTTCTAGCCTATATGACCAGAAATTCACATCAAGTTGTACTATCTCGCGAGATGGTATAATTTGTCATGGTAAATACTGCAGCCAATTGCATTGCACGTAGTGACAGACATGTGCTAAATACTCTGGCAATGTTACTTAACAGATGCTCTTATCATGGCTCAGTTTGCCATGTGGGAAAACAGATGTCACGTTTAACTAACAAATGTTGGTCTGTAAACAAACAGCTAGAAAGAATGTTCAGCTAGTTAATTAGCCTAGTGAAAACACAACCAGTGGACATTAAATGGAAGTAAAAAAATCTTTGATGGGTACTGTTTTTGCCTGGATAACAAGTAGTAATAGACAAAAAACGAGTGCCTAAAGTTTATAATTCCTACTCCTACTTCTGGCCCTCAGATAGATCTGGCTTCCCACTTTCTCCCTCCTCCTGTTCTCCTGGGTTTCCCCTCCCCTCTTGCCCCCACTCTATTTCATTGTTTCTTCATCTTAAATTCTGTTTCTTTTACAAATTTCCATTTTGTTCATTATTTTCATTTTCATTACAACAAATAGTACTGTATTATACTGTCTTCCATAATTGCACACAACTGATAAACAATTCCAATTGTGGAAATCAAACCTCACAAAATAAAGGCAATCACAGTTTTGATGACACATCTATTGAGATTTTTATTTTTTTATTTTAAAGTATTAACATATTTTCCTAAAATTTTCATTCCAGATTCTCAACCAGACACAGAGAATAAACCGACTGATGATCTACCACCTCCTTATCAGGCAGATCCCCCCTCTCCTTACCCTCAACAGCCAGGTTACTCAGTACCACCTCCTGTTTACCAATTGCAACCAGGCTACCAAGCACCACCTGGTTACCAAGCACCACCCAATTACCAAGCTCCATCTAGTTTTCAAGGTGGTCAAGTGTACCATGGTGCTCCAGCTGGTGGTTTCATGGTCACTACAGTACGTTTTCTGCATCTCAATTGAAAAGATTTTGTCCTATTTTAACCTTTTTGCTGCTGACTGGTTTTTCATCCCAGTGTGGATCAGACTTAAGGGATAATCTCTATTGCTTTCCTCATCAAATTCAGTGCCAGAATTATCTTCCTCATCACCGGAATTTTTTGGTATCTCTGTCACCAAATGAACAAGTCTTTATCAGGCTTCCATAAGTATATTTATATGCAGCTTGATTGTTTTTTCTGTGTACAGTATTGTTCATACAAGTACCACAACTTAGCACATACTGAGTACATTCTCATATCTTATGTATAATCTGATACAGGACATACTCAGTACTTCCTCGAAGCAGTAAAAGGGTTAAAGCACACAGTCAGTTACATACTGGTTAGCTTTGATCCTTGTTCAAGCCCCTAGCCTGGTCATAGATTTCAAAAGACAAAGATGCTTCAGAAACTGTATGATTTAATCTCCTACATTAAAATTAGATGTGAGAATTTAAAGCATGTTATAATCCTTTTTGAAATTCCGATTAAGGACCCAACTGTGCAAAAATGGTCTTCAAATTGGCAAAATATCCACCAATTATTAATGCCACCCTTTTGAAAAAAAACTCTCCCAGTTGTGGCAGATAATTGTGTAATATTGATGTTTTGACATCTTTTAGCAACCTGGTCCACCTTATGTGGTGCAAGCAAATGTTCAAGCCTCTCCTCCTGATTACCAAGGGCTGGCTTGGTTTGCCTGCCTCTGTTGTTGCTGGCCTGTGGGTATCTTGGCTGTACTGAAATCTAACGAGGCAAGTGTGTATTTTTGACTTGGCTCAATAAACCTACAGCTCTATGGTCAAATGTTTTTTTTTTAATGCACTTATGCATATGGATTCAAACATTTTTTTAGCATCACGGAGAACTATGATCTCAACAGTTTTCTGGAAATTGTGTCTTTAATGCCAGGTGTGAGGGCAACATCTTTAAATCAGAATCAAGAGTGACCTGAAAACCTCATGGACTGCCTCATGGGCCAACTAACATACTTCCCCAGACAGTTTCAAAAAAGACCAATAACTGAGTTTTATTTGACTTTTTTTTCCCTCCCCTTTCCTATTTGTTCTGAGGTGGGGTGGGGTGGGGATAGGGGAGTTATCTGGGAGCAGTGTGTCAGGTAGTATTTGGAGGGGAATATATTGACCTAGTATCAGTATTTTCAGGTCATCCCAGAAATCGCTTACCTTGAGATTTTTTATGACAAATTGTTCTTTTTCTAGGTGCGTAATTCCATGGCATGTGGAGACTACAACTCTGCAAGAGTAGCATCTAACTCAGCCCGTACTTTTTCCTATTTGGCCATTGGTCTTGGAACTAGTTTTTTTATTATGTACATCATTGCCTTAATTATGGTTTTCACACTTTTGAGGGTTCAGTAATAACCCAGGAGTATTACCTTGAAATAATGAAATTTCAATACTTGAGAATAACTCATGGCACAATTTAGACAGCCCAACCACGAGCATCAAGATATCAACAGCATTAGTAGGTTTAATATTCCCAGAGCCTCTGAGTGATTTTATTCATTTGATGCTGAATTTTGAAGTATCAAATTTGGGTTGTTTTGTTGGGGCTGCATGTATGCAGTTGCTATTACTCTGAGTTTAATTGCTCACAATGTTTGTATAAAATGGATGGTGTTTGATGCTTACATTACTGCAAACATCATTGTGAGTGATTTGCCTGGTTGAAAAATTTCAGCAGTCTGTGTTGTATAATTATATTTATTTTGTGGAATGTTTATGCACCCACCATGGAGGAATATTTCATGGCCTCCAACTAAAATTTCTGGTGATCCTCAATCCCTAGCAGTTCCAGTGCTCCAAGCCACAACTAAATTCTATTTTGGTCACTGGGTGAAATGAAGATTATTCTATTGATATGTGCTTTCTATTTGTGACTTAATATATTTTCTGTGACTTAATATATTTTCCATAACTTAAAGCAGTTGTCATATGAAAGAAGGAAACTCTCCATATGACTAGTTGGAGGTGAAATTAATTCAGACAATTTTTGTGTTTTTTTTACAATTTGCATCAAGAGCTTTTTTCATAATTTGTTTAAAACTGACAATTTGTTATTTCTCTTGGGATAGCAATTAGCTATGAAAATGTAAATATTGTCTTCACTCTGTGAGTACTAAAATAATTTATTGTTTTACCTTAATTTATAAGAGTGAAATGTTTATTGGGAGTTGAGAACAAGCTCAGGGAAATAATTATGTGATGGTGAAATAAGTGTCACATTTGTGTACTTGACAACAGGCTTTAATAAAAAAAGGAGTAATGTTTCAATTTTTGGAAAGTTGTGGTTACTTTTGTATGCAGCAATTGTTTTGTGGTTCAATAATTGATATGTTGGAAAGTGAAATTACACAGTCTAATGCCAAGAGAATTTGAAGCTACAGTCACAGTTGTTTTTTTAACATTACAGTCTAATGATCAAATAATTTATTCTTCTGTCTAGCTGTTGTACAATTTTGCGTAAGTCAATCAAGAAAGTAAATTTGGTGCCAATCATCACTGGAACATGTCCAAGGCGATAATTCTTAGAAGTTTTTTAATGTTTAAAGAGTAACCAGGGTGCAAAATAATTTTCCCCATTTCTGTTTGTATGACACCCTGTTGCCTTTGCTGTGAGTAAGTGTTTGGCACCTCTTTTTTTTCGGTTTGTTTGTTCTTCAGAGATGTATTTCGGTTGTGATTAAGCCTAAGAGAGTCAGTGAAGTAATCTTAATGTGTGACAGATTCACCCTCATCATACAACAAATGCGGGAAATGCTACCAGTGGAGCTGGGGACCGATTATAGTCGACTCTATTCAGTGGCCAATCATAGACCCTATCTCTAACACGGTAACGACTTTTTTACTGTAGTCTTCCCATTTTTAATCCCTACTTGCCAGGAATTTTTTCCCTCAAAATCCCGAAGAAGGTTAACCCACCCCGACTCCTCTGCTGGGGATGTCGTCAGAGCTAAGGTCGACCATCAGATTTCTAAGAAGGAAGGTTCTACCCCCTTTTAATTCAAAATTAAACGGTTCGATATCCATTTTTTTTTCGAGCGCGATGGATCTAACATTCTTGGCAGTTGCACTATTAACTGGCTTTGATTCCAGTGTGTCCGATAGCTGTGACTTGTTCTCGCGGAAGCGCGCAGGCGCACGTTATACTTATCCGCTCCGCGCGCGTGATAATCTTGTCTGAGCTGCGTGTCATGAAATAGACATGAAATGTAGACCACAAATATAGAAATGGTATTTTAAAAATATGCGGGGAATTACGTTTCGGCGGAAACCACACATGATCACCCTGCTGCGAACGATATCGGAATAAAGAAATGAAATTTCGATTTGCAAGGACCTTAAAGTTTCGAAACCTGAAATTCGATCGACAATTTTCATTATCTTATTTGGCCATCTAAGTGAATCATCATATTTCAGATCGAAGGCGATTTTTCTAAGCGTGATCTCGCACTGCGAATACTGGTTTGTTTACTTCTACCAGGATTGAAGTGTCAAAGCTTTCATCTCCAAAGGTGAGTGCCACGGAGAGTTTTTTTATTACGATTGTTAACATGGGAACTGACAAGTTAGGATCAGACTTCAGCTTCCGATGCGATTGTCACAATGAGCTCCCACTGTTTAAAACCAACATTTACACAAATGTTTTGAGCGCGCGTGAAAAATGTTGTCAGAAACACATTTTATTCTTCAGTTCCCAATTGTTCGAGAGCGATGAACGGTCAAGAAATCGTAAACATGATGAAATTAGTCGCCTTTCTGCGTTTGAAATCAGGAAGCTCTACTTTTATCGCGCATTTTGGTTGACAGAACCTGACCTAAACAATGAATTGAAGCAACAATGTATAAACCATATTTCAAGGGCTGCATTGTATTTTTTTCCGAAACCTTTACTTATCTAGGACGCTGCGGAATTTTATTGAAATTTATTTTTCCCTTTAAGTTTTCGTTAAACCTTTCCAACAGATTTGAGTGCTTTAGTTCATCTTCTTTCAATGACTAAAATTTTATTACAGGTGATGCCATCTGGAATAACCATTTACATAAAATTAAAACGCATCCCTATCAACATGTCACTATCATATCAGTAGCTGCAATTGTTCAAAGTTATTATGTCTGTAAATCCATATATGGAAAGTAAACTATGGTAAATAATTGCTCAATACCGAGTAATTTTTTTGTAAAAATACATTCAGCCAAAAATTCGTGATATCCACTGACCTTTCTCAACAAGCGTTCGATCCCTGCGGGCATTTTAAAACGTCTGTCACATTGCAGAACTTCCCTACATTCATAAAACGAAATAACTTTTTGCCTTGACACACTTAGGTCGATATAGTATATATTGAAATCTTCAATAAGCCGTTTCATCGCAATATACAATCCATTTTGATTACATGCAACCGTTAAATTTCGCATCGTTTTATTTTCGCGCCTCAGCAGAGACAGAAGATAGCTCTGTTCCTTTGTTTGTTTTTATTCAATTGCTATTTTGTTAATTGGTTTGAATTAACCTTTTTGTGATGCCTATTGTTGCATGTCTGTTTTGCTCTCGTGTGAGACCTTCAAATATCCATGCCTTTAGAGTGAGATTAAAGTTCTTCGCTTCGGGAGGGTCAGTTTCCTTTTCTGCGTTGGACGGTTCGCTGCAATTAAAATCTGATTAGCTACGGTGTCTCCTTTCCTCGGCTACCTTGACATATAATTGCATCCAAAATATGTGACTTCCTGTGGTTCTTCTGTTATTGTCTCACAGTAATTTTGTCACACTTTGATTTGTAAATGATTTTGGCAAGGGTAAACAAACTCAAATCGAAACCTTAGACCTGTGAGTGTATTAAGTTGGCGATCTTGGTCAAACATGCTAAATATATGCTTATCACCGTCTTACATTACACATTTCCACGAATGAAAAATTCCTTATAGATTGTATTTAGTCAGAGGGCAAGAGAGGATCAATCTCTCTTTTTCAATGAGATTAGTTAGGCTTTTTCAAAATGCCATGTTAATATTTTGCGCGAGGCACGCGTGTGGAAACTCACAAAGCACGCGCGCGTGCTGAGTTTACTTTTGTGCCATCTTTTCCGGAAGTCAACAGTAAGAGTTAGCCTGATGATGTTGTGCGCCCCGACATAAACTTATTGTTCCGAAATTTTCTGTGATCTGCCAAAGCAAACCGACGTTAAGTTAAATGGGCTTTTTGCATGGGATCTGGACCCCCTCCCACTGCACGTTTGGACTCCCTTGGTCCAAAATAAGCCCTTCTCAAACCATGTGCATCCATTCCTCGCTCAGATTTCACTGAATCATGTTGTGCCAACATTCGGGCAAAATACGGCGGCGGGATACTGACAATAATGATTTTACTTCTGTTGTAAATTATGAAATGCACTTTGTTGTCCGCTGGTGTCTTCTACTGACATACTTACGTCTACACGTGTGATCCATTTGTAAAACCACTAGTTAATTAGGGAAAAGGTTTGTATCTATTCTCAAGTATATTTTGCATGTGGAATCTCACAAGATGATCATTTGATTTTACCTAACTATAACCTACACTTGCATAGTACGGGGGAAAGGGGGCGAGGTTCAGAAAGGGACCGGGTGGGTCCAAATCCGCTATGACACGGGCAACAAGGGAGTTAACATTTCAACCACTAAGAGCGACTAGCGTCAAATTTTTCCTCATCATGTCACCCCTAAATCAAACATTAAGGTCATGAGACTAATGGAAATGATCAACAAGTACAGGAGCTCTTGATTGTTATGCAAAATCTCCTTGTCAGCACCTTAGGAAATTTATGGAGAACAGTATGGAGAATATACATAATGATGTTCGGGTGTGAAGGGTTGAATTCACCAACTAATCACTCTTCTGTTACATTTTTTCATAGCACTGACAAAATAAAATAGCGAAAAAACGAGCCAAAGAATATGGAGGAAAAAGCCTTGTCATTGGAAAACAGTGGCTCAATAACTCCCGATGTGAGTATTTCGTCAATCGATGGAAATGGTCAAAGTGATGTTGACCAAAACGAAACGCAGTGCCAAGAACATGATGAGCCAAATGGAGGAAATTCTCTCGAGGAGGATGAAGAAGAGGCTCTAAATGATAAGAATATAGTGATTTTTAATGGACCTAAGAGCGACGGAGTGGTTAACTATGGTTTTTTCGATCTCGAGGACGAAGATGAATTAGCTCCTAGCGAGGGCTCTCACAACTTACAACATGAAGAATTTAATGAAATTGGAACTGGAGAAGGTGGAGTAACAGTAACAACAACCACTGCTACAACTTTTTCAAGGCGCGTTGATCGATCAGGAACGAAGATAGAAATTCCCGATAGTCTAAATGAAGAAGACGAAGAGCAGGAAGAACGAGAACAAGAACGAGAAAACAAAATGAAGGAATTGTCATCTGAGAGAAACGAGAAGCAAACGACTAATAATCTTCTTCAAGAAAATTCAGCTGTTGTCGTTAAAAAGAAAACTATTACTTACCACACTGAATCAATAACAGTTAATGGTGTTAATTTGGAGAGCAGAGAATTCATCGAAGATAATGTAAACGTAACAGAGAAAAATAACCCAGAACTACTTTCCATGAAGAGTAATTCTGAAGTAGTGGAGAGCGTCCAAGGAGGAAATGAGAAAGATCCTATCAATGAAGATTCCATGATTATTTTGGAAAATAAACCCACGTTACGGCTTGTGGAAGCTGTTCTTGATGAGGGGGTAATTAACGGGGTCCGACAGTTTACCTTGGAGAGTGCACCCGAAATCATCAAAGAGCTCCCTGGGTCACGTCAATTGTCGCAAGTATCGAATGAAAATGAGAGTAGTGAACTTCGGGAACCACCAGCGGAAGTTTCCCTCGTAGCAAAGGAATCAGAACCACGATCATCCCATTACCACCCTCTGCTGGTAGAGAGAGTCGAAACTGTAGAAGGCGATGCAAAGGTTGATGTGGATATTGTTCAAATAGATAAAGAATCGATTGTTATGGAGTTCCAAAAGGATCAGGAAACCGAGACTGGAGCTGCGGACACGATGAGTGTTATAGAGGAAGAATCTCCTTCTGTTGTAGATAAGCGGCCGCCATCTCTGCATTTGGAGGCTGTGTTTGACCACGAGGAGGAAGAAGGCACTAGAGAGAAAAAGGTGGAGATATCTGCTGAGGAGGTAGAAAAGAAGCCTTCGTCG